AATTACTTTTGTCTGAGAACGAAGCCCCCTTCATATTGTCAAATATCAGTTTCATCTGGAGTCATGGTGAGTAAACATCGAGGCGTACCTTAATTTTCCCTTGTGAAATTTGGAGAATCTTATTGTAGAATTAAATTTAAACATTTGCAGATTATCACTTCATTTGAAGCCCAGAAAAGAAGCAAACGAACAGGCAAATTAAATGTTATGGCTTATTATAACCCTTTCGTCTAACATATCAGAAATTTACAAACCTTCTTTGATTAAAACCCGTATTACTGACATTTTTACCATTCAGATGTTTCGATTAAAAAGAAAAAAAAACCGTAGTGTGAACTTGAGTTTTCACTCTTCATAACGAGTAGTTAACTCTTGAAGTCTAAGAAGTGATTAAAATGTAACTTCTCCCTCTATTATTTATACATTATCCAGCAAACAGGAAGTGAGAATACTCAAATTTATCTCCTAGATGTTGTTATCTTAATATGATATCAAATTCTTGTAACTAATTGGAAGGACATGTTTGGCAGCCAAAGGGGAGTTGAATTGAAGGGAGGGGAGACGAAGGAAATTCTCGGAATCTGCCTGGGAAGTCGACTGAAATATTTCCATAATTCACTCGTCATCTCTATATTACGCACAATGTTCAAACCTAGTGCCTCTAGGAACAAGCTTTAGATTTACTCACTATCAAAATTAATATGCATTACTTAAAACACTGAGTTTCGCTTCAAACTTGTAACTAATTAAAATTTAAGAGCACGAACCACGCTTTCTCTACATTGTTAACGCGGAATTTCAGTAAAGAAGATGAAAGATTAGAAATGGTACTCCGCGCAGCCCCGTACTATTGTAAAACAAATCTGTTTTCCCAATGGAAATGTATTGTTTTTGTCATTGTTTTCTCTGTTCAAGAACTGAATGCATAACGTAGGATGGGGCTGTGTGGAAATTTTACCCTCCGCGCGACAACAGTTTCAAAGAAGAATTTCAAGGAAGCCAATTTTGCAAAAAAAAATTACGCAATAAAATTTTTACTGCTAAGTTATTGACAGCTTCTGGGCGTAAATACGAGCGACTGGAAAGAATTAAAGGATTTAATAAAACGAAGCTTCGATCTGGAGCCCTTCTTGAATTTGTACATGGCTCATCTTCTGTTAGAATTAGTTTACAGAGTTTTACATGCTTCTATAAGCGTCGATAAACACTTACCTGCTTCCTTCCGTTGCCAGAAATGATACGTAATGTTGACTTTGACAAAACGAGAAACGAAAGAGGGCTTCCAAGGGAGAAAACACTGTGTAGGAGCTAAAATTTTGACAAGAATTGATCACTGAAGTAGAATTTCTCTATGCTTGGATAATTTCAAAAGTGCGCCTTTTAAAACTTATGCGTGCACGCGGGTTGTTGAGCTCTTCCCTGAATGGCTCGTCTAACTGCACGGGTTTTTAGCGCGCACGATTTTTCTAATTAGCACTATTCATTAGAGGCACATTTTTGTTGTGGTAAACGCAAACGGCAAATTAACATCTGCGTTCCCTCACTTTTCTTCCTAGACAAAATACAGAAGGGCCTCGCAAGTGATACTGCGGCATTCCCACTTAGTGATTTCTTTCCATTTACGTTCCTAATTACATTTTTGTGTTTTTGCACGCACATTTTTCGTATTGTTTTCGCATTCTTTTCACTCACGGCGATTTGTATTCTGTTAGATTTTTTCGCATAATTCTGCTTTGTTTAATTTCATTCGTAAAAGTTTCTCAGGAAAAAGTGAACATTGAAGTATCAGAGTGCATTAGGTTAACATCGATTCCTTCGCTGCGATCATCTTTTAGTTTTTCCGTTCCTCGTGCTCGCAAGCCACACAATTTTTGTAAGTGTCTTTCCTTGTCCGATTTTATTTCCTCTGCTGTTTTGCGTTTTCCTATTCCTTCTACTTTGTAATAATTTGAAATGAAGATAAATCTTAAAGCATTCGCGTGTTGAAACCTGACTTTGTCGGCAGTCACACGAAGAGTACAAAAGTTTTGAACAAAATGCAGAAACTGAAAGGGTATTAACAAAACTTCAATTTTTGTCGTTCGTCGTGGGTTATTGAGCTCTTCCCTGAATGGCTCGTCTAACTGCACGGGTTTTTAGCGCGCACGATTTTTCTAATTAGCACCATTCATTGGAGGCACATTTTATCATGGTAACGCAAACGGCAAATTAACATCTGAGTTCTCTCATTTTGGTAAAGTTTCCGCACAGCCCCATATTACATTATGCATTCAGTTCTTGGATAGAGAAAACAATGACAAAAACAATACATTGCCATTAGGAAAACAGATCTGTTTTACAATAGTATGGGGCTGTGCGGAAATTTTACCCTCATTTTTCTTCCAAGACAAAATACAGAAGGGTCTCACAATGAGTAAAAAAGTTTTACACAAAATGCAGAAACCGAAAGGGAAGTAACAAAACTTCAATATTTGTCGTAGTCGTTCGCGTTAAAATGATCCCTCCATCAAAATAGCAAAATATGATGTGAAATAAGCCATAGTTATTTCTTTTTCACGGGCTTTAAATATATATATATATATATTTTCTGTTTAGTCACGGCTGAAATTATTATAAAATAATCCGCCAGGCCTCGGTTGTTCAAAGGCTGGATGGTGCTATTTACCGGACAAATCGCCATCCGGTGGTTAAGTGTTTACCAAATATGCACGCTATTTTAAGCGCTTTATTAACACGAAACTTTTGGACTTCTGATAGCGCGAGGTTCACATCTTTGAGTGTTTTCATAGCCCTTTAGGTTAATTGTAAATTAGCCGTACGTGCTTTAGATCGATTATTACACGCTTAAAACACAACCAAATGAGAATATAAGTGCCAAGGTTTTTTGGCAATAATAGTGGAAGTTGGAATTGTTGGTGAAGTTAGTAGACGTTGTAACAACAGGCAGTGGTACATTAAACAAGAAGCTATTGAGATCTAAGGAACTCTTCTATCAGCTAGTTCAGTCGTTCAAGCTATCTGCCCCCCAAAGAGTTCTGAAATGAGGAGGTCAAGTTTTCCTTTTTCGCTATATTGTAAATAAAAGGGAATACCCTTGCTACAGAAACTATGACTACGAATAATAAGGAATACCCTTGCTACAGAAACTATAACTACGAATAATTTTTGTATCATTTAATTTTTGTATATTTTCCTTTTTCCAGAGTAGCAATGTCCCAAAGCTTAATTAAAACTGGGCATAAAGGCTTTCTTTTCGGAATTTTCATATTTTTAAGAACAAACCATAGCAAGAAGGGTTTTGTTTGTTAAAATTATACTTTAAAAAGGAGCTGAAGTAAGCTCCTCTAACTCCAGTCAAAAGTTTGTTCGTTGCTCTCAGTGATTTTTTTTTTACACAACGAGGGCAGATTTGTCCAATTTGAAGATTGTTGGATATCTTGAAGTGGACCTTTAATCAGATGTGTCTGGAGTTTAGACGTCAGTACCGTGTCATCAGATGATGAAGAGTTGGAATCAGATACATTTTACATTTCTTCTCTCCGTTTGCCAGTTCATAGACATGAATTCAAAATAGACGGGGAGATTTTTACTCTCTATTTGGTGTTATTTGCTACTTTGCTTAATTTATCTTTTGGATCGTGTATTGTGATCGTGGCAGTGGTCTGACAGCACTTGCAAAAGTGATGCGCTTATTTGCGGGTCATTCGCTATGTTGTGTAATTAGAGCAGAACGTATACTGTGAAAGAAAAAAAAGAAAGAGAGAAGAATTGTTCCAAACGATTACAGATTTCCGTTTCGCAAATGACACATTTCTGTTTCGCAAATTACAGATTTCGAGTTTGTTCGCAAATTGCAGATTTCAATTTCGTTTCTTATCGCAAATTACAGTAAGCCCTCCTTACCAACCAGCAAGAAATAAAACAACGGTTAGATGATGAGCTTCATTGCTGTAGCTTTCTTGCGTAAATCGAACAGTTCTGCTTTTTCCTTTTCCACCTTCATTTAACTGAATGCCTTTCTCCCACATATAAATTTACATCCTGCCACATTAAGTTTCGATAAAGTTTCGCCCATTTTCACTACCACATCACTCATTATTTATGCCGATGAGAGAGACTTCCCACTTGGCGTTTTTTCGCGCCGCAATTTCGGCACCAGATCACTGTAGGGCGAGAACTCGGAGATGGCTTTCTCCTTGCGTTGAACGCAATAATTTGCCGTCAGTGTTTCCGTTCTCAGAATTTTCAAACCTTGGCGATTTTACATTGCTTTATTGCAGATGATAGCCACAAAGTTTTGACATTCACGTACACAGCTATTAAACTTCTTGTTAAAGCTAAAGATCGGTAAATACACTCTGAAATTCGAGACGGCACATCAGAGCACATTGCCCTCGAACCGTACACTTATCCGACTTCGAGTTCCTTAAATATGCAAACCCTATGCACGCAGTCTTACCTTCTACTGTTTTTAATCAATTAATCAATTAAATTTGCTGATTTCAGATCTGAGCTTTCAGTTAACTACACGCTATGTTTTGGCAGACTTAAATTTTTGAACAGCTATTGGTGAGGATAGTGACATCATTCAGTTGTTGACAAAATGAACCAATTACAGAAGAAATCATCATCTAATGGAGGACTGGGGCTAGCATGCATAGCGAGTAAACGTGTTTTCGAGAGCTCCGCTCTGGTTGATGAGTAGTTTTTCTGGCAGCCTGCATTTCATGTATATGGAAACCACTCCTTCTTTGAAACGTACAATATCACAGAGAAGCAATTCAGATTCGTCTTAGTCAAGTTCTCTGTGGGAAAAGCGTCCAAAGAGTCTAGCTCAGGAAGACGAGGTTCTCCAAGTTTTAAACATCGCCGGTAACGTTAGCGAAAAACTCGATAAAATTCTTGGAGAACTTAAGAAATTGGAGAAACTTGATGCAATTGAGGCAACGTTGAAGGATTTAACAAGCAGACTGGGGAACGTCGAATCAACTATCGACAAGATGAAAGAAACGCACGTGCTGTGGATAGTTAAAGGTATAGATGAGAGTCTTACACATCTCATCAAAGAAGTTGAAGAGCTTCGTGGAACGGTAGAAGACAAGGATAAGCAAATTGAATATTTACTCATGCAACACCTTTATCTCAAATCGTACTGCAGGAGAGAAAATCTAAAATTTTTTGGCGTACCGGAAAGCGAAGCCAGCGCTTCGGAGGGGAAAGATGCGGTTGGCACAATTGATGTTTTGCGTGATTTTCTTCATGATGTCCTTGGCTTTGGGTATCCAAAGAGGAATATGGAGTTTAAACGAGTGCATCGGATTGGTAAATCCGTACGTGGGAAGCCCAGGCCGATATAAGCCCGTTTCTTACGCTATCAAGATCGCGAGACAGTGCTTCGTGCTGGGTTTGAATTGAAAGACACTGAGTACATGATTTTGCAAGACTTCCCTCAGGAAATCATAAAGAGAAGGCGTAAACAAATGCCCAAATTAAAGGAAGCTAAAAAAAGGGGCCAAAAAGTATCCTTTAGTAAATCGGAACCTGATAAACTCTTTATTGATGGCAAGTTCATTTCTGCGTAGGGATTTCATCAACTGTGACCTTTCTTTGTTATGGCAAGGCTGTAAGGTGTTATCGATTGGTTATTGTATATTATAACCAAGCAGCAAAAGCTCTCTGGGAGATACGAAGAATTATTTAATTAATTCCATTCTCAAGGGCAGCGATAAGGATATTTATCTTGCTGCTCTTTTAAGTTTTGTGTTTTTCAGTATTTCGTTGAAATGTAAATTTTTCGTTTTTGCTTTTGTGGATGTTCTGCTTTGTGTTTACTGTTTTTCCAAGCTATTCTGGCGCGTTAATGAGGATATCTTCTTTAAGTTTGAAGGTGCCAAACTGACGCTTAACTTTTCCCACCTAATGAAGTTGTTTTTCCTTTGGGCGAAGAAGGGCGTATTTACGTTAATTTTAGTCTTTTGTCACTAAATGCTCGAGGGATTCGTACTTTTAAAAAGCGGAAAGCAATTTTTAGCTGGCTTTTAAATTCTGGAGCCGAATTTGTTTAGTGCAAGAAACCTACAGTACTCAAGAAGTCGAAAATATCTGGAGAAAACAGTTGAAAGGAAACATTTTCTTTTCGCACGGTAGCAGCCACAGTCGAGGTGTACTTGTACTCGTAAGGGATAACTTAAAGAGGAAGATTTAACTTTTTGGTAACTTCGATAAAGAGGAAGATTTAATTTTTTGATAACTTCGATAAAGAGGAAGATTTAATTTTTTGGTAACTTCGATATTGTAGAAGATTTTCTCCTGTTTCACCATATTTTGCTTCTGTATAAGTTTTATATTTACTCTCGGAAATACCAGAATGATATACTTTCTCTTCAAGGTTTTATAGCCAGTACAAGGCGTATTTACAATATCGAACTCCATATTGCCAGGAAGAGACAAATTAAAGAATCATTTTAGAAAGTGGGAAAAGTTAATAAGCGTTTTTACGAATAAGTGATGTCACGTTTAATTTCTATCATTAGTTTTAAGTGATGTCCTTGTAATTTACATACTAGGTAACTGAAATAGCTTTGTGTGTGTGTTTAGCTTGGTATTCTTCTACTTGTACTATATATATAAGTGTGTGTGTTTTTTTTCTTTCTTAATTTCTATTTTGTATGTATACGTAAGGAATGCTTTAATAAAAATAATTTTAAAAAAATCATCTAAAACTCCTGACTGATGATGATTTCCATTACTTTTTTGTAAAATAATTTTCCCTGTCACTTTTGAGGAGCATTGTATCCTCCTAAGGAATGAGACAGTGTTCTTAAATGTTTGGGCCATGAAGCCTTCTCTTGGATTAATATTTCATAATGATGAATTTAACCCTTTAACTCATATGGGTGACCAAGACAGAATTTCTCCTTACAATATCAATTCAATATCAAACAGACAAGTGATGAGAATAAAGAAAAATATCAATTTGGGGATAATTAGTTGATCCAGCACTAAATTCTCTGAACTAACAGTATAAGAATGGTATGGTTGACAGTAAGGAGAAAGATAAATTTGATCCAGGAGTTAAAGGGTCAATGCAGTGAACAGAAATAGGAAATGATATAGCCAAAACTTATCAATGAAAACTTTATAAGACTATTTTACTTTCATGGGTATATGTTGTGCCCCTCCACTCAAGCTCTGAGAATGAGAGGTATTTGCAAGGGAGGGAGGATGGGTAGATTTGGACAAATGTTAGAGTAAGACTAAATCTTCAGAGTTTGGCTTTGATGGACATTTCATGTGGGTTTGATATGCAAATGTCAGTGTAAATACATTAAAAAATAATCTGTGTTCATCTTTTAATGATGCCTTCCGGTTGAATAAGGTTAATTATATTTTTGTTACAAAAAAAAAAGTAAAGATAACATCATCCATGATTCAAGTAAATACTTTCATCTCTATAGTTCCAAGTATGAAGCATTTGTGTTGATATCCTAGGACTGCAGTTTATTACTGCTTGATGTGAGCAAAAATTAAATTAAATTTAGGCAGTTCAATGGAGGAAATCAATTTATGAAATTGGCATTGATAAAAACCATCACAAGTCAAGAAATTTTACTGTGATCCAATCTTTGTGCTGACTTAAGATTATGATAATTCTCATGTCCATCTACACCCAATGCTGCATTAGTATTTCTAAGAGGGTCCTTTAACTGATCTTACAATTTAATTACTTGTTTTGTGTCTAATTTTGTCCGGTTAGCCTCTCTGGCAGGTTTATGTCTATTGCTCAGAGTTTCCTCCTCAATAAACGTGTTACTTTTTGTAGATGAGCTATTCCACCTCGACGGGATGAGGGAGGTTCTACAAAGAAAACATTGTTTAATATTACAATTAATGGAGTGGTTAATATTTATCAAATATGACTCAAAGCTCCAGTTAAGAAATAACTGCTAGGAGACCACTACAAGCTTACACATAAACTTAATAATTTTAAAGCAGAAAGTAGGATTTCCATTTTCCTGAGCACCAAAGTTGGTGGTAACCTTCCTTTTAAAAGTAGTAAATACTTAAGAACTTCTCTCTAGCTTATACTTCAGCCAGGTCATCACTTTACAGAAAATAAGACTCAAATACTGGAAGGATAACCTAAGCTCCAGAGTTGGTAAAACAACTTACTTGTAAACTTGTACACTTCCATACTCCAAGGTCCCCCTCTCCCATCCACCTTACATGCTCTTGAGGCTCCATACATGTTATATGTCTGGAGAATATCTTTTCCACCCAGACACTGTCCTCCATTTTCAATTGCAAAGGCTGGAAATCCTTGTACTTTTGCTATGGTTGCACACTTCTTAATGGCAAATTTTCTGAATTTGTAATCATTTCCATCCAACATAGGAAATATCCCCTCTAAACTTGGCAGGGCTCTTTCTGGTTGATCCCTCCAACAGCCAATGCTAAAATATCCTGCAACCAGAACCTTACAATTTTAAATTGCTTAAGGTCACATAAAGGCTGTTTGTCAAGTGTTTTTTTGTTTGCTAAAAAGCAATCTGATCAGCCCTCAAACTATCTCAGGTCAATTAAAGACATGCCATAAATTTGTCCAGTTTATAATTTTTCTTGCACCATGCCATTGTAGCCTGATATAGGGGACCTTTAAGGGAACATTTAAATTACTGAGATATTTCAGTGAGAAATGTTGACTTGAAAATGATTTTCAATTGTAATAAAGTTTGGATATAATGCACGCTGTCATTCAATTCAACTCAAGAAGTGGGAAGAATTACACTCAACTACATTTTGTATTTCTCCCTACACTTCCACTTCCTGTGTGCTTTACAACAGAACAGAGCACAGTGAAGGCTTCTCTATTTGTTAAACATACAACGCCTGTGTGATGAAAATCTTCAACATGTGCATTCCAATTGTTTAAAGTCAACTTCAATGAGTAGCTGTTGCTTCTAACACATAGGAACCACTCAGATTACATTTAAGTCCCCAACTACACCCCTTGACACAAATGAAACACAAGAAAAACAAACCAGCACAGTAAAAAATCTCTGGTGTACACTAGAAGTGAAAATTGACTTGAAATGAAACACGAAACCCCTAGTGCCTGATACCAGAGGGTGTGTGTTGGGCAATTTATCCCTTTGAAAATGTGCTTGTCCAAAGGGGGTAAATTAGTATTCAGCAAAAATTATTTAAAGTCATGGTTTATATTAGATATGTATACTTTGTACCCTCTTTGTTTCAATCTATAACTAATTCCTTACCAGGAGCATGTATTTTCTTGGCTAATACACCTTCAAAAGAAAAAAATACTTTTTTTACACAAGGGCAAACAAAACAATAAGTTTAAAAATAAATGACAATTTTGAACCAGGGAGTCACTCTTTTTAGTCAAGTTATTGAATATTCATCATCCATAACAATCCAAACACGTAAATTTTAACATTGAACCTTACAATTTGGTTTTACATTAATCTAGTTATTAGGATATCACTTGGTTGCACAGAGATACAAAATATCTCTTCAAGAGTTGAAAAATATTTTACAAGTGAGTGGAGCTGGTGAAATATTTATCAACAGTAGAAGAGAAATGTTGTATCTCTAAGTGGCCCTGTAATATTCTATTTATTTTATAAACATCAATGAAAAGTCTAACCATTTCACTTTTGTTGTGAAAGGCAATTTGCTTTGTAACCATGGTAACTGTATTTTCATGTGTGAAGATAGAGAATAATACATGTGCCCACATGTGTTAGTTTGTTTATCTACTGTACTAATGAATGAATAAAATAGATCCACAATTCCCCAAAAAAGCCATATATATAAAGTGTGTTGGCAGGAAAGCTCAAGATGAAAAAATGCCTTAAATCATTACAGAAACAATTTATTGGCATAACTATCAATTTACAAAATCATTAGTTATTGAATTTTTCCTTATGAAATTATTTCAGGTACATAGCCAAAAGTGGCAAGTGGCAAATCTTCCAGTTGTTGATTTTTATTCTCAGCCACAAGAAAATTCATAACTAAAGCCACTGAGTGAGTGGCTTCTGAAAAACTTTTGGTTTTTCTTTTCTCATTTTGATTTCCTTCCCCTTCTAGAAAATTTTGAATTTCACTGTCTGTAAGCAAATTTTTCAACGTTTTAACAGCCATAATCTAAGAAAATTGTGACAAAACACTTTTAGGTTGAGAATGCTGAAGGCCTAACCATTTATTCATCAATACAAAAAAGTAAAACAGTACACAAGTATCATATAAGCAGCTGATTGGCTATATCAAACACACCTGAAAAATTAACATATGATTTATCAGGGGCTTTTTCTCATTGTATACATTTAAACATGGTTAATCTTACTTTGTGGCCGTGGTGGCTCGAATTTTCTTGCTCTTGTATTATCAATAGGCTCTAGAAGAAAACAAAATTTCATTTAGACAAGCAGACTTTTTATTTATTTAAGAGGTATCCAAAATGTAACAATTACACATCATATAGCTCAGTGTTGTTTATGATGCATAATAAAGTTTACTTCCATAAAAATACGCTTTAGCTTTTGCACATTAGGCCATTCACAGCATCTTTAAGTCAATTATGTAACATGCTCTTCATGGTTTCTTTAAATAAAGTTCTGTTCCTATACAACAACAAAAAGACATTATGACTTATTTGCATGGCCTTCTCCAACAGCAGCTGCTTTGCACATAAAGTATTGTGTCACTGCAGTAAAGCAAAGGACAAGTTTTAAATGAAAACAAGGTCAAAATAATTATAATGCTTTAAATGTGAAAAATGGTTGGCTAAGATCTGATACCTGGTAGTATTTGGGCAAGGTTGTTGAGCTGAAGAGGATTAAGCAACTGCTGACCTCCAGCCGTTTTTATAAGCTGTGGTTTTACTGGCAAATTGAACTGTGGTGCTAAAATAAAAATTTCATTTACTCTGAGTAAGAAATAGTTTCTAGTTTATCCCTTAAGGATAATTTTAAACCTTGATCTTAAGGTTGCCAAGTGTCATCATCAGAATTCTTCTTTGATTGTATTGAATGTCCATAACTGGCAAGAAAAATCATTCCTAATCAGCTGTGATTATTCAGTTGAGGATAATGACATCATTCAGTTATTGACAAAATGAATCAATTATAGAAAAATCATCTAAAATTCCTGACTGATGATAATTTCCATTACTTTTTTGTAAAATAATTTTCCCAGTCACTTTTGAGGAGCATTGTATCCTCATAAGGAATGAGACAGTGTTCTTAAATGTTTGGGCCATGAAGCCTTCTCTTGGATTAATATATTTCATAATGATGAATTTAATGTAGTGCAATGACCAGAAATAGGAAGTGATATAGTCAAAACTAATCAATGAAAACTTTATAAGACTATTTTACTTTCATGGGTATATGTTTTTATTGAGAAATTCCACACCATTTAGTGGGACTTGATTGTTTTTTGTTTCATTTTTCTATAGTACTTCTGGATGTTTCATGCTTTTGTTTAGCAATCAAGGGCATGAATATCAGTTAGAGCCATTACTACATGCATACCTGTCTTCCCCTTGGGACCTTGAATTAGGTAAGCTAATTAATAGTATTTCTGTCACTTAACCAATACTCTTACAGATCCATACAGGATGTAAATATTAGCCTGCCCTTATAAACTGAGTGAAACTCTGTTTGTCTGGACTTTTGCCAGTCAGTAATGTCTTCAGTGATTGTTTCTTTCCCAAAAACAGAATCTAAATACCCCAAATAGACCAGATCCTTTTAATAGGAGATAAATACAAACATAAATTTCAGTTTGTTGTTAAGATGATTAACCAGCAATGCAGCAGTCATTTGGTTAGTGAAGATCATTTATGCTTTGAATCTTGACTGGGTGAGTAGATAACACTTTATTTAGTTTATTAGTCAATAATGACCTCCTACGAATACCAAGCAACCTGCTGCTGCAACATACAGCAACACCTCAGAAAGAGGTGATACGTAGAGATCTCCAATAAGTGTGATAAACATTTAATGGTCTCTAACTCTAGTTGCTTCCCTTGGATACTCAATGTTGGCTTGCACACTACTGCACTTTTTATTGAGTTATTCAACTGTGTTGGACTCACCTGTAGTTTGGTTTGCTGTGATATCAGCTGCTTCTGTAAGCATAAAAAACAATCCTATAAGAACATGAGATGAGGAAAATTCTTCACTTGATGAGTTCAAAAACAATTTTTTGGCGAAAACATACACATAGCTTAAGATTTTCTGTCATTTTACTTTAAAGGAACTTCAGTAAGTTTTCCCAAAGGAAAAAGCATCATGGTAAATCAGATTTGGGTGTCTTATTTACCGTCTTTCATTTTCAAACAAAGCATTCATCATACTTTATAGTGTTCAGTAGATAATTTTTCTGAGTTAAATGTAACAATTAATTTAAGTGTAACTTTTGAACTTGGATTACAACCTGGAAATATTCCAAAAAGAACTTTTCTCCTTAAATATGAGTCTTTTAAAAGAATGATATACCTGGAATTGTTATTTTCAATCCTGGATTTGATGCTTTTGGTTTACCTGTTGATTGTAAATATTTTTGGAGTGTTAGAGTGGGAGAGGTCATATTAGTCTCAAAACTTGTTAAGTATCACCATACATTTACATATATTAAAGATGAAGTGCCAGTCTGACATCTTGAAATGTACCTAATAAAGACTGTCTTTGTACGCAACAGCCACCAAGTGATTTTGTCAAATAAAGCTATACATACAAACTTGATCATGATTTGTTTTCACCTTTGCAATAGAGACTTCAATTCATTATTTTACCTCCACTGGCTTGGTTTCTTTCTCCATACCATAGATCCTTGTCAATTTATGGTCTAATTAATCTTCATTACAAACATTAAGTAGCCTTGGGGTTAGGGTTAGGATATTAAACAGCTAATAAGGAATAAGAAATTGCCTTTCTCCTTTTTCTTTGAAAGAAAATTTACTTCCATTTCTGCCTGTTTTTCAAGTGCTGTTAGTGAGGGTGTGTCATCTTCCACCGGCTCCTTCTTTTGAGCGGCCTGGGTAGACGGAGAAGCCGGTTTTGGGCTTAGAGGCGAGGCACTAGGTGCAGGAGACGGTTTATTTGACTCGATAAGCGCGAGTAAGTCGGTACCCAGGTCCTCAAGGCTGTTCGACTTGCTGGATTTGTTTCCATCCGCTTCGGGGAATTTGTGAATGAAAATTAATTTTTTGACACCTGAGAATTAACATTAGAGCATCATTAATATTAAGATTGGTATTTTTGTTTTTAGCGGATTGTCCAAAAAATCAAACTTCCAAACCTTTTCTTTTACTCGCTTTAGCAGCTTCAATCTGTAATTCCCTAATGGCCTGTTCGGTCGCCCTCTTTAAATCTTGAAGTGTGGACATCTCCGATTTTTCAGATTCCTCTTCGTCCTCAGAATACTTATACTCAGCCTTGAGTTTCCGTAACTTCGCTCGTAACCTTCTTAATTTCACTTTCAAATCCTGCAAAATTTCATCGAAACCTCAGTCGTGGTGACCAGCAAGCTGTGTCATTCATGACCTGTTCCATTAACCTCATTATCAGCTAAAAAGGGGTGAACCACAAAGACGAAAATTTTGACGAGCCTATTTTTACTTTTCACCTTAAGTTTCTTTTGATGTTCCTTATTGGCCTTTAATTGAACCTTCAAAGCCATTTCTGATGGAGAGTACAAAGCTGTTGAATAGCTTGGTCGCTTAGGCTTGTCACTGGCATGCGCATGCACCGTTTGTCCAGGGACGATAGGTGCGATGGCCAACGGGCGCTGCATGTAATTAGGTAAACTCTGCTCATCAGGTGCATCAGAAGGCTGTGAATCCTCTAACTGCACAGATAGAGACAAAAGATCTCAATATGTTTATGGATATTTAAGCGTTAACAAATGTCCTGGTGGCTTTCATATGTAAAAGCACGCACTTTTTTCGAGATGAAAAATTAGAGGCGATTGTGAAAATGAGTCGCTCAAATACATAGTAATGATTCATAAAGAATGTACTAAAACAGTGGATATCGTCGAAAGCCTACTCTGATTGGCTACTCAAACTCCGAATATTCTTTGCTATTCACCTCCGAGCAACTCACGGGGGACTTGCGCCATCAGAGTCGGTGGCCAGGGGTTAATATTTACCTGGCCGCCTCGCGGCTCGGTGAATGTCCACCTTTAGCCACTTTCACTTAAGTAAATAGTTATTAAATGTACGAGGTGCTTCTACTCGATGAAGGGTTTGTGGCGCTTCACTTTCCCATCCGATTTGTTTAACAGACCTGACATGTATCACAGTTTCGGCGGTTAGAGAGTTTGGCTGAAAATGGTTGTTTTATTTTTGAGGAAAATGCGAACAATTTATATTTTTTGCTATGTTGTAAGGTTTTCTCATTTTGTGGTTTATACGTCCATATTCCTCTCACCTCGGAATTAGTGTCATCCTGGCCACCCATGGCCCCTGCAGCATGCCCCATTCCTCCTATTTTCATCCCGTGTCCCATTGCACCTATTCCCATTCCCATTCCCATCCCATTTCCCATATTACCCATATCACTGCTCATACTATTTCCCATGCTTCCCATTCCTCCCAGTCCTTCGACCCCGTTATCCATCCCGTTTCCCATCCCATTTCCCATCCCGTTTCCCATCCCGTTCCCTCCCATTTTGCTTCCCATTCCGTTCCCCATCCCAAGGTTAAGCCCCAGTGATCCAAGATCAAGGTTTCCCATGTCCCCTCCCATGTTGTCATTGCTGTTGCTCATGCGTCCGCCACCACCAGCCATTCTTCCTCCGCCGCCGCCACCACCTCCCCCACCTCCTCCCCCGCCGGCCATGATTTGCCCCAGGAGCTGCTGCAGGGAACTATCAGACATGCCATTACCACCAAGTTCGTCCATACCAAGATCCATTGCTGTGAATGTACAAGACAATTGGACACTAGCATCACACAAAGTGTTAATCTCATATCAAGTTTGATATAACCCCAAAGCTGTGAGTTTTTAGGCATATGAGTTTAATATCTGTTCTAGGACTTAAAATTGTTTCCTTTTTATCTTCAACGTAGTGGTTTTGTAGTAAGGACTACTTTTTATGTGTTAAATTTATGGACAAAGAAGTATGCCTGTCGTACCTTGGCATTCGTTTATGTAAGATTGTAATAGAGTTCGGATATAACGCGTGCTGTCATTGGTTGAAAGAGCGTGCTCTATGAGAGTTTATATAATAAGCTCAGTTATGCACACATTCAGATTGGTTCTCACTTATGATCTATTGGAGGACAGACGTATAGATGACGTCATCATTAAACTTTTTTTAATTCTTTTTTATATAAAACAAATAGGTTCCAAGTTGCCGTGCATCTGTTCAGTAATAGATCACAGAGGACGTCAAAATGTGGTAAGAACATCAGTGACACACTCGGCTGTGCCTCGTGTGCCACTTTTTTGTTCTTACCACATTTTGACGTCCTTTGTGATCCATTACTGAACAGACGCACGGCAACTTGGAATCTATTTGTTAAATAGAGTTTATAATAAAGTTCGGATATAACGCGCGCTGTCATTGGTTGAAAGGGCGTGCTCTATGAGAGTATAGAACATAGAACTGAGCTAAAGCTGTCACGCCATCTGCCAAGTTATTCTATGTTTGACCTTTTCCGGGACTTCTTTTTAGCTTTTTTCCGATAATTGAAAGTGAAATTTCGGAACAAGTGAGCCGGCAAGTAGCAACGGAAGAACCAAACAAAGGTTTGTAAACATACCAGGCGCCGTAATTTACGTTATTAAAATATGAATATGAAAATCCTTAAAGGAAAAACAAAATAGACATTCCAAGTTTCAAAGATTTTCACGCTCAGTTAGATTGCAAGCTTAAGTACGGTAATAAAAATCAAACACAGCAAACACTCGAATAGTATATAAAGTTCAGAGTTCAAAAACAAAATAGAACAAAACAGAAATGATGAAAAATATAACCAAACTGACATAACTGTTAAAATTCATACTAATCATGACGGTGTCTGAGCAAATATGATCATGCTGAAGTCCATCGCGGCTCTCTTATCATGATGATCTCCGGTCATCACAGTAAAGCAAACCTCAGAAACTACATCGGCCGCCCTTTGAGTGAAAAAATAAGAACTCGCTCTGATATCCTTTCCGATGCGTTGAGTGGAAAGTCACTTCAGTCACTGCAGCCGAGTTTTGCGACGCTGTCATTCCGAGCGATCTTCATGTTCCGGTGAATTCGGCTGTCGTTCATTTAAAAAACACTCGCCTTGAACAGTTTGTTTTCTACCTTGTCATGTGAAAAAACTTGCGTTTTTTATGAGCCATAATTCGGCTGAAGTTTACTGAACATTTCACTTGAGGATTCTGTATTAAAAACTTCAAGCAAAAGCGTTAAATTCGACTTGCCGAACTATTTTAGTTTGTAAACTATCTCAGATTGTGAACTTTAATGGTTTTTGAACTGTGATGGTTTGACACTTTTGACAGCTTTTGTCTTGTATAGCCAATCAGACTATTTGAACCATTCTAACAGGGATTCTGATTGGCCTATTGTAGCGTGCTCTATGAGAGTATAGAGCATGCTGACGACACTGTTGTTCGCTTTGGAAATAAAATTTGTTTTGAAAATTGAAAGTAATTCTTGGGAAATTTAATGGATTCTTCATTATAAAACAAATAGAGAAGCCTTGACTGTGCTCTGTTCTGTTATAAAGCACTTAGGAAGCGGCTAGAGCACTCAAGAAGTGGGACTACGTCTCGTGTTTCTCCCTACACTTCTTTCGTGCTCTAGCCGCTTCCTGCGTGCTTTATAACAGAACAGAGCACAGTCAAAGCTTCTCTATTTGTTAATTATAATAAAGTTCGGATATAACGCGCGCTGTCATTGGTTGAAAGAGCGTGCTCTATGAGAGTATAGAGCATAGAGCTGAGCTAAAGCTGTCACGCCATCTGCCAAATTGTACTATGTTCGACCTTTTCCGGGACTTCTTTTTAGCTTTTTTCCGATAATTGAAAGTGAAATTTCGGAACAAGCGAGCCGGAAAGTAGCAACAGAAGAACCAAACAAAGGTTTGTAAACTTACCAGGCGCCGTAATTTACGTTAATGAAACGTGAGCAGATACGAAAATCCTCAAAGGAAAAACAAAATAGACATTCCGAGTTTTAAAGATTTTCACGCTCAGTTAGTTTGTAAGCTTACGTACGGAAATAAAAATCAAACACAGCTAACACTCGTATAGTATATAAAGTTCAGTGTTCAAATACAAAACTGAACAAAACAGAAATGATGAAAAATATAACCAAACTGGCATAACTGTTAAAATTCATTCTAATCATGACGGTATCTGCGCGAATATGATCATGCTGAAGTCCATCGCGGCTCGCTTATCATGGCGATCTCCGGTCATCACAGTAAAGCAAGCCTCAGAAACTACATCGGCCGCCCCTCGAGTAAAAAAATAAGAGCTTGCTCTGATATCCTTTCCGATGCGTTGAGTGGAAAGTCACATCAGTCACTGCAGCCGAGTTTTGCCGTGCTGTCATCCCGAGCGATCTTCATGTTCAGGTGAATTCGGCTGTCGTTCATTCAAAATACACTCGCCTTGAACATTTTGTTTCCTACCTTGTCATGTGAAAAAACTCGCGCATTTTTATGAGCCATAATTCGGCTGAAGTTCACTGAACATTTCCCTTCAAGATTCTGTATTAGAGACTTAAAAACTTCAGGCAAAAGTGTTAAATTCGACCTGCCGAACTATTTTAGTTTGTAAACTATCGCAGAATGTGAACTTTGATGGTTTTTAAACTTTGATGGTTTGACACTTTTGACAGCTTTAGTCTTGTACAGCCAATCAGATTATTTGAACCATTCTAACAGGGATTCTGATTGGCTTACTTAGGAAGCGGCTAGAGCACTCAAGAAGTAGGGAGAAACACTCGACTACGTCTTGTGTTTCTCCCTGCACTTCTTTCGTGCTCCAGCCGCTTCCTTCGTGCTTTATAACAGAACAGAGGACAGTCAAGGCTTCTCTATTTGTTAAATAGAGCTGAGCTAAAGCTGTCACGCCATCTGCCAAATTGTACTATGTTTGACCTTTTTTGCGGGACTTCTCTCTAGCTTTTTTTCGTTAATTGAAAGTGAAATTTCGGAAAAAGCGAGCCGGAAAGTAGCAACAAAAGAACCAAACAAATGTTTTGAAAAGGCCAGGCGCCGTAACTTACGTTATTAAAACGTGAGCAGAGACGAAAATCCTCAAGGAGAAAACGAAATGGCCAGTCCAAGTTTTAGAGGTTTTCAAGTTTAGTGCGATGGCAAGCTTATGTACGGTAATAGAACCTGACACAGCTAACACTCGTATAGTAAGTAAAGTTTCGTGATCAAGAACAAAACAGAACAAAACAGGAATGATGAAAAATATGACCAAACTGGCATAACTGTTAAAATTCATACTAATCATGCCGATGTCAGAGCGCCTGCGATCACGTTGAGGTCCATCGCGGCTAGCTCATCATGGCGATCTTCGGTCATCGCAGTGAAGCAAGCCTCAGGAACTACATCGGCCGCCCTTCGAGTGAAAAAAATATGAGCTTGCTCTGATATCCTTTCCGATGCGTTGAGTGGAAGGCCTCATCAGTCACTGCAGCCGAGTGTCACGGCGCTATCATCCCGAGCGATCTTTATGTTCCGGTGAATTCGGCTGTCGTTCATTCACAAAACACTCAACTGAACTGTTTGTTTTCTACTTGTCGTGTGAAAACCTTGCGTGTTTTTATGAGCCACAATTCGGCCGAGTTTCACTAAAAATTTCACTTTCAGATTCTGTATTAGAGACTAAAAGACTTCAGGCAGAAGTGTTAATTCGACCTGCCGGCCTTCAAGTTTTTAAACTACTGCAGAATGTGAACTTTGATGGTTTTTTTACTTTGACGGTTTGACATTTCTGACAGCTTTAGTCTTGTACAGCCAATCAGATTGTTTGAACCATTCTAACAGGGATTCTGATTGGCCTATTGTAACATGCTTTAAGAGAGTATAGAGCATGCTGAAGACACTGTTGTTCGCTTTGGAAACAAAGTTTGTTTTGAAAACTGAAAGTAATGCTTGGGAGTTTGCTTGAGGAATTTAACTTTTTTTTTTTATTATAAAACAAATAGAGAAGCCTTGACTGTGCGCTTTTCTGTTTTAAAGCACTTAGGAAGCGGCTAGAGCACTCAAGAAGTGGGGAGAAACAATCGACTACGTCTCGTGTTTCTCCTTACATTTCTTTCGTTTTCTAGCCGCTTCCTGCGTGCTTTACAACAGAATAGAGCACAGTCAAGGCTTCTCTATTTATCAAAAATATCATCTTTTATTAGTCTTAGTTAGGACAACAATTGGTCATTCCTCAGTTCAAGCTGTGTTCAAGTAAGCTAAATGTCGATAAACTAATATAGTAATTATAACGCGCTTGCACCTGGGCTTTTCCTTTATATGCCCTTAGTTCAATCAGTTTTTAACTAAAAATTTATGAGAGAACCAACTCCCTTCTATGAATATCTTAGAATTATGCCTGATATATTCATAACTTACCACCAATTCCCTGCCTCCCTCCGGCACCCATGTTAAGCTTCTCTTCAAGAGAGTTCAATAAATTTTCACTTCCGTCTCCGAGCTGTTGGCTTTGTGAGAGTTCCCCTGGTAGTGAGTTAAAATTATCTAAACCAGTTGAGGCTGTGTTTCCTGTATTTCCCAACATGTCCAAACCGTTATTTTGGTAGGAGCTGAGCGAGTTCATTGAGCTCAAGTCTGATACCCCTCCTGTTTCCCCTAAGTTTGACAGAAGGGAGTTGACTCCACCGGCTTGTGGTGAAGACAAAGAGTTTAGGGAAGTGGATGACAGATCACTTAATGCTGTTTGACTTTGCCCATTGCTTGTTGTAGCGCCACCGTAGTTTGAGCCAAAGTTGTGTCTAGGGTCCAAGACTGCATTTGAACCCAAAACGTTTGCGCCACCCGTCCCGTAACCAGTAGCCAGCAATGTGCCGAGGCCGGCACCATAGTCGTTGGAATAACTTGCACTTAGACCCGTTCCATACGCAGCTGTCCCGAGTCTCGTATTAAGACCGGTGTCATAACTGTCCGTTGTTGTGCCTGTTAGGCCTACTCCTAAACCGTTTCCCAAACCCAACCCTCCCCAGTTTGCTACAATAAATTGTTTCTTCTTTTTGTGTTCTCCCCGACTCCTTGTCCATCGCGGACTTGCCAAAGTTGCTTTTTTGACCGTAGATCTGTCTCTGAGAGAGTCTTGTACACCTCTCGTGCTCGGTAGACTTTTCGTCGTCAACGAAGATCTTGTCAGTTTTTTTGATGAGTTTTTTTGCGCCCAATGAGAATTGTTGGGTGGTTCCCTTTCTCTTTGAATTTTTTTGTTCGTTCGGGAATCAGCTCCTCTTGAAAGACTTAGAAAATTAGCATTCCTTCTGTATGAGTTATATTGAGACCTTGAGAAATATTGATCACTCCAGTCGTTGTTCCTCGCATTAGTTCTTGGTGCATAAAAATTATATGGGTTTGTCTCTGATAGTTTTTTGTCCCTTAGAGTTTGGTGGTGTGTTCTACTTCTGAATGATCCTTTAGGAACTTGCAAAAGCGCTACAATAATTAAACATTTACTCGTAAGGTTTTTTCACAATTTTGAGGCTTAAAGATTTACAAAAATCATCTGGCCACTGAAACTGACTGCAAAAGTTGTTGGTTGTTCCCTCTTGCTTAGTGTTTTCAGGGCCATTTTGTTTATTTTTCCTGTTCGCTTACAAAAAACAAACAAACAAACAAACAAAAATGAAACAGAAGTAAAAATAAGTATAACGAAAAAAATATTTTGGTTAATTCCCCGGAAGAAACTCTCTGTTATTACCTGATCTTGTTAAAGGCCATTCCACCAGTAAAATGGACAATAAGGCCAGTAAATTATTCATTACAGGCTTTGATTTCTTCTAGTCTTTTCACATGGCTTTTGTCCTGGAAAAATAACTAGGAATTTACCGTCTATATAAATAATACAAACAAATGTTTTCGAGTTTACCCAGCTCATTCATATCTTAAAGTTATATATACTGCTAGCTATATGCCTGCCACCTTCCGGGTGCTAACAACGGCTGCAGGTTTTCTCTATATTGTGTCAACAAGTACAAGTTTAACTGGTGATCATTTTCAGGATTTGTAACTACACTGAGTAAGTCGCATTCCAGTTTAGGATTGACAAACTGTTAAAAGAACTAGCAACTTGTAAGCAATTCTGTTGATATGGAACATGTTTTAGTAAATGAGAAGTGAACTTAGTCGTGTAAAATACCGGAAATAAAACCCTACACAATGCCAAAGAGAAAAATAACGATGGTCATTTGTAATTCTCCGACTAAACACTGTTCTAACCTCGTGGCGTTTTGGTCCTTGACATTTTCCGCACCGGCTTTACACCAAATCACACCTTGATCATACCTGTTTCCAACTGAGCGAATGGTTCAACACTATTTTCAAACGTGTTCTGTTACTTTGCGAACCGTTTCTCTTTTGCATTCTTCAAAATATGCACAAATAAGCGTTTAAAATAAAAACAGGCCAAATCCTGAAACAAACGTGCATCTAGAAGACAATATCACTAGGTTTGAGATTCGCTCCATTTTGCCAGTTATTTACAACGGAAACTCAGGGTTATATGTATCATCAAGGAAGAAGAACCAGAAGTATTTTTCCATCAGTTGGTCGGTTGTAAAATAGTATAAGAGTTAATTTACTTAAGATTGAGGTAAAAGAGATTTGGAGATAAACCGCTTTTAAAACCGTAAAGTAACATTCTGTTGATAATTATGACATTTTTCTTGTGCTGTATATTTCGTAATTAGTAATCACTAACTAGGTCTTTTAATCGAAACCATTTGTCAAAAAAAGTTACGATTGCAAATATTTCCGCGAACCATTCATACAAATTTAAAATTAACTTACCATTTGCAAGTAGTTACTAGACTAAACATTTCATTCGATATTCCTCCATTATCTTTCACGACTCGCCAGGCTGACGATACGACAAATTATGGACCCTGACAGAGACTGCCAAATTTGGACACGAAAAATTATCTGATCCTTGATTTCATGAATTACCTCAGTGATAGAAGGACAGGAAAATAGCTAGGCGGTACTAAAATTGTGGATTACTTTGTTAAATGGAAAATTTTGGGGCAAGCCTTGAGCGGTTCTTCCCCCGAGAGAAAGAAGAAGTGATAAAACTTTTCAAGAGACACCGGCTTGTACCAGTTATGACCGGTGGTTTTCCCCGCATGACTTGAGCTAGAGCCGCCTCGACGGCAGAAACACGAGACATTACCTTGCTAATAATTAGGAAAAAATATTTCCATTTTCCTTACTTTTTTGTTTCTTTTTCTTTTCTTAACATCTTTTATTCTGGTTACAGCTTTTTGTCTGTAAACATCCGTTCCTTAAAAAATCAAACAGGGCAATGTTTTTAAACAGGTCGTTAGCATGAGTATGGCCACCAGTGACAATATTGACTGTGCTTTGACCTTCTTTTGTAGGACGCACTTAACAAAGAAAAGTATCCCGGCTTACATTGGCTCTGAGAGTGATAAAGTGACCTACTTGTTTATCATACTCAGCTAAGGAGACAGTCACTTCGGGTTAGTCTTTGGCAAACTTTGCATGTCCGCCTTAATGTTCTTTTCGCCGAAACTTGTCTTGCACGTTTCTAAAGGTCGATGGAACATTAAATAGTCGTCTCGCTCAGAGATTTTATAGTTTTTTTAGGGTAACCCCTTTCGTTCAATGTCTAATTCTGCTTAAAAATATACTTTGCAACTGTTTGTGTTAAAAGAAATTCTGAGAATTTTAGTACATTTAAATGTAGGTTTGTTGCAAAAAAAGAGTCAATCTATTAATCTATTAATCTGTAGGGTTATGAGTCAGTATGTAGTGTTCTAGACAGACTACTAAGGGAAGGAATCGAGCAGGAAAAAAGACAAGTAAGCACAACTGAAGTGATTTTTGTGGACTTCAATCCATCATCAATATTCTTATTTCTTCAAAGTGTAGTCAACATCAGGCTTTTCAAGTAGCACAGTTTTTTAAATTTATTTTTCCTATTATTATTTGATCTTATAATGATTATATTGATTATGACCAAGAATCAGTCATTGTACCGTTTGGCTTTCCCACTCATAGTCTGTCATTACTATGTTCCTAATACGATGTAAGTAGCCTTGATATTTTAGCAAAGCCGAGCCTTCATCTATATTACTGGCATTAGAATTCATATATAGTATCCCTCCGTCACAACACGTGTTTAGCCTTTCCTGATCGCCTGATTTGGAAACAAAGGTTTCAGTCGCTACCTTTCTTCCGTTGGCCAACTATTGTACCCGTCGTCGTCCTCGTCGACATCCGGGAACTCATCACCTGCATGGCTTGCAGGGAATGGTATAGACTCATCTGCGTCCACCTCTCTTCCAATGTCTTCAATCTGTTGACTTTGTTGAGTTGTGTCTCGTTGTATTTCATCTCCTAAGTTGGCCACCTCTCTGCTTTGCTGACTGATCCGCGAGCTCAGTTCGTCACCAAAAGTTTCGGTTTGATGGGATAAATAGTTCACGCCACGTCCCCCCGGAAGCGCTAACGGAAGTGGCACATAAAAGGGATCTCCCATTTCGTACTCAGTTGGACGGGAATCAACTTTGATAAAAAAATTAAGTTTATTGGTCTTTACGTCCGATGGCACTTAAACTGACCTCTACCACAAGAGATTTGGCTGACTAACTAATTAATAACCTGTAGCTCGTCGCGAAGCAAATTCAGTTTTACCATCTTGGATCACAGATTTCGATATTCGGGAAATTCTCCCTTCAAAAACTTTGAAAACTCAGCCCGCTCATTCTCCGCAGCTCGTATACAGTTTCACGTATGATTTTTATGGCATGTTATCACGCCTTTTAAAAATTATGGTTTTTGCTGTGATTTAACAACCAAGGACATTGCACATTGCTCATAAAAGTTTAACCTCACGTTTGGGTTGAAAATTGCCGTCTTTAAATCAACTTAATATGACTGTTAGGTTGGCATATGTTACCTTTTGTTTTCACATGTCTGAGATCCACAAATAAACGAAACTTACCTGGATTCAAGCAAAGACAAAATGACGCCAGAAACAAAAACATTGTCGTCAATCATTGCAATGCTTTACATATAAGTTATCTATAACCTGGACGTCAGGGAAGATATTAACCAGTTATCCACCTGTGACACGCCCGACTGGTTTTTTAAGGTTCCTTTTTAGAAAAAAAATCATTTTTATTGGAAAGAATATTACTCCTAATGGTATCGCTAGATGTCTACATGCACACAATATCGATTTTGCTACAAAAATTTAGTCACCAAACGCTTTCCAAACCGATGTCCAAGATTAGAAAATAACAATTTTTGTACATCACGCCTGTTAAACGCGCCCTTCATTGACAAAGATCCGCAAAGAATCCTAAAATATTTGTGTTTCTACTGACTGTGACAAAGCTTTAAACCACAATATCGTTATAAGACGCTTGAGCATTAATTACAAAGTTAGGAAGTTCTTTTCCATATCATTTTGCCTCTGTTACACAGGTTAGCGCTTTGTTTCACAGTCTACACTCGAGCATTTGATGATTAATAACGTTTGACTATACACAAAAGAAACGAGAATTACTGGTTCTTTTGCAGTCTCCAATTCTACAGTACCGCTAATACGAATACTTTGTCCGCCTTTGTGCGACCGGTGAATATTTCCTGTTCAAGAAAGATTTTTCATCAGCAAGGCCCTATTGCAACGCTTACATGGTTTTTCTTTGCGTGATTTAAGAGATTTCATGCTAGCTGCGGTCTTTGCTTGCTGTGAGTTCAGTTTATGACTTACTCTTTGCCCTGCAACATCTATTTTTACTCTATTAGATCTGCTAGTAACGAGTTGCTTTTGCTTGACTACTTTGTCGAATTTCCTCGCGTATTTTCTTCTCGCATCATTTTCTTTCACTTGATGACTTCGGATTAAAACCAAGTGCCCTGTGTCGCTGTCAAAATCATTGTTGTGGTACATGGTAGTCCGCTGGGTGGCCTTCTCATCTAGCAGCGGCTTAGAAAGTAAACTTGCGTCATCAAAATCTCTCTGTCCTGTCCTAAGCACTGAAGCAGTTTCACCTATTCCTTCTATAATGTTGGTTGATTCCCCTTCGTCCCTAAATTTCCCTTTATTTTTCTGAAGCAGCTCCTCGGCAAGCGCCGTACCAAGGCCTTCTGAGGGTCCTGGAGGCGTGTCTAAGGGTGGACTCGCAACACCACTCTGGGTGAGAAACTTCTGATTGCCATTAAAGAAAACCTTTTCCTCCTCCCCCTGAGGTATAACACCATTTTCCTTTAAAGATTCTAGTTTATTTAAGAGACCCCGATTTTGGCCACCCAGAAAGTTAGAGTGGTGTCTTATGCTTCCCATGTCACCTCCGTCAAGTAATTCGTGTGATCTGCCAATAAAACGACTCTCTGAGTTAAGAAGATCATCTTGGGTATTTCTAGGTTCAGGAACAGCAACACTTTTGCCATCTAAACTTTCGTAACCATTGGCGTTCTTTGCCTCTGTTTTTGGATTCCACCAGCTTTTGTCGGTAAATGGAGTATTCTCGTAATCATTTTGACGTTGATCTCCTCCGGCCATGTCACCATAAGATCCATACGAATTCGTGCCCCATTCGTTGGTCATATGGTGCTGCCTTGTCGCACCTTCGTTCACTAAATCAGAAATTCCCTCATTATAGCCATCTCTTTCGCTGGTTTTTTGCCCCTTATAAGCCTTTACTCCCGGGAACAGGACAGGATCCTCGGGATAAATGGTGGATGGATAAGACGAGGAAGACATCGGCTTATAATACTTGTGCCACTGGGTACTGCTTTGGATAAAAGAAACCTGGGCTGGTGACATGGTGTCCACTCTGAGGCCACCTATCTCTTTGGAAGGAGGCTTGTTGAAGAATTTATTGGCTTCATATCTCTCTGGACTGACCAAGTTCTGTAAGCTGTACTCTGCTCGATCAATTCTGTTGGTATCCTCACCAAGGAGTTCCTCCTTCTTAGCGACATGGACTCTCTTAGGCAAACTGTGTCCTTCTGTTTTGCTGCCGTCTGATAGGTACAAAAACATTTGTGCAATCTAAGATACAAACCACCAAACTTTTCTTTATTTTGAACCGATTCGATTACTAGGGAGGTACCCAGAATGTTATGATACGTTGTCAGCATGCTTTAGTCATACTTAATGTTCTCAGTCATTTCGGTTGCTGAATAATTCGTAAAAATGAGCTTTTAAGTTTAGTCATGATTGGCTCATTCGTGAGAATTTTTTTTGTTTAACGTGGAACTCGAATAATCTTTCCTCATATAAATAATTGTCGTGTCACATAGAAACGTCGCCGGCTGAAATCGAAAATCACAGATTGTGTCATTTCCATCGGTAACAATGAAGCTGCCATAATTTGTTTCCAAAGTTTCTTACACAATACTACATCCACCTTATAGACAGAGGCAGACCAGAAAATATTTATTATGAGACCATTACGCCCCTTAAATTACAAACACGCCCACACTTCGTACATTTCTTAATTCTGATCAATTTGTTTTCGTTTTGTATCACCTTGTATTGGGAGCGATACTAAGGACGTGTTGACCCCTTCAATATTTTTTGCATATTTACTTTTCACAAAGGGGACTGATGACATGGAAATCCGACAGATTTTTTTTACTTAAAGGAAAAAAACATGTACAAATTCAATGTTTATCATATGGAAAACCGAAAGAGCTAGTACATCTTGAGGGTTTAAGGAAGAACGTGATTACTGAAATGTTGTTAGACGTACTTAACATTGTCAAACAGCAATATATTTCACAGTTTAGCCTACTTACCATGTCTGGAATAAATTGGGACAGTTAATCGTTGAAGTAGTAACACCAATAACAGGTAATGCATCGTATAGGAAAATATCGTTAACCGAGGGGTTGCATTTATTAAGTTAAGCAACCCGGTATTTTCAACGGGTGTCTTGAACATTTTTACCGTGAAACATTAATATTAAAACCTTTATGACGTCACATGATATATTTTGTTTCGACTAGGCAGGTTTGTTGTGGTTATTGATAGCTTTTTTGTGTTTATGGCTTTACTTTTAAACCCTTTATTAGCTCTCTGAAGAATCATTGCCACTCATTAAAAAAAATGGTCGAGTATTTTTTTTACTTATGACATCAGTGCGTAACCCTAAGCAATTCGGGGAGGCTCTGTGGAAAGGAAGCAGGTGCCTCGTTTCGCTTCTTAACTCGTTTGGCTACAGGAATTATTTGCTTCCATGTAAAACAATTCCCCTCTTAGAAAACATTTTGACCAATAATTTTTAATGGTATATGCCATGATGGGTTAAAATAAATATCTCTGCTAATCATAACATTATTCTTACCATTAAGTACATAAAAACTATGGTATTTGTTGGATCCGCTTGTTCTATAAAATTATTTTGCATGTTTTTCCTTTTGCGAAACGCTAATTTTAAACGTTAATTCAAGCTTTATTTACAACAGGGACCAACAAGAGCTACCATGTCGTTGCCGCTTTTACGGTCATTTTCTATGGAATATGGTCACGTGATCATTTCGAATTACATCATTTACATCTATTGAGTGTTGGCCTTCTCCGTCCCATAGGACTCTTTTCCGTAGAAGAACTAAATGTTCGAAATGCTTTGAACTAACAATGGCAAGTAATAACCATGAGCAGTAATGGTGTCCAGAACCCGATGGACTGGCGGATTGTTTATTCTTTTGGCAGCCCTAACAGGTCTGTGTTGTGAATCTTGAATGTCATCGTCACGGAAAATTATTTAAGAGTTGCTTGTGCCTGTCGTTTCAGACACAACACGCAGGCGGGCTCCGATTACTCAATTTATAAATTTATTTTTTTGATAGGAGAAATTTTATTCTGCCATCTCGCTCAAATTAAGGGGAAAATAAGTATTGAAATTAAAAAACAGTATCATATGCGAATCGTTGCCTTAACCAGGTTGAATGCCAAAGGAAATTATTTCTATTAATAACTTCCATTGCATGACGGCATTTTGTTCATTTACCTCAAACTTAACAGCAACTTGACAATATTTACCTGATATGCTTGGAAGGAAATTACTCGCTTGCTTTCGGAACCAATTGACTCCTCATTTGTTCCTCAAGTCATAGCACTTAATACAAACAAAACTCTGAAGTGGGCGTGACGAGCGCTAAATTGTTGACATTTAGGGCCAGCGATCTCGCTTAACCACCAACATCAAGAAATAATAACAGCTATGGATAGAATTGGATGAAAAACTCGGTATTTGTTGAAAGAGTGCAGTGGTTGTTAATTATTACAATTGAGCAAATACGCGAGGCTTCAACGGGGGGATTAGAATGAAAACACGCTGGCCTTCGAGGTGTCTGGCCATTTTTGTGAGCTTGATGTTTACTGAATTGGCTTGCAATGTTGTACTATGTGGCTAATTTTTATTTGGTCTGCTCACTCTAGCAACTGCCTTACAGGATGCACCACCACGTGCAAGAACAGTCCATAGCCACAAAAACCTTGCAGACAAAAAATCCCGCAAACGGCAGGAAATTATATTTCTCCGAGATGACCTAACACACAAGAGGAACCGGGAAGAAGATATTATGGCAAACATAGAAAAACATGGAAAAAGTTTGACCGCCGAGGGCAATGTCTTCAAAGGAAGTCCAACTACATATAATTATGACGATTCCTCAGTTTATCAAGGACCTGTGCTGAAGGGGCAATCTGTTAAGAAATACAATGGACCACCTGAAATCCAAGAGAATCAGAAGAAAAGCGATGCTTACGAGGTTGTGTCCGAAAATGGTGATAGTAAAAACACTAACTCAGTCAGCGACGAAGGAGATCAGGAAGAAAAAGTGGTGAAAGTGGGACATCCCAATGTCAGAGCACATGGTAATGACAGACATTTATCCAATTTCAGAGGACATCACAGATCCGGACTTCACATTGTTTCTCTAGATGATAACGATGAAACTAATGATAAAGGTTATGACGAAAAGATATTGCGAGATAAAGATTTGAGACTTTACGGTTCTATTGGATCGCCTTCTGTAGAGCATGAATCGCGCAGAATGCATCATTCGATTTATCATGATGATTTTCTTCCTCCAAGTGTTGTGTCGTTCTCCCAAGATGATTTCTCTGGCCCCCTGTTTAGAGGTGCTGGTCACTCCATCGACGAATTTTTCCCAAATTTTAAAAGACGAGATTCTTTATTGTTTTCTCGACCTTCTCAATTACGGAAATCGGAGGAGATAATGCAGCAACAGTTTCTACCCGTGAACCCGAAATCGGTATCATTTGGTGAACAACCGAATATGGTTTTGCTGCCAATGTATAGTGGTTATACAGGTACAAGTCCCACGGTTATTCCCTTCACCACTCAGGAAACATTTCCCTCTTCTATGTCTCAGCTAGGATCTGCTCCCATCGAATATTCGCCTTCAACGCCAACGGCAAATTTTCGTAACGTTTTGGAGCCGGCCTTTCAGGTTCCTCAAGTCCAAACGCCGTCTGTCAACCCGTCGTATATTCTTCCATCGGAGCCGGAAGAACAGATTTTGTTTAACAATCAGCAGCCCGATGTACGATCGCTTTACTCTCTTCAGGCTCAGCCACAAATGCAAATTCCCCAGACCAACTTTCCACATTTGGACCAACCTCAACAACCAATGATTCCAAGTGAAATGCAAGTGCCTTCTGCTATTGTTTCCCCAGTTGGTCAACGAGAGATCGGCCCAGCCCATCGGTGGGTAGACGAAGACGGACGCCAACGCAGTGAGGTCTTGGATCGTGACACGGAAGGACAGGACGAGAACAGGTCCCATGATGACAGAACCGAGGGTGATGAGGATGAGGAAGATGGTGACAGACACCAATATAGCAGATACTACGACAAAGGTTACGACCCCAGTCCAGACGAAGGTGATGATGACGGGGCTCAAGAGAATCTTTCAGAGGAAGATTCCGAAGACGCAGATGAAGGTGACGAGGAGACGTCTAACTACACCACTGACAAAATTTATGGGTCAAAAGATACAGGGGACGAACGTGGTCCAGATCCTGAACCTACTGAAGAAAACAACGACGACGACGACGACGAAGACGAAGACCCAGAACCTCCCCGAGGCTTATCGCCACAAGCAAGAATGCGACCATCCAATTATAATCCAATGGCTCGTTTTATGGCGTCAAGTCGCCCTTTTCCCAAATTTCCTCTCCCTCTTAATACGGAAACGTCAAATCCTATGGCTGCTCAAGCATTTTCAAGGTATCAGTTGATGTCTCCTTCCTCTGCCCTCAAGGAGAATATCTTACCTAAACCTGTGGAGAACCAAAAACCCTCTCCAAACGTTCTCAAAGCTAAGTCAGACCTAAAAATCTCTCAGATGAGCCCTGCTGAAGCTCAGTTTTATGAAAACAAGGTAGCAATGGAACCAAACTTTACACCAGCTATAGCTTCAAAAGACACCATTCCTGGAAAATCTCGTCACTTTCGAGTTGGGCTTGGTAAAGTGCTTATCCGACTGAACGGTAAACCTTTGGAGGACTCCTCTCAATTGCGAAGTAAAATAGAAAACGGAGAGATCATACAAGGAAAAGGAAAACTCATCAAATCAAAAGGTCCAGTGCAAGTTAAACTTTCTCACACAAAGGATTCAAAGCACTTGAAGATAATAGACATCATAGCTCCAAAACAGTTTCAGGTGTATGATACCAAAAGTAAGATCAGAAGACCTGTTAATTCCAGATAATCTAACGGTGATCCAATTTCTTTGCCAAGGAAAATCCGATAAACGTCTCGAGATGTAATGAAAAATCTTATTTATCACCAAATAATATACAATGTATGTAGTATGAAATATGTACACATCGCAGCCCAGTAACAAAACCCAAAGCTGAATCTACTATTCATTATCCGTAAAGCAATGCGAGCCAGCGCAACCTTTGTGCAACCGATTTGAAACAGAGTATCAACAATTGAACGTGAATGTGAAAAAATGTCGTTTTTGACCAAGTCGTATTATTGCTTCACTTGTCAATGTTCATCCCTCTTCTGCAGTATGCTCTGTTTGGTTCAAGGTGCAATCTCTCACAATTAAAGTTTTTCCCCCTTTTCTTAATTAACAGTGAAACGTTAATTTTAAACGTTAAGTGTGGTGCAGGAGTATACCGTGCTCGATATTTTAATTTCACATCATGTTATGTTGTTATGCTTTAAGCAATTCGTGTTACGTTTGAAAGGGGTAGACAACCAGCGTAAAAGCAGTTGTATGTATGGTTAACTCTACGAATTTTTGTCATGAGAAACCAAACTTTATTAGTTACACAATAGCATACCTTTGCAAACAATTAACAAGCGTGTTAATCCATCGATTATTTTTCAAAAGTTTTCGCTTAGGCGCGTGATTGGTTTCAAAGTATCACATGACTAACAATACCCCAGCTAATACTGGGGTTTATGATCCAACTGCTTAAAGTAGAGTTGGATAACAAAGAGTACCAATAACGCGTGAATAGGGTACAAACATCTTGCGATATTGTACTTGTACTGTACATTAGTATTTTAATAAAACCTGTTTAACCGGTCGGTTGCGCGCTCACGCTTCTCTTCCTTCTTTGCTTCTCCTGCCTTATGAGAAATGAGCAGATGTGAAGCAGTTGGATAAAGAACTTTTTAGACCTTTGGTGTGTAGAATTGCTTGGTATTTTCACTCTTTGTTTGTATTTTGTTTGTATAATATTTGTATTATTATCATACATCATAATATGATGTATGAGCATATCATACTTTATATCACCGATTCCTCGAGCGTATTGGAGGGCATTTTATATTTTTTGGGCCCCTATTTCAAAAGGATACTCTGTTCTTGCTTGTGACCAGTAATATGATAATTTTTGAAGCAGGAGGTAACATTCTTCGTCAATGCAAACCTAAGGTACATCAGATTGCTTAACTACTCTGTGTTTTAGAAAATTAATTATCACGTTTCATTCACCTGCAACAATGGTTTTACCAATCTGTGAGCTGATTCGTTGTTATATTGTTGCTGATATTACGAAGGCTACCATGGACGTTTACTTTTTCAGTAAAAGAAATATTTCAATCAGAGGCTACGTTGCTGACGGAAATACGTCACGTTTCGAGAGCACATGTAGCGTTATCGTTGTCTAGCTTCCTCCCTTAGAACATGCGAGAAATAACGCTTTCTCCTGATGAATTCGGTCTTTAAACATGGTACCCGGCTGCTTCTAATGACTATGATGAGATAATTGACTTAGACATCTTTCTTCACGGAAGCAACATCGCACCAGACGTCTTCTCAATCACCGGCTGCGCTTTCTGAAACCGGAGTTCTTACTTATTAAGACATGGTACGGTCTACGGCGATTATTTGGTCATTTCCTTCAAAATTTATCACTTTTTTATTTATATAAACTTAATGAGTCTTAAATAACCACCGCACCTGAGTTGGTTTTTTAAATTTTCCCCTTTTGTCTCCGCATAAGGTAAACTGACACCTGGATTAGGTCACATTTAGAGCGCAGTATTAGCATTATGAATAATTAACATCTAGCTGGTTTTTAACCAATTGCAGCTTCCTTCGCTGACAAGCAAAACTTTCCTTCGTCCTCATAATAGATGGCGTACTTCTTATGAAGGTTTCCCCTCCCAGATGGGCGGGTAAACAGTCGCGAAATAAGGCAAAAAATAGACATTTGACAGACTTAAAATCAAAGAAGAGCTACTGCCTGTGGCTGCTGTATTAACAAAGTTAACTATGGCCAGATTTTTGGGTTTACTACTTGTATCAGTTGTTCTGTGGATGGAAATGTCAGGTAATGTTTTCGCTGTCGATTCGTATCTGTCGCGGATTATCTCTGTGAACGTTCTTTTAAACCTATTTACTTTAGTAAAAGGACTTCCTCGTGAAGCGAGGACGTTTTAGAGGACAAAATTTAGATTAGCGCGAAAGGTTTCAGCTTTTGAAACGATTTTCTTCTTTCAGCTCTAATTTTATTTTTAAGATCCAGCGTAGAATAACAGAGGCAGTGAATCATCTGAATTTAGGGTTTCGTGCTTATCGCTTAAATTCACGAGAACGCCTTACAACTTTACCATTTAGTGGTTTTTCTGAACACAACCTGTCTGAGTAAATCCTGACTTGATAGCAGGGTGTTTATTGTAGCCATAGAACGGCGGGTGGAGTTCAGTGGTCTTTGATTGGCAAGCTGTGATTGTCACGCGCCTCTCGATGATGAATATACACTGTTTTTAATTATAAGTCTGCGGCATAACAAAGAAAGGATGCTAAAATCTTATTAAATATAATTTGGCATATCATTGTGCTTTTCAGGTTTGTAGTAATGCTGTTATTTAGCTTTGGTTTGTAGCAAGGGGTGCCTACATATTATTTTGCTTCGTTTAAGATTAACGTTTAAAATCGATATTCTTTGATTTGAATGGTATGAATTTTATTGGTATTTCTTTAAAGCAAAAACTCTGGGTTGCACTTATATCAGAATTTCAGCAATTGGCCGCAAAGTTCCCACAAACGCAGTTCAGTTTGTGGAGGGAAAGCTTTCATGCTTGCACAGAAAAGAAAGAAAACATTTAAGTGGTTTTCCCGGCACTTACAACCTATTTTGATACGCGCGGCTTTCGTGAGCCCATCAAGCAAATGAAAAAAGTTCATAAAAATCTTCAAATAAATCAACGTAATCTGTCGCTAAAACCTTCCCTTTGAACACAGATACAGTATACTGGTGTGTGGAGAGAGCGGAGTCTTTCAGCTTTTCAACCCTGACTCAGGCATCTGATATACCTTGTTTGAGATTTTACGATTTAACATAACATTATTAAAACTTCTTTTCTTTTTAAAGCTGATGAAGTAGAAAATAAAGCGGACAACATGGCCAAAGCTATTGAACAACAAAACAAAAAAGTTGAAGAGGAAAGCGAAGCCATGGAGAAAGCGATTGATAACAAAGGAAAACTTGTTGATGCCAAGGAGGAGGAAGATAAATTTGAAAAAGCCAGTGAAAAGATGGCTGCTGTGGGAGATGCCGCCGAGAAGAAACTAGATCAGAAAGGTATAAAATGCAGGAAAGTGTAATCAATGAACTTACTTGTTTGTGTAGAGAAAGTACTGTACAGCTTGTACAACAGTCAGCTTTTTAGGTGGTGTGCGCCAGACCAGGTATTAGTTTTCCTTCTCTTTTAAATGATTGAACAAATTGGCCATCGAACCTGTTGTTATCGTAGAAGAAAACTGTTTATTATGATATATTTAAAAAGTCTCCATCTTTTTCCTTCCTTAATTTTGACTCTTCGTTACTACAGCTAATTTAGTTGAAAAAATTGCCGATGACACAAACACAGCAATTGAAAACCAAAGGAGGAAGGTAGAAGAGCTAGCTTCTGGAGCAGACCTCGCTGAAGATCGTGCAAGCAAACTGGTGGAGAAAATTGGTTAGTTGTTTGTTAATGTGTGAGAAGCGAGATGTGACCTTTATGAAATAATATCCTTAAAGGCCGCGTGGTTTGGCTATTCTACCATTTTACTCAGTCTTCTGTCTTCCTCTATTTTACTTGGACACGACCGTCCTTGACTTCTCAGTAAACGGAAAACGATTTGCAACATGACATTTAACTCACGTGAACATAGACGAAACAACGATTACAATGACAGGCATTTTACTGAAAACAACAATCAATCACACCAAAGCATTTGTGACACTTGTAATTATTGAAACAAATCTCCTATTTCGAACAAAAAGAATTATCGGCTCATATTTTAATTTTATGATCCGTCAAATGCCTCATTTGAGGCATTTAGTCTAGGCATGATTATATCTGCATTGCTATTTCGGCCAGCTTACCTACTGCATTTTGAAATGTATTTCTTCTTTGAAATATGTTTTTTGCGTGAAATTTCGAATATACCAATGAAACTGGCTTCGTATAGTAATACCTTCACCAGGTAGGATTTATGGTAATGAGCTTTGAACTACATTTACTCACGAGTTTCAAAATAATCTTCAACAATTGTGTGATCTACAAACCCTAAACCCCATCAACAGCTTTTTTCGGGCTTTCAACCGTGCTACTTACATATCTGTCGCTCTCACCATTTTCATTACCGGCCGTCGGTTGTTTCCTTCATTTTCGTTCATTTAGAGGTTTGTTGGCAGTTTCCTTTTTGCAGACAGCTGCATTTAAATAGCATTTGACGGAAAAATTAAATTACAACGAGTGGAATATATTGCCAGATAGTCGGGGAGTTTTTTTGTAATATCCTGGAGTCTAGCTGGTCTTTCCTAAGCTTTATCTTTGGCACAGATACCGACTAGTTTTGAAGGAGTTCGGCACACTCTTGTCAATAAGCCCTTGATATTAATTGGTCAATTCCTTTTTCATTTTTTTTTTTGAAAAAATAATCAAATTTGAATCAAGGCACATGCACGTGGCTAATCCGTTTGATTTTAAAGTGCACTTCAAATTCATCGCTCACTTTTGATCCATGAATGTGCTTCTCAGAATATATTTTCGCTGCTCCGTTTTTGAGGAGAATAAAATGTTGCACTTCGTTTTCCGTCGATGAAAAGAAAATCGTGTTAAGCATGTCAGTTGCATTATTAAGTTTATTTTCGTGTGGACTCACAAAGGCAACGACATCGAAAAGAAGATAAAGAGTCCTGAGGCGTCGGTGAAAGCTCAATCTCGGATGAGTATCTCATATACCGTTCCGGTGTCTCCTGTGCCGTCTGCTGACCAGATGTCAGGGAGAAACGAATATGATGAACAGATTAGATCAAATAAGGATGCAGAAAGGACCTACCCGTGGCCAGCTCGTCAAGAATTACAAGGATACATCCCGGACTTCCATAATGACGTGGATCAGGAAACTACAAGTGACATGAGTCTGAAGCCGTTCAAAGAAAACAACGCGTTAGTCGACCATGATGCTTTGTCGAACGAGGGTTTCACGGAAACTCCCGGCTTACGTCGGCACATTTCAAAGACGTTTAACGTTCTTCGAAGCCGGCAGCCCCCTGCAGAAAACGCTCTCCTACCTCGTCACAAGCGACTTGGCAGGCATCGCCATCATTTCAAGGAAAATGGCCTGCAAATAGAAAAGATGGGATTGATTCAACCTACTTCTAAGAGTAGTGAAACGGGTCTGCTTGTGTTACCGAGCGGTGGACCCAGTAAACTGTCTGAAGACATTAGGATACAATTAGAGGACGACCAGTTATTAAGGAAAGCGGCCAAACAAGCCTTTAACAATGATGAAGGTAATATTTATGTATCGTAACTTAATTCAACTATTCTTGAAAAAAATCGATGGTTAAAGGCAGGTGCAGCTAAAATCAACCGATAAAAATAAAAGAAAGCATGTGAATATTACGTTCATCTCCACCTGTTTCTCAATATTTACATGGACTTTGTCAAAGAAAGAATTTCATTTTTATAGGCAAACGGAAGTGCTCTCAAGTGTTCTTGGGTTTTCATTTTTTTTCTCAGAAGTTTTCTCAGCCCAAAAAGCGTAGGAACATAAAATGAATGCCCGACAATAAGTTCGAATGACACCCACTCTGGTAATTTCTGGAAATAAGGCGTTTACTTTACTCTTAGACTTGGATGTAACACAAGAACTAAGGAAGACCGCGGCGGAGAACAATATGGAGAGACAGTGGATGAGAATAAACTCTATAGGTAGTCCTGAAATGTTACTCAACTGGCCGCGCACAAGCAAGAAACTGGGCTCCATTGGTCAGCAGCAGGTCAGCCTTGTGAGTCCGGGTGAAGTTGATCTACTACAAACAGAATACCCAGAATACCCCAGGCCAAAAGCTACGGGATCTGAACTCCCCGGAATTGTAAGGAGCAGGATAAGTGGGAAAAAAAACCGGAATACGGTGTCAAGAGCATATAGGGTTTGAAATTCTTGGAAAAAATTCGATATGGTACTAAGGACTGTAACCAGAAAGGAGCTGAGCCGGCATTATGCAGGGTCAGGAGTTTTTCACGGAGGCATTCAGTTAGAATGTCTTTTGTGGACACCTTGGTAGCCAGTTATCGTATAAGACAAGTGTTACCTCTCCAGTTAGGGAGTGCATACCTCTATCTACTTTACAGCTGGTGCCCGAGTAACGTACTGATTGAAACGCTGTAGGAGTTGTTAAAATTGTCTCTTTTGATATTCATTAAAACTGTAAGCTTTGAAGCGACAAAGTAAATTAATGTTATCGACACAGTGGAATCCTCAAGCAACATTAAAACATTCTGTCATTGCGGGTGTAAAGTCGCCTTTACCAACATTTTTCCTTAACTAGACGACCTGAAGACCGTTCAGTTACGATATAACACTACAACGGTCATAAAACATGGAACGTTAACCCTGTTCATATCGCACCCTCAGGTACCCAATCTTCTAAAACTGAATCAATGTGAATTTATTTAACTATCAACTACAACGGACTATTACAACGAAATGACTCAACAAGTTATGTCATTACAGTTAAACTCCTACAATCACAACTGTTCGTGTTAATCTTCGGACCTTGATCTGTCTTTCTCTTTAAACATCAAACAATTACCTTACACTGTGGACGGCTCTTTTAGTACTGAGGCCTCAGCTAGGTCGAGCGATATTTTTTTTTTCAAACGCAAAAAAATTGTAACAGTGAAGAAAGGGAATTTTACTCATGTTGGCGGCTAATTAATATTTTTTGCTATACTGGAAGCTCTTAAACAATCAACAGTAAACAAATTGGCCCCTAAGCTCTTATGACAATATTTTTTATAATAATTAAGCACAGTCGTTAGCAACATTTATCTTAAATCAATTTTTAAGATTACTTTGGTAAGTTCTCTCACACTTAACCATAAACGTCACTCAGACTCTTTATCTGTATCATATAAAGTGATTTCTGTTAACTGTGTCACCTTAAACCTTCTAATATCATTTTTTTCGTGCATGGAAATTTCAACTGCCTTCTGAACAGGGCCCACAAGGCAAGTGACAGAGTCTTTGAAAAGAACAAGTGAAAAGATCGAGCCGAGTAAAGTTGTCGTATTTCCTGATTCAGCAGTCCGGGGAACTGACACCAGAAACATGCAGATAAAAGAATTCCATCCTAAAAATGGCAAAGGTAAATGGTTGGCTGTTCACATTCCGGACCATATCAGCTATCCACGGAAAAATGTGAAAATTATTGCCTCCAAAAAAGTCGCCAAGGAATTACAGCATGTTGTAGGACCGAACAAGGATACCCTGGCCAAAGAGATCCAGTCTATTTTAGGCGTTGATGAAGAAACTTTACAGAGAATGATCGCTGAAGGACAAGAGGATGACGAGGACAAGGTTGATGATGATGACGACGATAATGATGACGATATTGAAGGTGACGATGACGATGATGATGATGACGACATGAATGACGAGGACAATCCAGTAAAAGAAGATTATAATGATGACAAAACATCTGAAATGTGTGATTCGAAAGCCTACCGCAGCACAAAAATTTGTCAAATGTTCAAAAAAATTAAGAAAAAGGTCAAAGATGGTTCTGGAGAGGACAATGATAGCCCGAAAATTCACGTTGAACAGCCAGAAGGCTTTGAACTTAGATGGGAAGATATTCTTAACAACTTTAAACATTTTAGTTCAAAAAGAAAAGAACAAGTTTGCAAACTGTTTGGACTACATAACAGACGATGTCACCGAGTGAAAAAGCGAAAGCGTGATTTTAAACGAAAGCTAAAGAAATATCTTCTTCGAATGTTAAGAAAATTCTTAAAAAATAATAGAAGTGATTTCGAAGAATATTTGAGTAAAAAGCTAAAGGATGCGCTTTCTGGAAGGCTTCAGCCATCAGAGGATGGTCTTTTGCACATCTATTCAAAGAATTCGGGGAAAATGAACATGGAAGATTTCTTAAAAGATCTGAATGATGGTACACCAACTCGCCCACGTGTGAATTATCAATCCTCGTCCCTATCTTCTCTCGGCCAAGATTCTCTCACTATGGACGACAATACAGTTAACGGTAATGTATTTCGAGTAACGCCACAAATGAATAAACTAGCCGGAGACGAGGGTCAGGACGCTCCTTCTGATGCTGTGTCGGCGCTAAATAATATAATACATCCTTTGCTCAATGATCAAGACAACAAAATAGATGAGAAACTTCAAACGAAGATATTACAAGAGGAGCTGGGTAAGCAATCCATTGCCATCCAGAGAAAATTAAAAATTGAAATTGTAGGGAGGTGTGAATAACATTTAAGTGGAATCGAGGATAGTTTTTGGAATCAGTAAATGTCAAAAGCTTTTTGAGATTTTCTTCAAGCTTGTATAATTTATCAGCGTGAGGTTTTCATCTTCTAAGAGGTGAAAGTAAGTTTTTACAAACGGTTCATTACCTCCAATACTTTTCTCTCTTGAGTAACGCCCTTCACCCCAGTCTGTTCAGTCATAGTCTTCGCTTGTGGAAGTGAATTCGTAACCTATAAAAATCTTGCCATGATTTGCTTGAAAATTAAAATTATTCAAATCTTATCTGTGGACCTGAGATGATATGAATGCCAACCTTAAAAAGATCAACAGTTATTTTTTTGGTGTATTATCAACCAAGCGTTAAGTTGTGTCAAAGTGCTGCAAAAGTTAGCTGCGAATCCAACGGATGATTCAACGGATATTTCAGGTCATGAGGTTTTGCTGAATTGTTTCTTTTATCAGGTAACGTCAATGCAGAACAAGAAGAACAAGAACGACAGAAAATCAAAGATGCCTCAATGAACGATCACTTGATGTACATGTATCAGTTACAGAATCTGGCCAATCACAGGGCTGGGGTGACGGCACCGAACGGAGTGATCGGGGGCCAGCCAATCAGCGTGGTGAGTCCGCACCAGGTTTCTTTGATGCAGTTGAACCTTCCCGACAAGAACCCGGATATACCTTTGCTAGGTTCCGATTCATCGAAACCTTCTCAGCCGGAAACAAAAACGAAGAAAAAGGCATTTCCTCTGAGAAAACCAGTTTTCGATTTTAGTAAACAAGTTTTTCCTTTTAGTAAACGGGTTTTTCCACTTAGGAGTTCACCTCTCAGACCAAGGTTGGTTGGAACGTTCAGAATAAAGTCTCCAGGCCCCTGGAGACCTGCAACGAGAAGCTTTTGGAAACGAGACTTTATAAAAAAAATATCAAACAATCACTCACCTCAGATGGAGAGAAAGAGGTCAAAGAAAATATCTTAAAGATTGCTAGTTTGACAGTTGTGTATCTCAGTTACAATGTAAATTTTTGTATGTTTTAATCCCTAATCCTTGTGAGACTGAACATCAAGGTTCATTATCGAAGATAATATGGCGTTAATGTACTTTACTTATTTAGGGAAACGCACCCAACCGTTTTATAGTTACGCACTTAGATGTTGAGGGAGGGTCTCAAACAGTCCTTGATGACAAACTGATGTTACTTGCTTAGGTAGATTAAACCTTTGAGTGCAGCCAAGCCAAGCATTTTAGGAAATGACAAAGGACTGTTGTTGAGCTCAGGAATTTTTCCTGAAGATAAACATGATCGAATAAAAAGATTAATGAATGATCAGCATCGAAAAGAGTCAGTAGATGGCAACCTACTCAGCACGTGTAAAACACAGTTGTTAATTTTGTTTCCTATTTTGTTAAGATAAATAAATATTACAATTTTTCACTAATCTTTGGGACTGTGTATGTGCAGAGACTACAAAGCAGGTATATCAAAAATGACAGACATCTATACGGTCTTTCAAGTATTACATACAAGTATTACACTAATACTTCATCGGATAGGGGAAAAAGTCTCGCTTACAAAATATGACTAGTTAACAAAGGTAACAAAATCTACGAAGACGAGAAAACTGAGCTAAGCAATAACAAAAGCCACGAACAAAGTCAATAACGTCTGAACTTGTTTGCAATTAAGAATTATCGTGTTCGTTTTTCTAGGATTACACTTAGTCTCTTCAAAAACACGTTTTTTATTCTTTAATAAACAAAACGAGTTAGACAGTTTCTTGAACTACATGGACGGCATACGTTTTGGTGGAAGATGTGTTGATGTTGCCAAAAAACAAAGTTAATAATCCCCAGGCCAAGTAACCAATGTTTTTGGGGCACTACAAATTATCAAAAGATATCATAAGTGGCAATTACAAATTCAAATTTTTTAAATAAAGTGACCTGTTTTTCTTTTTTAATAAATACTGTGTAATTCTCTTTGATGTTTAGATCATTTTTCTTTCCTTGAAAGAAGAGAATTTAGGCACATAAAAAAATTATGTACGACGGACACACCTGTTACAAAATACATAGTAATACCTACTGCTAAATTCTCGTCTATAACGCTTTGGTTTTTTCCAAATTTTTCTGTAAACCGAAAATAAGAATTTGAGGAGGCTTGTTGTAATTGTACTACTTAAATCATGTTAATTTCCTTTATGCTCCTTGTTACTTCTGGACCTTTTTATAGTCTATTGTTATCCTAAATGAAGTTATAATTTTGACCAAAAACGTTTTGAGAAGGCGGGGACAAGCTTGTGAAATGTCAGAGAACAACAGGTCAAACCATAAGACACACCTCCCAAACCTGAAAAATTACCTTATCGGCTTGTTCATTTCACATTACAGCGAGAGGTGACAATTTCACTGCACTTACAATCCTTCCCATGTAAAATGGCACGATTTTTCAAAAACTCTTTGTTTGATATTTCTGTACTGGAGGTAAGTGTTACACTGTCATCGCCATGTTCTTTCCCCTTAAAGCAAGGTGAGCGCCCTTGATCTCTTTTGCCTTTCCATTTGTCCTGAGTCCAGAGACTCAGAGAGCTCAAACCATCGTTAGCACTGATATCCTAAGGTTCGAACAAAGGCACATTTCATTGATCTACAGACAGTTTAAGGGGATCATTTTTTGCTGCTGTTTTTCATATTGTCTGTCATGTTACGTGATGTTAGTTCATCGATTTTTTTTTTCACTATATTTTATAAACATTAAAATCTAGGAACTTCTGGAAGAGCGCCAAGAAAACTAGAAACACGAACACAATTCAGCTTTGCTTATCAATTTACTTTGGCTGAAAATGTTGAATTTTAAAAATATCACTCAATTGTATTTTTTCAGTGAGTCAAGGGAACTCATTCATGATAACATGGCGCCCTCAATTTTACTGGTATCTCTTGCATGTTGCCTCTGTATGGGTGAGTAAAGCTTTGCATTTTTGTTCTTCCCTTTGTAATTAATGCTTTATTACCCAGCACATCATACCATCACAGCAATATGTAGTGAAAGACGATGATGACATAATTAACACTAATTCTGAGATGACAGTACGTATCAAAACTAACACCTAGCGTGTATGTTAACTCAGTATTAATTTCTCTCTATCTTTAAAAAATTCGCTCAGATGTTTATAGCTCTGTGCTTTTGAATGGACATTACCATTCTACTTAATTTAGTACTTTCGCGACCTGTTCGACGTTTTGAATCGTCCACAGATTTGTCCCTGAATGTAATGTTATGTGATCTTTTTGAGGGACAAGGACAAGTTTGACGCTCTTGTCAATCCTTTTTCTTTTTACTTTCAGCAGTGACGGGTCAAGACAACGAGCGCAAGAATATAAAAATGCTTTTTGTTCCGGCGGAAGTTATGAAAGAGCTGCATAAGAACCTCGCAACAAAAGACTTGACCCAGGGCTTACCGGGCCAAGGTACTCTGCAATGGACCCCAGTCCGTCTTCCTGGCGACAGGAGTCATACATTCGAAATTCGAATCAATCCCCACACGGCGCACAAGTTGAACATGAACTTTCAGCATTTTAAAATTGGTCGGGGCCACGGTCTTCTCCTTGAGCTAAAAAATGTAACTCTTTCGACGAAAGGAAGGACCGTCTTGGACAGTTTAGTAGAGTTTTATAAAAACTGCGGAGGGGAAAGAAATCATCGGTTGGGGATGCGCGTGATACATCACTCATTACCCATGATGCACCGTCACAACCCACATTCGCTCTTACTACCAGGTGACATTCCGTTATTGAAGCGGATTCAAAACGCACTCGAGCGTTTTTTCCCGAGGCGCCACGACGGGTCGGTAGACGTTTTCCAGCACAAGGATTCAAGTGGAGCCGTTCATTTTCTTCCGTTTGAGGAGGTTCGAAGACAGGTTAACAATCTTATAAAGAGGACACTGGTTAAGAGAGATTGTGTTAAGATCAGCACAAACGCTTTGACTCGTGCTCTCAGTCAGTTCAGAAAGAAATATGATAACAATACAACAACCACACCAAGTTTAGATGAAGAGGATGATGATGAAACTGACAGTGTAGACAAACCTGCAAGGAATGAGAGTCAAGGTGAAGAGACAGAACAACTCCTTTCTTTTTCGCGTAATCTTAATCCGCGTCCGGTCAACAAAGTCAATCTTACTTCATCTTCCGCTACTAACGTACCAAGCAATGCAGCAGCGACGAAAATAGTCACTGCTTTGGCAGATTTAAGAAAAGAACTCAAAGACTTGTCAAGTGGCCTTATAAAAAATATGAGTAAGTCCATTTCAAACAACTCTAAGGAAACTGACGGCACGAGCACCTCAAATATCGGAATAAATACAGATGACAAAACAATTGGTTCTAATGGGAATATGGGTAAAAATATTAGCAGTGATAACAACGAAACTCCAGACGAGAAAAGCAATTCCAACTTTGAAAAATCTGATAAAAGTGAAGTAAAGAACGAACGTAAAAAGATGAGTAGCGACGACGGAGGAGATCAAAACAAAACAATAAACAGAATCAATAACAAAAACGATGACAACAACTATGGCACTAACGACATGACCAACAACAGCAAAAGCATCATAAACAGCAGCAACATAGATGAGAGAGTAATTGCAGTGGCCCTGAAGCTGAAAAATATCGAAGATGATTTGAAAGCCGATATGCAAAAGACTATGCTTAATCCCTCTAAGACTGTTTCGAAAATTTCAGGTGACTCTACGTCTGCTATTAAGGAGATCAATGCGAGACCTGTCAATCAAACTGCCAATCAGTTACAGCGACTCAAGACTGCAACGGAATATAGCATTACTACGAACGTATCTGCTCATTTTAAAGTTTCTGATGAACAAAAAAATGAGAAGAAACAAACTAGGATTCGAAAGGATAACGCAAAATATATAGGAAAACATAAAAATCGTCGCGGGAATAAGAAACAAGTTTCACTTTCGTTTCACTATAAACCAAAATCATTGAGGTTAAAGCTGCGTAATAAAGGTAGAGATTATCCTAAGACTGAAGACAATGAACAGGAAGAGAATATGTACAAGCACAAGGGTAAGGGACGATTTGTGCATTTCATTCACTCACGAAGACCAAAGATCAAAGAATTTATGGTTCCAGATGAGCGCGAATCTGATGAATACAGGCAAAGAAATTTTAACGACTCTCCTGTAGTAGCAGTAAACAATGATGAAGACAACATGAAAGTTGGACTATTAAGGAAGCTACGTTGGCTTCGAATCCACGGACATGCGCCTAAAGTGCGCAGCCGGAAGAGTCCGAAACTTCGTGTGGTTGTATACGACGATGAAGACGAAGAAAAAGAGCCACATCAGGAACGTTGGCATAATAATGAGATCAATGAGTACGAAGAAAAACCCCACGAAGACGATACCGAAACAGAGTCAGAAGCCGGGTCAGAGTTTGAATCAGAACACGTGTCTGACTCGTCTCATCGCTCAGCGTCGTTGCTAAAGGATGAAGAAAATACCAAGCCATACAATCAAGGAGAGGCAAGTCATTCGAGATCTGACAGTGGGTCTGACATGCAGTATTTATCAGATAGCATAGGAGATGACTCCACCCATTTAGGACGGAGCGACAGCGGTGTGGACGTACCTGATTTAGAACCTTACTTGAAAAAACATTATGGTAAGTAGTTACGGGCGAGTTTCATCCATTATCGAACATTATCATTACCCACAACAGCACAGACTGTTTGTTTAAACTGAGGACAACATCGAATCCTGATAACTCGTCCAACATAGCGACTTATCTTATACTGCTGTGTTTTTCAACTTCGTTTGCAAGATTATGAGTTAAGAAAGCTTTGATTGAGCTTTGTCTTTAAGAGAATTATTTAAATGGTTTTATTTTGTATGTAGCGGATGAAGAAGATGAAGAGAATGAAGAAATACAAATGTATAATGAACAAGATGGAATCGATGCACGAAAGTTGGGAGATTCGATGGAAAAACATATTAGTAAGACGCCAAAGGAGGATAATGGGATTCTAGTCGAGGAGACGAACAAGATTGATGAAAATAACGATGAAGTATCTGGTAAAGTACATATTCACAAAATCCCTTTTAAGATCCAAGAAGACTCAGAGGGAGTGGACACTAGTCCCTTCAAAGAGCCCCAACACGATGCGCTTGGACTGCAGCGAGTATTGAGGCCCGGACCCGATTTCACATCCATGGCATCACAGCCGCTCCCTTTTGCCTCCAATCCATCTATGACTACATTAAATCAGAACGCCTTGGATATGTCTCCAAATATGGTCCTACCACCCGAACAGTCAATGATGATACCTGCAGAACTTCCCGAAGCGAACGGGGCAACCACGCCTGTGGAGAGGCCTAGCCCTGCTGCACTCACAGGGCTCAGTTTTCAACCCAGTGTAACGACCCAATTTAACAGTATGATGCCGCAAACACCGTTTCCACAGGTCAGTAGCATTATGCCAATGCAGTCAGCCGCGTCTGAAGAATCTCAAGTGGCTCCAGTGACACCCATCATGCAACCGGGGCAGATAAGAACAGTTATATCACGTGCTAAAAATCGGAATGAATCAGAGCTACACTCGAGACATGCTAGCAAGACCTCGAGTGTAGGTAAAAAACACATAAAATTTAGGAGAAAAGATGCAGTCAATGTGGACGCTGGAAATATGAAAGCACTAAGGCAGAAATAGTATAATTCAAGGTCAGAGTGCAGACGTTTTGTTAGTGGATAAATGCCAGTAGTGATTTTTAACACAAGAGAGAATGCATACCAAACTATTTCAGTATAGCGCAAATCTTTGATCTGAGATATTTTGCTCTTTCCACATTTTCTAAAAGTTCTCAGTGTAACCGCCTGTGTCAGTTTGTGATGTACCGTGGTGTTTCAAGGTTAGAACTTCTATAATGTTAATGATATAATGCTAAGTTACCTTTGACATTTTGAAAACTTGAGGTAAGCATAGGGGCGTTATTCTTACGACTGTGATTGGTTACAAATGTTATCATGCATGCAGTATTAAGAGCACGGGTTAAAGGTTTTAGGTTGATTTCTAATCGCCATATTTCCTCGAATTACGTTTGTCGGATCAGCAGAATATAATGTGTTTTGATTAAGTTTTAGTTTGATATTACTATCCTAACTTGCCATAACCCATACCAGTAAGCAGCATGGACGACTTTGAATTACAGATAGGCATGAGATTTTTAATGTTGTCCAGACTTCGTTGCACCAAGATCTTACTCAGAGCATGCACACACTTGAATGTATATCTCTCGAAATAAAATTCTAAAACCTCGGATGAGCTTCAGAATGACAATTTTCAATGGTCCTGATTGGATTGCTCAGTCTTGGTTTTTAACTCATATACCCCAGTTCAGTCTTATACGGAGAGTACTTGTTTCCGGTATCGCGTAGCTTTTCATTGTGGTTTGTGAACGTTATACTTGCCTTCCGATAGCCGTGTTATGTGATCACTTGCCGTGTTGGCGGGCAGTAGTTAGTTAAGATCCGTTTTATCAAAGGCTACAGTATTAGTTCTCTTCTTAAACAGAATGTCAGGTTATCTCTATAGCCTCAGATGTCAGAAAACATGGAATGCTCTCAATACAATTTGTGATCAGTTATCGATAACATGTTACCTACTTAAACCAGGAAATTTTAAAGCGTGAAAAGAACTGAAATCAGTCAGTATAATTGATGTAAGCCTTGAAACAAATATCTTTACTTCTTGAATAAACAATGAGAGGCTTCTTTTAATGGGTGTGCAAGTCAACTTCAAATTCACTCTTACTCCTTCTAAAAGAGCGATTTCGTGGTTCATATATTCGGTTAGTTCCAAGGAAAAGTACACTGCCTGATTGATGGTCTTCTGTGCGATTTTTCTATGTTGTGGTGCTGGTTAAATAATTCTTTCCACCCCTCCCACGCGGCCACGCCTCTTAAGCTAGCGTCAGCGAGATTGCAAAGTTGGCCTACGAAATCAAATTTCTACAGTTCCACCTGTTGCGTAACCTGAGTTTTATGTGTTCAGTTTAGCCAAAGGGACTTGATAGTAGCAACGACAAGAAGGAGAGATAATGATAAAGAAGATAGTAAGGATAAGATGGAGGCTTTGGACATGTCACTGAAAGCGTTACAATTGCGCCCCTTTTGCCAAGTGATTGCCTTAAGGGGTGCGTGCTAAGTTGAACTCTTTTATCTCATGTCAGGAGTTCATTATTCTGCCTGCCCTAGTTTATTGGAGGCTCTTGGTTTGTAAGGCAATTGGGAAAAAGTGAAAGGCAGCCGTTTCCTTGACAACCAAAACTACCGATTGTCGCACGCTTTCACTGAGTGAGAGTCAGGAACAGGATATGCCTGAGGGTGTCTATCAAATGAAACCACTATCTGTGTGTGGCCATCCAATAACTTTAATTAATTTTAATCATTGGATTGTTAAAACAATTGTTCACCTGAGTAAAGGTGAATAGTATCTGCTATTCACTTCCGAACTAGCCAATCAACGCGCGCGAACAGTATTATTCACTTGTGTGATCGATGCTAATACGCTCTATGACTTGCTCTTTGATTGAATACACTTTGCCACTTCCTGTACCACACTTTCCTTGTACCATATCTCTGAATGAGTGTCTGCGAGTCCTTTGGAGGTTGGAATGATTTGGTCTCGTTATGAAACAGTAGCAGGAGCCATTAATGGGCTCCCGACAGTGTCCAAATTTTATGATGTAGGAACTTTAAGCGCAATGATTATATCTAAATACTACAGCCCGTTTAAGAGCTTTCTTATCCAGGTATTAGTGTGTTGTCACGCAATGCCGATTTAGCTAAATTGCGTGACTATTTCTAATCCACCACGTAACTGAAGAGCTTTACATATGAGATATGCATCCGAGAGGTGTCAGATTTAACAGGTAATAACACTTTAACATCACACAGCCAAGGTCTTTGGAAATGGAAGATGATTTGGATCAAATTGATCAAAGATGCATATCGAAACGAGTACATCACACGAGCGCTGTATTACCAGGGCAAATATTTCATGATTTGAAAAAATGTCTTCATATTTACTTTTAAATTTATAATAAGCCAATCACCTTTCACTAGTAATCCCTAGAGGTGTTTACGTCCAAACTTTGACGAACCCCCGCCCCGCAGATATTTTTTCTGATTACAGTGAAAGACCTCTAAATCCTTTCCAGATGGCGGTTTTGTGCTTAGCCTGTTTGAGATATATGCCTGTGATTTCGCTGTCAATTAACTCGTGATGTTCATTAATAATATTGCTTGAAAAGGTGCAATCACATTTGAGGCGTGAATTTTAATTGAGGTTGACAGGGGTAGAGTGAGGTAAATTCCACGTTAATTATTCGGAATGCGAAGAATAATTGAACTCCTAAATAACTCTTCACTATTGTTATTAACAAAGTTAATTATAGCGCTTTCAGGCTCTTGATGTCGCTCCTTTCAATAGGGAAGACGACAAAGACTTGGACAAGACAGTCATTGATCTCAAATTCCGAAACTCTTTTGTTACTGGCTAGTCGAGCTTGAAGAAAATTTCGACCCGCGTCAAGAGCGGGCTTTACAATCAGAGACAAATTAGACACAGGTTAGGAGGTGACTGTGGTGGTCACGCAGTGTTGGAATAAGCGACAGTTTACGCACTTTGACTGTGTCTACCAATCGTGAAAAGTTATGAAAAACATTCAACTGACATTTGGTTGACCCTTGGGGCAATTTGATCTTTGCTTTCTCGCTACGTTTGGAGTATAAACAAAGGAAAAATGGCTTCTCAGAAAGCCATGGAGGAATTGGCTCGACAGTCAGGTTTTGAGGATTTGTCATTCGCTACAAGGACGTATCGTCCGGAATACGCTTCGTCTCCAGACCTACGAAGATCGTACAGACGTGAGTATCTAAAGGAATCGATTTAACGTCCAATAACATGAACTTCAAGTGAACATTTGTGCAATAACTTTGCTTTGACATATGTCCTTTTGTAGCTCAACGCGTGATCCGAACTTCTGAAATAGAATCTACGTTACGTGCCAAACTTGCTTTCACCGCAGGTAAAACAACTTTTTAATTTATCCTTAAGTGGAAGAATGTTAAGTTTCTTCTAGAATACGAACTTTGAGGAGTACAAATATTTGATTTGAGAACTCGATGGAGGCATCTGTAAGCATTCCTTCACGTTACCTTTACCACTCTGTAAAACTCATCGCAGTTCTCTAACTTAGAACTATCGATGCTTGCCGTATGTTTGTCCTGGGAAATTCAGTCTTTTGTTACTTTGTCTTTCATAGTAGCTGTTTATATTTTATATCGATTGATTAGCCGGAGCTAATTTGTATGTGTTGGTTAAATCTTACCAGGGGGGCGCGATCGGGAAGGCCGAAATATTTTGACTATACCAGCCGGAAAAACTGAAAATTTGAGCGTAGATCAGCTTGGAGATACTCTCTCCTACTTAACTCAATCACCAAGGTATGTTGAATTATTTAAACTTTCAATGTTGTTGATGGATTCTTTTACAAAGTTATTATTTTAAATTTGGTGTCTCGTAGCGCACATGTGTGACAGATGCACTTTTTGTGGATAGTTCCGTAAACAAAACCACAGAAGTGAACTGACAAGCAGTTACGAACCCCTTTTACTTTCAGCAATACTTGGAAAACAAGCAAACCTAATTTGCACATTGAAATTAGATTCCAATGGTTGGAATTTGGAAAAAATAATTAATTATGTGAAAAAAATTCTTTGCGGTAATTAAACTGGTTTCAATGGATTTAAAACTTGAGTCATAAATCTTTTTAAATGACAGATCTCTGAAGTGATTTTTATTTCTTATCAAACTTGGTATTTTTTAAGGAAAATTTAAAATTCTCTTCGGAAAAGTAGTTTTATTTTGTTTGCAGGAATTAATTATAGATTTTGAAGAATCCTTGACTTTTATATCAATGAAATGATCCCTGCAGATAGCATCGCTATTTATTATGTACACGATACAATTATTCACTTAGAACTGCAAGTTTCATCAATATATATTATAATTGATTAATGACAAACTAACCAGATTTCACAATGTTTTTGGGAAGTTTCAGATGTTCAATTACTTGATAAGGTTATGATAGTAGACAACAACACCAGTTGCAATTTGTTTTATTTGAATTTTTTGCTACTGGTAATTACTATTATCCTGAGAAGTGTTCCCACTGGCTGGTGTGGTGGCCTAAGGATACCAACTTTTGAAATAAGAATTTAGCCTGGTTACTCATGCATTTGAGAATTGGAGAGAATTATTTTGAAACCAGTGACACAATAAATCCTGGCTAATAACAAATTTTCCTTTTAAGGAATGGAAAACAAGGACATATGTACATGGTTATAATTGACCTTAGGGGCTCATCCTGGAAATCTGCCAAACCTCTTCTACGAACTCTTCAGGTTAGTAATGATCATTAGTTAGCTCAGTGTAAAATGTACTTAGAACTCTTTGGCTCAGTAATGATCATTTATTAACTCAGTGTACTTTACAGTGTGCGTAGAACCCTTCACATTAGTAATGATCATTTTATTAGCTCAATGTAAAGTGTGCATAGAACTCTTCAGGTCAGTAAATATCATTTATTAGCTCAGTGTAAAGTGTGATTAGAACTCTTCAGGTCAGTAGTTATCGTGTATTAGCTCAGTTTCCTGTACTTTGCCGCTGTATGAACAGGATGAGCAGTGAATTGATCTTCTAGTTTTGGGATATAGTAAATTATTGTTTTTTTATTTTTAAATTTTGAAACAAAAATTGAAAATTAAAAGTGTGATTGGTAGTTTACTTCCTTTTTCACTGGTGGCAACAGGGGATAAATGAGAGTAAATATCAAGAGGAATGGAGAAATCAGAACTTGAACTTAACTTATTTTAAAAGTTTTCCTGTTCATCTTAACAGTATGCTCTATGTAACAAGACTGATCATGTCTCAAACAGTAATTATCATGTCAGTGAAGGTTCTTTCCTAATTGTTTTCTAGGAAACAGTTCCAGACAAGGTACATGAAGTCTATATTATTAAGCCAGATGCTTTCTGGGAAAAACGACGCTCAGGAACTGGTCTTAGAAAGGAACAATCTAGTGTTGCATTTGAGGTAATTGGCCTGAACCTTTTTTTATGTATCAAGGAAACTTTCCCTTGGATTTCCTGTATTTTGCAATTCCGTCAACTGCGATAGTATGTTCAGTGGGAGTTTGTGTTACCTTATCCAGTTAAGTTTAAATTTGTATTTCAAGCTTAGCTGTTTCAGATTACTATCAAGGAATACAACCTACTTTGTTGTAAAAATTTTTAAGGCCTCACTCAAAACAGTCTCGCATGCTACTGGAGGACAGTGTACATGGCTCACTCTATTGACTTTGTTTTACAGACGACATTGTTGTCATCATCAAGTAAACTTCATCAGTTTGCTGAGGGAAGTCAAATTACTCAAGAGCTGGGTGGTACTTTATCATATAACCATAACAGATGGATTGATACTAGATTAGTAAGTCTGATAACAAATTATGTAAAATTAAATAACAAGTATTATGTTTTTATTACAACAGACAGACTGATAAGAAATTTGTGGGCAAACACCTCTCAAACCTGTTTTTAGAATTGGATGTTGTTTAATTTCAGGAAATTGAGCAAATTTCAGATGAGTCAGTCTCTTTGAATGAAAAATTTGATGAATTGGAACAAGACCTAGACACCCATCAGCTAGGTAACGACATAGCAGAAACAGATGGCCTGATTCGTCAACATGAAACCAAAAGGGCACTGTTAGATAATGTTGCTTATCCACTGATCCAAAGAGGAGAACATCTTATCAGCTCAATTAAAGCTAATGAACCTCCCATACCACCAAGCCAAAATTTCTCTGGTAGTCCTGCTTCTTTACCAAGCCAAGAGCGTCAACAGGTGGAAGGTAATGTGACTCAACTAAAGCTGAGATGCAGCCAGTTGATGGACATGTGGGAAAAGAGATGGAAAGAGTTGATACAGTGTATGGATCTACTGGAGTTTGATGCAGGATATCAAAAGGTACACTGATGGCAGTTTTGGCATTAATTTAGTGTACAAAACTTATTCGTTATGTATCTCTGTCTTCTGCTTGTTAGAACCAATTTTCACTTGCTTCCTGCGTTAAAATAATTTAAATTTCTGTTGTATTTGTATGAATGATATCTACACTAAAAATTTAATTTGGTCTGTTTTCACTCTCAATAAACCTGGGGCTTTTTTTACCTTGTTGATACGCAAAGCATAGAAACCATTTTTATGGGGACTCCAAAATGCAAACGAGTCACTCACTCATTCACTAAGGTGTAGACACTGTTGACTGACACTGTGCTAATTTCTTGTCCTGAACTTGCCTGAGTGTATGACATCACAACGGAATTATCTTACATATGGGCTTCACTTTTATGGCAGACAAAAATAATTATGTGCTTTTCTGAGTACTTGTGGAAATCACTGCCACATATCTTTAATTTCAATCGGTGAAAAAATCTTGCAGGCACATAAAATGCGTTCTGAGGTATATAGTTTCCAAGGCAAAGAGATTAATAGGTTACAATGCAACTATGAGAGACTGTGAGGCAAAACATGACATAGAAATGGAAATTAAGGTCATTTGGCTTGTGCAGGCAAGAAAGATTTGGATTGCACCATCTAAATTTGATATGTTTTTGCAAATGCAATTCAATAAACACAGGATATTATTTTGTAGACCGCCTTAGGTATGCATTTATTATTCTGCGGAGTTAGATGGTCACCATCATTCTGGATATCTTGTGACTTTCTGTAAGCAAAGTCAGAAAGTGATACAGAAAAAAGTTCGAGACTCTTTTGGAGTACAAGAAGCAAGTTTTGCTGCAAGACTGCTAATTACTTTATCCACAAGTTGGCCATAGGTATTCTTTGATTATAATTCTTTGTCAAACTGATTTTTGCTTTGATATGTTCATTCAGGTGACAAACTGGGTCCTTGGGTCAGGAGAGTCATATTTAGCCAATTCCAATGATATTGGAGACTCTGTTATCTCTTGCGAGATCCTTAGGAAAGAGCATGAGGAATTTGAGTTGTCTGCTAGGGTAAGAGAGATAATTTAAAATCTAACTTCATCAATTTATCTTTTATCAAATCAAACCCACTTCAACCTAGCAATAAAATAGATATTTCCATTAGTATCACATATTATATTTCCCCTACTTTTTCCTTCCATCTCTAAATTTAATGAGTTGGTAATTAACATGGATAAGAAGAGGCTGACTAATTATATAATAGATGTTTTTATTTTCTTAATAAGTATTAATCATTGATGTATTTATTTGGGTGGCTGACCCTCTCTCATAAGAACTGTGGATGCTGGAAAGGCGCCTGTCTTACTTGCTTGAGGGAGTGGGTCGTTAGTGGAAATCTCAAACCTCGGTCTTGACGTGTTGATCGAGCGATATCGAGGTCAATACGGCAAGGCTAAGATTTGAGAATTTCCCGCAATGACTAAGTCATTTACTGGAAATTATTATCCTTCAGTTTTTGATGCTCAAGGTTACCAGCAGAGAGCAAAAAACTCTCACCTTCCCATATTTACGGGCTAAAAATTACTTTCTTAACATGTCACGGACGGTTTTTCTCGACAAATCCTCGCAATCTTTTTCTTCGCAGATAAGAGCTTGTTTGTCTTCTTAATCTTTATTGATTCCTCCGCTCCGCTTTTTTTGGTACAATCACATAATTAGTTTAAAACTTCGCTGTTCTCTGGAAACTTAATCTAAAACTTTAATGGAACTCATACCCTCGTAGTGTCAGTCAGCCTTGATCGTTTCTATCTGCACGTATTTTCGGATAAAGGAAAAAAAAGGGCGCGGTTCTTGAATGACCTCAGTTATTCTTCCTAATTTGCATAATTCTTTATCGGCCGGTGGGTAGTCTGAGCTCTCAACCAAGCAGAGGACGCGTCATCAAGTTGAAGCCCATATCATACACAGTCGGCTTCGTTATTGCGGACACCCTCGGGAGAGGGGGGGGGGGAGCGAGAGTCCGTAATAACGGGTACGAAAGAAAAAAAAATTTTCTTTAAATATATGAAATAATATGTAACTACGTAAACGTTAAGTTTCGAACGTGGCATCATGAACCAGGAAAAGATCCGGCCGCAAGCAGGAAATTCTCATGTTCGTGCCCAATTGAAAAATGGTTTCTTTATTTTCCTTTACCGTAATGTCGCTCTATATTACGCGAGTCAGGATTTTGGACAAAGTACTTAAGTGTCCACTATAACGAAAGAAAACACAAGTGAATGTCGTGCTGGGGTGGGGGGGGGGGGGGGCATGAAAGTGTCCGCATTTCCGTAATAACGGCAGTTTGTTTCAGTCATTAATTTATGCGTTTTGCCAGGGGTCTGACTTTTGTCCGCAATGCGGGGTGTCTGTAATAGCGAGGTGTCTGCAGGAGCCAACTTTAGTAATCATCATCAACTCTGTGGAATATTCTCTCTCATAGGAAGTGATAAACCACTTTGCTCAGGTGCGTGAACTTGCCAAGAAAATGCTCCAGGAAAATCACTATGCCTCCAGAGATATTAAAAGTCGCAAGGAATTCCTGGACAGAGGTTGTCGAAACTTTGCCCTGCGGATGAACAGGAGAAGAGACATCATACTGACATCGCTTAAATTTCACAAGAGTGCAGGGGAGGTAAGGGGGGAGTTTAAAGCTCATATTTGTTTTAATGGCAGATGATTTTCAAATCACCAATCATTGGAGTCTGGAGCTGCAATTCCTTTATATGATGTGATGAACTTTTTACTAGCTAGTCAGTGACCTTTCTCCTTCGCTCAAAAAGTCAGCTTTGAAACTCTTAATAGTGGCTTATTTACGTTATCAACTCAGTTGATAAAACCAAATTATCTTGCTATAATCTCCCAACCAAACACCACAGTTCATTTATAAACTTAACTCCCTCTTTAATTTTTGAAACCTGCTTGTTAGTCACCGTCGCAAAATGGAATAATAAACTTTCTGAATTTGCAACCAAGAAATTATTAATTTGTCATCTGTCCAGTTGATTGGCACATGTCTGTTTAGAACGCTCCACCTCCTAGTCTAACTTAATTTTGATTGGCCAGGTTCAGGGAAAAAAAACCAACAGGGGAACTGAGTGAGAAACTGGTCCAATTTAATCTTTCGCTTCTTTAGAAGCCCAGCTAAGGTCATTTTCTGTTCTTTATTTCAGTGCTCAGTTAATTTGGATGACTTATTTGAACTGCTGTGTTCTGATTCTGTTCTCATGTACGACTATGAGACTGCAGAGAGCATGCTCAGAACATTGGAAGAGAAGGCTGAGGGTGAGTGAAGTGTTTATGTCATTATAAATATTTCCCTAACGGGGTTCCTTCCTTGGGCCTTGTATTCCGTTGTATCACATGGTGTAATATTTTCTTTTACACTCAGCGGTTGCCATTTCGTCTGAAGACACCTTGCGAGATGCATTGGCCGTGCAGGAACTGATGACAAGTCCAATGTCCAATATGCGGGGTGATGACGTCACTCAGGATTATGGGAAGGGTATTGCGCATGTGCGGCTTACTTTAGACGAACTAAGAGAGCGGAAACTACGCACAGATGAGTTGTGTGATGTGCGCAGAATCAAACTGCAGCAACTGTTGCAGCTCAAACAGAGCGAACGAGACGCTGAGCAGGTAAAGCAAAAGTCGACGAATGATACAGAAATAGCTTAGAGAATGTACGAATGGATTTTTATCGTCCCTATGGGCCTTACTATCCACTATCACAAATAAAGAAAGCGCGTCTTTCAAAGCGCTGTTCTGATGATGAGTAAAAATTTATGAAAGTCAGAGTGAAAGTATTGTTCATCAAATCACACGGCATACGGATATTTGAAATGGAAAAGAAACGTTTCTTACTGGTAAAGATAATCTGTTCTTTATCCACTTCCGAAGTTCAGATTTTTCCTGTCAAAGCGAGAAGTAACGGAAGGTTTCAAAGACATTGAGAAAAAGGAATAAATGCTTTTTTGCTGAGGAGATTTCTTACATTTTTCATAATCAGGGATAATAGGACTACGTTTTCCTTCGGGGGTGGGGTTCGTTATCTGATAAGCATGAAGAACAACTTATGTCTGAATTTAAATTAATCAGGCGACTGTGTGGATAAGTCAACTGCGTGACGCTACAGAACATAACTTGGGAGATGTGGGAAGAAACTCAGAGGATATCGAGGCTTTGCAACAGGAACACGAGAAACTTGAGACTACAGCTAAAGTAAGATGCCGCTTGAGATGAGTATCGTTGTAGTCCTTAAACGAGACAGATATGAACGTACATCTCAAATAGGTTCTGCGGGTGGAAGCTTAAAGCATTATTAAAACTTATTTGGGATTGATGTGTTTATGAAACATGGATTTTGTCAGACGATGACACAGTAAGTCACGTAAGTCAGTAAGTCACGTCTTCGTGAATGACAGTTGCGGTGAGCAGTCACTATCAAGATGTGAAGGGAACATCTTAAAGATTCTGAACAACAATTTCATCCGAACGAGAATATTAAGTGGATGATTTTGATCTTTTGCAGAGTACTTATGATTATGGTCGACAATTTCTCCAGGCCTCATTAGTTCTTCGCCGCACTTGTCGCTATGAATTGACTCCAAACTACCAAATGGAGGAAAGGTTAAACAGCGCTTGGAGTGAATTTTCATCGGCCATGGCTGAGCGAGGAGCAAGACTGTCTGTGGCGCTCATGTTTCATCGGAGCGCGGAGAAGGTAACATAGCAGCAACTGACCATAGTCTTTAAGGAAGTAGTGCAAGTTTAATGCTGGGTTTAATTGCTGAATAGCAAATACATTCGACTTCTGTTGAAGTTTTAAGACCTAGCTGTTGTACCCGTTTCTCTCGACGTAAGGTACTGGCTGATAAGAGTTGTAAGGAGTTACCGACACGTTAGCTAACTTTACAGTGAGAGGCCGAGGTTATATCTACAGTTCAACTTTTTTTTATAATCATACACAGAATACCCTTTGGCCTCTACTTTGACAAACTTCAGAAACAATTTTTTACCTCACGTAGCTTGTCCAAGAAATTGAGGAGCACAGAGAGAGATACATGCGAGAGGACCTCCTAGAAGACCTCACAGCTGAATTAATCGAGGAAGAAATTCGCCGACACTCTGGCACAAGACAGGCTATCGACAAAGAATACGCTGATACGGTTGCCATGGGGCAAGCCTTGGTTGACAGAATGCAGTTACCTCCCCTGTTTGGGGAGAACGGTGCACCAAATCGGCCTCCTCATCTCATCGAGGAATCTCTGGCCGACTTAGAGGAGAGAAAAATGGCCTGGGAAAGAGTTTGGCTAGACAGGGACGAGCGCCTACGGCATTGGTTGAAACTCGGAGACTATGAGCAACAGATGCAAGAGGTGAACCATGTGTGAATATAATAGTTTTAAACAGAAGGTTTGATCTGCAGTTCTAATTACTCTACTCCTTGTAATCTTAGTGATGCACTTTTAACAACTTGGTGACGCAGTAGCACTTTAAAAAGAACGTCTGAGTGGTTAGTCGTTTGCGACCAAAGTATAGCCTATGGGGTTAACTTCTCGCCTATCGTTTATCAGTTTTTGAAGGTAATGAAATCTCTCTTCTTTGTTACTTTAAAGCTTCTCCATTGGGTTAAAGATAGAACTAGCGAAACAGAAGAGAAAAAACACGTGATTGGTGAAAACCTGACAGAGGCTGAAGCGCTTAGTGCAGACCTACAGGAACTGGAAGCAAGACTCAAGGTTTGTATCACATGATGCGTTTGTGTAGTGCGGATTGGTCGACATAATATATTCATGCTGTTTAATAGCGTTATGAAGGGAAGCAGCTTTTTTATTAAGGGAGAACAATTGATTGAAAGATGTGATTTAGAACATAGCTGCCTTTGAATTTTCCGTTGTCTCGAAACGTCACAAAACATGCGAGATTCGAAAAACATTTAAGGTTAACCTCTTTAGAAAACACGTACTGAAGTCGAGACTGAATGGCTCTTGGAGGATGTATGTATCCGTGATGAAGTGTATGTCTATTCCAGTTAAAGAAACGTAAATAAAGAATCGATGTGTGGTTTTGTGTTATGGCCTAACGCGAAACAAAGCCCATTGGTCGTAACTTTTACCCGGACAACCGAATGGCAGTGGACTTTTTTTTTGCTACGAATAAAGAAGGAATTAGTTCGGGGAAATAGGCATGGGAGAGTTCATCAGGTATCAGGTTCATGTTTGGTTCTGTGATTGTCTTTTAATGGCTAGATGCGTGGCAGCTCGAAAATCTTCACAGAATTTCCGTTGAAAGGTTCTTTCAAACTCGTTGAGATTATGAGCAGTTTGTTCAGAAGTGCAAAGCTATTCCAAAACTTATGTTTGTTTTCTATTTAAGGATACATCTGAACTTAGGCTTATTTTTAAAAAAAAAACAACAAAGTTGGGCTGGGAAGTGCTCTTGTTTGTCCAGAGCCTGCCCCGCGTTTTTTTTTAAACTTATCTGCGGAGCCACATTTGCATCTATCAAGGCTATTAGTTTTCAGCACCTGTGTAAAATGAGGACATGATGACTAAGAGCATTGCTTCCGACAAAGGTGACATTTCAACATAGACTTAAAAAATATGACTAGTATCGATAAGATTTTCGAAGTAACTTAGAGGGGAATGGTTTCACCACCGGCGGCAACGCTTCTGGTTTTTCGTGGGCTCGTCACTATAAACTTTCTTGTGTGTACCAGAATACTGGGAGTAACCCCCATATTTGAAAATTTCCATACATACCATACACTTCCAAGTGCACGGTCGAAGTTGCAAGGGAATGAGAAGAATGAACTTGATATAAACAGTTTGTAAAGATGACGAATTTTAGAGCACAGATCCTTTGAATGTGAGAGCCGGAAAGGTCATCCAAATTTCCGAGAAGTTAATGCTGTCTTTCCAGGAAAAACCTTCATCCCGCATAATAAGTTGTCAGAATTTGAAACGCTACATTTTATGGAATTTGTATAGACTCGAACCGTTTTTGTTGTAATAAAAATTATCTTAAGTTATTAAGGGAGAATATTCACCATGTGATAAATTTTCTCCGTCACGCCATGATATCAAAGTGCGCCAGCTGCGTTTTCTTTCTTTCAGTGCAAATAGAAAAGTATATTAATTGACCTTTATAAACACGAAGTTTACATACAGTTATACTCGACGACGTGACATAGCTTGGACTACAAATCGTCTTTGCTCGTTGCTCGCTTTTCTGTTAAGTTTTTTATTTACCAGACATGTAATGTGACGCCTTTCGTTTTGACCGCAGCCAAGCGAGTTCTGATCAAATGCGCGTAAACATTAGCCTCAAGTATGAAAAGTATTTGTTCACTGGGGCGTGGAGAGCGCGATGGAATGTGGCTGGTTTTAAGTGGGTTGGCATGTTTCGGCATTTTAAGTTTGCATAAGTAATCAGCCTTAACTGTCGACCTAAGCTTTTGGCTGAATATTGCTGCATCAATTTAACTCACCATTGTTGGATTCTGAGTATCGAAATCCTGAGAGGAGGTAAGCTAATGAAAGCACTTTTAATAGTTATTTTCGTGGAAGCCATTCTCATCCTGGATAATGCCAAGGGAGAAGCCATTTTAGTGTCACGATTGCTCGTCCTGACTCACCTAAAGTGAAAAGTAACACATCCTTAAAGCTTCTGTTCATTCGATCAGGTGTTCTATCGCACTTAGTTTGGCGTTCGATCATTATTTTCTTTCCTTTTCGTGCTTTAAAGAGCTGGGAGCCTTAATAACTATCATGCGTTTGAAAGACGGTGCGAATCCATGCTGGCAAAAGAGCAGTGAATCATTGTTATCGTGTATAAATACTAATTGTCAATTTGTATACAACCACAGAAACATTCAGGTCGATCACAATATCACAGAGACCTGAGTTTATGTACTTGCCTGGCTTGGAAGATTCTTGTTTAGCGAGAACATTACTAAGATTTTTTGTTTGATCGAGGCTATGTCTGTGCAGGAATTACAGGTCACTGTGTACAAAATACACGGATTTTAAGAAGAAAAAGTATTTAAGGATTTCAGTCACAGACGCTAAACACGAAGGGCAGATTTCATCTTAAACTAAGTGAATTGTATATCTGGCTGTAGATCGATATGACGATAATCGATGAAATGGACGTTTCGTGTTAATTATAACGCCAGAGGCAATGACGATAATGTAATTTCCTATGAACATGGTTGCGGGATGTGAAACCTTTCTAATTAACTCTTGAGATCGATCGAGCAAAACGAAAGGATTGTTTGTTAGATGTTAATGAACTCAAGGAGATGGAATTTAAGAGGCGAATCCATGTTAACTAATCACGATTTGGCGTTGAAGACTTGTTTTTTTCTTTGCGATATAAAAATCATCTACGGGAAACATTCCTGAACAATTCAATTTCTTCATGATGCATGACATGACCGTCTGTTTGGTTCTTTTAAATTGTTTTGATGAGATTAACCAAACCTCTTATGTCCTTACGTCAGTGTTTGTGCGAAAGTATCCCTCGGCTACATGTGCTAGATAGCTGAATTTTTGCTTCAAAGGATTTGAAGACTTTAGTTTTTGTGGCCCTCAATCCGTGTATAAATTTTGTATCGGATGTTTTGTATTTCGTGAAAGGGGCATACTGATTATAACCAAAACATTCTTACCATATGCCTGAAATCTCTTCAAGAAATTTAGGGAACAATTCTGTTGTGGTAAACAAGGTCAAAAGGTTAAACAAAATATTACTGATTGTCTACAATACCCAATAAGCTTGAATTTGTATGAGGTATTTGTAACTGAAGAGGCTCTGGAGAGATTATGTTAAGGACTTTTACAATTAACCCCAAGATATGTTATGAATATTAAGTTGCTTTGTCTTACCACGTGAAATACACCCTGCCCAGTTTAGGTTATTTGCAGCTTAGATGAAGGGCACTGTATCAATTTATTGGAAACTTCCATAAATAAATCAGTTATGAAAGCATATCCAGTTCAGATCACATCACTGTCTAAGTAGCACTTGAAATGCTTTTCTTTTTATTACCTTCAGATATTTTTGTTGGCCTCAATCACTGTATTTGTTACCTATTTTATCATCAATTTTTATGTATACCTCTTTTATACCATTAATTTAGATATTAATTATGATTTGTTTACGGTATTTTCCTAAAATGTTTATTTTCAGGAGAAAGAGAGAGAAGTTTCTGAGCTCATTCAGATCATCAAGTCACTACATGTAGCCTCAGCAGAAGATCAAGCTTCCAGACCCTATGGAAGGATGGCAGATTCTTTAGAAGAGGCCTGGAATGACCTCAATGTTCAATTAGAGGGAAGGAGAATACTTCTTGACACATCAGTGGCTTTTCATCACAGTGTAGAGAAGGTATGATGTAAATAGATGTGGATGACCTCCAACACAGCTGTATTGAGTTTGGGTGTGTGAATTGACTTGTCATGATTCTGAAACCTTCATTGATACTTGTCATATGTTACTCTTACTGTGTTAATATTTCCACAGGAATTGAAGTTTTTTATTTTTTTTCACAAATATTTGGTTTATGATCTTACAACGCTGAACTCCATGTTGTCGCAATTTAGTAATACTGCTCTGCAAAGAGATACTCCTTTCACATTAACTGAAAAAACCTTCAGTTCATATCACATTTGACTTTTTCCATCAACAAAGCAATAGGAAAAATTGTTACATTTTGGATTCCTCTATATCAGTAGGTAAAAAGCCTTAGAAAGGCCATCATTTTAGTTTTAACTCCATCTTTTCACCCCTGACTTATATTCTGTATTTTGAGTGACATACTGCAAATGGAGGGGGGTGAAAGGTCACCGGTCATATGAAGTGATAAATCTTTTGTAACTCTTACTGGAGAAGGCTTCTGTGCTCCAAAAGAGCATGTGCATCTGCCCTGAACTCTGCTGAGTGTTATTAGGAATTTTTGTAACTGTCAAGATTGTTTGTAAGTTGACCTTCACTGTTTCATTAATTGCTTTTAGAATCATATTTGGCTGATTAGGATATCGGTAATTTAATGGAAAAGATCAAATTAAATGTTTTCATTTTTAATGACATTAATGGCAGGCTTTGTGCAGAATACTGAGTACTATGAGAAGTTAGTTGAACTCAGCTTACAATTATTCCAATTTTTTTCTTATAGCAAAGCATTTAATATGCTCAATTTTCCTTAGTTTATTGATTCACAATTTACCCTCTTATTTTTCAAAATTATTCTTATGAAAAGAAATTGTTTGAGTTACTTAATTATTAGCAGAATTTTAATTGCTTGTGAGTCGTATGTGTATATGTACTTACCTCTGACAGCTTTTTTAAGCCTCCAATACATATTAGGTATATATTATGGTTCATATTGTATTTGTCTGATAAAACTTACATTGCATATAGAATGCAACATTTACTTGATAAAAAAAATTTAAAAGGGTGACCCTGTAAGAAGAAATCTTGCATTGAAAAATCTGTGGAATGCAAGGTAACTGGTATTTAATGTTAAGATTTATGACGATGATACCTTTTATGGGATGAAATCACCGCTTTTAAACTTGCATGGTTAAGGGTTTTGATCTAGTCGTTCCATCTGTCTGTCCATTTTACGATATAGTCCTTTGCACTTTTCTTGTTATGGTGCCACAGAATGTGAGTAACCAATCTTTACAGATGATTTTTTGTGTAATACCAAATCTTGTCATATTCCATGTCCTTCTGTTTTATAGATATTAAAAGCTGATCCTTCACAGCCTTTGTATGTGTAGCTAATTGGAATTTATCCAAGCATCTATGATATCTGATTTGGGAAGTTGTTAATTTAGGAATGTACATGTATGTTTAGGTTTTATAGAATTAAGTTGGTAAGAATTTTGAACTGCTATTGAATACATGTAGCTTCAGTAGCTGTAGATAAACTGAGCATCTGTGTGGATGCCTTTTATCTCAGGGAGTAATCTGGATGCCTCGATAATGAAAACATGTTATCTACATTTCATTAGTGATAGCCATAAGGGGATATTCTAGGTTTATATGATCCCCTGCAATCTGACTTGTTAAAGTTTTGTTGATAATGGCCAGTTGAGCATGATGTTAACTTGTCTTTATGTTTTAAAAGCTGTGATGTAACCAAAGCTAGCTTAATGAAGTTAATAGTTATGAGAGAAATGTTATAAACAGTCAACATTTTGATGGATTGCATTAATCAATTTTCTTCATTGACAATGTTCAAAATTAAGAGGAATTTTAATAGCATTATACTGAGCTAAAAATATCCTCAGGTTTGATTAATTGAGATATAAATGTTTCTAATTGGAAAATCTTCAAGGGAGAAATTAATGAACAAAACATCCTGTCTGAACTGAGAGACAAATGGTTTTATCTTGAATAGAAAATAGTGCTGGTCACCATCTAAACTGATATTTTCCTACTCTTGAGATATCACTTAGTTATTGGCAGTTTCTTTGCTGCATTTACAGTTTGATTCTTTGGAGGCTTTCAGTTTCTTCCTTTTCTTAATGATTTCATAAGTGTAAGGTAGCATTATGAATTTTTCATCTCATACTTACTTTGGATGAGACATCTTCCTTAGCATCTGAGATAGGATGAAGCTTAAGCTGGCCACAAGGGGCTGTGATTGGCTAGTAAAGGCACACCCTTACATAATCTTGAGCATCTCCCTAGATCTGTCCATGAAGTGCACAAACATTTTGTTTTTTAGAATCAAACTCCTAAACTTGAATTTGATAGATTTGCTTTCTTTATCATTGCTCAAATCAGTTAGATCTAGTATTAGTGTGACCATCATTTTATATAATTCCTTAGTAAATAAAATGTGGAAGGTTTGTACCGTTTAATGACTTTTTCATTAATCATTATTTTACTATGACCTCAGTACTGTACAATTAATAATGTTTTTTGTTGTTGTTTTTAATTGACAGTTTTCTGACAAAATCAATGCCTCAGAAGATGAGATCAGCCGAGTCCTTTTAGTGGAAGATGTGACATCATCATCATCATTACTTCATCAACATCAAGAACTAAGAAAAAGTGTATTGGAATTATCCATGCAGACTTTATCCAAAGGACAAGCTCTCTTGGACAAATTACGAGAGGCCAGTTCACATGCTGACATTAACAATCGTCATGCCACAAAAGCAGCATGTTACAGTGTGGAGCGTATTCTAGAAGCACTACAGCACAGGCGACAGCAGCTTGATGAACAGTGGAAAGAGAGAAAAAAAGTTTTGGAGCAGTGTATGAAAAGATGCAAGATTGATGAAGAAATAAGAAAGGTATCAGAAGGATGTGGACCATTAAAAGTGACTGATCCAAAATTGTTGAGATATTAAATTGTTCCTAATTCTAGTTTATTGACATTGAAGCTGAATGGTTTGTGGTTTGGACCCTTGATCCTGAGTCTCTGGATCATTTTCTCACTGGGTCATTTGTGTTGCTGAACATGACACCTTTTTAATACTGATATGCTTATATTAGGTAAAGTAACATATAACTCTAACAGCATTTTTAAACATGGCAAAAGAAGGTGATATTTGTGATCATTAAGTGTAACTTTTGTTACAACTCAATCTAACAGATCACAAAATGGCTTAATGAAGAAGGAGAGGATTATATCAGCTATCAAGATTATGGAGACTCATCACCTTCAACTCAAGTTCTTCTTGATGAACACTATAAATTTGAGGAAGTGGCAAAGGTACATTTGAGAATTGTTGTTGATTCCTTGGCAAACTTGTCCTTGGCTTTTCATAACTAGTGAGTGCAGGAATTGAGTGCGTATTCCAGGGTGCTGCCTGTTGGTCACAACTTGCTGGCCCCACTATACACTTCATTCTTATATATACTATTTGATCAGTTCTTGGAGTTATTGCTTGTTTAAGTGAAGGGTTAGTGAGTTATAATTTCAAAGAATTAACAATCAGATAATGTGTTGTTACATGCTAAAGATGAGCAGTTGAGCATCTGATGACAACTTTATAAGATTTTGTAAATGATAGAATTGAAAAAAATGTGATGGAAAAGTTTCTTTTTTGTTGGCAGGAAAAAGAAGAGGCTTGCCAGAGGCTTGCTCGAGAAACAGAAAAGCTTGTGCATGGAAATTTCAGAGATGTACAGGAAACACAGCAAAAAATTACCCTGCTTCTAACAAACTTGCAGTTATTCAAAGAACGTTTGGAAGACAAAAGGAAACTACTGACAGATACACTATCTTTTTACAAGAAAAACATCAGAGTAAATGATAGTATTAGTTATGTTTGATTTTTTTTAAAACTATAGACATATTAGTCAAAGCTGTCTTTAGCAGTAGTTTTAAATTTTAATGGCAAAACTTTCCTTTCTATTCTTGTCTCTTTAAGGCACATGATAAGCTTGATGAAATAAGAGACAAAATTACAGAAGAGAAGCTAACCATTGAAGATCAAAAGGAGCTGTATGGAGCAATCAATGCAGCATCTGCAGCTCAACTGCGAGATGGAAAGATACTGCAAGAGAAGATGGCAGATGGGAAACACCAACCTGTCATAGTGAGAATGTATGAAGAACTGCAAGAGCGGAGCACAGCTATGCTTGTTGACGTTGAACCTGATCCTGCGGACAAGGAATTTGAAGATGTAAGATTCTGATCTTTATCCAGTTTTGTGAAACCTGCATAAAACAGACAGTCAGGTTGTGTTTTGTATCAGAAGAAGGTGATATCACAAGAAAAGAAGGAGAGGACTCAGTAAACACATATCTATACCAGAAGTGAAGGGGAATGCAAGTAATTAATTAATGACTGATCATTAGTTTTGTGTATGATTGGTTGAGATGGTGGGGGTCTTATTTATTTAATGTATTGGAGAGGGTTAGGGTTAGAGTGGACGTATCACTGATCAATAATATGCCAATATTTACCATGTACTGTTTTATTTCTACTTAGCTCTGTGGTTGGATTAGGAATGTTGGTGAAGACTTTCTTGATAACAACATTGCAATGGGTGATTCTGTCAAAACATCACAGGAATTTCTGTATTCACATCAAGAAATGGATTCTGAGAGACAGGTCAGAAACAGTAGCTGGGTAAATTACTTGCTTACTACTTATACCTGTATTACCAGATCCAACAAAACCTCTGGTAATAGCACACCTGTGTTCAGCAAGGTTTTGCAGCAGCTTATGACCAGGTTCTAGTTTAGAGTTTGGCTACTGATAAGATCTTCACTCAAGCCATTAAATGCACTAGTTAAGCAACCATCTCATTATTCTTTAGACTGTAAATGTTTTTTGAGCTGATTAATCAGAAAGCATTTTCTAGGTTATTTTTATTATTTTACCTGTAACATGATAAGCTTTTCATTAATTTTAAAACTTATGTGATAATTTTACCATTGGGGTTCTCATCACAAAGGGATTTCAGAAGAAGGAACAAATCCGAGAGTAAAGAAAGATGGTATTTGTTTTGCCACAAAAGCTGAGCAAGAAAGGCACAAAGTAGTTGCAACAATTAGTTACAGAATTTCTACCTGACAAAAATTTTGTGGTATTCACCAAATATTTATTTCTTTGCAGGTTTTTGCAGATCGAATGGCCAAAGCTATTGATGCATCTAATATGCAACTGAAAAAAGATAGTGCTAAAGTGAAAGATATTCAGGATCTGTGGATGAGGTTTTCAGCTCGACTTGAATACCGGCTTAAGTTGGGGAAAATGTACTTTGATTTCCATCGCCACAGACAACTGGTTGGTGCATTATATAGCAATTGATTGTAGAGCAGATAAAAAGGTTCAATGCAAGTTTTAAGTTGCCTGATCAATTATTTGCTTTCCTGATAGCTGTTTGGGAAATTGGATGAGCTCTTCAATCAGCTGACAAGTGATGAGCCTAAGGAGAATGTTGATGCATCACCCACATTACTTGCACGACAAGAACAACTCCAGGATGCCATTCTTTCAGCATCTGGACAAATGCAGAGGGAGTCACAGGCACTTCTTGATGAGTTGCGAAAAGTAAGTAGCTCCCAACACTAAAAGAGCTTTTGGCCATGGTTTAAAGAGGAAAGCATGTATTGTTTTATCTTTCTGTAGGAACCAAGAGAGGAGTGTTTGGACAGAGGGGCAGCTGCTGATTGCATACAGAAGTTTCTGGCAACTCTAGAGGCGAGGGTTCATAAGCTTGGCCAGCTTTGGAACCTAAGAGAAGAACAGCTAAACAAGAACAGGCAGCTGAGTGCTGAGTTTGTGCAGTTTGAAAAAGACACGAGGGAGGTAAGAAGTCTTGTTGTTTGTATTGCTTTATTTGAACACACTATTCATGCCAAGGAAGGCTTACATAACTCACAGTGATTTAAGTGTTAAGTGTAAACTTTGTAGTTATTAAGTTGTAACAGGAACCTGTCCTAATCTGAGAGTTATTTCCATCTTCAAATTGAGTGAAACTGAGCTTATTTGATATGCCCTTAGTACAGGCCAAAGTGATTTCTAAAGGACTAAAGAAAGCCTTCAAGTTTTATTTTGCAATGGTGTCAACCATTGTAAAAATACACAATTGATTGATTTGATGCTTTAATCCAACAAATCTACATTTTTTCCCATTTTGGAATATTGATTGCTGTAATGGTTTAATCTTCAGAGGCATTAAAATCAATAAACTACCTGAGATGTCATGTTCTAGGCCTTTTTTTTCTAAACAGTGTTCTATTGTCATCATTTTAGGTCATACTATGGATCAAAGAACAGAGTGATACATTTTTCCCTGTCAAAGTAGACTACAGCTCCCTTCCCATTGACCCAAGAGAGTTAGAAGACAAGCTGCAAAGGTTCAAAGATGCTGCAAGGGTAAGAAATAGAGAGCAGTTTAAGTCATTCTTTTCAAATTTAAAACCTGGGCTCTACTTGGGGGAATTGGTTGAAAGTATAGGGAGTTGAAGGGCTTTGCTCTGTGAGCTTCGTTTTTAATATGTGGACACCATTTTTTTCTAAACCTCACATGCACCTTTCATCAATTTGTGTGAAACTGGTTAAAACTGGTCTGAGAAAAGCAGTATAAGTTAGTCTGTAAATGTTCATGTAAAATGTACATAGTACGGGGTAAAGACCACCTATTGAAATTTGTTCTTCTTCACATGTAGTTCTAAGTATTATATTATTATTATTTGTTATAGTATTATACTGTTGTTCTTGGTTCCTCCCTCAGCGTACTGATGAAGATGTCCAAGCTCATCTGCGTGCCGCAGAGGAGCTGTCAGAGGCAGAGGGTAGCTACAAAGCAGCCATTAGAGTCATTACAGATGAACTTCAGATTGCTTATCAAAGGTTTAAGACCCTGCTAGCAGATTATGAGGTTTTGCTGTCAATGTCAGCAACATTTTACACTAGTGTTGAAAAAGTAAGTGTTGTAATCTGTCCCTTTCATTCCTAATTTCTCAATAGTTATAAATTTGGTCATACATTTTGTAGAGTTTTTGTACTGAGAATTAGCATTGGATTATGTAACATCCTTGAAATGGTCTTTTCTTTATTCTCACTATATGTTTACTTGATTAGTATTGATATTATAAGTAGAAATTACTTGTTACTGTTGGAAAAAAAGACTATCAAATAAATTTGCCAGGAATTTTAAAATGTAATAATTTTGCTTACAGCTTTCCTTATTGCATTATTTTTGTTCTATGTTTGCATAACAGTAAAAGTGTCATTATCTTTAACAGAACTACTGACACTCTTCCATTTCTTAATGCAACCATTAAAAATACAGTCAGGAACATTTCATAGATCTGCAATGATCATTTCAAAGCTTGAACATCCCCTCCTTGACATTAGAACTTTTGAAGATAAGTTTATTCAAATTCCTGCCCCCTTCCCCACAGTTAAAATTGTGTTCAAATGCCCTGCCTAAGTGCTGAATTTGATGGCAAATTTTTTTGCAAGTGGCAAGATCAGTGGCTGTGACTTTCTTGTGGACCTTTTCTTCAGAGCCATCTGCTTATGAAATTTAACTCTTTACCTTTTAACACCACCACATTAAAAGATAAAAAACATGTATTCCACTGGAGAGAATTTACAGTTCTGCTTTCAATTCCCCACCCAGACAAGGTTCAAATCAGGGCATTAATAGGTTGAATGAACTCATTTTGAGGTTTCTTGGTTGTGCTTTGTGCACTCTTGATTCCTAGAGAATTACAACATCAGGAAAATAACTTTTCTCCTGACTGGATTTCATTTCAGCTTCTCCAAATGATGGATGAAATGACATATGGCCTTCAAAGCCAACCCCTCCCCAGAGACATCAACAATGCCCAGCTCCTGCTACAAGACCATCTTGCCAACTACCAGACAGTTCAAGACCTGTACAGCTTCACCACTGTTAGTGCACAGGATGTCTTGAGCCGGGCTGCCACTTCAGCAGCTGTCTCTGTGTCTCGTGATGAAATCAAGGGCTTCCTTGAGAGATCAGAAGGAAGACATGAGGAATGGAGGTCTCTTTGGGAGCACCATAGGGACAAGTTGTTAGAAAGTGTGCGATTGTGTGAATTTGAGCAGGCTATCAGTGCGGTATGTTTGTAAACTCTATTAGAAGTATGTAAAGGCTGAAATGTCTCAATTACCTTTGGAAGTAATTTCAGTTTTTACAAAGTGAAGTAGATAACAGTATGAGGTATTTAGAATAACCCTAAGACCTTTAGATCTACAAACATGACGCTATCTTGCTCGTGACAAGACAAAAATCATCTTTCTCGAGCTTGAGGTATTGTTTTTTTTTCCTTTTTCTTTATTAGGGGATATTTCCTTCCTGACATTTTATTTCTGTCAACTCCCTTTGTGAATGGAGCTCATCTAATTTGAAATGCTTTGGTTTTGATTTTATGGGAATATTTATTGGCCCTACTTCTTAATGCTATTTTAATTATGTTCTAAAATGAATATTCAGTGTAACAGATGAAGCTTTATAAGTTTTAGTTTACAATGTTTGAACTGGTTTCAGTCATTTTCATGTGTGTTGAGATAGTTTTTACTCAACTTTCTATCAATAATTATTTTTATCAGGTCAACTTGACCATAGAGGAGCACACCAGAGAACTGCTTGCTTTGAACAGAAAGTTTGGAATCACTTTACTTGATGCTGTTACTCTGCTTCAAGAGTCAGATTCATTTCTGGAGTCTGTCAAGGTAGCTATAATAATAATAGTGATAATGATGAAAATGAAAATGATAATAACTTGCTTTTCTTTCAAGTTGCTATTAAGGGGAGATTAAGATTAATTTTGATAGGGCTTGTAAATACCTTGGTGTTAAAACTGTCAGAGAGCTGATCATTTATCTCCCCCATCTGCTGGTCTGTTTTTTTTTTTAATTTATTTTTTATTAAATATAGTGTTTTGTAGACTCAATTTGAGGTACATAAGTGCATTTAAAATATTTTTTACAGCCAGCTGATGTGGAAGTTGGTAGACTGGTAGAAGAAGCAGAGAAATTGAAGCAATTAAATCATCATGATGCACCTGCCATTGTGCGACAAGTTTCTGCAATGGAAGCCCGCTGGCAGAGATTTTTGTCCAGGATGGAAGACCATAGGGCCATGCTTGAAGCATCAATAGAGTTCCATCAACTTTATGAACAGGTTTGTTACTAGTATACTCATGTGTTTATTAGTAACAGAATTAGATGAGAGGGTTGATTTTGTTTGTGTTACACTAACCATTTGCTGTTACATACAGGCAAATTTACCACCCCTTCTTTTACTTTTCTATTACCCATGTTCTTGGTTCTTTAACAGTTATTTCTCCCAGTCAGATTGATTGTGGCCATTTATAGTATGTGTTTTTCTTTTTAATAGGCAACAGTTTGGATCAGTGATAGTGAGCACTTCTTGAAAACCACCCAAGATGAAGCAAAAAGGTGCAAGACTGAGGAGGAAGTTATAGACCTTCTGGACATGTTGGAAGGATTTGTTAAGCCTGGGCTTAATAAGCAAGAGGCACGACTGAAGAAGTTGGCTGAACTCTCTGCGAAACTTACAATGGATGAGCCTCGCTACCAAGCAAAAGATCTTATGACCAAGCAGAAACACATCACTACAAAGTTTGATCTCATGGATAATGACCTTTTTCGTTTAGCAGAGAGGCTCAGGGAGAGAAAGCAGCGAGGACTTCCTCCTAAGGTACAAATCCAGCTGTTCATTACTTCTTTAAGTACTACACAAGTTTCGTTAAAAAGTTATGCTTAACAATTTTTTAACCCAAGTACCATTCAATTTCACTTGTCATGTATTATACATGGAATATATGAATACGAAATCTGTCAGTGAAATCATCACTTTATCTTGAGATGTGATTCACAATGTGTTAGTTGAAACCTGTAGTATTATCTGGAAATTTATACTTATGTGATGGCACGATGTTTTACAACCAATCAAGAAATCCAGGTCCTATAAGTGTGTGATTTCTTCTGTAACTTTCAGGCAGAAGAGGTAACAACAGAGCGTGTGGAAGCTTACGAGAAAGAATTGCTGGAGACCACTCCTGACACGTCGGGGTATGAAAAGCCAATACGTGTAAATGTGTTGTCATCATTTGTTGATGGAGTCTTGGGTAGTAAAAGACCTGGGGACCGGGAAGTATTTGAAGAGGCTGGACCAGCCAAGCGTCCACAGGTTTCAGTGCGAGTGAGATCAGACAAACCAGTTAGTACAGAAACAGAGCAAAAGATCGAGCCTATCATCAAGTCAGAGATCCAGGGTTGGTTTGAAGGTGGAAAAGCTCTGAAGCCAGTTGAAATCCCAGAACATGAGATACTGGTTCATATCAGTGAAGATACTAAGCGAGAACCTAATCAGATGGGTTTAGCTCCATGGGGTGTAGAAGTGGTAAAGAAAGATGTTACAGTGACTTCCTTAGGGCCTTATGTCAGCACAGACATTGAAGTTGAAACGGCCCTCCACACTCAAACATTTCCACCATCTTCAGCAGACCAAGCTCAGCTAACTAGAAAACGTGTATGGAAAACGACCACAAGGGAGACCACTACAAGTATCAAGCAAGAAACAAGAACTGAAGTAGAGATGTTGGTGCCAGAAAAACCAGAAATGATGTCAAATCTCTATGTATTTGGTGCTTTGCCTAGTTCTGAGAATCTGAGTGTTGAAGTGCGGTCTAAGAAAACTGTTGAAAGTACACCAGACACCTCAGAAAATACCAGCCCAGAGGAAATAAACAGGGTGGAAGGAGGCATGAAAAGAGCTAACGAGAACATCTGTCGGAAAATTGAAGACTCTGTAGCAAATACCCACAAACCGTAAGTCCTCAAAAGGTTACAGTTTGTGAGAGATACACAGTTAACTGTTGTACTGTTTGTCAATCATAGATACATTGTGTACGTGCAATAACTGTTCTTTTTCCCACAGATTGCAGCATACTAAACATGCTGAGCTGCTCATACCCCAACATGCTGGTTCAGTTCTGATCTTCACACCACCAGATACCCCACGAAGGGGGTCAGCTCCTTATGTTGATTCTAGCAAGCTACCAAATGGCCACTCAGCTGATGAAGGTCAACCGAGGTTTGAGTCTGAAGTGCATCTCATGACAACACCTAATGACTTCAACTTTGATGCTGTGGAGTTAACTCTTCCATATCCCTTTATGAATGGGGAAGCCCCTGCCTCAGACAAAGGAGCTAAACTGCGTAGAATGAATGCCATCACTGATAGGTTAATTGAAAGTGAGAGCAATTATGTGGATGACTTGAAGTCACTTGCAGAGGTAATGTTTTTATTTTTGAAATTAGTTTCAAAAAAGGTAGATAGTTAAGATTTCTTGACTCTGCATTTTTTAGTTGTGAGAGTAAAGTTCCTTGATTTATTTTTCAGGATTACATCTATCAGCTTCCCAACGCGCCATCTCAATTGGCGGACAATAAAGACACCATCTTTATCAATTCAGAAGATATATTCTTCTTCCACAAAGTGTATGTTGTTAATGTGATTGTCGCTATGTAGCTTGGCATGTCTCAGTGTTTAGGATAGGTAGCTGCTTTTGCTATATGGAAAGTGAAAAAACCACATTTCAGGGCGTGAAATTAATTTTTTTTTTCTGATAGCCACTTGGCTCCTAAATTCATCAAAGTGGTAGACAATTCAAAAAAAGTTGGTCGCCATTTTGAAAGACAAACAAAACCTTTTTTTTACGCTGTCATCGTTCTAGAATTTAAGTTAGGGAAAAGATCTTTAACGTGCTACAAAGGGGACACTAGGATGGATGATATACAATGTTTAAGCTCACCTAAATCCAAGATGGCGTCTAGCTATCGATCGAGATGCATCTGCTGCGTTTTGGAAACAAACTTAACGAGGAAGTTTGCCGTGGATTTGTCTTGGCAAATCTTTTTAATTCACTATATCTCTAGGTAAGGTTATGATGAAACATTCTAGTCGCCAATTTGGCGACTAATTTTCAGAATATGGTCGCCAAAGTGAAAAATGTAGTCGCATTGGCGCCTGTATTAGGCGCAATTTCACGCCCTGCATTTAGTTTTTCTTGCTCGCGTTTCCTTCACCAAGCAAATGCCCTCGAATTAGACAGATGTTGTGAGGCCTGACTTTGCGAATATCTAGGTAAAACTGAAAATTTAAGTTTGACTTTAATTTCAATTTTGTTAGGATCTTTTGTGACGAGTTGGCAAAGTGCAAAGGAAATCCATCAGAGGTTGGAAAAGTGTTCAAGAAAAGGGTAAGAGCCGGCTATGCCATCCCTTCCTATTTTCTGATAATTATCCTGTGGAAAATCCGTAATAATGCTGCCATTTTAGTATGGCTAAGGACCTTTACTTTTTTTTCTACCCAGGAACATGAACTTGACAGATACATAACCTTTTGTGATGGAAAGAGTGAATCAGAAAGCTTTTTGGAATCACATCCAAAGGATTTCTTCAAGGTAGCTACATTGTAATCTTATGCAACTGGTGTGTTTTCGCCATTTTGTCTCATTGACGTTTTCTAAATTTTATTTTACTTTAAATTTTACAGAAATGTGAAAATGAAGCGCCTTCTCGTCCCATAAAAGAACTCTTGGATCGGCCAGTTGAACGTGTTTTAGAATATAAAGCCTTTCTTGGTGATCTGCTGGAGTGTGGGGAAAAGGCTGATGTGGATACAGCTGACATTGAGGTATGACACATTGTTTTAATTGTATTTTTAATAATTTTTTGTACCACTTCCTCTTCATTTGTAAATTTACATATATATTTGAAAGCTAAATATAGTCCTTGTGGTCGTTCACCCAAATTGTATCTGTTCAGGCTGGCAAAGAAGTAATTGATCGCCTTTGTGCAGAAATTCGTCAGAAGACCAAGTAAGTGTTTCATATTTTGGTCAATATTAGACAGGGTGTTTACCTAAGAGCCCCCTTATCAGTGCTGGTTTCTGAAGCTTCTACTTCAGAGCCTCCTTTTTGGTGTGGGTCTCTTTTTGGACCATCAGCGTGAGCACAGGATCGAATAGAGTAGCATTATTTAAAAAAATGAATTTGTTAATTCTAGGTTTGAGATCCTTTTGGCTTCTACTCCCAAAGAAGTTGAGTTCTGTATAGCATTAGAAGACTACAGAGATGACCACAACAACATTTGCCTCAGGAAAGGAGAGACTGTGGTTGTTTTGGATCGAGTGTCACACCCTGGAATGTACAAAGTAGTCAAACTTCTCGCAGATGGTTCCCAAGGCGATGAAATTTTGGTTCCAGCAACAGTTCTTCAGCGTAAGAAGTCCACAGCAGAAATCATAATGCCTGCAGGTAATTCCATGCAAGTTTATGCCAGTGTGAATGACTGGTGCAACCTGCTCAAGGAAGAACCCTATCAGCTTAACCTCTCGTCGGCACTAGCTGGAAATGATGATTCAGTTGAGAGCAACTCAGTGCCATATCTTTATGGTGTCTGCCATTTTTCGGAGGCGAGGATGTAGGTTTAATTCACATTTCTCTCTCTCTTTTCACAGAATACACCATGAATCTCAGGTCTAAGCCCGGATCCAAACTGCCAGAGGAGGTAGGAACGCACATAAATCGCATATCCGTATTGACACAAGCCACGGCCTCCATTAGATTTATCCGTTTTTGATAGGAACCATATTTTTTTAAATCGTAGACGGCAATTGGAACACATATTATGTAAAACAGAAAATTTCTTTGTCTCCCACTGTTTTCGTAATTGTGAGAATTGTGATATACACAACGAGGATGGTGAAGATTATTTATTTATTATTGATTTTATTATTTTTCCCTCATACCCTTAAGTAAATGCCACATTATTCCGGTTGAATGCGGCGTTTTTCTGAGGGAGGTGACTAAATATGGTAGTTTTGGTTGGTGGTGACATGGCCTTATTTAACTCCTAATATGCACTGCTTTCTTTCCTGATCGCTGAAAAGGTTTCGGAAATTTTTGTCCTTGCTACGGAAAGAGAAGTTGTAGAAGTGGCACCAGTAGAGGTCGCATCAGGTCTGTTGGTAACTCAACTCATAAATACACACGCAAATGCACTCATAATACTCCTGAATATTTAGTGAAATGTGAATAGAAATAGTAATGAGCTATCTGAAGAGAACGTAAAGAAATACGAATTGTGTGTTGTTTAGTAATCATGTCCATTTGCAGTTCAAAAAAGGTCTATCTGGCTGTTTAAAAATGACATAAGAATTAACTGGTTTCCAAGCACGTGGAAAATGCATTGTGAAAAAATGTACATTTAGATTTATTCAGCTCATAATTTAGGCTTACTATCTATGATTTCCCTTTCACCTTTCTTAGCCAAAATTCCAACTATGCCAAATCCAACGGTCTACCCCCTTACTAGAGTTGTTTCATGTTTTGTCTAAAGCTTATACTTGCATATGCTCCTCATAATCACAGCTCCAGTTGCTCCAGTATTCACTATGCCATTAGAAAATCTTAAGGCAGCTGAGGGCCAACCAACACACCTGGAGGTTCGTGTGAGTGGTACCCCAGAGCCTCGAGTAGTATGGCTTAAGAACGACCTTCCCATCAGAACTGGAGAGCGCATTCATACTGAGAAGGATGGCAATTTGTACAGTTTGAAGATTTCAGAAGTTGATATTGAGGATGGGGGAGTATATACATGCCGTGCTAAAAACGTAGCTGGATCAGCAACTTCCATGGCAGACCTGAATGTTGAATGTAAGAAGATAAAAACACAGAGCCATGTTACTGCACGGCCAGTCAAGCGTAAGGCCTTAATGACTAATTACTAATGCCTAGTTTCTAAAATATTTATGATAAAATATATTAAAGTTCACACGGCAACCAGATGGACAGTCAGACATAGTTTGATGCTACTCTGGTTTGCAGATTTAATGAATGTAACTGAAGAAGTTACATTTATGGTCTATGAATTTATGGGTCTATGAATTGTAACTTCTTCGGTTACATTCATTAAATCTGCAAACCAGAGTAGCATCAAACTATGTCTGATATTTATGATATTTACTAATTCTGGCGTGACGCGTCCATAGGAGTTAACGGCTTAGTTTGATTTTAACACAAGCTGATAAAGAATTTGTATTGTGTTGAAATATAACGTAATGGGAGTCTTGGTTGTGTCATGTGATTGTTGTGGTGGGTTTTTTCAACATTTATAAAATTAAAAACTAACACACACAAAAAACGATTTTTACAGCTGGTGAATCAGAGGGGGAACTTGACGTGGATGATGAAACTGACAGCTCTGTTTTAGCAATGTAAGGGTATTGATATAAATTTCTGTACAAAATTATTCTTAATCCAGTTGCAGTAATGTACACGAGTAAGCAGTGGTAGTCGGTAATTTTCTCTTCACCTGGATCTATTCATTTCGCAAAAGTGCAAACCATTCAAGAATTGTCGTTATATTATTATTATTATTATTATTATTATACAGGAGCTAAACTACATCCAACTTTCGATACTGTGCAATAAGGAAAATCATACCGCAGTTTTAGTTGATGTACTTCTCAACAACTGAGTTTGCAGATTATCTTTTAAACGTAAAAGAATCTCTGTCGTTTACTGTAATACACTTATAGTACTTTAATACTTGAGATGAGTGTTTGAAATATTCAGGCCAATCAAGACAGTGAAGCTAAGAATATGATTAGATAGTGGAAGTGTAGAATTTATTACAGAGAATATCAGAGAATTCAATAAAGGTCAGTATGACATTGAAGATTTTTTTTATTATAATGGTTGGGACACTATTTTACAAGTTATTTAAAGACAATCTGAGAATCCGTTTCTTTACTCTCGTACAGAAATCTAAATCAGCTACCCCAGTCAGTGACGTTAACTGTTGATGGGCAAGATAGAACTGGGTTTGCACCCATCGAAGTTCAACTTCCTACACCCGGTGATATAAGTGCTTCTGAAATCCATTTGATGACAGAGAGTAGGCCAACATCTCGTCGAAGGTCTATTCCCCCCGAATTCACCACAGAACTTACAGACAAAACAATTGAAGAAGGAGATTCAGTAGAAATGCAGATCTTTGTTACTGGCACACCTCCACCTGAAGTGATTTGGTATAAAGATGATCAACCAATCACAATTTACCCTCACAGGCGCTTCCATGCAACCAGAGAAAATGACATCTGTAGCCTAGAGATCAAGGATGCGAGATGCAGTGATCAAGGAAACTATATATGCCGAGCGAAGAACACTGCCGGTGAAGTCAGAAAATCCTGTAAACTAACCGTAAAGCAAGTCACTCCAACAAGCCCTCCTTCCTTTGTTAAACATTTAAAGGATGTGCATATTGTGGAAGGCTCTTGCACTCGTTTCGATGTGAAAGTCACAGGAATGCCAGAACCTGAGGTAGCTTGGTTTAAAGACGGAGTGCCAGTTAAACAAGACAAGCATTTGGAAATTGTTCACGATGAAGACACGTCTGCTTTGATTCTTATGTATGGCACACTAGAAGATGCAGGTGACTATACTTGTAAAGCCAGTAGTGAGGCTGGGGCTGCTGAATCATGCGCGCATCTGTACATATCACCTTTACAAATACCTGCCAAATTTACGTCACAGTTAGAAAGTGTTGTGGTGTCTGAGGGAGACCCAGTCAAGCTCAAGTGCTCAGTGCTTGGAAAACCAGATCCCAATATAATTTGGTTTAAGGACCAACAGCAAGTTAACGAAAGTAGCAGGACAAAAATGAAAGTGTTATCTGACAACACATGCTTATTACACATTCTCAAGACGGACATGGATGATGAGGGGATTTACACATGCGCTGCAACAAATTCTGCTGGAGAGGATACTACCTCTACCACAGTGACAATAAATGGTAAAGGGAAAGCTCCGGAGTTTACCAAAGCTTTGCAAAATACTGAGGTTTCAGACGGCAGTCCACTTTGTTTAGAAGTAAGAGTTAATGGAAAACCAACACCATTTGTAGAATGGCTGAAGGGCACAAAGCTGTTAAAATCTGGGCCACGCTTTGATATCCAAACAAGAGGAAATACACATACATTTCTAATTACGAATTGTAGAGATGACGATGGTGGTACGTATGTGTGCAAGGCAAGGAACAAGTTCGGTACAGCCTCTTGCGAAGTAGTGCTAGTGGTTGCAGAGGATACTGTACCACCAAGATTTACAAAGAAACTCTACGACTCTACAGCTGATTCTGGTAACACCGTTGAATTTTCTGTCAAGTACATTGGTAGTCCAGAGCCAAAAGTCAAATGGTATTTGGATGATGAGGAAGTTTCTGAAGACGACGAAGGTATGGACATTGACACAGAACCTGGTTCATCTTTGCTAGTACTAGAAGACATAGCACCGAATGACTCTGGGCAGTACAAATGCATTATATCTAATGTAGCAGGCAAAGCAGTCACAAGTGCACAGCTCAAAGTGAGTGATGAAGGTAAAGAAACATTCCCAACCAGTATTCAGCGGGTTGTCGAGGCTGTTCCTCCCCCAGTGGAAAAAAGGCTTAGTGGTAAAGCACCTATGTTCATTAAGGAACTTTCAACTCTCCGTGTTACTGAGGGAGATGCAGTCCGGTTGGAAGTAATAGTTGATGGCTCACCCAGACCGGTTGTGCAGTGGTTTGTTGAAAATGACCATGTGGTAGAAGACGAGCATACACATACAGTCCAAGAGGGAAATAAGTATGCTTTGATTATTGACGGAACAGTATTGGACGACGAGGCTGAGTACAAGTGTGTTGCCAAGAATTCTCTCGGGTTAATAGAATGTACAGCTGAACTCTTGGTGGATGAGATAGCTATCAAACCTGAATTTCTAAAAGAACTGAGGCCAGTTGAAGTTTTGGAGGATTGTAATGCACAGTTTGAAGTGGAGATTCAAGGAAATCCTGAACCAGACGTTGCATGGTTTAGAAACAATGTTCTTATTGAACCCAGTGAAAAATACAAACCAAGCTGGACTGAAAACGTCCACAAATTGGTTATTCATAAAACTGTTCTCGGTGATTCAGGGGAATTCGCGTGCCAGGCAAGGAATGATATTGGTTTGGTTTGGAGTGTTGCACCCCTCACTGTTAAACCAGGAAGAACTTACGGGAAACCTCCATCCTTCTTGGAAAAACCTCAAAGTACACATGTAATGTTAGGGGATGTTGTTTCCTTCGAGGTGAAAGTTGAAGGTACGCCAATGCCTACTGTTAAATGGTTCAATGAAGAGGGTGAAGAAATTCCAAAAACTGGTCGTATTTTTTCCTTGCCTAGTGGTAAATTAGCATTCAGTTCTGCGACTCTAGATGACGAAGGAATCTATAAATGTGTTGCTGTCAATGAGAGTGGAGAAGCGTCATGTCAAGTGGAGCTTTTAGTTAATCAAGGAAATGCTTGCCAAGAAACTGAAGATATTTCTCCGTCACATAATGTTGTTGTGGAACGTGAAGTATCCCTTGAAGGTGTGCTCAGCGTTCTAAAGGAGGCAGAAACGCCGCTACCACCACAAATCGTGAAGAGGTTAAAGGATCTTAGTGTAACAGAGGGTGACACAGCACGTTTTGAAGTGCACATTACTGGAGACCCTACACCTGATGTAGAGTGGTCCAGCAGTGGTGAGAAGATAGAAGGAAACGAGGAGACCCTTGTGGAATGTGATGGTGATATTTACAAACTTATTCTGATGGATGTTCTTCCAGACGATGATGGAGAGTACACAGTCACAGCTACAAACAAGATTGGAAAGGTGTCATGTACCGGGAAACTCTCTGTCGCAGAGAAGATTAAGAAGCCTTCTTTCTTGGATGAACTGAGGAATGTTGACGTAACAGAAAATACTGATGTACGCCTGGAAGTACGAGTACAAGGCACAGAACCTGATATTGATTGGTACAAGGATGGCGTTTTGATCGAAGAAGTTACGTCCAGAACTGAATTTGTTGAGAACGAAGAGAGAGGAAGTTATGCTTATCTCATTTACGGTGCCACATCAGAGGATCAGGGCACCTATCGTTGCACGGCGATAAATGAGGCCGGCCATGTGTCGTGCGAAGGACAACTGACGGTGAGAGAAAACGTCACTCCTCCCAGGTTTCTCCAACGCCTCGAAGACAACTCAGTTGTGGAGGGAGGTGCTGTTGACTTGGAGGTAGAGGTCAGTGGCAGACCAAGACCAGCTTTGAAGTGGCTGAAAGATGGGAGCATTGTTGTTCCAGATGATCGTTTTAAAATAGACACAGAAGGCCGTATTCATACATTGCAGATAACTCAATGTATGCTTTCAGATGGAGGGAAATACACTTGTACTGCTTCTAACAGTGGCGGCACGGATACTTGCTCTGCTAATTTGCAAGTCGAAAAAGAGATGCACGCCCCAGAATTTGTTGTTCGACCTGAAGGAGCACACATTGTCGAGGGAAGCCAAGCCAGATTTGAGGCAGTTTTTTCTGGTCTACCAGAACCCGAAATTGAGTGGTTCAAAGATGGAAAACTTGTACGAGACAGTCACCGCTTTGAACTGGAGTTCGACAGAAATCGATCCGCTCTTACTGTGAAGGGAGCAAAACAAACAGATGACGGAGAATTCACGTGTACAGCTACCAACCAAGTTGGGAAGGTTTCTTGCTCTATAGAACTTGTTGTTGACGAGGCAGTTGTTGCACCTGAATTTGTCAAGAAAATGACAAATATAGAGTTATGCGAGGGTGACTTGGCGCGATTTGACGTTCGGGTGTCTGGCACACCTCAACCAGACATAAAATGGTTGAAGAATGACGAGTCTTTGCGAGGGGAATCACGATACGAATTTCTCTCCGATGATGACATGCATTCCTTGGAGTTGTCTTATTGCCTGTTATCTGATGCTGGAACATACCGCTGCACCGCCTCAAATGAGGCAGGAGAAACGTCTTGCACTGGCGAACTCACTGTTGCAGAAAAGCTGTCCCCTCCAGTGTTTACGGATGAGCCCTATTTTCCAAGTTTGATTGAAGCTGGAGGTGACATCGTGCTAGAGGCGATGGTTAGTGGTAAGCCTACACCAACTGTGGAGTGGGTCAAAGATGATACAGCTCTTAAGAACAGCAGTCAATTTAACATGAAGGCCAAAGATGACAAACATACCCTAACTATTTCTAGTGCTAGCCCTGCTGATTCTGGAGCTTATAAGTGCATCGCACATAATACTGCTGGAACGTCCACAAGGACTTTCAACGTTAACATTGAAGGTAAGAATGTCTGTTTCAATGTTTATCTTTTGTAGCAGCTTCCATGTACATGTAGCACAGATATTTCACTGTGCTATGTCATCCTCAGATTAATTTGTGTATTTTAACATGCATTGCTCTAACTGGTGATGGCAGAAGCGTGTGAGACCAGATACCTTTGTAATCATTTCGAGTCGGACAATACATAAAAATATTGACCAATCATATGGCTCTTTAGTGGCTTCTATGACTTGAACTGTTTTTCAAACAATGTGCTCTGTGGTAGATGTTAAATGTCGGAGAAGCTTGCAACAGTTTGCTTTTACATGAATTACACTTCGTTAGTGAGCTGCAATCAGCATACCGAAAACGCTCTACTTCGGGTATTTAAGAGGCTGCTTCGTAAAATGATATCAACTGACATAAGGTTCTCTATGTAACATTGTAAGAGCAGTGGTAGACCAACAAAGGCCCAAGCAAATAGAATAGAGTTTAATTCTGTAAAATACTTCTTAACCTTATCATTAGTAATCCTGCCCAGCTTTCTCAGCTATTGGCTTCAAGGTGGCTTTTATTTGTAAGCATCTGAGGAAAGACCTAGCACTATATAATTATTTAAGTGTATCAGCATACTTTACATATATTGTCGGTTAAAAGCATAATTATATCGCTCAACCATTGCTCTGTGTGTACTTTGTAATTGTTATCAATCAAAGGCACCTCCCTCACCTCAACTAATGCTTTTTATTCTGCTAACTGTACTTTGTACATTCTGCCTTGGTGCAGTGTTTCTTCCTCACTTGTTGTCTGTGGACGAGCTATGGCTTTGTTGAAGTCGGTCTTTGTGTAGGCTAACTGGCCTCTTCCAAATCTTGTAACACGTTTGATTCTGCTTATCATACGTCGTTCATACCTCTGTCGTGACGTCTCGCAGACGAGCTTCTAGATACAGACGGTCTACCTTTACGGAAATGTGAAGAAACAATCCCTTTTTTATTGCATAGCCTCAAAGCCGCACGGAACTGCGCCCACGTTTACAAAGTTGTTGGTGTCACCAACAGCCATTGAGAACTCTCCAGTTACTCTGGAGTGCGAAGTCGTTGGTTCTCCTGAAATATTCATCGAGTGGATCAAAGGCGATTGTCGAGTTAGGCAAACGACACGTGTTCGTACCGAATTTGATGGGAAAAACTGCCGTCTGATATTCTTACGCACAGAGCTCGATGATGAAGCAGATTACAAGTGTATTGCTAGAAATGCGTTTGGCACTGCATCTACAGATTGTGAAGTGCTAGTGGAGGAAGATCTCAGTCAACATCATAGTGCACCTTTTTTCAAAAAGAAGCCACACAACCAAACGATATCAGAAGGTCAACATGCAACGTTCAGTGCTATTATCGGAGGAACCCCAGAACCCGAAGTCGATTGGTTTAAAGATGAAAAAGCGATTGAAGATAAAGGGAGATTTGTCATTAGAGACGATCTTGACAAGGGAAAGTTTTCCCTAACCATTGAAGAAACCTTTGTTGAGGATGCCGGCATATACAAGTGTGTTGCCTTTAATGAAGTTGGAGAGGAGTCATACGAGGCAAGATTAAGTATTATTCCCCTTGGAAATAGAAGTGAACCCACCTTTGAGGTGCCTTTTGAAGTCTCCGTTAATGCAGAGTCGGCCACACCCCTGAGCTTTGCCAACCAGCCAAAGTTTGTGGTAACATCAGGAGAACAAGGTGCAACTAAGGATCAACCTCGACCCACGAAAGAGAAGCTTACAGCTTCAAGAAAGACCGCAGACTTTGATCTTGAACCTCCGCACTTTATTGCCTTGCCGGAAGGTCTCAGTCCTTTTGAAGTGAACGCAGATGAAGATGTCACTCTGCAAGTGAGAGTAAGAGGTAAACCTCTCCCGGAGGTAAAGTGGCTGAAAGATGAGAAGCCCCTGGTAGAAACAAGCAAATTCCTATGGAACAATGACACAGATATATATACGTTAGTGATCTGTGGACCTACACCAAGAGATAAAGGAACTTACGTCTGTTTAGCATCAAATAGTGCTGGAACTGCCACGAGAAGTTTTGAAGTGAACATAGAAGGCTACGAAGACTGGGTTATGCCTTCATTTGAGGAACATAAAGCAAACCCCTTTGTAATATCAGATGATGGCGATGTGACCATGGACGTTAGAGTAGCGGGGAATCCTTCACCAAGCATTGAGTGGAGAAAAGATGGTCAACCCATTTTGGAAAATGAACGGGTTAAATTATTTTCTTCAGAAGACGTTCACAGACTTTTTATCAAAGGAGCTTCGCCAGAAGACGAAGGGAATTACATTTGCACGGCAACTAACCCAGCTGGAAAGTCGACCAGAACATACACTCTAGACATTGGTGGTGTTGGGCCTGAAGAGGTCAGAAGTCGCCAGGAAGTTGTAGACGAAACATTAGTGCCTCCCAGAATTGTAAAACAGACAGAGCTAGAGACACCGATAAGTATTTCTGAGGATGGTGATGTTAAACTGGAGGTTATGTTCAATGGAACCCCAGACGAAGAGGGGACAAAGGATGGAATATTCTTACAGGAAAGTAACCATTTTCAGATAAACTCAGAAGTTGGAGTGCAGAATCTTGTTATTAAGGGTGCCAATCAGGAGGACAAAGGAGTATACAAATGCACGCCTTCTAATAAAGCTGGCTCCTCGTGGAAAACATTTTCAGTTGATTGTGAAGAAGCGGAGAACGTTCACCCAGAACAGCCTTCGGGACTGGAAAGGCCTTCTTTTGTTGAAGATGAAAATGTCGTTCCTTTTCAACTGACTGTTGATGGAGATATTAAGCTTGCAGCAAGAGTTCAGGGTAGCCCCACACCACAAGTTGAGTGGGATAAGGATGATGTTCCTCTACAAAACAGCGAGCATATTGTTATTACTTCTAAAGATGACCTTTACTCCTTACTGATTTCAAATCCAACTATCTCTGACAAAGGAAAGTACACTCTTACTGCCACAAATGAAGCTGGAGTTGGTACACGCGCTTTCGATGTTAAAATTAAAGGTAGCTCTTTATCTTGAAGTTATAAAGTGAGAGGTTTCCTTTTGTAATTTTTTTAAATTTCTCTAGTTTAGACATTTCTCATTTTCTTGCTGGCAGATGAAAGTTTCTCCAAGTAATAAATTGGATCCTTTTAACTGGTCTTAGTTTAGTCGCGATTTGGTTTTCTCGTACGGATTTGCCACGTTGTTCGCTAGTAGACAAACATTAGAAAGAGAATGATACTCCTCTGACCATCGGGGTGCCTCCACAGATAGTACTTTCTCGAATTCTTATTAAATGCATTGATCAGTTGTTTAATTTGTCCAGTTTCCCCCAAATCCATCATCTGGAATTCTTGGTAAAGTTTGATTTACAAAAAGATGAACTTGGTACAATTTGTTCGCCCAAGGGAACCATATGGTTGATATGCTTTTCAAGCTTTATAGCTGCTTTTTGCAGTCGTCTAAAATTTAATTGCAGTTATCATGAAACATGTTTAACTCGTAATGATTTTGTGTCATTATTACAATATGCTTTTTCTTCACCAGATAGACAGTTGATCTTATTTTTCTTAGCCACTAATTTGCTGAGTAAATTGAATTATAATGAATGTTGATCAACGTACATGTCACAGGTGCAAAGCCAATTAGTTCGTCGCCAGAAATCACCAAGGAACTTGATGAGGTAGAGGTACTTCAAGGACAACCAATCACGTTGGAGTGTCATGTCTCTGGAGCTTCTGATGCTCACGTGAAGTGGTTTCATGACAATGTTCTTCTGACTGACAATGAGCGAATAACCACCTCATTCGATGGTGTGGTTTGTGTCCTGACAATCCAACGCTCAATTCTAGATGATGAAGGGGACTATCTGTGTCAGATAGAGAATGACCAAGGTGTCGTGTCAAGTTCTTCTGAAGTGATAGTGGACGAAGGAATGGCATTACCAATTTTCAAAGAGCCACTGAAAAACACAAGTATTACCGAAGGCGAGAATGTCTGCTTTGATATCCGTGTTGTAGGAAACCCAGAACCAGTCGTGGAATGGTTTAAAGATGGTGTACAGCTTGAAGATGAGGGCCGTATTATGATAATTGATGACGTGGATGATGATCAGCCAGAACTCTTCTCACTTGTAATCGAAAAGTGTGAACAATCAGATGTCGGTCTGTACAAATGTATAGCTATGAACGAAGCTGGCAAAGATTCGTGTAGTGCTCAACTGCAAGTCACCTCTTCATCAGTTGCACAGAAGAGTCCAGATATTGCTAAGATTCCTGTGGATGTCACAGAGGGCCAAGACGTAACACTGAAGGCTTTGACCAGTGCACAACTTCCCAAAGTCATTTGGCTTAAGGATGATGAACCTTTGATGCAGAGTACCCACTATGATATTGATGCTAAACAAGGCATCCATACTCTGACAATAAGAAATGCCTTACCTGAGGACTCTGGGATTTACAAGTTTGATACTAATGATGATAGCACCAGTATCTTCAAGGTCACCATTAAAGGTAATACTAGCAAATTTGTTTTTCAAAGAGAAAATCTTGTGTATGAAAAACTCTGGAAGGCGGTTATGTGCTTCATTAGATACACGAAAAATGCACTGCGTCGGTGCTCGCTATCAGTTAGTTTTGCAATCATACTTTTTTTTAATAGTTCCACTAATAATTTACTTTTTCTTTCACTAAAATATTTGCGGAAGCTATGTTTACTTGAATGTTTTTCTAAATTTGTTGAAGAGTGTTTTCACGTAATTATGGTATTTATTGAGGCGAGGTTTGGATAGAGTTGCTTGATGATAAGGGTAATTTTTCAGTCAATAAATTGGGTGTGGTAAATGAATATCGGACAGTGTCCCATTTAAACCTCTTACCTCTCTCATTAAATCTCATCTTTATTTATCTTGAAGGGAAAGATTCTTTAGATGGCGTCGCACCGGAGGTCACAGCAGTAAATAGTCCTGTGGAAGTACTTGAGGGAAGTACAGCCAAACTGACTTGTGTGGTCACTGGAACACCATATCCAAAAGTTACTTGGCTAATAGATGGTAGTCCTGTTGAGACAAGTGAGCGTGTCATTTTTGACTGCGATGGAGAGTTCTCATCACTTCTCTTCCTAAGCACTGAGCTGGATGACGAAGGAGAGTATCAGTGCAAAGCACAGAACGAGATTGGATCAGCAATCAGCACTATGGAACTTCTGGTAAATGAACTCAGTGACCTTGAAGATCAGAGTAAACCAGAGTTTTCAGAGAAATTGAAAGAGGTCAGCACATTTGAAGGTGATACTGCAGTCTTTAGCGTAAAGGTTCAAGGCTTTCCACTTCCTGACGTTCAGTGGTACTCGTCTGAACGGGAAATTTTAAAAAATGAGCGATTTGTTACAAATTCTACTGTAGATGGTCGCCACACGCTCACTATCAATGACTGCGTAACTAAAGACAAAGGGAGATACAAATGTGTTGCATCCAATGTAGTTGGGAAGACTGTGTGTTCAGCTGGGTTGACAGTTAAGGAAAAGTTAATCCCACCCCAATTTTCAGACCAAGATAGTGGAGCTCCGATGTTGATTGATGAAGGAAGCGATGTTACGCTGCAAGTTGAAGTAACTGGAAAGCCAAAGCCGTCCACTAAGTGGTACAAAGACGACCAACCAATTAGTCGAACCAGTAGCAAGTACAAGACTGATGTTCTAGGAGAGAGGCAGTCTCTCAATATTGTCGCTGCAACACCAGAAGACTCTGGAATTTATCAGTGTAGAGCTACCAGCCCGTCTGGGACAATAACGAGAACCTTCGATGTTAATATAAAAGGTTAGTTTTCGAGTCTGAAACATTTGTTTTCCATATTTCAGCCGCAGAGAATGACCGAAAAATAAATGTCAGTTTTTCATAAATTGTTCTGAGCGAGAGGTTTGGGATGTCGCCATCGTTTCTGTGATTTGTTTGGAGTAGCACTCTGTGGTTTGATCCTTTTTTATTTTTTCTTTATTCGAAATTTAAAACTTCGAAGTATAAAATACAGTCATGATAGTCCACCTTGTTCATTGGGGTGGGTCTTTCTCCTCGAGTTTTTTCGTTTAAAAGTATATCTCATAGTGAGCAAGAGACACCACCTTGTGAATAGAAGTATTTCCTTACTCGTTACATGAACAGCAAAACAACCGGAGGGCGAGTCTCCCAAGTTCATTCAGCCCTTAAAGTCCAAGGAGGTGTTCGAAGGTAGTGCCGCAAAGCTTGAGGTCAGGATATCGGGTGAGCCAGAGCCGAAAGTGGAGTGGTTTAAAGATGAACAACCAATAGAAGAAGGTGGCAACTTCAGAATTGAATTTGACGACACTGATGGCTGTACGCTCCTCATCAATTCTACCAAGACGAGTCATGAAGGTCTGTACAAGTGTGTGGCTTCAAATTCATTTGGAAAAGCTAACTCTGAGGCAGAGTTGCTGGTTACAGGTTTGTATTTATCTTGAGGCTAGTCGTAATGAAAGGTGAAGTATTCTTTTGTGGGAGTGTGAGAGGAAGGATTGGTCAGAATTTGGGACAGGAATGTAAATGTTCATGCCCAACATAATACGTGAGCCTGTACATGTTGATGTTTGGAACGACATTCTTTCATTTCATTCATAAGATAGTTCGTAAATTCGTAGAATTTAATTAATTGGGCGGGCTTACTTTATATTTCCACTACCAGGCTAACGACATGTTTGAACGCATGGACGTGTTCGCTATTCAACAAGTGCGATGAAAATTTGGTTAAAATTATTATTACATGCGTCAGCTTTGCGTTGATCGAAGCACTTAGGACGTTTGGAGAGCAACAAGCTTCAGTTGCTCACGGCTGCACTTCTAGCGAGTCTGCAACATACTTGGTGCTCTCCGAAGTTCGCGCGTACTACATGTTTTAATTGACGCATGTTGACGTAGAGCCATTTGTTCATTAGAGTCATTCTTGTATACGGTTCTTTTCTTCTGTAGGAGACGATGAAAATGAAGTGGAGTCCCCAGAAAACTTAGTAACGGTGGAAAAAAGTGTACCGATAAGTTCAGTACCTTTTGGACCAGTGGAAGTTGCACTCCCAGTTAAAGAGGAGAGCCTTCCTTCAACCTACAAGGAGAAACGTGAAGTGTCAGAGAAAGAGCTTCTACAAAGTAGACCTTCTTTTGAAGCTGTTCAGGTATCCTAAAATTTTTATTTGCGTACAGACTATCAGTCAAATACAAGAGGGTTGAAGTAAGCAGTGCTATTTGTTAGTGTCTTGGAACTCAGAACTTAGGCTCAAACTGCAGTCAATGTATTGTTTCAATGTTTCATTACAATCACCTTTCGGGTAAAAAAAGGATAGGAGCGCAAAGTATGTCAATTGAGTACGATATGGGATTGGCTTGCTAACGTTTCAAACATCTGGATGTGGCGGAAACCCTTATAAGATCTCTGTGTTTGGGTTTTGTATTCTTTTATGGATCAAGAAGATTGTAATTATTGTATCTCTGTCAATTCATTTTTGTAGCTTGTTTTACCTGGACCAGGAGATGTGCCTTTGATACCAGACACTATTTCAGCCTTGGAATACGAGCCAGTTCAACTGACACTGCCGGGTGCGGATGAACCCATTCTGCCTGACTTTATGGATGTTCCTAATGACTTAAAGGTAAATGAAGGTGCCAAGGTGGTTCTCAAAGTGAGGGTAATTGGACAACCTGTGCCTGAAGTTACATGGTTTGTAGATGACGAGCTAGTGCAACCAAGTGGCAATATTTCTATTCGTTCTGATGGAGATAAACATGAGCTTATTATTCATGAGGCAGAAGTGGATGATGAAGGGATGTACAAATGTGTAGCAAAAAGTGAGGCAGGAAAAGCTATCTGCGAAGTGGAATTGCTCGTAGAAGGTAATTTTTGTAGACTCTTAGAGACCAGCCTTCGGGTTTCGAAGGATGGATAACGCTACAACCGTTTGCCTTTTGAATAAACCTTTATCCGTTGGATAAGATAGTACGTAGGATAGCGTTATCTGCTATTTTAACAACTGGGCGTAGGCGACATCAGTTGGAATAAAGCCTGTGGAAAATTGATGTCATTGAAAAACACATCAAGTAGCGAAGTTGGAAGTTTTTTGGATCTCAATTCTGAACCAGTTATCTTTCCTCATGGTATTTCGCATGTAACAATTTTTTTCCATAGAACGTTTTTAAGCGTTTAAGAGGTATGTTGTAAGTTACGACGCATCAGATCCATTGGTACTCATGAAGTTTTTTGTAACAAATGAAAAATGTTTAGTAGAGTGTCTTCTAACTACATTTACAGAAGCAAGAAAGCCAAAAACAGAGGAATCCCTTGAAGTTCAAATCACAAAGGAGTTGGAGGACGTTGAAGTTGATGAAGGAGAACCAGCAACTTTGGAGATCTGTTTTGTGAGTCGAGAAAAACCAGCTGTTTCCTGGTTCAAGGGAATGAAGCCTGTAGAACCGAACAAGAGAGTCAAAATTATAACAGATGAGCAAAGCAGTAAGCTGATTATCAAGAAGACCGTCGGTGAAGATGAGGGACTTTACAAGTGTTCAGTTAAAAGTGGGACTTGGGAAATGAATTCCTCTGCAGAACTTATAGTTGAAGGTTTGTGAATTAGGCAAACTCAAGTAAATAAGCACTTTGGTCTCAACGATACAATTTGACCTGGTAACAAGTGCATTGTTGACTTAACGCAATATGATCGTATACAGTACTTTAGATGAGCTGTTTCTCGGTATTGAACTCTCACAACCACCAAATTCAGTACCGGTACCGTATGAGTGCTGTTTGAAGTACAGATTAATTTTTGTTTGTTTTAAATTACTCGATGATTTTTTTAAAAACTCTCTATTTCATTTCAGAACCAAGTGACGACGAAAAAGTGATGTAAGTAATTTCACGTATTGTTTTTATATTATCGTAGACATAGATGGAACCAGAACCTGATAAGAAGTTGAGACAAATTTTATCATATCCTCTGCCTAACAGAGGCATTACCTTTTAAACTTAATTACTCCACATTGTTTACAACGTTCAGGATCCGAAAGGCATTTTATTTGAAAATGAACGTTCATTATTGTTTTGATCAGACTCAGGAAGCCTGTTCTGGTTCAAAAATTTTCTGATGGGGACATTGTGGAGGGGGAAAAGCTAGAACTGCAGATCAAAGTGATTGGCTCCAAACCTGTCACTGTCACGTGGTACAGAGACGATGAAAAGATAGAAGCAGACGATCACTGCAAATTACTCTCAGACGACGAGATTCATGTGCTCAGAGTAAACCAAGTAGAAATCGACGACGAGGCCATATACAAGTGTGTAGTGAAGAATCCTGCAGGACAAGATCAGTGTGAGGCACAAATCCTGGTTGAAGGTACTGCAGTGTTTTTACCGTATGATGTTTTTGCTTAGGACCGAAAGAATTTTTTTCACCATTTGCAACTTGATTTCTCTATTTGCAGAAAAGACTGATTCTGTGGAATTTGTTGATGCAGAATTGAGTGGTATGTGATGTTCGAAATTTTAGAAACGACCAATGAAACGGAGTTCAACGTTCAAGTTGCACGGGGTGTTTTACTCTAAAAAATACTCTTTGGTCTTTAGAACTATCGTTGTTGTAAATTCTTAACATGACCATGGTAGTGACTAAGTCATCAACGTGCAACGTCTGCAAACAAATATATTAAACGAAACAACAACAAAAAAAGCAAGCAGGTTTCATGTACCCTTGGTAGTGGGCCGAGCAAATCGGCCGAGAAAAATGACTCCAGAGCAACATGAGAAACTTTGACTGAAGTAAGCCATTCAGTTGGCTATTTACAAGCGTGCGCTTTAACTCGAACGTTGTCCTTCCGGCTTCTCTTTCTCTTTCTCGAAACCATTTTGACTTAGGCAATCTTTGACTTTCCGAATTTTTTTTTTTCACTCAGAAAACGCTCCTCATTTCATCTCACGTTTGCCAGAAGAGATAGAGGTTCTTGAAGGTGACTTAACACGGCTTGACTGTCGAATAGGACTTGCGGCAGAAGTTTCCTGGTTTAAAGATGACGAACCTTTGGAGGAGGACGATCGCATCACCATTGAAAACGAGGGTGATGCTTCTGCAGTTGTCATCTCCTGTACAGAATTAGACGATGAAGGTGACTACAAATGTGTAGCGCAAAACGAGTTTGGTAGAGCCATGTGTCAGACTGAGCTAATTGTGGAAGAAGGTGTTAGTATGCCACTGATTAAGGAGTCGCTGAAGAACCTTGAGGCCAATGAAGGTGATGTGGTTAAGTTTGAGGTTCGTATCACAGGTAACCCTGAACCGGTGGTGGAATGGTTCAAGAACGGGAGTCAGTTGCAAGACGAGGGACGTGTGATCATTGTTGACGATGCTGATGACAATGACGAAGAGCTCTTTTGTCTCGTCATTGAGGATTGTGAAGTTGGTGATTCTGGGACGTACAAGGTCGTGGCAATGAGTGAGGCTGGAACTGCCAATTGTGAGTGCAGCCTGAATGTTACTCGTACTCAGGTTCCGCCGGAGTTCAAAGATGAAATGGAAGAGGTAGGAGCATTTTATTCAAATGTGCCATCGTTTTTTCGGATTATAGATATCCTTTATGGGTAACGCACTATCTTTAGCTCGAAGGAAAAGCAGATGGTACAACAGGCACGAAAATTATTTAAACGTCGATCAGTTAGCCACCTTAGACTTGTGAAAAGAAATATTAAAATGGTGTGCTGAAAGCAGTCCTCTCCTTCCACTCGGTCTGGGCTATTGCCCTGACAGTCCCACTGGGGTCACGGGTTTATGTTATTTTTGGTCCTTATCCGGTTATCCTTGATATGCCTTTGGTTATTTATTTCTTTTCAAACATTCGTACTCAATTTTCATTTGTGTTACTGCCAGGTGCCTATGGAAGGCTCTCAAGGCGACAATGTGTCTATGGTTGTGAATACTGGTCGGTTACCCTCACCAGTAATTGCATGGTTCAAGGACGAAGAGCCAGTCGTGTCCAGTTCTCATCTTGAGATCTCACAGGACCCCGATCACTCTAAGCTAATGGTTCATCATGTCACCCCAGAAGACTCCGGTACTTACAAGTGTGTTGCAACTAGTGTAATGGGTACAATTACCAAGAAGTTTCTTCTTAATATAGAAGGTAACGTGATCTTTCTCTAACGTTCTGGCAAGTATTGATCAGTTAGCGAGCATATTTATTTGGTTTATAAAATCGGCATTCCTAAATGAACCCTCTTGAGCAAAGACAATAAAATACTGATATTGGTCACCAAGAGAGTGCTTTTCGTTCGATGTAGGAATCAGTAAATTTCTGTAACTGCCTCGAGGGACTGTATCGCGTTTTTCTTTGCGCTCAATTTTTCTTCTCTCCGCAATTCTGATTTTTCCTCATGAGATGAAGATATTTATTGTTGTACTGTTTATGGTTCTGGACGTTATTTTTTTTGTTATAAATGATTGTAAAGTGCGTGCTTTTCCTCGTCACTCAGGATCAGAACCTAAATTAGAACAGACAATAAGTACTTCCGACTTGCAAGCAGAACCTGTTAGAGATGTTGCCGCACCGGTGTTCCTAAAAAAGATGGATGCTGTTGTAATTAATGCTGGAGAGGAGGCCCGATTTGATGTTAGAGTTTCTGGCGTTCCAGAACCTAAAGTTGTATGGTATCGGGGGTCAAATGAGGTGAAAGATGAAGGACGATTTGTACACATTGATGCCATTGAAGAAGATCTGTTCACATTGGTTATTGAAAGCAGTGAATCAGGAGATGCTGGTCAATACAAGTGCGTTGCTTCCAACGAAGCTGGTCAAACGTCATGTGAAGCTCAGTTGATTGTACACGAAAAGGAAGTTGACAAAAAACCTCTCAATGAAAATGTTCAAGGTACAAAAACTAATACTGTCGAGGACTTAAAATTTGGACACACCTACTATACTAAGTTGCATCTAGTTAGACGAATCACTCATCTGACTCTTTTTGGAGTTGATTCAGACTCAGTGCTGCTTTGGGATTAAAGGTTACACCCCTTACATTAGTTATATGCATTGTGGCGTGTCCAGTAGAGCAGGTAAATGTACTATTTCGAATACAAGAGAATTACTTACTAGTGTGTTAATTATCATCTGTCTGTCTATGAACTGAAATAAATGGGTAAGTTTCTAAAGAAACTGTGGTGCTGCGTCGGTGGGAGAGTATAGCAGGTAATTTAGTGTTAACAACTGGGTTGAAAACGTAAATTAGCCACCGTAAAGGGTAAAAAAGCTGACGTTTCGAGCGTTAGCCCTTCGTCAGAGCGATGTAATCGCTTTTTTTATTTTAATTTACGTTTTCAACCCAGTTGTTAACACTAAATTAGCTGTTATGAACTGAAATATATTGTTAATGTATGCTGAAATTTAGTGATAGATAAAAGCTGGAGTTCATTTATATCTTACATAGCTAAACCACGAGAAGAGGCCCCCAACTTCTCACAGCCACTGCAGACAGTTGAGGTCATAGAAGGAACTGAAGCCACTCTTAAGTGTATGGTCACAGGCAATCCAGAGCCTAACATAGCTTGGTTTAAAGATGGTGACACTGTGGCAGAGGAGAAAAGATACAAAACTCGATATAATGGAGAGCAAGCCACTTTAAAAATCCAGAATACAGAATTGGATGATGAGGGTGAATACAAGTGCGTTGCTGAAAATCACCTCGGTTCAGCCTCTTGTTCCGCTGAACTCCTTGTTAATGAACCAAACACTATGCCTGAGTTTGAAGAAAAAATGAAACCAGTTGATGTCACTGAAGGAGAACTTGCAAAATTTTCTGTGAAAGTGGCTGGTAATCCACCTCCTGTTATAGACTGGTTTAAGGGAAAAGATAAATTGAAGGACGAAGGGCGAATTGAAATCATTGATGACGAAGACAGTGGTAATTATACACTTATAATCAATGACACGCTCTTAGGGGATGCTGGGACATACAAGTGCATAGCTTTGAATGAAGAAGGTGAAAGGTCATGCAAAGCCGCCTTGGCAGTAAAGGAAGCTGTTACTAAACCTGAAATAGAAATTGAACCAGAAGCGACTCCGTTGAAAGTAGCAGAGGGTGATGTTGTCAGTCTTAGTGCGATCGTGAAAGGAAAACCTGTTCCCACAGTCGACTGGTGCAAAGATGATGAGAAGCTGCGGGAAACAAACCGTTTGAAGATAGATGCCAAAGATGGCGAACACTCTCTTCTTATTCTGGAAGCCAAACCTGAGGACTCTGGGGTGTACAAGTGTCAGGCAAAGAGCAAAGGTGGTAACGTGGAAAAAACCTATCATGTCGACATAAAAGGTTCGTTGCTTCATGTTAAATCTTATGAGAGTAGAAGTATATCATTTGTATTCAGGTAGTCGTTATGATGCAGGCAATCTTGACACAGTTTTTTGCTGTAATTGCATGTGAAAAGCATTTGAAACCCTTTCACATTCTTTTCGAACGAGTTCCTGGAGCCCGCATGTAAAACATTCGGACTCCTCTTCTCTAGAGCCCCTAAGCGATTTTTTACCAAAAGTGGATGACCCCCAATTTGAAACCCAAACCTCTAACGGAGTGCCTAACCAGTGGCATTCGTGGCATCATGACACTTCTTCTACTTTTTTTACAATTTATCGAGATTTGCACACAATTTCTAAGTAAGGTGTCATATTAGCTGAAAGCTGCTTGTACACTCAGATTTGGATTTTCATCATTTCATTTAGCCGCACCGCCCGAAGGTATTGCACCAGTATTCATAGAGTCCCTACAGACAGTAGAGGTAGTTCAGGGGTCACCCGCCAAGCTACAGTGTAGAGTTACTAGCAAACCAGAACCAACTATCGACTGGTTCAGAGACAACGAACCGGTGAAGGAAGACAAGAGGGTCAAGATCCGTTTTGACGGCGAATTGTGCACTTTGAAGATCTTAGAAACTGAGCTTGAAGATGAGGGCGCTTACAAATGCTTTGCAAAGAATGAATTTGGATCTGTTTCCTGCACGTCGGAACTTCTAGTTAACGAACCATACAAGAAACCGGAGTTCACACAGAGAATGAAACCCGTTAATGTCACTGAAGGAGAGGCAGCACGGTTTGATGTCACTGTGGAAGGAAATCCAATTCCAGTGGTGGATTGGTTCCGTGGCAAAGACAAACTGGAAGACGATGGTCGTTACGTGATGATGGATGATGAAGAGGCGGGCATCTCCACACTGATCATCGAGGACACTCTTCTTGAAGATGCAGGAACGTACAAATGCATAGCTGCGAACGAGGAAGGACAGGCAAGTTGTAAAGCTGCTCTTGCTGTCAAAGAGAAAATGATGACACCAGAGTTCACGGACGAAGAACAAAGCCTTCCATTTAACTTTATGGAAGGAGATGAGGCACGCTTAACTGTAGGTATTAAAGGCAAGCCTGTACCAACTGTGGAGTGGTACAAAGATGACAAAAAGGTAAGAAAAACCAGCAGAATAAGAATGGACGAAAAGGATGGCAAGTTCTCTTTGGTGATTTTAGATGTTACTTCTGAAGACAAGGGAAGCTACAGATGTGAAGCCTCAAGCAAGGCAGGCACTGTCACTCGTAGATTTGATGTAAACGTAGCAGGTAAGGTAACGTTTCGCTAACGTGCATATTAAAAAGGGGTTGCTACCTTACTCAGCCCTTAATCTAAACGTACCGTGAAATAAGATTGAAGTTGCAATACTAGAAAGATAATTGTATGTTTGGGGCTCATAACGTTAACAAAGTGTTATGCGGTTTGATGATTTTAACTTGATGGAGTTTTTTTCTTCCCTATTGATTCAAATACATTTCTTCATTTACGCTAGGATGGTAACTTTGTTTTAGGCGGATGCTAATCATCGAACCTAAGAAACACTTTTATCAGCCTAGGCCCAGCTACCTCTTTTCAGTCCTCTTTTGGAGACCACCTTTTTCTTTCGTGATCTTGCTCGCCGACGGTATAAACAGTCGTGCGGTATTGATACACGAGGGGAGCTATTTCCTTATTTAAAATCAAACATTTACAAGATGACCGTGATTTTAGGCAGACTCTTTCTGCTTCTCTTACTCTCAACATATTAAGCTTCGTTTCTTATTGTTTCGCAGAAAAGAGCCCGGAAGGAAAAGCACCGGAAATTGTGGAACCTTTAAAGTTTGTTCAGGTCCTTGAAGGTTCTCCTGCCGAGTTAAAATGCCAAATAAGCGGACAGCCCAAGCCAGAGGTGGAGTGGCTCAGAGGCAACGAGAAAGTGAAGGAGTCCGAGCGTATACAGTTTGTAAGTAATAATGAAACCTTCTCTCTGAATTTCAAGGAAACCGAACTTGACGATGAAGGTGACTACAAATGTGTTGCCCAGAATGAGTTTGGCAGTGTGTCTTGCTGGGCTGAATTTCTTGTAAACAAACCAGCTGCAAAACCGGAGTTCAGGGAGAAAATGAAGCATGTCACTGTCCAGGTTGGTCAACAAGCCAGGTTTGATGTGCTTATTACGGGAGTACCCAGGCCACAAGTTGATTGGATGAAAGACGGTAAGATATTGGAAGAACCAGCTGAGCGATTTACTTTTCTGGATGATGAGGATGAGGAAGATGAAGGGCGCTCCTCACTTACCATTGAGGACGTAAAACTAGAAGATGCTGGAAAATACGGATGTCTTGCACTCAATGAAGAAGGTGAAGTATTCTGCGAGGCCAACCTTTTAGTGCAAGAGACCCTGATTGCCCCTGCGTTTGTTGACGAAGCTGAAAGTGCCCCAATTCTTGCTGAAGAGGGAGGTGACATCAATTTGAGTGCAGAACTGAGGAAAAGCCAACCAGAACTGAAAGTTGAATGGCTCAAAGATGACAAAACAGTCAAAGAGGATCAACGTTTGAATCGTTTTGTCATAGAGGACACACACATGCTGAAAATTACGGGGGTTGTCCCAGAAGATTCTGGATTGTACAAGCTTAAGGCTAGTGGCAAAGCAGGCTCTGTAGAGAGGGAGTTTGATGTACAAATTTCAGGTATTGTGTCTAGCTGCAGTGTGCATTCTCTGGCACCAAATTATAATCACTAGCCAATCCCAGCTGAGCTCTGTCTTTATTATCATAACATACCCAATCCGTAATCACCTAGTAAGCATCTCGGTTTTCTGTTGCAGGAGCAAATGGGTGAATATCTGTTTCTCTGAACTTTTAAGCTACATTCCAAGGCATAATTATTTGTGACACTTCCCAAGAACAACTTTCATGTTGTTCTTTAACCCCTTTCCCTCTTCCTATGATGTTAATTGCCACTGTCTCTGCCATCTTCTTTGTCTCAACCATGGTGTCTGGGGTGTAAACCTGCACGACACTAACAGACAGACAGGCCGACAAACTAAAAGACAGGTAGGACTTGCTTGTTTCATAAAAAAAACCTTAAAAAATCTTTTGACTTTACCTTAATAGCCAAGCAGCCAGAGGGCGATGAACCACAATTTACAGAGCCCTTACAAGCAGTAGAAGTGAAAGAGGGCGATGAGACTAAACTTCATTGTACAGTTACCGCTGAACCACCCCCGACCTTTGAGTGGCTAAAAGATGGAGTTCGAGTGAAAGAGAGCAGAAGAGTTAAAGTGGATAGTGATGGGATGACATCCTCTCTCTCTTTTAAAGACGCGAGGCCAGATGACAAAGGAGAATACAAATGTGTTGCCTCTAACGCATTCGGTTCTGCTTCGTGCACAGCAGCGTTGAAAGTGATGGTTCTATCTAAACCAGACTTTAAAGAGAAATTGGGAGGGGTTGAAGTAGTTGAGGGTGATTGTGCCAGCTTTGACGTTGTTGTAGTCGGTTATCCTGAACCGTTTGTTGAGTGGTACAGAGGGACCATAAAACTACAGAATGACGAGCGCACTGAGATCAAAGAGGTTAAGGATCTTGCCCGTTTTTCTCTTACCATTAAGGATGTTAGTCGTGATGATGCTGGGATCTATAAATGCGTGGCCTCCAATGAAGCTGGAAAGACCACAGTACGTGGTGAGCTCTCTGTGAAGGAGAGGCTGTTTGCTCCTGAAATTCCTGAAGGACAGGAAGAGGCTCCCATTACAGTTACAGAAGGCGATGACTGTAATTTGAATATAACAATCGTTGGGAAGCCGAAACCTGACGTGAAATGGTACAAAGACGATAAACCCCTTCGCGAGAGTACAAGGCTTGACATCAAAGCGCGTGGAGATAAACACTCTGTAGTGATTCTTGGCATCCAGACGAATGACTCTGGTGTTTATAAGTGTGAAGCCAAGAGTAAGATGGGAACTGCAACCAGAAAGTTTGATGTCAGAGTACGAGGTATGTTACCTTTGTTCCTGGAATCGTTGACGTTTTTTGCCTCCGGAAATCCATGTAACTGAAACTATGACCATATAAGGTGTGCAGGATAGCCAGAGCTTTATCGCATATTTTCTTAATTGGCCTATGTCCTCCCAGAACGTTTAATGTCAGAGTACGAGGTATTTTACCTTTATTCCTAGAATCGTTGACTTTTTTTGCCTCCGGAAATCCATTTAACTGAAACTATGACCATCTAAGGTATGCAGGGTTGCCAGAGAGTTTTGTCACATATTTTCTTAAATGGCTTATGTCCTCCCAGCGTCTCAAGTAACATGCGTTAACATGCGTTAACATGCTTGCGACTGAAATGGTTATATCCTTCATGAGTTTTTACAAAAATAGGTATTGTATTATTGTAACACAATGCCCTTTTTTGCCTGTGTTTTTTCCTTGACAGCCGAGAAACCGAAAGGAATAGCACCAGAAATCTTAACACCCCTCCAAAACCTTACAGTTGTGGAAGGTAAACCAGCAAACTTGGAGTGTGAGGTAAAAGGAGAACCACAACCCAATATTGAATGGTTTAAAGATGGCGAGCAAGTGAAACAGTCGGAGCGCATCAACTTGAACTTTGAAGGCAATTTTGCTTCTTTATCGTTCAAACCAGCTGAGCTTGACGATGAGGGTGAGTACAAGTGCGTGGCTCGTAACGAGCTCGGCAGTGCGTCAAGCGAAGCAGAGCTTCTGGTGGAAGAAGCTGAAACCAAACCAGACTTTAAAGAGGAGCTGAAGAATATCAGTGTCTTGCCAAGGGCCGAAGCCAGGTTTGATGTGCGTGTTGTGGGTGTACCGCCACCAGAAGTTGACTGGTTTAAGGGAAAACAAAAGATCGAAGATGAGGGTCGCTTTATTTTGATTGATGACGAAGAGGACGACCTGTTTTCTTTAGTGATTGAAGAGGCAAGGCCAAGTGACAGCGGTGAATATGAGTGTGTTGCATTCAATGAAGTCGGTGAAGTTTCATGTAAAAGTAAATTAATTGTTGGAGAAACGCTGATCCCACGAGAAGAGGCTGAGGAAGCTGAAAGTGCGCTGCCTGCGGTTGAAGAATCCATCACTGTACCCGAGTCAGCTGCCAAGGTCGAGAGCGCTCTTGTTATGGAACAGGAAGGAGGGGATGTGACAGGTAGTTAAGAAAAAAACAGCATTTTGACAGTATGTTCGTGTGTGTTGCTTTCATTTAAAGGTAGCCCTTCCAAACCATCAGTGAATATTCTACAGTGTGAGGTTAATTTATCTGAAATGTTGCGCATGTGGATTGGAGGTCCTTTCGTGTAGTCTCACCATTGCAATACATCTACTGTTTCTGTGAAGATCCATTTGAAAAAAAGAGACAACCCATCGGAAGGCTTTGTTCCCAAAGACACTTTTGAAAGGGAAATAGCTACCTTTTAACGCCTTACTCGTTTCTTTTCAACATTTAGCATCTGCTAATTATCTGCATGTATTTACTGTTGTTGTTTTTCTTGGTTTTTCTTCATACGTGCATTCCATTGTAGTGGTAGGTTTCTTTTATTCTTTCCATTAACGCGTGAGTATCATTCTTAAACCTTCGTTCACATCAATGAAGGGATCTTTTGTAATTTTGCTGGTCCTCTTTATTATTTTTGTTTCTTTAAAAAGTAGCTAAGAAACCAGAAGGAAAAGCACCGGTATTTTCTGAATCTCTTCAACCCGTGGAGGTAAAGGAAGGAAGTGATGCCAAACTACAGTGCACTGTGACTGCTGAACCCAAACCTAACATCGAGTGGTTTAAAAAGGGAGTGCGGATGAAGGAAAACAGACGGGTCAAGTTTGAAAGTGATGGCAACTCCTTTGCTGTAACAATTAGGGATGCCAGATCTTTTGATGAAGGAGAATACAAGTGCGTGGCTACCAATGAGATTGACTCAGCATCCTGTGCGGCCACTCTAACAGTGCGAGTCGTAGCTAAGCCAGAATTCAAGGACAAACTCAAAAGAGTCGAAGTGATGGAAGGAGACTCTGCGCAATTTGATACTCGAGTAGTTGGTTACCCTGTGCCTGAGCTACAGTGGTTTAAAGGGATTAGTAAGCTGAAGAGCGAAGGTCGAATTGAGTTTAAAGAGAATTCTGAAGACAATATGTTTTCACTTGAAATCCGTGATACCCAGCGTGACGATGCTGGGATGTACAAGTGTGAAGCCTCAAACGAAGGGGGTAAGGTGTTTTTTTTTTTTCGTTATGTTCAACTTTAAAATTTTGTGCACATCTGTGCGCGTCTGTCTAAAATCAGTCTTAACGAGTGATTGGCGTCAGAGATTCCGCGCATTTGTTCTGGTAACGGAGATGTATGCTTTGTTATGTATGCACTTACATCTGTAATCGCGCGCTTTTTTTATGAATGATTGTCGACCAATATAGACCCGTTAATTTGCTAATAGTTACTTAGGGCGAAGTCATATAAAAGAGATTTAACGCTAATTCTTCTGATCCAGGTAAAACCACATGCCGAGCGGACCTCATAGTAAAGGAGAGGCTTTTCGCCCCCGAAATTTCAGGAGACCAATCTGAGGCTCCCCTTACTGTGACTGAAGGCGGAGAAGTTAGTTTGGATGTCACAATCAACGGAAAACCAAAACCTGACGTGAAATGGTACAAAGATGACAAACCCCTTCGCGAGAGTACCAGACTAGACATTAGAGCACGTGGAGATAAACACTCTGTGGTGATTCTTGGCATCAGGGCGGATGACTCCGGTGTTTACAAGTGTGAAGCTAAGAGTAAGATGGGAACTGCCACCAGAACGTTTGATGTCAGGGTACAAGGTAGGACTCTTTTAACCACAATGACGTAATTTTTCCGACTGTAATTGAACGTTGTTTGAACCTTTTAGGTGAAACTTCTTTTAAACAAGAGATACTTCCCTCCACAGCTCTCTCTTTTTAGCGCACTTCTTATTTCTGAAATGGAAGAATTTTCAAATGTGATTTTGGTGTATGCGTTTTGAGAGGTTTATGATTTTGAGAGAAGCTAGAGTCTCTTCTTCACAATGATAAGGCGCACTAAAATCGTCACTTAAACATTGTGGGCTGGCTATGTAGACGAGTTCTAACCCAAACCGCGGTTTTACACAAGTAGTGAGCCTTACATATTCTCTATAATGAGAGTTGTTTTCATTAAATGATTGTCCTTCCAATGCTAGTTTTGGGCCTTCTTGACAACGTGCACAGTTTAGGACGCGGTTTTTTTAAAATACGGCTAAACTTTTTTTTTTTAAATAACCGGCCTTGTATTTCACCTTAGCACCAGCCTCTGAATTTTTACTGCGACTAGCAATTCAAAATAGGACCTGCAGGAATGTCAGACGTTTCTGGCCCATTCAATGTTTATTGTTTTATGATATTATAATCACTACATTGTGATATATACTTCAGTAATTACTATATTTTTGTTTACACCCTCAGCTGAGAGGCCTAAAGGAAGTGCCCCAGAGTTTACCTTTCCTTTGCAATCAGTTGAAGTATCCGAAGGGACCAAAGTGAAACTTTCCTGTACTCTGAAGGGGACTCCGCAACCAACCATCCAGTGGCTTAAAGATGGAGAACCATTAGAGACCAACAAACGAGTTACAGCTGACTTTGATGGAGAACTTGCTTCTTTGTCATTTAGTGCAGCGGAACTTGACGATGAGGGTGATTACAAATGTATTGCTCAAAATGAGCTGGGTGCTGCATCCTGCTCTGCAGAACTTCTCGTAAACGAAGCGGATAGTAAACCAGAATTTACCGAAGCCATGAAGGACATCGAAGTGGCTGAAAACAAAGAAGGAAGGTTTGATGTGCGTGTAACAGGATATCCTAAACCAGCTGTGCAATGGCTTAAAGGAGCTGACAAGATCGAAGATGCTGGAAAATATATTTTGATTGACGATGAGGAAGATGATCTCTTCTCTCTTGTAATTGACGATGTTTCCCCAGATGAAGCCGGTACTTACACCTGCAAAGTAACTAATAACGTTGGAGAGGCCGCCTGCGAAGCTGAACTTAAACTAAAGGAGAGTATAGCGGCCCCTGAATTTGCTGACGAGGAGGAGACAGGCCCAATCACAGCAGTTGAAGGTGACGAGGTGACATTGTCTGTTGCCGTAAAAGGCAAACCTCGTCCTGATGTCGAGTGGTTCAAAAATGATAAGCCACTGAAAAAAACAAGTCGTCTGGACGTAAGATCCCGAGACGACAAGTTCTCTTTAATTGTTATGAATGTCTCACCAGAGGACTCTGGCCTTTACAAGTGTGTGGCTAGCAGCAGGGTTGGACGCGTTATTAGAACATTCCAAGTGAATGTCGAAGGTAAGATATTTCTTTTTTCGCAGTACTATGATGTAAATACTTTTTCAGAGCTGGAGAGAATTTTAAACACGGTGTAAGGGAATAAGAAATCACTGAAAATGACATTCATGGCTTTCTCTGGGGGGGGGGGGGCATTTGGCTTTCAGTCCAGTGTTAAGAAAAAAGTATTCAAAGCATCCAGTCAGTGATAACATGTACAAAAGTTTTCCTTTCAGGAAAAAAAGCAAAGAAACCTAAAGGAGTGGCACCACAAGTTACACAGCCTTTAAAAGCAACGCAGATTGTAGAGGGAAATCCTGTAAGACTGAAATGTCGCATGACTGGATCACCAGAACCCACGGCAGAGTGGTTAAAAAATGGAGAACAAGTCGAACTTAGTCAAAGGATCAAAGCTGATGTAATAGGCGATATGTGTCAATTGTCCTTCGCTGAAACGCAAGAAGACGATAGTGGATCTTATAAATGTGTCATTAAAAACGATCTAGGGTCGACTTTTTCAGAAGCAGAACTTGTCGTGACCAAACCAATTGTAGCGCCCAAATTTAAGGAAAAGCTAAAAAGTTTACAGGTGAATGAAGGCGAACAAGTTCAGCTTGATGTACGGGTTAGCGGAAATCCTACGCCGAACGTTTCTTGGTTCCGTGGACCTCAAGCTATCATTAACGAAGGGCGATTTATTGTGAAAGCAGACGACGGGGATGAATTATATTCTCTAATAATTGATGAAACAACTTTAGATGACAGTGGTACTTACAAATGTGTTGCGTCTAACGAGGCAGGAAAAGCCACATGTCGTGGGGAATTAGAAGTTAATGAAAAGCTTACGGCTCCAGAATTTGCAGGCGCGTTCAGTGACGTTCCAGTTATCTTCAGAGAAGGGGAAGAAGTTTCGATGGAAGTTACAATACGAGGAAAACCTGCTCCTGACGTTGAGTGGTATAAAGATGAACTTAGTGTCAGAAAGTCATCAAATATGACCACCCTGGTCAAAGGAGAGAAACAAACACTTCTCATATACAACGCCAAGCCAGCTGATTCTGGAGTGTATAAATGTGTGGCAAAGAGTAACATGGGAACAGCAATGCGGACGTTTAACATCACCGTAGAAGGTTAGCTAATTTCAGATAAAAATGAGTCATACAAACATAGGGTCCATCTTATATTTCTTTATCTACTGTGAAGGACTCAAAACTAGCTAAGTAATCCCTTGAGTCCATATTTTTTTAAGGCGATGGTGGTAAACGCTACAATTCTTGTATCACCAACTCCAAATCTGTGGAAAAAGAAACATCTCTCAACCTCAATATTCCTAACTCTTTCCTTTTTCTTAACTAGCCAAAAAACCCAAAGGCTCAGCGCCGGAGTTTTTCAAGCCTCTAAAGAAAATAGAAGTTGTTGAAGGCAGTAGTGCTAAATTAGAGGGCTGGGTTCATGGAAAGCCAGAACCAAGTATCGAATGGTACAAAGACGATGAACTTGTCACATCTAATAGACGAGTGAAAACCTACTTCGACTCGGAAGTTTGCAGACTGACAATTTCTGATACTGTTGCTGATGACGAAGGGGAATATAAATGTGTAGCAACCAATGAACTTGGCAGTGTGTCGTGCTCCGCAGAGCTGCTTGTTAATGAAGCTATTATAATACCAGAGTTTGAGGAGAAATTGAAGCACACTGAAGTTATTGAGGGTGATACCGCGCGATTTGATGTCTGCGTGGTTGGCAATCCTAAGCCTGTTACTGAATGGTCAAAGGGTGGAAAAGCTATCGTCAGTGGAGGAAGATTTAAAATTGTGTATTCTGAGGACAGCAATGTACATTCCCTTTTTATTGAGAATGTGTCATTAGATGACTTCGGAAGCTATAAATGCGTTGCGTCTAACGAAGCTGGAAGAATGCAATGTTCTGCACGGCTTGATGTAAAAGAGAGACAGATTGCGCCAGAGTTCTCCGATGAATACGGTGATTCACCAATAGAAATTAAAGAAGGCGATGAACTTAAGATAAACGTGACAATTCGGGGGAATCCAAGTCCAGACGTAGAATGGTTTAAAGATGACAAGCCATTTAAAAGAACAAGTCGCGGAAATATATCAGCGCGAGGAAATAAATTTGGTATCACAATCTTCACTGTTACTCCCGAGGACTCTGGAGTGTATAAATGTGTTGCGAAGAGTGCTGCAGGTACAACGACTAAAACCTTCCAGGTTGATATAGAAGGTAAGTCAATGTGCGTGGTACTGCATGGAGTGTGACGCTATTTATATCATTCACACAACAATGTAAGTTGTTTTGTAGAACTCAGTACTGTTATCCATCCGTGGTAGGTTTGTGGCAAAGTCTTCTGCAGAATTTTTCTGGATTTTTCTGGGTTATGTTAATTTTGTTTTTTTAATCGAAGTGTTTATGTCTTCTGCAGGCAAGAAACCTGCACCCAGATTCACTCAACCGTTGGAAGAGACTCAAGCTACCATCGGAGGGACAGCGAGACTGAAATGTCGCCTAAATGCCACAGCCAAACCTAATATTGAATGGAAAAAGAATGGTCAACCTGTTAGTGAAAACCGACGGGTGAAAACAGAGTTGGAGGGTGACCTCATCTCACTGGTCATCTCGGACGCTAGGTTTGAAGATAGCGGAGAATACCAGTGTGTTGTTAAGAATAAGAGTGGAACTGCGTCTTGTAGTACGCGTCTTTTTGTGAGCGAATCGACGAGTAAACCAGAGTTCAAAAAAGTGATGAATGATCTGGAATTACTAGAAGGAGATGACGCCGTTTTTGAGATTGCAGTTAATGCTAAGCCCGACCCCAAGGTGCAATGGTTCTTGAGAAAAATGCCCATCAAGAGTGAAGGAAAGTACACCATCGATGAAGACTCAGAGCGGCAGAGGTTTTCACTCACTATAAGCGATTGCCACACAGAGGACAGTGGTCAGTATCGTTGCCTTGTAACAAACAGCGCTGGTGAAGCCGCGAGTTCAGCTGAGCTCAAAGTCAGTGATAGACAAGTGGCACCCAGATTTATTCAAGGCACAGAGGAGCAGCTGTTTGAGGTTTGGGAAGGAGCTCCTGTCAAGCTTGTGGTGCAGGCCAGAGGGAAGCCCACCCCTCAAGTGGAGTGGTTTAAGGAGAATCGCCTAGCTCGGAGAGTCAAGCGAGTTGAGCTGGAGACCGAAGGTGACCAGAGCATTCTGTTGATTCCCAAGGCAGTCCCAGATGATTCAGGGAATTACCGAGTTGAAGCCACGAACTCCGCTGGAACAGCTGTCAAACCATTTGTTGTTAAAGTTAATGGTAGGCTTAAAATTCAAGTATTTGTCAAACATTACTTTAAAAAAAACACTAGAAAAGTCAAGGGAAGTTATTAGGGCTGTCAAATAATAAAACTTGGTAATTAGAGTATCATATTTTTAAAGAAAAATTGCCACAACTTAGCGGAGTTTTTTGATATGTGGTAACTGAGGTAAGGAATGTTCTTATAACAGCCTTCCATTGGTTAGATACTTTTTGCTCATAATTCCTTACACAGAAGCCAGACTCTAAGACAACAGAGGTTGAGTCTTTAAAGCGAATTAAATGAGTGTTATTCTGGTTCACAGCTCAAAAGCTTGTTCTTAGACGAGAACCAGTTCCTGCCGGAGCTGTAAAACCAGAATTCATTCAGCGACTTCAGGACGTTGAGATCGTTGAAGGGAGCGCTGCTAAGTTTGATGTCCGTGTCAAAGGTAAGATTTATTCTAATCCTCTAATGAATTAAGTCAGCCTTATTCCTTGAATATTTCCTGATATTGCGGCAACTGTAGTGCTTGTAATCACAACAATTTGATCATTTCATTTTAAATAAGAAATAATACCAAAGGCGATAATGTAACTGAACGCACACCACACAAAACGAAAAATAACTCAGTCACAGTTAAATGGGAGTGGGGGAATTAATTGGCCTTTGTTTTGGTTTTTCTATTCAGGGACACCCGAGCCGGAGGTGGACTGGTACAAAGACAACCGTGTGATACGTGAAGGCGGTCGAATGAGATTCTTGTTTGAAGACGACGGTTTGTGTTCACTGCTCATAAGAGAGGCTGAATCATCTGACCGAGGGCGATACAAGTGCGTGGCGAGTAATCCAGCCGGCAAAGTTCAGTGCAGTGCAGAACTATTCATAGAGAGTAAGTATCTAATTTTCTTGTTAAACGCTGTCATTAACTTTGTTTTTTGTGATAGAAATCAAGCAATACGGTGTTTTGTTTGTTTGTTTGTTTGTTTGTTTTTTTACCATATTTTGTAATGTTACTATAAGCATGTTGTTTCACTAAAATTGTTACTTTCTCTTTCGTGCACAGGCCATGGTTTTGATTCTACCAGTGGCTCTGATTACGAGAGACGTCTTTCACGGTGAGTTACGATCACTCAATAAGCACACAGCAAATATTATTACAAAGATTGTTCACTTGGCAACTGAATACTATGCTTCGCGAGGGAGACATACTTGTGTAATATATTTTTTAACATGAGCTTCCCATTTTGTTTCGAGAAAGGTCATGTTTAATCCAGGATTGAATATCTTACGACCTATATGTATTGTTTTTATTTTTTCTTTTGTCAGAGAGTCAACTTTTGATATGCTTTCGGACGACACAGAAGATGAAGTTGAATCATCCTCCTCAAGTGGTCCACCTAAGCTTCCTCCAGACATAACGCTTGTGTTACGCAACCGTGACGTGAAGGAGGGTGGCGTGACAAAGTTTGCTTGTCGAGTGGTTAGCAGTAGTAGCGTGACTGCTGAGTGGTACAAAGATGATCAGCTTGTCAATAAATGGCCCCGCTTCACTTGTGAACGTGATGAGGATCTTTATGCTTTGAACATCACAGACGCCAAGAGGACAGATGCAGGACACATTCGATTTGTGGCACGGAACGAGTTTGGTCAGGTTGAGAGCAATGCATACCTCAATGTTGAACGTGAGTAGCACCAATTTGGGAATTTTATGATAATTTGGTTCTAAAGGTCAACTCAAAGTGGTGGCACCTTATGCTCTTCGTTTGGTCATGGGCTGATAATTTTTTTTGACAAATTTATCGTTTGGTAATGAATTCGGTTAAGCGGTGTGTTCGTGTGGTGATCTGAGAATTTTTTGGCCCTATTTCAGCTGACATGGAACCTGAATTCGAAGGAAACACACCAAGGTTTACTCAGAAACTTAAAGATGTTGATGCAGTGCCCGGTAAAACGGCGAGACTGGAGTGCCGTGTGATCGGCGACCCGCGGCCGGATATCCGATGGTACAGAGAGAACGAACCCTTGCTCGAGGGAGGGAGGTACAAGTTTGAGGATGATGATGACAGACAAGTGCTTGTCATAGATGACGTGTGCGGAAGTGACGAAGGCATGTACAAGTGCGTGGCAAGGAACAGCGCCGGCAAGGCTCACTGCTCAGCAGATTTGTATATATTACGTAAGCGATTAATTTGTGTTGTCTGCTTCTTTGTTTATTGCCATTCATTTGTTTCTGCTTCTTACAATTCCCTCTTATAACAACATTTGATCATTTGCATCGCTTCCTCTGTGAAATTATTCCCTCTGCCTCCAATAAGCCATTTGCTTTCTTTTAATCACAGAAACAGATGACGAAGAGAGCGAATCAGCTGGTGAACAAGAACCAGAGGAAGAGAAGTATGTTACAAACAAAATTTTCACTGTTTGATTAATCTTCGTGTAAAGTTGGTTTGACAAACGGCAAATAAATTTTCCTTTAGATATTGATTATACAAGAATGAAAGTTGAGCGACCCTTTAAGTGGATGGAAATTAACAAATTGTGTTTTTGTGTAGACGAAAACAACGTGTTTTTACGGAAGCATCACCAGTGATTGAGACCCTCATCTCGCCTGATTCAGCTCAGGTAGAGAAGTCAGAACCACCCTTGCCAACAACTCTGAAGGCACAATCCAAACCGGAACCTCCAAAACCAAAAGAACGTCTCCGACAACCAGAATTTATTCTAAAGCTTCGAGATAAGTCAGCGGTTGAAGGCAGCTCAGTTCGCTTGGCATGTCGGGCCATGGGAACACCGGAACCTGGATTCCAGTGGTACAAGGATGGCGAACCAATTAGCGCAGGAGGACGGTTTGACATCAACCAATCAGTGAGCGGATTTACGCTTGTGATCAAAGAATGTCAATTGGAAGACTCCGGTGAATATCAATGTGAAGCCACAAACAAAGTAGGCAGCGTCAGCACGTCCGCTAAAGTCATTATTACAGGTTGGTCTCATTCGTTTTCTATGTTTAGTTACCCAGAATTTACATGAAGACCTTACAACATTACCTTGATTTTTAAACCCTTTGATTGTTTCGAGGAAGTCTTTAACTGTCTTGGTTTTTTAAAGGGAGTAAAGATGTAAACAGTTCAGAAGAAAAGAAAAACGGAAATAGTTTGACCTAACAATTCTTTTTTGTTGTTAATATTTGTTTAGCACTCTCCAAACCTCGTCAAGAAGTAACGGTTAGTCCAAAATTTGAACAGAATTTCAGTGAGACACAAATCACTGAGGGGGAGGACGTTAAACTGACAGCTAAGGTGTCGGGTAATCCAGTCCCAGATGTGATATGGCAGAAGGGAGGCAAGCCAATCAGAGAAGGCCGTCGAATTAAGATTGACAAGAGCAAAAATGGGGTGCATTCACTTCGTATACCACGTGCACAGGCTGACGATGGAGGAGAGTACACGTGCATAGCAAGAAACAAGGCAGGGGAGGCTTCATGTTCTGCTAAGCTTATTGTTGAAGGTGTGTATACTTTTATTACAACTTGGTAAAATTATTTCGATTTGATATGATGGTCGGTATATATCTTTCTTTCCCTTCAGTGATAATCGCAGTTGCGTTCGTTCGTCCCCCAGTGGATAATTTTGTCTCCTCAATGCAGTCGCTCCGTCCGCCCTTTTTTATTGTTTGATCATTGTAAACTTGTCAACCCAACCATTCTCTTCTTCGTCTTACGTATTGGCACTGGCCTGTCTTTGCTCTTTTGAGACTCATGCTTTTGTCTCTTTGTTTCTTTACAGCTCCCAAGCCAGAAATCAAGGAGGGTGTTATGTCACTGTAAGTCAATTTATCGCTTAAACTTACTCTTGAAAATTCTTGTTACTTCATGTTTCTTTTTGTACGTCTTTTCTAATCATACGATCCTTGTTTTGTCTTTCAGTCCTAAGAAGCCAGTTGACGAGGACATTGTAGTAATGGCCACAGACATTCCAGTGTCGCGTGAACGTGAGCTTGAGAGTGGTACTCCTGCGACCCCTCCTAAGTTTGCTCAGACGATGCAGACAGCAGAAGTTATAGAAGGAAGCGCGGCGCGATTTGATGTCACGGTCACTGGAAGCCCTGTCCCGAAAGTACGCTGGCTAAAGGATGACAAACTGCTTGAGGAGAACCGAAAAATCCGGTTTGATGAGGATGACGACGGAGTGTTCTCCCTATTTGTTAATGATGTTGTTGTAGACGATGAGGGCGTGTACAAGTGTGAAGCAACAAATGTCAAAGGAGAAGTGACCTGCAGCGCAGAGCTAATAGTAGAAGGTTAGTTGCCTTTGATGCTTTTCTTCGCTCAGTTATCTAAAAAGACTCAAGAAACACATATCATGTCAGGATTAAAGGTTAATACTGATTGAAAACCTCTGAGCTCAATGATTGTCATTGCCGATCTTTTTTCACCAGAACTTCATTTGAGGGAGATATCGAAAGCCTAATGTTTCACCCTGAACAAACCCTCTCATCTTTTCTAAGGAATTAAAATTTGAAGAGCTCTACTGAATTCGAGGCATTTCAGATGTGATTGTTTGTTTGTTCATTTTCACACAGGCCTTGAAGAATCAACAGGAGATGAGAGTGAGGAAACTTCGGAAGATGAGTTACAGTCCAAGGAAGAACTTCCAATAAAGTAAGATAAGATGGGGTGTGACGCTCGCCCACATACGGCTCACGATGGAAAATCAGCTGGATTGTCAATGATGGCCATCAATTAGTTCAATACCCAACGGAGTTTTTGTTATAACTCCATTGCTTTCATTTTATTTTTTATTGTGCCTACTCTTCCAGCTATGTGAATCTTATATATTCAGAAAAATATTAATTTAAGACCCTCCTTTTCCTGATTTTCGGTTGGCTTCTATTTGCTAATTTCTTGTCGCTTTTTCCCATTCTAGGGAGGCGCCGAAACCTGCTGACAAGAAAGTGGCGCCCCCACCTGCACCAAAACCAAAGCCTGCAGTTAAATCAGGTCAGGCAAGATGTAAACAATTATCCTTTACTCCAACACCGACTCTTGGTCGAGGCGTTAAACGTGGATGCGTTTGAATATTTCGACTGATTTTTATTTCGTTTCTTTACCCCTAGTTCCAAAACCGGTTTTCTCATCAGAGCTTCAAGACAAACAGGTTAAAGAAGGAGACAATCTGACGCTAGACGTTCGAGTACCACTAGAGTGCAAAGCCGAGGTCACGTGGTACAAAGACGACCATGCTCTGAAAGAGGACCATCATATTGCCATTATCTCCGCTGGAGAGATGCAAGCAGTTAACATCTTCGATGTGTCAGTCAAAGATGAGGCGGTCTACCGTTGTGTTGCCGCCAATGATGCTGGATCAGTTTCTACTGATTGTGAAGTGCTTGTTGAAGGTATCCTCTCTATGTTGTTAGCAGTATGAATCATAATAATGTGGCTTAATATATGTAACGTCATCAACGACAACACCTTTGTGCTATTACACTGGCGAATTGTTAGGATTTCCGGATTTCGGTGTAACAAATGGTTGACAAAAAGGGGGGAACTATACAATGGTTGAATTGAATTGTTTTGTGTTGTTGTTGTTTTTTTTGCGGTAAGCTTATCATTTTGTGCTTTTATTTTTACAGAGAAAGTCAAAGTTCCCCAAACAGTAATGAACCGCGGGTGAGTACATCGTGATTCTTGCTTGAAATGTGGTTTACACATAATTCTTAGATTGATTTTAAAATTCACATATCTGTGGATAACATGTCCCCCTAATTTACGTCCTTATCGGTAAATTTTTTTCATGATTCGTTTTGAAGTACACTCGCTCCATGAAATTAATTGAGCAAACTCGTTCCGACTGTCAACAGCAAAATCACTGATATTAGTTGATTAGGAAGATGACTGCAGTTGAATTTATTTTAACGAAGCAAGAATCCTGTAATTATTTTCGCCGTGAAAATGTTTGAACTCATCGTTCAGTGTCGAGCACACTTGGGGTCTCTGTTTGCATTGGAAAAGATCTGAGTTCGATGTTAATTAATACTGTTCCTTTTTTTTTATTTCAATCTCAGTCGCCTCTCCCAAATGGCGCCCGAATTTGTTCAAGAATGTAGCGACCTATGTGTGGTAAAGAATTCCACTGCACAACTAGAAATAATAGCCGCTGGCAGCCAACCACTGCAGATTCGATGGTTTAAAGACAACGAGCCGATCAAGTATGGAAAGCGGTTGAAGTTGTCGTCTGATGGAGAACATTGCTCGCTTAAGATTTCTCCTATTGAGATTCAGGATCAAGGAATTTACAAGTGTGTTATATCTAATAAGGCTGGAACCCAGTCCTGCGAGGCCAAGTTAACAGTGGGAGGTTGGTGATGCTTTGCTGGAATGTACATGCTTTTCAAAATGTTTGTAAACCGGCAATGTACCCACATGGTGCTTTACGATTACTGATGGTTGTGTATGGTTGGTTGTCTAAAGGAATGTTGTCGTGTGTTAGAAGATTATATAACTCTCGGGAGGTTTCTTCAACATAACAATATTAATAAAATAGTTGCTCTTTTCTTTGTGTATAGAATCGGTAGACTTTAAAGAAAGTACCGATGGCACAGCCCCAGGTTCCCCAGTGGCAAAGCGGCCATCCAGGTCAAAGAGTGGTGCTAAACCGACTATTGTCTCTCCACTGGAGGATATTGAAGTTAATGATGGAGAAAATGTCACTTTAGAGGTATAATAACACATATCTTATTATTCGTGGAATTTTATTAATAGGGCACATACTTAAATCTATTCTGAACAGCTGACAAGGAATAGTCGCTGAAATGGTAACAGGACGTATTCGAGCCTAATATGGAATTTGTTACATTTCCTTTTTTAGGTGACTTCCGGTCCTGAACCCATTGACAACATCGAGTGGTTCAAAGACAATGATCTCATCCGCTCTCAGCCTCGGTTCACTCAGTCATCAGCGGGCGAGCAACACACCTTGGACATTCAGTCAGTCACTGTCGATGACGAAGGAATTTATAAATGTGTGCTGCTCAATAGCTGGGGCATTGCTTCGTGTTCGGCTGAAGTCCTAGTGGAAGGTGAATGCCATCGAATTGCCTCAAGCATTGCAAAAGTAACCTTTTTTCGGTCGCAAGTTTGTTCCATCTGAAAGAAAATCTCCTTGATGGCAAATTGCAGAGTTATTCTTGTAACATTTTTCACGCTAATTGCCCCTTAATTTTGCCTCTGATTGTTGTTGTCCTTCTTTCATATTAGAATCAATGTCAGAATCTTCATCCCAAGATGACGAACAACTTGAAAAGTTTAACGCCCGTATGGAACGTCGGAGATCACGTGACAGTGTCTGCGAGCCAGAATTCCAACAAGAGCTTAGCAACACCGATGTCTTTGTTGGGGATACTGTATACTTTACTGTCAAGTCAAGGGGCATACCGGAACCGAAAGTCTCATGGTACAGGAACGGAGAGCTCGTGAAGGAAGACTCTCGAGTGAAGTTTATCAAAGATTCGCAGAGTGGAAACTATTCCCTTCTTATCAACAAAGTGACCGTGGAGGACGAGGGCGAGTATCGCTGTGTGGCTTCCAACATGGGGGGATCTGTTGCCTGTCAAGCAAAACTTTTGGTTAAAGGTAAATGTCAAAGGGTAATGTGCATGATGCCAAATCATAGAATTTTGTTTTGGGGTTATGTGCCTCAAATATTCCTCAAATGATAATTCGTTGAAGCTTATGACGACTTTGAAAAGACATTGTATTAACATTGTCTTTTCAAAGACAAAATAAAGACGCCTCTGATGTTCGGTAGCACGTCGACATAACTCAGAATGAACAGACATGGAATAGCAAGTCCGATGTTTTTATTGAAATTTTTTATTATATCCAATGCAAACAAATGTCGTGTTAGTGAAAGAAACTGGACCAGACCTCCATTTAGTGACTGAATATTGCATTTTCTTTCCCTCAGGGCATAATCAAGGTGAAGCGCCTTCATTCACAGCGCCGCTGACCGATCGCTCCATCGAAGATAGCAGTGCAGCTAGGTTTGATGTGCGTGTGCGCGGAAAACCTGCTCCAACAGTCTCTTGGTATAAAGACGGAAAAGAGATCAGTGATGAACAGTTTCCACATATCAAAGTTTTGCAGGAGGAAGACTTGTTCTCTATTCTGATAACAGAAGGCAAGTTTGAAGATGCTGGAACGTATAAAGTGGTCGCCAAAAACGTTGTGGGAGAAGTGTCTTCTACTGGAATGTTATTTGTTGAAGGTGTGTAAGGTAGATAGTGTAGCAACTAGGATTGTTTAAGATATATGGGAAGTAGGAGTACCTCAGAATTAGGCTGCGAATAGTATTTGGATTTTTTTATTTCCGAGGAAATCATCTTTGCTCCGCACAAAAACATGCAATTTTTCTTTTAAAAATTACCCGTACTTTCCAGACCATAATTTTACAGTCTTGAGGAAAAAACTGATACTAAGATGTGCAGCGCCATATAAATTTCAGCCCATTTCAGCACCTAAATTTGTTGATTATCTGAAAATTCTTTCTTAGAAGGGAAACTCTGCTCACCTTTTTATTCATACACTTTAAGATTAAAGAAAGAGCTAATTCGTTTCCTTTTTTTTTTTTAGGAGCCGATCAGCTGCCACCCTTTGCTGGAGGAAAACCTCCGCGTAAGAACTCAGGCCTCTCAAGAGTTGAGGAGGTGAGAGTTTGATTAACCCCTTACACCCAACGTCAATATGCATATTGCATATGTATACCAGTATATGTTTATCAGTATATGTCTATCAGTATGTGTACATCGGTATATGTATATCAGTATACATAGTCACAATTCTGTTATTTTTACATTCCTTTTCTTGGCACTAGCAAGGAGAAGGTGTTTAACAGTTGGTGATCAGTTACTTTATTCTCATAACCTTAATGTTTGATTCAGGGCCGAGACTGTGTGGAGAAATTAGATGCTAGTCACCTTAAGGGGTAAAAGGGAAGAAGGAGTCGATATTCATTGATTAGGGAATTTTGAGAGAAGTTATATACACATACTAAATATTAGGTCAATCAATGTTTGGTCCATGATTCATCTTGAGAGAAGATTTCATCTTCCCTTAAAAAATAAAATTAATTTAAGTCACTGAAGAGTTATAGAAAACTTTAGTGCATAAATCTTTGTGAAGATAATACTTGGTTATATCATGGTTTTATTCCCTCACTTGCTTCCCAGGTTCTGACGCTCAAGCTGTACACAGCCATTGAGGACTTCTATTCAGAAGAGACTGGAAACAAATTTCTTAAGAGGGGCGACAAAGTTGAAGTACTAGATACAAGCCGACCTGAGTTCTGGCTGGTCAGACGAGTGTCACGTGGGTCAGAGATTGGATTTGTACGACACACATGCCTGAAAAGAGACGAAGACGGGTAAGAGTACATTAAGATCGGTCACATGTTTAACTTGATTTTAGTTTTCAGCTTGATGGGTTATCACTGGCTTTCTAAGCGCACAAAGACGGCATATACGGCTCAAAAAGTTGCCTTGATGTCTTTCATTCGTCTCATCACTAAGTCGATTTTCTCAGGATGATTACTAAAGCGGTGACGGCCGTCAGTTAACTGCACAAAAATTTTGGATTAATGCAACTAATCGATACTTTACTTTTCAGGGATGAAACCACAGACGCACCGGTGATAGTAAGTTTTTTTAATTTTCTCCTTTTACAACATGGAGATTGTTTTTAACTTCTTCCTTACTTTATTCTGATTTTAAAATTCATAAGTTTTGGCCCTTTTTTTCAGGGAGAGAAACAAAAGTTTGTATGTATCACCAACTACACGGCCCAGTCCCCCGATGAGGTCTCGGTAAATGAGGGTGACATGTTAGAGATCCTTGACGACGTAGGCATGGAGAGCTCGATGGTCTGCGTTATTCCTACCGGCGCCGTCGGGTGGTTATCAAGGGTCTTTATCATGAGGGCCCCTGAAGAGGATGTGAAGAAGGCCCCAAAGACTGCTAAAGGGAAAGAGAGGGAAGCACTTAATCAGCGAGAGTAAGTGAAGAATTGTTGAGAATGTTTGACGTCAATTTCCACCCTACAGTGCAAATGAAGCTTTGAGAATTTTTCAGTTATCTTTGATGGACTAAATATCTTCCACTACGATTTGCTCTCATAGATTCGTGCTTAACGAACTGATAGAATCTGAAAGGCAGTATGTTAACGACCTTCGAACTGTTGTTGAGGTAAGGAACAGATGACTTTCCATGAGTTTGATATCAAAGGTGATATGAATCCTGTTTAACAATCAGTTAGTTTGGTGTGTCGGGGTTTTCTTACCGCAATAAATTACATCAACCAAAAGCTCTGCTGAGAAACACCTGTAATGCACAAGCATTTTATATAGGCGTAATTGTTCTACCGGAGATGCAGACTTCTGTAGTTGATAATAAATTTTACCTTCGCTTAGCCCCCTCCCCCCCTTGGTATTTGCTAAATCTCTTTTTGTCGTGATTTGTTGTCACTGAATGTACAAGAACCACTCACGTGAAGGATGATCTGTTTCGTGTGGTTTGTACAGAGTCACCTAGCTGAACTTGATGCTGCTGATATTCCTAAAGAAGTTGTTGAACATGAGGATGTTGTGTTTTCCAATATGAAGGAAATATACGGATTTCACACAAGGTATTAATTTCATGCTACTCTTTCCTCTAACTCTTTCCGACTCACGTCATTTAATATGCCATTGCTCTGCTGCAATAGAATTACATATTTGTAGTGTGCGTGGAGTTGAACCGTTGACTTTTGGAAGGTGAAATACGTCACAGTTAAGCATCCCGCTAAAACACTTGCTATTCGTTGTTTGTTATTGTCTCTCTGATGATATATCCATTCTTTCTTCAGACTATTCTTGCACGAACTGGAGGCTTGTGCAAAGAGTCCAGATGACGTTCCAAAGGTTATTGTACGACACGTAAGTTATATTGCCGTAAAACATATGAGACACTTGGCTTCGTTATAACCTTCAATATGAATACGAGCAACATCTTGATTATATCTGTTGCTATTTTCGTGTAATTTTTAGAAACCAAAATTTGAAATGTACATCAAGTTCCTCGAGGGAAGGCCGCTGGCAAACGAAAATCTGGAGAGTGAGAAAACGCAAGAGTTTTGGACGGTGAGTGTTTCTCTTAAATAATCACTTTCGTTAATAAGATTTCATTCCGGTGGTTCACTAGTACAGAGATTAATTTACATGGATAATATGCGAAAAAAAAACCCACGCCAACTGCATTTTTAGTTTGAAGTACATTTAAGATTTTAAAAAAATTTGAAGATTAACTGTTTTTAAACTAATGCTAGTTCACCTTTTGAACAATAATTATTCCAACATCAACAGGAGTTCCAAGAAGACACGAAAGGTGCCATCTCTCTCTCAGAGTACCTTAAAAAACCAGCACAGCGCCTTGATGAATACGTCCTGCATCTTAAGGTTAGAGAGAATGATCGCTAATACCTAGTACCTAACATTGATTTGGAGTACAGAAGTCTTTGCTAAGTTTTGCTGAGAGCCCCTTTTTCAAATACTTAAACTTTTTTCGTGTTTTTATATACTACCTTCTGGTGCTGTTTTTATTTTTGTTTTTATTTTTTATAGTTATATATTTATATATTTTTTACGTCTAGTCTTTTGTATCGGTATGCATCCAGGCGAGGGGAAAATCGATGTACATTCTAAGCGGTGTTAATGTTATTTTTACCAAAGGAATTGCTCAAGTTCACCGTACGTGCGAATCTGCAGCACTCGGATTTTCAGGTAAGTCCCTTGTTTTTTTATTAAGCTACAATTATCTCTGCCAAGATAAACCCAGTCAACAGTGGTTTCAATAGAACTAGAAAGAAATACAATGGTCATCACTAATCATCGGGACTCTTGCATAAACCTGATCACGTCGATAAGAATTTAAAAGAATAATTAACTATCGTATTCCCTCTGTCAGGTTCTTAACCCATCCCCTCACCCCACGCCCCCCAATCCCCCCCTTCCTCGAAAGGAACATCGGTACGGAGGAGGGCATGGAACTTGTAAAGACCATACTTTTTACGTCTCCCAACGATTTGAAGTTCATAACTCCATTTTTTATCTTCTCAACAGACGGCTCTTGAATTCCTAGCCAGTCTATCCCGACGAGGAAATGAAGCAGCACAAAAATTCCACATCGAAGGATATAATGTGAGTAATTAACTCGACGCTCAAAAAATGCGATTCTTGAACTCCCCCGATCAGTCACCACCACCTGTGCAAACATCTACATCTTTCTCCTTTCACTGTGTGTATGTATTTTTTTTTTTGTTTTTTGTTTTTTTCGCAAATATAATATTTATCCATGGTACTTATGTCCCACGTTCGTTTGCATTGTGTTAAATTTTTTTTCCGTCACTGACTAGCTGACCAACAGAACGACGAACGGATAGACAGACCGACTGATTTATTGACTTACTCACTGACCGTCTGACGGACAGCCTTACTTGATTCACAAGAAAATTATCCAATGTTATTTCCTTATTGGTTTATTTGTCAATCTGCAGGGTGAGGTTCCTCTTGAAAATCTAGGGAGACTAATCCGCCAGGTAAGCTTCGTAAAGACTTTCATGTAAATCTTCTCTGTTTACATGAAGTATTGAAGATGTTGTGCGTCTTATTTTGCAGGAGGTGGTCTTATTCTGGGAAGAGAAAGCTCGAGGAAAAGGAAAAGAACGGGACTTGTTCTTGTTCGAGAAAGGAATCGTCAACACGAAAAGAAAAGAAGGAGGAAGAAAATTCATCTTTAAAAACATGCTGAAGGTTTGATATAACGACTGTTTTAACTTTCAAGTCCCCGTCGATATTTTGTCCAACAGGTTACAAATAGAAACAATTAGAAACAAGGCCCGAGCCATGCTGTAATCACAACCCTTACTTTGTTTTACTTTTCCGCTTTCATCCTCTTCGTTGTTTTTTATTTTTACTTGCTATTAGGTTGATCATAAGATTTATTGTTGTAATTTAAGAACTGAAACTCATTCCATCATGTGTTTAAGTAACTACTTGATAACACGGTTCTGTTGTCGTTCATTAAAATTGTCACTTAATAACCCACACTCTTATTCTTTAGCTGACAAGTGGTAATGTTGGTCTGACTGAACATGTAGAAGGAGGTGCCCGTCAGTTCATGGTGTGGGTGGGTACCTCCATGGCCACTGCTCTTGTACTTCACACATTTGAGGTAAGATGATAAAGCTGCTTAGTAAATATTGTTCGAGGGAGAAGGCCAAAACCGTTTATTAGTCATGTGTTGTAATCGTCTGGGTTAGGGTGGTCCTGAAAAGGGCTCTTGATGGTTACGGTGCCTGAGAGTTCAACATCTTTAGTGGAAATTTTCGTCAGTGTTAAGTGAAGAGTCGTTTGTAAGTCGAAAGTGATAGAGTTTTACAATGATTTTGTTGCACTCACAATGCCGCATCTAAATACAGAGCCTTTTTTAGAGCGATACCAAGAGAATATGAGCATTTGTGTCAAGTCTTAAGTGGTGCGAATTTTTTTTAATATAAAGCTTCTTTATTTACCTTTGCCTCTGTTATTTCAGACGAAGACCGAGTGGTCCAAACAGGTCTGGGTTCGAGAAATCAAAAGGCTGTTACATCTGAGTGAAAGTGAGTTCAAGTTTAAAACCTCTATTTTATTTTCGTTTCTTTTCGTTTCGTCGGCTCACATTTCGTTTAACTCTCTCAGAATCATCAATCACTGCTGTTACACCATCTCTGGTGTTTGGTGAACTTGAAGTTCAGTTGCCAAGTACTTCAGCCACAGAAGGGAACCTGGTGACCACAGTCAAAGAAACTATCACTAGTCCCTCTTACTCGCGTTTGATCGCTGAGCTCGAAAAACAGTATGTGGCCATCACGCCACCGGACTCACCTGAACCTCAAAGCCTGGTAAGTGAAATGATACAATATCATTACGTGACGTAGTTTTTTGGTTCGTATCCTGCTGCTTTCCTCTTCTCTTTTTTTAAGTAACATAGGAACCTGCCATTCGCTCGTTGCATTTTCAGGGATAATTTAGTTGCATACTGGGGCTGTTTGACTGATTGGGTGTGGTCCCTTTCGGCACATTTCTGTTATGGGAAATGTTCTGTTTTACAACGTGGTCTGCCTCAGTGGGCCATGGGGAGGCGTGTGCTTGTCAGCTGATCACTGAAGAGGTTGAAAAATGTAATGAGGAGCTCATGTTCACGTATGATTGTTACTTGTAGAACATTCAACTAGGAGGCACCTACCACTTGTCGGAAGAAACACTGGAACGAGATACACGCGAGCGCGTAATCGGCCGCGGTGAACAAGTACGAGTGCTTCGCTCAGGCCGAGATCTCTACTTCGTGCAAACCGTCAAAGATGGAGAAACCAAAGAGGGCTGGGTTCCTGGAAGCTGGTTGCTAGAAAGAGGTTTTGACGACCAGATTACAGGCGCCCAAGTCCAGGTTGAGCTGGAAGCTGGTTTAGAAGATGATATTGCACAAGATTTGAGTTCAGAAGCGTCTGAACCGGAGCTGCAACGGCTCAAAGAAACTGGGGAAGGTAAATATCTTTTTCATTGATATCTCCAGCCCACGATTAGATAATAAATACAAATGAGTGCAGGTGATGTTTTCTTAACCTTAAGATATCTAAGTAGTAATAATCTTAAGTTTAAGCGCTTTTCGATATATCAGGCAAGTCTGCACAACGTGACCTGCCGGCCAAAAATAGCTTTGATCCCCTCACCTTGTTTCTTTGTATATTTCCAAACAAACACTAAATACTGAATCAAAAAACGTAAAAAAAAAATTTAAGCCAGCTCTATGGTCTCTCCTTTCTCCAGTCACGCTCGTCGAGGTATTCTTTGTTTAAGGATTCAATTACAAATTCAAAAAGCTTAATCTTAAATTGCTATAAATCTTGACAATTTCTACTCATTTTGAAGTGATACATAGTGGTGTTCTTAAAGTGTTTTAAAACTTGGCTCGACTGTCGCTCTTGGAACATTCCAAGGATCCCGCGACTCCGTGGGATGGGTTATGATAAAAGAAATCAGTAAATTTTAAAACAGAAAAATCACAAGACTTCAATTGCAGGGTACTTTGAAACGCTAATGCGGCAATCAATTTAAGCGTTGTTGAAGTTATTGTTTCAAACAATAGTATGCTTTGTTAACATCCTTATTCTTCGGTCGCGTCTCTTTGGTTCAGAATTACTGGGAATATTAATTATGATAATTCTGTTTTCCATCTGCAAGTGATTAATGCAGTGGAATTCACATCGCTCATCGGTGGAAATTACATATTTATGCTCTATTCTCGAAAGGGTGTTATTTGATTCAAAATAATTGTGTTAGTTGGAGTCACAGTACATCGTTTTAATAAAGGCGCGAACTGTTTTCGGATTCAGTCGGCTTTCAAATGTCTTCACGGTCAACTCTTTCGTCTTCGCGGAGTTACGGGTCTTCATCAGCTTCTGAAACTCGATCATACGAAAGGACATCGCGAATTCGTGAACATTCGGCGGACGAACGAAACGAAGGGCGACCGAGAAGGCGACGAGGTAACAGAGATGCAGTTATTTTTTGTGATTTTTCTCGTTGAAAACTTCTTTAGTTGAGTATTTTGGTAGCAGTAGGTTCTGAAGAAAATAGTTTCTGAGAGACCTTGACTTTCTTGAATTAATGGCGCGGACATCCAACAGTGACAACCAGGATTTTTCCAATACTGTATTATTTATAGGATAAAGTAAAGTGATAGAATGCAAATCTAATGTACCATCTTTTGAACTTTTTTATCTGCAAACTAATTTGAATTTTGATTAGGTCATTTGCAAAGGTAAGATATTGGACAGATATTGGACCACTCAAACATAAAACAAAGTCGTTTGTAACTGTAAAGTATCACTTCTACCCACAGCTCAGCCAAAGTTTACAGAGGAACTTGAAGATATCGAAGTGTGTGTCGGCCAACCTGCCAGTCTGCGCTGTCGAGTGGAAGGTGACCCTTTCCCAGACATAGAATGGTTTGTAGATGATGACAAAATCAAGAAAGGGGGAAGATTCGATTTTCTCAGTAACGGAGACCTTGTTACTCTGAAAATTTCCGAAACAAGTGCCGAAGACGAAGGAGAATACAAATGTACAGCCAAGAATGAAAACGGAATGGCTACCACAAGTGCCGAGCTCATAGTAAATGGTAAGTCCTTTATCCGTCAAACTGATCTTTGTATTCTTTGCGGTTTTTTTATGGTTGACTGATAAGTGTCATCAAAATTTTTCCTGTCATAGAAGTTTTGATGAACTCATAGATACGCTATACAATAATTATATAAAGCGCAAATAGTGTCGGAGGAATGTACACGGGTTATTTTTAAAAAGGAAATTTACTTCAAAGCTCGGTAATTAGGGTTCAGTTATTAGTAAAATTTGGTCTTTGCATTTTGATTGCTCTTCTCACGATACTTCCTTCTGGATGCAACATGGGATCAATCGTCCCAAAATTGTACATCAACGTTAGTATTTGTGCATGCTTCTAAATCATTAGTCAATAATTGAGGTCAATAGAAATGCTCCATTTACTCGACCAGTGTCTCTTTTGCTCCGCAGGCAGCCTTGGTTTTGTTTTGACGTTTTATTGTTGTTTTTACATTTAAACGACAGTGAGCCTTGTTTTCAATCAGCTCGTTCTTTTATATTAAGCGTTCACTTAATGCCCACACCACGGAGACTCTGAACTGAGTGGCAGGCTAATTTCTCATCCATGTGACAAGTACTTGGACGTTCGTGGTTTAAATTTCAAGCATGTGAAGGTTAAGTTAAGCTCAACGGCAGGGTGCCTCGCTCATTAACATCAACATTTCTTATGCCATGATTTCTTCACACGCAACTACTTGAAGAACTTAGCTACAGTTTATGCTTTGACTTGCGGTGTCGAGATGTAAAATACAACTGATATTACGTTACATTGTTGGTATAATTTGTCCACACGATTTGCCGTCTCCGGATAGTCGCGCCACCCTTAAAAGGAATGTTGATCCTTCTGTAGATAACTTTCACTCCCTTTGTTACATTCACTCTACACTATAGCATCCACCAAATTGCGAGGCTGTTCATTTGTTGGCCTAACAGTAGCTGACACTTAAGACCTGGCAGTATGCTGATGTTTTTCGGCTTGCCTTAGTTGCTACTTGAGATACATTTCTCGTAAACAGCCTCTTTTGGTGACCTCAATGGAATTGAATCTGAAACATCTCCAGCAAATGTAAAGAATCAAATTTCCTCCAATAACCGTTTTTAAGTTTAAAGAAGGAAGTAAAACACTTATTTCCTCCATTTACACTCGATATGTATTAGTTACCGTGATAAAATAGCGATTCGAGTGACGTGGGTTGAAATTAGCTGAACAGATCTGTGTTGTTGATATGTTTCTTGCGTGACATGCTAATTTGGCGGCATTCGTCTGGTCCTTTTATCTTTGGTTACCTTTTTTTCGGCAATTTAGATTGATTATACCAGCCTATCAAAATAAATAAATTACACCCCGTAATCATCGGTCAAAATCTCTTTAGTACATAGAACTGTTTCTAGCAGCGCGATTTTTTTTTCTTTTCGATACTGTTATTTATCCTGTATCTGTTTTAACTGGAGGATGCCCACTAAGAAGTGTAAGTCATAGATTGTCATTTTAGAATCGTGCTACAAATATGACATCAATCCATTACTTGAAAAGGTCACTTTTCACGTTTTAAATGGCGCGTTGTAAACACGATCGTTTGGATGATCATCTGTTCTTCACATTCACAGTATAACCGACATTACTGCGTTTAGCAAGGGACAGGCTCAGCTCATTACAACCCACCAGATGAGACCTTAGTTTTTCTTTCAAAATGTGTTAGATTTGAGACATGACTTTTAACTTCTTTTAAGGCTCGAAACAAGCCGTATGACAGTATCGACGAGTCGTGGTGTATGTTGAAATGCAAAATTACATTTTCGACTTTCGAGGGCTTATTTGAAAACATAATCACGGGAGCCTTAGAGGCTGAGGGGATAACGCCGTTAGATGGCCGTCAGAGGCAGAGTGTGGTTAACGTGCGCCGCAAACCAAACACTCAGCGACCTTCGGTAGCGCTACTGTTACGAAATGACTGATCAGCCCTTGAAGATCTGAAGGAACCTTTCCGGCGTTTCATTTACGATTTAGCTTATGAACAATTTTATTTGAATATCCTGCTGATTTTTGACGGCTATGTAAGAATAGAAATGTAAGTATTTTCAACTTCACTATAATGCAAGTGACAACAAAGTCTCCTCAACTGTGGTTCAGGTCTATTCAAAGATGTCTCTGTTCAGCTCGTTTTTTTCCAATGTTATACGTCATGATAAAATAGCCTTGAAAACGTTAAACAGCCTAAATTCTGTTCGATGTTTTAACTTAACATTAATGTTTCATCAGGTGGTTTAATATAAGAGTAGTAACATATCCAGACGCCTTCTTCCTTAATTTTAGATCACACATTCTGTTGAACTGGAGAAGATCACATCACTGGCTTCTACTAAACAGTAATAAGACCCATCCATCGTCGACTGATGTCAAGGCTTGCGTAGCATTGAAAAATTATTTGAATTTGTTGAACTGTTAGCTCGCTTCCTGTATATCGGCCGTGCCATTGATTAGGGAACCTCAGACTTTTCTGTCATTTTATAATTGTCAAGTTCCTGAACTCTTCATAAATCAAATTGACTTTATTTTGACTTGTCGATTTAATATTATTTTTTCTTGCAATTTTTGTCGCGTTATACGATAAGATGAACATTCCACTTGGTTGACCTCGTACAATTCCTCTCAGCTAATTTGCTATGATGTCTTTTTGAAGTTTCCGATTGAAGTTTCAGTTGAAGTGATGATGATTTTGATAAGTTGGTTTTTAAGAGACAAACGTGCTTTCCTATATTATTTGTTACCATTTGTTTATAATTTTATGGGTGATTCATTGTAAATAAAATGAGAGGTTACGATAAGTGGATAAAACACTTAACATGTTTTTTTGTTTTTTTAGTGTGATAATCGAAATAATTGCATCAAGACACTCACAAATCAGTCTTCATTGTGATTTTTTTCCTTTTCTCGCAATATAAATGTTTCATTCTACTCGAGATTTCTAAGAATTTAAATGCTTCTTCGCGTTTTAAGTCGAAGATTCGTGAATTCGTACAATTGTATCAGTATTGTGACCGATGATATAATGATATCGAGAGGTAAAAACGCGAGGAAGCGCGGGAACTGTTTTCATGGCTTCCAAACAAACTTTATGGTGTGATTTGATCTGCTGCGACTAATTCTTGCCTTCATACTTAAATTGTTTGCAATAAAAGTTTCGATTATGTCTATCAGTCAAAATTTCCTCTCCAGCCAATAGCTGAAGTATACTTGAGCAACACGAATACAATTATTACACAGTTGATATTTGGTTCAAGTTTAGTTTCCGTCTTCCGATGATAATTTTGCCTGTTTTACTTTCCAGCTCCAGCGAAAATCGACAAAGCTCCCAAGTCTCAAACGGTCAGCGTTGGGGATGTGGTCTCTTTTAAATGTGAAATTTCTGGAAATCCCGTCCCGACTGGAACTTGGTACAAAGGCAAAAAAGAGCTAAAGGATGAAGGAAGAGTGCTTATAGAAATTGAAGAGGATTTCTCCGAGCTAGAGATTGAAAATGTTGAAACTTCCGACGAAGGAGAATACATCTGCCTGGTGAAAAACGACTTTGGGGAGGACAAGTGCTCAGTGACTCTTACTGTGAAAGGTGGGAATGGTGTTTTGAACCGAAACCAAGTTCTTCTTGTTAAAATCACAAATAAGACTGTAACCTGTTTTATGATTAGAGCCAGATGGAATCACCAACATAAGGAACGGGTATTCGGATCAAACTTTCCTTATCACGTGTCATGACTTGGTGATATTTTACTGGCGGAAATATGTTATGTGAGAGTTCGTAACTTGTGTATTATTTATAAAATATAAATGCCATGGACTGGAAAAGTACATTTTTTTTTCGATTTTCACTTTCACTCGAGAGGTACAAGAAAAACTAATCCAATCTTGTATTTTTCATTTTTCTTCTTTTCAGGGGGAGGAGATGTAAATGAAAACAACATCGCTGAAGGTGGTGATGAAGGTGTAGCGAAAGGTAAGTAACTAAACGCTCGGAAAGGAAAAAAGACCATTCAGTCGCTATCCATTCAGTGGTCATGCACAAGGGTTTCATTACAGACTTTTGAGTTCGTGCCACCTGTTACAGCAGGATAAACATTACTATATGAAGGTACATGAAATTAGATGTAGCTTTCATTTGAATGGTCACACACAAGGGTTTCAGTTTTGTTTTGGTTTTGTTTCGGATTTTCTCCGTACTAATGATAGTAAAACTCTTATGTTTCGTACCTATTAACACACTGTTACTCTATCCAGACGATGGCGGTGATGGAGACAGTGACGTAGAAAGCAAAGACCTTGACCTTCCGCTTCGAGATCCAATCTCCCTGCGGACGGATAAGAAATTTGATGATGCATACGTTTCTCAGAAAGAACTGGGAAAGTAAGGTTCATTTCCTTTATCTCTATGTGGTCTTATTGTATTTTTATCATTTTACCCTGTGTCTGAATTTAACGATGAAATTTTACGTCAGTGGAGTCAGCCAATCGTTTCTTTAGGTACAAACAAACGTACGTACTTGCAGTGAGATGGCAACTGTCTGTTGTGTATGTTGTGATTGGCATTTGCTTTTCCGAAGGACTTGGTTGTCCAATCGTAACATTGCAGGACTTTTCAACAGATAGTTGTAGAGTTTTATATTGAAGCTTTCCTCGTCTTCTGTCTCTTTCCTCCTCTCCGCCAAGATCTTCCTTCTTTTAAAATATTTACTATCTTTACTTCCCAGGGGTAAATTTGGAGTTGTCAAAAAAGTTAAAGAAAAAAGCACCGGGACGGAATACGCCGCCAAGTTCCTAAAAATCACCAAGGAGTCAAGGGAAGAAGTTCTGGCAGAAATGCTTATCATGAATAAACTGCACAGTAAACGGCTGATCTACCTCCATGATGCATACGAGAGACCAAAGGAGATGATTATAGTCTTGGAACTGTGAGTGAAATTAGTTATCACAGTTATCCTGCTTACTGGGAGATAAAAAGTAGAGGATGGGGGAAACAAGGAAAGATGGTAACAATGCGAGAATGAGACCTAAACTTAGATAATTTTATTACATATTTCAGTTGATCTGATGTTAATGGTTTTCGAGAAATCGCAGTTTCTGTATTATAGGAATTTGAATTGTTGATGTCTTTAGTGAATGTCAGTATATTGTAATGAACCCGAACAAAATACATTAAGATAAGTATTGTTTCTTTCAGCTCATTACTGAAAACGAATGAGAAGATAGTAAATATTGTCATATCTGCTGTGCCTTTTATTAGAATCTCTGGAGGCGAGCTGTTTGAGAAAGTCTGTAATGATGATAACTTAACTGAGAAAGAGGTTGTGCGGTACATGAAGCAAATACTGCAAGGCGTGGAACATATGCACAGGAAACGTATTGTCCACTTGGATCTTAAGGTAAGGGGAATTTCCTAAAGTCATCTTAAAGAGCTGCATTAGGATTAAAGAAATTTAATTTCAGTGGTCACAAATTAATATTAATAAAAGTAATAAACAGTAACACATGAAAGTGCATTTCAGAAGCTTTCATTTGAACAGCCTCGTGAGCTTTATTAAAGTTTTACCTTCAGAGGTTCATACTAAAGTCTTCCCTTTCTACTCAGCCTGAGAATGTGCTTTGTGTGATTCGTCCTGATGGTAAGGAGGATCTTAAGCTGATTGACTTTGGAATGGCGCGAGTACTTGAGCCGGGCAAAACCGTGAAAGTGGCCTGTGGTACGCCCGAATTTGTAGGTAAGAAAACAAGGCATTTATAAGCTTAACTTAATAACCTTAGTCAATAAGAGGCCATAGGAGGTAACCTCTCGATTAGACTTGAAATGAGTGCCATCCTGGATATTTCTACATCCCTGGTAGTTACTTACTCAAAATATTTCTCTTGTACTTTTAGCGCCCGAAGTGATCAGTTACGAAGCCATCAGCCTAGCCAGTGACATGTGGTAAGAATGATTCTTAATCCTTGTTTGCTTCATATAAAAACATGGCTGTGCACCATTATAAGGCTGGTACATAACTGATCTAAGGTGTCCCTTTTTTTCTTTTTCTGTTTCTTCTGCAGGAGTGTGGGCGTCATAGCATACGTTTTGTGAGTATGATTTTTCTATTTTCCCTTTCTGTCTTAGCTCACCCTTGTATTGTTAAACATAACTTTTCAAGGGTGATTTTATATGGTTACGAGTCTTTCAATTGTTGCTTCCTTTTCTTCACTTGCCTAAAAGACAAAAACGAAGTTAGGTAGTGATGTCAGATTGTCACTCAATTACAATGTTATCTTTTCTGATTTTTTTAAAATCTATCTACAGGCTGAGTGGTCTATCACCCTTCATGGGAGACGATGACAACGAGACCATACAGAACGTGTCCACTGCTGAGTGGGATTTTGAAGACGAAGCTTTTGACGTCGTGTCAGACATGTCCAAAAAGTTTATTGAGGAACTGCTCATCAGAAGTCCCGAGTCAGTAATTCTAAATACTTCTTTATTTCATTTCAAAGTCAACTTAACAATCGATACCATGACAACGAGACGTGAGTTCACAATCTCGAACATGAAAGAAAGGTCCGCTTAAAAACTTCCATATTCAGGAAGCCTGCATATCTGCATCGATTTTCACGTGACGGTGATATTTTGGCTATAGGTTTATCAACGTTCGAGCAGATTGGGAAGGAGTTCACACACCTAAACACTTATTCCGTTAGAACAACATTTCCATAAGCCTAGAAGTTTTGTTACTGACCCTATCTTCATGATGTTACCTAGCTAATGGATATTTGGTGTTGCATTCTTAGGAAGAGAAATGATGTTTTCAATTGTATGAACCATGATTGGTTGAAGGTAAGAGAGCAGATTTTTTGCTTGTAGATTCCCGTATCTCATGTGTATGTCATTGGAATCTTAAGCCTCCCTCTTTCCGCTTCCCCCTCCTCCTCTGCTATTACGGTTCCATTTTTCCGTTGATAGGATAAATACCCGTCTAGTACGCGCCCGTGATTTCTCTGCCTTGGTAGACCCTCAAAACTTACAAAAATTCGCTATTATCCCACCTTAGGTAGGACAACTTTTACAAGCTTAGTTGCTGTCGTGCTCTCCATCTAAACTGTAAAAGTAATATAAAAGAATTTAGTCATTGTTATATTGCGTAAAACTTAGAAAGCAACTTCACTGGCATTTTTCTTTTAAGATATACTTATCTTTTACTTTCTTTTCTTTTCCCTAATAGAAAGTCAAAACAATTAAGGCTCAGAAGCTCAGCACGGAAAACTTGAAGAAATTTATTGCGCGCCGTCGTTGGGCGGTAAGTGTCTGTCAATTTTCAAAATTGTCCTTGCAATGCGTTAGGTGATTATTTTTGTAGTGTTTGGGGACTGATAGTAAATTACATTCTCGCTCCTCTTTAGTTATGTCAGTCCTTCATTTTGACTGCTTGTTTCCTTACCCCACCCTCCTCCTCCACTTCGTATATTACTTCATTTTCTCACCCACGATGATCAGGCAATCTAGGCCAAAACATGTTCCAAAAACTGATCTGTTTTCTGTATTTGTTCCCTGTAGAGAACAGCGAATGCCTTGCGAGCTCTGAGCCGAATGGGATCCCTTGGTGGGCTGATGGCTGGAGGAGGCAAACCAGGTGGCGCAGCTGCCGCCTCTAAACCTGGTGGCTTCCTCAAGAAGGTAAAAGAAGAGAAGGCCAAGGAGGAAGTTCAGGAGAAAGCAGCCAAAGCGGAGACGAAGAAGGAGCCATTCAAGGAGGAGGTATCTAAGGAGGAACCGAAGAAATTTTCAGCAGGTGATAGCCTCATACCAGAAAGACGGGGCCTGAGTTATTCGGGTCGCCGAAGTCCCGCCTTGAGTGGCAGGAGAAGCCCGATGTCTCGGGCAGAAGCCCGTAAGTATAGCACTCCTGATCCACGCGTTGTAATCACGTTCGTCTGGTTTGTGTTGTGTTGTCGATAGCCATTTAACGTTGCATTATCTTAACGGGAGTACCGCTGGGCTATCTCGTCCTTCCTTCTTACCGCCTTTTTTTTCGGGCTGAATCTGATCCTGTTTGCCTAGAGGTATTATACTTCAATCAGGAGCACTTAAATGGAACCAGCTTTTTGTCATGTTCACCGGCAGTCTGTTGTTCCAAGTGGGCCTCTCAATTTTCTTTCTCACTTGTCAGTCAAATTTCAGAATCCACTTTTATTTCAATCCGCTTTCTCAAGGCGCTTTTCTGAAAAAACGATTTTTTTAAATCCGCTTTCTTCACTTCTTTCCACTGAGCTCTTTACAGTTGATGACAAAGCGATGACAGAAGACGCAAAACTCTTTTGCGCCTGACAGATTCGTATTCATCCCCTTAAAGTGCTGTTATTTTCTCTACATTTTTGCTTATTTTGGAAATATGGTTCTTAAAACATTTGCTCTAGAAATCATCATTCCTTTTATTCTTACAACCACCTACTTCATCCAGATATTGTTCGCTCCAGAAAAGGTGACCCTGCCGGAACTGGTCGAGTGTGTTAATTTTTATTGAGAGAACCGCTGTGGATGGAACTTTGTAAGTGTTACAGTTGACTGTAGTCGTAGACGGTTCAGGGGTAACATAGGCTCTATTCCGTGTAGGTTTTATGTCGCAGCTTTGTTTTAATTTTTGACTCAAGAGTTCAAATGTCTTGAGTTCACGGCCGCTCTAGCGCTCTAACCGTTTTTTATTTGTAACGATTACAATGTCTCCTTTTGGGGTGCTGTGACGTTGATATATGAATATCTCAAGAAAAATTTAAACGGCTAACACTCCCAGCTATATCGATTTTTTTCAGTGTGGTTTTTCGACACACAAACTTAGCTCAGTTCTGCTAAGTATCAACACCAGTTCATGACGAGTTATAGTGCAGCTAGTAAAGGTCACATTTAATATCCGGTCTGTTTTCCTGCATTTCAACCTTCACTTGGATCACTGTATATTTTTTATTGGATTATCCATATTTAGCTCTGAAGGTTATTTTTACACATCCTGATAAAAAGCTGTTTTTTCTTCTTTTAATCTCGGATAAAACCTGTGAATAAATGTCTTGATATAAAGTGCTTCTGGCGCCTCTGTGATTCCTTCTTAATACTTGGAATCTAAGCGCTCTTATAACTCACTGAGCTGTTCTCCAGGTACTTTTTTAATCCAGAAACAACTTTTCGAGTGTAACTTTTTTTTATCCTCGTTCGCTTTCAATTATACGACTCTTCGTCGAAAGAAGGCAAACAGATTTTGAAACAGTTTACTTTCTCTCATTACTTCATGGCCCTCCGCATTTTTGTCTAATTACACTTAAATGCCAAGGTGTTTTTTTTGAAGACTGTTTCTGACAATAAGTAAAAGAAAAATTACTTCATAATGGTCTCATTGTTGATGTACTTTGACACTTAAAAAGTGTCAAATTTCATATGTTAATTGAAGGCGGGCGAATTTTTGTCGAAGTTTCGAGAACCTAATACATTTTATAATGTGTCTGGTGCCAGTGAAGCCTTACTTGACGTTTGCGTGATCAATCTTTTTAACACAGAGTCAGAATTCACCCCCTAAAGAAACTGAAAATTTTCCTTCATTTAAGCAATCATAACGTCTCGCGTGAGTTTTAAGCGGTCGTGGAGACTGGTACAGATGCTGTTATCAATTTCTGTGGTTGTTAGTACCTAAGTTATTCATTGCGCGCAGTAACTGATTGTCACTCCATGTGAAGTAATCATGAATCATAGCATTCTGTTGGCCAGGAGATTCTCTTCAACTCGTAAAGACATCAAAAGCACCTTAACAGGTTCGTGTAAATCGTGTAACTTTGCATTTAACATATAGAAACGTTATTGTCGGAACTACAAGTATATGTGAACAATTTTCGCTCAAACATTCATCATAGCTATACCGTCCTCATCTGGCTCCCACCCGCGCTGAATTTAATGTGTATATTCCATGAATTATGCCTTTGAAATACTCTCTTAGTTGTGATTCGTATGTGAACGTGTTTAGTTCAATACTTTGAATTTTCTCTGTTAGAAAAAGCTTCACGCTTCTTTCGACGTCCGTGAAATCATTCTGCGGCGTATCGTGTTAATAAGTTAAATGAGTAACATTTAAAGTTGTCTGGCACTACGTTTGGTAATCAAACGCCTCTCGTTACCCAGACTAAATTTTCGGAGCTTTGTGGTTGTGGCAGAAAAATGACGATTGCCTACAAACGTTATTTATTTTTTTCCCGTCATCTTTTTCATCTTACTCTGTAAGAATAATGATGATGCTTTTTAAAATGTCAAATATTTTCGTCCGTTTCGGAAAAGGGTTATCCTGAAGATAAAAGTGTCTAATTACATGTCAGCTGTGTTGCATTCCTTGGGTTGCACAATGTAACTCTCTTTCATAATCGAGAGTAAGATGTCAAGTTAGTTTATTATGTCGGCTTATGATTTCCAATGCTTTGTGTCTTTTAGTTGGAGATAATCTACGTGCTTCTGTTCTTCTCTCTAATCTTTCCGGTTTTCATGTCCTGTTGACGTGCTCTACATTTTAGGGTGTTGATAGGGCTGCGATGTCTTGAGAGAAAGTTCTCGTTTACTTAAGACCTGTTTCATAATTATTACATGAAAGGCGTCCTCTGATTAGTTTGCATAATTCATTTGACCAAGAAAATGTTTAATTGAATTTGTGTTTTACTTATCGTGTTGTGTGGAATAATAGTCAAACCCTGGCCTGTCACGTTGTGGGAAAGAAACACGCTGATAATATTTACTTAAATCATTCCATTGTTTTTCAGTTTGTTTATTCTTCACTTTTATCTGTCTACTTTCATCAGCGTTGTCTTTTGTTTGAAGTAGATAAATGCCTGGGGGTTATCTCGAGTGCTGTTATCGCAATAACGTCCTTGGCAAGATTTCTGTTCTGCTCTCTGTTACTCCCAAAAAAGGTCTTCTTGTTGTTGTTCAGTTTGTTAACTACTGAATACTTTTAAAAGGAGTGCACGGCTTCTCTTTTAGAGTATAGATGCTTTTTTTAATATTTTGTGAAATCTCATTGATGTAGTCGCTAATTATTCCAATCTGCTTAATTTCGTAGCATGTGGTGTTTTCTATAAACACGTCACATTTTGTCACGTCAAAAATCTTTGAGTGCTGTATAATGACCAGTTCACTTTCAGATAGTTTATTTATTCTCCTAAATGTTCCTCTTAATTGGCATCTTCATTTAGTGTTGAGAACTTGGTGGTGTATCCTAGCAAACTTTTGTATTGCGCTCGCAATGAGAAAGATAACTGAAAAAAAAAAAAAGATCCTTTTTCGTTAAGCGTGGGAAACTGTGCCCACGATTTCCTCTCTTTTTCCTTCTTTCACGTAGCGATGGTTGCAATGCAATCCTATTTCACTTTGCTTCCTGACTTTCTTAATTCCTACATGATCTGAACACCCACGCGAACACGTGGGTCAAACGCTAAGGGAAATGCACCTATTTATCTGACTTTTAATCCTTGACTGATTCAAAAACTTTTTTTATTCTTCTAACGCGCTGAAATTGATAGTATTGATTTTGACAAAATGTTCTATAGTCACTGTACGGACCAGACTAGAGCTGTGGTTATTCTCTCTTTTTGAGCTGGTCAGAGATCATAAAACACATCTTTTGTGACCCACACATCAGCATCGAAATCCTTCTTAAATGATCTTTTTCTGTTACGAGTTGTTTTATTATGGTATACTTGTTTCTCTGTGTTCATCACTACCTTACTTCCTATTGTATGTTTGACCTTGTACCAGCTCGGTGAAGGGAAATTAACACCTTTTTCTTCTTTTAATTAGTCCAAGAATGAATGTCGTGGGTTGTTTCCTGTATGTCTTGCTTTGAGAAATAACGTGAATTTTACTTCCCCTGCAAAATCGCCTTCTCTCCTCTACTTCACCCACTCCTTGTCGCGCTTTGTCGCGCCTTTTCCTCCCTTCAAATTGAAACTGTTTCTGGAGCCACTTGTGCTGAACTTCTCGTGACTTTTCTCCCCCTATGTCTCTGAAGTCTCGCGTTGACCACGTGTAACTATCACGTGTTTGTTTCTTTAAGCCCAATCAGTACTTGCCGCCATACGTGCCATTGTGTAACACGCACGTATCCATTGTTAATCATTCATCTTATTTCCCATGTAGATGGTATGCCACTAGGCCCCCCTGTCTTCATTCAACACCTGACGAATTGCGAGATCATAGAGAACAGCGCCGCCAGATTTGAATGTAAGGTCAGCGGTAACCCTGAACCGGAAGTGGAATGGTATAAAGACGGGAAGCTACTGAAGGAAAGTAAACAACTCACATTCCTGTACGATGACAACGACAACTGCAAACTTATCATCACTAAGGGCACAGCAGCTGACGCTGGAGAATACATGGTTGTGGCCAAAAATCCTCACGGTAAAGTATCGAGTAGTGCACGATTGCTTATCGACACGGGTTCAACGGACGATGAAACCGCGAGCGAGTCCGAACTCTCCGAACTGTCTGGCTCTGAAGCTGAGGAGAGAACGATGACCCCAAAAGAGGAAAAGATCACGAAGTACTACACTGTTCAAGATGAGCTCGGCAAGGGACGGTTCGGTGTTGTGTGCAAGTGTATTGACAATAAAACGGGACGCGCTTATGCCGCCAAGTTCATCAAATGTACTGCGCCCAAGGACAGACAAGACGTCATACACGAAGCAGAGATCATGAGTTCTGTTCGGCACAGGCGGCTTCTTCGGCTTCAAGATTTCTTCCAGACACCCACAGAGATGATACTCGTCATGGATCTTGTCACGGGTGGAGAGCTGTTTGAGAAGGTGGTAGAAGATGAGTTCATCTCGGAGATAGAAGTGTCGCATTACATGAAACAGATAATGGAAGGTGTTCAGCACTTGCATCAGCGAGAAGTTCTCCATTTAGATCTCAAACCCGAAAACATCATGCTTATTAGACCGGACAGTAAACAAATCAAGCTTATCGACTTCGGCCTGGCGAGGAAGTACAACCCGAAGGAAAACCTTAAGGTTATGTTTGGAACACCAGAATTTGTTGCCCCAGAAGTCATTACATACGAGCGTATTACACCTGCTACGGACTTGTGGTCCGTTGGAGTCATAGCATATATTCTGCTGAGTGGTTTATCGCCTTTTATGGGGGATACTGATGCCGAGACCCTGACCAACGTCCAACTGGCAGAGTGGGACTTTGACGATCCTGTCTTTGATGATATCTCAGATGAAGCAAAAGACTTTATCAGCGGTCTACTTGTGCTTAAAGCAAACAAGAGGAGTACTGTCGATCAATTACTCAAACATCGCTGGTTCACTATCGAGAAGGGCAAAGGGAAAAAACTGAAGACCGACCGTCTCAAAGCGTTCACGGCGCGAAGGAAATGGAGGCGAGCCATCACCGCGATCCGAAGCACGAACTTTTTGAGCCGGATTCTCGGAAGCCGCGGGTCCGATGATAAGAAGAGTAGTGGGGGTGGAGGTGGTGGATTGTTAGCCCGAGTCAAAGCAATGCATGCTGCCGGTATTCAAGGTTCGGAAGGAGGTGTTCCCCCGGCGTCCTCTCCTTTCCTATCACCTGCCTCAGCAGCGTTCAGCACCAGTAACAGCTTCACTTCAGTAACTGTAACAGAAAGAACGCAAACACAAGGAGAGACAACTGTTTTAGAGAAGGAGACAGTGACTGTTACCAAAGACGGACAAACAACTGTTAAAGAAAAAGAAACTACAACAAGAATCGGCGAATTCAAGCAGCAAGATAGCACAACAGAAGAAGTCGATAATGGTTAGCGTCAATTTGTCGTCAGAAAATGGCATCGTAAATGAAAGTTTTAAATGAAGAAGAAAGAGATCAATCGATGATGTAGACTTAAATGTGAAAATTGTTTTACGCAGAGTAATATCTTAAGTTTTGTTCCAATTTCATTTTGCTTTGTAGGTCACACGTAAGTACACTACTGAACAGGAGTGCTATACTTAATTAATTATAACAAATATTTGATATACTTAAACATAATTCTAGTTATGGTCGTTTCCGATGACTATCTGAAAAGAAGTGGAAACTAAAAGCGGATTTCTGCAATGTTGCCAAATTATTAAGCGTAGGGTTTTTTTTTTCGGTTTTTCGCTTTTCAACTGCGAAAACTGGCCAAAATTGTTATTTAATCTCTTAAAAAGCGAACTGTGTACTAAAGTGTTTTGTTTTTATATTTGGAGTCTATTTCATATGAGTAGTGATTGCTGTGGGTTTTTTTCCCGCCGTCCTGGTTGGCCTCTTGTTGTTAATTCTGAGTTCTTGCCGTGAAGTAAGCCTATAAAATTTGAAATCTCAAGCCGTGGAGGGAAGGTTCTTTCAGAGGCCATAACTTAAAGGAAAGCCACAACATATGTAGAATTGTTAATTAATTTAAAGGTGAAAGAGACCGTGGAATAGAATGCCGTATATGGTTATATTTCTGTTCTCGAACAAACTGTTGAAAAAGGCTTGAATTTACGTTTGAAGAATTCGTATGCCAGCAGGGTGTACTTCTAAATTCACTTACATTTTCTATTCCTACTTTTTCTGTGCCTGAACCACACAAGTTGTAGCTATTTCAAGTAATTCTATTCGACGACAGTTAATCACAGTACATTCTTTTCTCGCTTTATCACCTGAATTACAAACAATTGTTTTATGTCAGGAAGGACACATGGTTGAAATTAAGTTAACTGTGTGTTATACACAGGAGACTAAAGAACTCCAAGTTGTGCTTTGTATGGACTTATTTTCTCATGAAAACAATTATTAGCGTTGTTCAAGTTTAAGTACAGAGGATTATACGGATTATATTTTACAGCTAACAGAAAATTAAGTAAGATATTGCACACAGACATGTTTGTTCGATAGCAGATTATTGCGTGACATGCAAATCATGCAGACGTCGTGCTGTTGTCGGATTTTGAATAAATCACTCGACTGAAATTTTCTCCATTCTTGGTATTTGTTTGGTAGAGCTAATCTACTTCAATACCTTGTGAGATTGTTAGGGTTTTTTGTGGTCTTCTTCGCGTTTACGAGACGGCAAAATGTCTAATGATGCCAGTAAGTGACTTATTTATATATTCCTCTCTAAGGCGTTAACCGCTTTAAGCTAACTTATTCACTGCTCGGTCTGTGATTCATGATATCTGTTTTGTCTTCTTTGTGTATTGAGGAAACTTCTTTTCCGAATTTGCTCTAGTTAATCGTAATATTTTGAAAAAGATCTCGTGTTGGTATTTTGAACATGATTTTCATGTGGTGTTCGTAGCCGAGCCACTAAGAGTTTAGTAGATGCTTTTCTTCGTTCAACTTGGAACTTTGAAATGTTTTCTTTTCAGTAATATTTCCTGTATAACTTGGCCTTCTAACCCAAAACACCTGTACAACCGCCAGTATGACATTAAAGGTTTTTGAAAAACCTTTAAAAAGAAAAAAGTTGATGTCTGCATCAGAACAATTAATTACAAACCTTTTGGTCTTACTCTGTATAAAAAATTGTAAAAGTCATCAGCAAATTGTTGAAGCATTGCTTCAAACCATTGATATCAAGAGGTAATACTTGGCAAAATAAACATTGTTTAACAAAAAACTAACGACAAAACTAGCAAAGAATGAAGTACCGGTTTGTATGCTGAAGAAATTCTTTTGGATGCATGATTGATTGATATTTTTTCTGTGAGAATTGTGACTGAATCGCTTTTTTGTTCTATTAAGATCGTTTTTCTCTTGCTACGTTTTGTGACATTTTCTCTTACAGTTTAATAACACGGTTTATAACCCTCATTCAGTGTTAACTGTGTAGTATTTCAAAAGCAAATGTTGCAGATCTGCTCCATATGCAAATTATTTAAAATACTTCAAAATCCTGAAGCTTATTCAAGTATGTCTTGGTTTGTAATTACTTTCTGATGTTCTGCGCTTTGTTCTGTAAAGCAAACGTATTAAATCTGTTATTTCATGGAGGAAGAATTGTTTCTACAGAGGTCGCTTATGTTTTCTGCGTTGAAATTTCGATCACAGGCTTAGAGTGATGATAAGAACTGTTGTTTCCGCCTCTCTTCAGTTAGACGATTGGAAACGTACTATTAGCAGCTGTTATTACATAGGTGGCTAAGGTCATCTATAATATCATGTTGTTTTGTATAATGCAGTTGTATTCCATTTGTGAAGTAATTTTCTTAACTAACCTGGTCAACGGTCGTTGGCCTAATAGAGTCCAGTGTATCTTAAAAATGTTACAGACCAGGGGTTTTGCTTCTGAAAGATTTTGTTTCCATTATTAGCTAAGAAATTAGTGAGAAAATTACACTTTGACTGAGGAGTTTTGCTTCACTTGAAAGTGATCCTTTTCAAGAAAAGCCCTTGAATCACGTGAAAACTGCGTGATAAGCAGGACTGTTAAGTAAAGAAAGTTGGCGTTAGCACTGCAGTAATAGCCAATTAACGCTAATCTCGATCGCGCGAATCTGGCGTAAAAGCTGCCATAAAAAAAATTATCAAGGTCCGTCAAGGTATTAACTTAAGCCTGGTTTTCGCTTCATTGTAACCTAGGAGTACATAAAAACGTTGAACAACACCAGTGAAAGCATTCATTTGCTTTCGGTTGTTCATTGTTTCTATGTAATCGTTTGCTTGCCCTTTTACTCTGTAGAAAGCGACAACCAGGTTGAATTACATGTTGTGTGTATCTTAGTGTCTTTCTTGTGATAACAACTGTAGGTAAAACAGGCGGTCTTGGAGGAGCAGCCAACACTCCACAAGCCATCGCTAAGCGTTATTCCACTGGAGGAGTTGCTCTTAAACTGGAAAATGTCGACAAATTTTGGGGAATCAAGCACGAAATAGCGAAGTAAGGGCAATTCTGCTTTTTGTTATGATGTTTAATCAGTCAACTAATTCATTTGTTTTGATGCGCACGATAAAAATTTCGGTTACCTTGGAATTCTTTAGCAATCAATTATTCTGCACTAACCTAAAGTATATTCTCTTATTTCACCATAGGGGTCGTTTCTCAGTTATAAAGCGCTGCTTAGACGCCAAAACAAAGAAACCTTTTGTAGCGAAAATTATTAAATATGAAGACGACACAGACCGTGAAGATACTCTTCAGGAATTTGACATCCATCGAAGCATCAAAGGAGACAAAGTGGTTATGTTGCGGGATGCATTCCTCATGAGGAGATATCTTGTCCTTGTTATGGACATGTAAGTGTGACAAAAGTTGGCTAAGGTAGTACGTCCACTGTATCATCTCATACTTAAGTTCAGGAGTTTCTTTGGTCTGACTGTTTTTGTGTTTTCCTTTGTTTCAAAGGTTGGAGGGACAAGATATCCTAAGCTTTGTAGGATCAAAACCCAGGCCGAATGAGGAAGACATTTGTTTTGTAATTCGACCTTTGCTTGATGTAGTGAATTATCTTCATGGCCAGCAGATTGTTCACTTGGACATAAGGGTATGTGAAGTAAAGCTCGATTGTAAGTGGGTATTGTATTTTATATGCTTTATTTTTTTCACTTCCTCGTTTGAATACGGGTCGAACTACCTCCTGGTCTTGTATTTTCCTTTAGGAACTGAATAGGGTTTTACAGCCAGCTTGTATGTGTAATCACTTTGTTGGTTTCTTTTTACAGCCTGCGAACATTTTCATCGCCAAAAGTAACTTGGGTGTGAAACTGATCGATTTTGGAAGTGCTCGCCGCATCAAGAACTGGAAGGAAGGAGACATGTTGGCCATTGTTAGTTATGTTGCATTTACAGGTGAGTTGCACAAATCAGAATCCACTTTTGTAATAACCATTGACACAAGGGCGTGGTTCATTTAGCGCATGAGTTATAGTGTATAAATATAGAATAAGAAAGATAATATAATATAAGATAAGAAATAAATAATGGACAGAATAGCGATTTGGATAGCAAGCAAGTAATCAGGCCTAGAAGAAATTTTCTGTTATCAAAGGCTATCGTGAGACCAGTTTTTATCTGAGGAAATAGTCTGCTCTACACTTGCTATTACTGCTTTACAAATTACAATAGTAATTTTTCTAACACACTTGGGATGAAAATTCACTCTGATCGTGACAAACGTTTCCGAGAGACATTGGTAATAACCTAGTTACAGTGCATTTCTTTGATTTGTTTCCAGCTCCAGAACTGCTGGACTTCGCCCCAGTCAGTGGACCAGCAGACATGTGGAGCATCGGTGTTCTCATCTACGCTCTGTGAGTGTGACCAATATTACTTTTTAATTGAACTATGAAATATCATTAATTCGTAATAAATACATATCTCATTTGAATTTTTGTTGAGGAAGGGAATCGCAGTACTACAAATAGTTAGAAAACAGTTTACATTCAAACGTCACGAGCTTAGAACAACATCACGATACTTTCAATCTCTGAATAATTATTTTATTGAAACACTCCCCTTTCACCTTAATCCTTAAAACCTTAACATCAGTATGCATATTTTCCATAATGATCTCTGTACATTTCATAAGGTTCTGACCAGGAGAATTTGTTTATGAATCAAGGGTTTCTCTATGGGTACACACCCTAATATCAGTAGGCATATTCTCCATATAGTTCTCTCAGTATTTCCTAAGGTGCTAAACGAGTAGAGTTTGTTTACCAATTAAGAGTGCCTTAATTAAGGTCACGAGGTGACCTTAATTTTTTATTTAGGGGGGATAATGTATGAAGGAATTGGTTGGTGCTCAGTCTTTGTGGTCAAAAGGTTAAAAGAAGAAGATAAACAATCCACTCAGTGCTGGTTCTTATTAAGGATTCTATTACGATACTCTCGGGTTTTACACCAAGAACAAATCCACAAATAATCATTTTCGCCTTTAGCTGAAATGAAGGCCTGGAAGTAAACAAAGCTGATTACGTGCTTAGCTTGTGAACTTCATTTTTCTTTGTGTTTGTTTTTTTATTATTATTTTAGCATGAGCGGAATGCTGCCTTTCTCCGTGGAAACGAGGGATGACGACGACGAAGACGAAAAACTTGGTGAAGTGATCAAAAGGGGCAAATGGTCTTTTGACTCCAAAGCATTTCAACGCAGCACCTCAGAAGTAAAAGATCTGATCACCTCTCTCCTTTCGAAGGATGCCAAGTAAGTCACGATAGCCGTTTTTGGATGGAAATTTAATTTACCTTCTACCGCCTGATCAGTCTGCTGGACCATTTGAAATACATTAATTTAAATTTGAGATCAAAATCTCTTATTTTCATTTTAATTAAAATCGTCCAGGGTTACAGTAGTATGACAAGTAGAGTCAGTAAAACTAAAGTTCTCTCACTGTGTTATATTAAGAAAGGGCGTTGAACCTTTTCACTCTTAACGGCTGTGGAAGAATTGGGTGTTACATTAAGGTGAATTGCTCACTGATTCCCTTGTCCATAGTCGTCATCTGTTGGATAATTGTCGATGGTTTGAGTTCGTCTTCAGTGTTTTTTTTTTTTTTCATCGCTTTAACAGGAAAAGTAGTTCACTCCTTTTGTGGAACACAAAGTGATTTTGTTTTTTTTCCATTTACTCGTAGAAAACGTCCCACCGCAGAAGAGGCCGCGAAACATCCTTGGCTCATGGTAAGTTCCTAAAACATCCTTGATCATCTTGCTTCAAATTTAATTGAGTGCATATAATCTGAGGTTGTAGAAATTTGATTTATGCACTTCAACCAATAGTGTTCATTCTCTTGTTAGGGCGATAATTTGCAGAAACGTCGTTCAAGTGACGTGGCGAGCTCCAAGCTCAAAGATCTTAGTCAGAAACTTCTGTTAAAGGTTTGTTTTTTCAGTAAACTTATATAATTCATTATACAATCTGCATTCAGTTTCCTTAGCAAGAGCTTGTCTTTACAGATACTCTGAATTTTCTAGGATCAAATTGAGTTATTTATCTTTATGAGAATCGCATTTAAAGACAAAAGGAACAAATTTTACTTCTCTTGTATGGCTTTTTTCGCAATGTGATGTTACATATTTATTTTTTCGTTCTTTCTTTCTTTCTTTCTTTCTTTATTTTTCGCTTAAATAAGAAAAGAGGAATCCCCGAACTATTTCTCTAGTTTGGCCGTTAAACCAAATCACAGCGAACTGGAAGAGTTGTCAAGAGATACACAGAGTAGTTTGTTTCAAAATGTTTTTGAATGACAGTCATTAACGTATTTGTTGACCACAGGACAAGGAAGATGTTGTGTCGGCATCCTGTGTCCTAAAGACCTTCAGTGAGGATCCTTACGACTCTCCGGACTCAGACGAGGAGTAGATATGTGTACCCGACCTGTGTACCAACAGAAAGTGATCCATAGCGGCGCGCTCCTGCGCCAAGATTAATTAGCTTTTTGTGAATAACAACAAAGACTTTTCAACTTAGATAGTGATTTCAAACATTGCGATTAAGTACATTTATATTGATTCTTTTTGACAAGCATATTCAATAATTTTCTCTAGAAGCATTGGTCCACGAAATAGTATTTATTTTTGTAGGGTATGTTTTTGTAGCAATGTTATAATCATAATATCCATTTTTTACTATTATCCTTAAGCAAGTCATGGCTTTATGGTGCATTTCAGTAGCAAATGCTTTTGCACGTTCCTGTTCGTTTCTAGTTGTTTAGTAAGTGAAAGCGGGAATGTTACAATTTATAGAAAAGAGTTAGTCATACTAAGAAAGACTACTTCTACTTTTTAAGACAAACTCGTTAATCAGACATAGTTGTGATTTCATAATGAATTCGCCATTGCGGTATTTCTGTTTAGTCAAACATTTGCAAGTGAAATAAAACACGTTTTAAATATATCTTTCGTTTTTTACTGGGTAGATAATTGCTCAGGGTTACTAAAAAGTCCGTATAAGATTACTAAATGGTAATTTTCTCGGCTCACAAAACATCTCTTACTTAAAACTTCAACAAAATATCTGGTTAACAACCCCTTGGACTACGATAACAATCAGGATTAAATCATGAAACAATAGATTTCGTTCACGACTCATTCAAATGCATTAACAAATTCTATTTTTTTATGATTTAGAAATTATCATTTCCCGGCCCACAGAAATGCTGTAACTTTGACACTTTCACACAATACACAGCTAATTACGCTCATTTTAACGCGCTATAAATAATCCCGGAATTCCTTTCTTTTACGGGCCTAGATAGTCATGAATATTGGAACAAAAGAAATTCGTAGATGAGGTTTTTGGCAACTTCCAAGAACCTCTAGCAAGACCGGGTTTTCAAACTCATTAACAAAATTTTATTGTTTAATAACTAATACAACTAATCATGCTCTAATGAGCTTTATGGCAAAATGGAAGAACCCCTAGCAAAACCGAACTTCCAAACTCATTAACAAAACTCTATTGTTTTAATATTCAGACGAGAATTTCTTTGCCCACGGAAGAGCTGTAACTTTGACACTTACACACAATACACAGCGAATCACGATCTTTCTAACGCATTAGAAACTATTCCGGAATTCCTCTTTTTCACGGAGATGCAAAACCATGAATATTGAAACAATAGAAATTCGTTAATGAGCTTTATGGCAATATTGAAAAACCCCTAGCAAAACTGTGTTCTCCAACTCATTAACAAAATTCTATTGTTTTAATATTCAGAGGAGAATTTCTTTGCCTACAGAGGAGCTGTAACTTTGACACTTACACACAATACACAGCTTATCACGATCTTTCTAACGCATTAGAAACTATTCCGGAATTCCTCTTTTTCACGGAGATCTAAAGCTATGAATATTGAAACAATAGAAATTCGTTAATGAGCTTTATGGCAATATGGAAGAACCCCTAGCAAAACCGACCTCCCAGACTCATTAACAAAATTCTATTGTTTTAATATTCAGAGGAGAATTTCTTTGCTTAAAGAATAGCTGTAACTTTGACACTTGCACACAATATACAGCTGATTAAGCTCTTTCTAACGCCTTATAAATTATTCTGAAATTCTTCTTTTTCACGGGGATACAAACCTACGAATATTGAAACAATAGAAATTCGTTAATAAGCTTTATGGCTATATGGAAGAACCCCTAGCAAAACTGTGTTCTCCAACTCATTAACAAAACTCTTTTGTTTAAATATTCAGAGGAGAATTTCTTTGCCCACGGAAGAGCTGTAACTTTGACACTTACTCACAATACACAGCTTATCACGATCTTTCTAACGCGTTAGTAACTATTCCGGAATTCCTCTTTTTCACGGGGATACAAATCTATGAATATTGAAACAATAGAAATTCGTTAATGAGCTTTATGGCAATATTGAAAAACCCCTAGCAAAACTGTGTTCTCCAACTCATTAACAAAATTCTATTGTTTTAATATTCAGAGGAGAATTTCTTTGCCCACAGAGGAGCTGTAACTTTGACACTTGCACACAATACACAGCGAATCACGCTCTTTCTAACGCATTAGAAACTATTCCGGAATTCCTCTTTTTCACGGAGATCTAAAACTATGAATATTGAAACGATAGAAATTCGTTAATGAGCTTTATGGCAATATGGAAGAACCCCTAGCAAAACCGACCTCCCAGACTCATTAACAAAATTCTATTGTTTCAATATTCAGAGGAGAATTTCTTTGCACACAGAATAGCTGTAACTTTGACACTTGCACACAATATACAGTGATTAAGCTCTTTCTAACGCCTTATAAATTATTCTGGAATTCCTCTTTTTCATGGGGATACAAACCTATGAATATTGAAACAATAGAAACTCGTTAAAAAGCTTTAGGGCAATATTGAAAAACCCCTAGCAAAACTGTGTTCTCCAACTCATTAACAAAATTCTATTGTTTTAAAATTCAGAGGAGAATTTCTTTGCCCACAGAGGAGCTGTAACTTTGACACTTGCACACAATACACAGCTAATCACGCTTTTTCTAACGCATTAGCAACTATTCCGGAATTTCTCTTTTTCAAGGCAATACAAATCTATGAATGTTAAAACAATAGAAATTCGTTAATGAGCTTTATGGCAATATTGAAAAACCCCTAGCAAAACTGTATTCTCCAACTCATTAACAAAATTCTATTGTTTTAATATTCAGAGGAGAATTTCTTTGCCCACAGAAGAGCTGTAACTTTGACACTTGCACACAATACAAAGCTAATCATGTTCTTTCTAACGCCTTAAAAAATTATTTCGGAATTCCTCTTTTTCACGGAGATGCAAAACCATGAATATTGAAACAATAGAAATTCGTTAATGAGCTTTATGACAATATTGAAAAACCCCTAGCAAAACTGTGTTCTCCAACTCATTAACAAAATTCTATTGTTTTAATATTCAGAGGAGAATTTCTTTGCCCACAGAGGAGCTGTAACTTTGACACTTGCACACAATACACAGCTTATCACGATCTTTCTAACGCGTTAGAAATTATTCCGGAATTCCTTTTTTTCACGGAGATACAAAGCCATGAATATTGAAACAATAGAAATTCGTTAATGAGCTTTATGGCAATATGGATGAACCCCTCGCATAACCGGCCTCCCAAACTCATTAACAAAATTCTATTGTTTTAATATTCAGAGGAGAATTTCTTTGCCCACAGAAGAGCTGTAACTTTGACACTTGCACACAATACAAAGCTAATCATGTTCTTTCTAACGCCTTAAAAAATTATTTCGGAATTCCTCTTTTTCACGGAGATGCAAAACCATGAATATTGAAACAATAGAAATTCGTTAATGAGCTTTATGACAATATTGAAAAACCCCTAGCAAAACTGTGTTCTCCAACTCATTAACAAAATTCTATTGTTTTAATATTCAGAGGAGAATTTCTTTGCCCACAGAGGAGCTGTAACTTTGACACTTGCACACAATACACAGCTTATCACGATCTTTCTAACGCGTTAGAAATTATTCCGGAATTCCTTTTTTTCACGGAGATACAAAGCCATGAATATTGAAACAATAGAAATTCGTTAATGAGCTTTATGGCAATATGGATGAACCCCTCGCATAACCGGCCTCCCAAACTCATTAACAAAATTCTATTGTTTTAATATTCAGAGGAGAATTACCTTGCCCACAGAAGAGCTGTTACTTTGACACTTACACACAATACACAGTTCATCACGATCTTTCTAACGTTAGAAATTATTTCGGAATTCCTCTTTTTCACGGGGATACAAAGCCATGAATATTGAAACAATAGAAAATTCCTTAATGAGCTTTATGGCAATATTCAAATACCCCCTAGCAAAACTGTGTTCTCCAACTCATTTACAAAATTCTATTGTTTTAATATTCAGAGGAGAATTTCTTTGCCCACAGAGGAGCTGTAACTTTGACACTTGCACACAATACACGGCTAATCACGCTCTTTCTAACGCGTTAGAAATTATTCCGAAATTCCTCCTTTTCACGGGGATACAAAGCCATGAATACTGAAACAATAGAAATTCGTTAATGAGCTTTATGGCAATATTGAAAAACCCCTAGCAAAACTGTGTTCTCCAACTCATTAATAAAATTCTATTGTTTTAATATTCAGAGGAGAATTTCTTAGCCCACAGAAGAGCTGTAACTTTGATACTTAAACACAATACACAGCTAATCACGCTCTTTCTAACGCGCTATAAATTATTCCGGAATTCCTTTTTTTCACGGAGATACAAAGCCATGAATATCGAAACAATAGAAATTCGTTAATGAGCTTTATGGCAATATTGAAAAACCCCTAGCATAACCGACCTCCCAAACTCATTAACAAAATTCAATTGTTTAAATATTCAGAGGAGAATTTCTTTGCCCACAGAGGAGCTGTAACTTTGACACTTGCACACAATATATAGCTAATTAAGCTCTTTCTAACGCGCTATAAATTATTCCGGAATTCCTCTTTTTCACGGGGATACAAAGCCATGAATACTGAACAATAGATATTCGTTAATAAGTTTTTTGGCAATATGGAAGAACCTTAGCAAAACTGTGTTCTCCAACTCATTAACAAAATTCTATTGTTTAAATATTCAGAGGAGAATTTCTTTGCCCTCAAAAGAGCTGTAACTTTGACACTTGTACGCAATACACAGCTAGTCACGCTCTTTCTAACGCACTATAAATAATTCCGGAATTCCCCTTTTTTAAAGGAATACAAACCTATGAATATTCAAACAATAGAAATTCGTTAATGAGCTTTATCGCAATACGGAAGAACCCCAAGCAAAACTGTGTTCTCCAACTCATTAACAAAATTCTATTGTTTTAATATTCAGTGGAGAATTTCTATGCGCGAAGAAGAGCTGTAACTTTGACACTTGCACACAATACCCAACTCATCATGCTCTTATTAATGCGCTGTCAATTATCCCGGAATTCCTCTTTTTCACGGGCCATGAATATTGAAACAATGAAAATTTGTTAATGAGCTTTTGGCAACTTGGAAGAAACCCTTGGAAAACTCATTAACAAAATTCTATTGTGTAAATGTTCAGAGGAGAATTTCTTTGCTGTAACTTTGACACTTGTACACAATACGCAGCTAATCACGCTCTTTTTAACGAGCTATAAATTATTCCGGAATTTCTCTTTCTCACGGGGATAGGAACCACGAATATTGAAACGATGGAAATTCGTCAATGGGCTCAATGGGCAACTTACAAGAACCCTAGCCAATCCGAGATTTCAAAACTTTTTAATGAGCTTTCTAGGATCAAGAACTAACAATGGTTTTCCAGTATATTAGCAAAAATGCATTACTTCAATATTTGGCGGGGATTTTCTTGGCCCCCAAAAGAGTTGTATCTTTGGAAACAAGACAGAGTTTATCTTGCTCTTTGACAAAATTCCTAATTCTTTCGGTGAGATTAACGCCTTGATATTCTTTTGATATTGAACACCACTGAACATTTTTAGTTTCCTTCTCACTTCTCCAGGTGAGTGAGCTGCTGAGCTGATTTCACGAGGGAACAGTTTTCTCCTACGTAAAAAGAGGAAAAAAATTTTTTTAATATAACTACCAAATGTAAGTCTATAGTGTTATAAATATGAAATAATTAAGTTAGGCATGATACTATATCATGGAGTATGTCGTTATCCGTTAAACGAACTCTGAGATTTTGGTTCGCTTCAGTTTATTCCGAAAACATTTGTTTTAACTGTCGGCAGTAGATGTCACATCGCACCAAAAGAATTAAAATGACGCGAAAACCTCGAGAAATGCGAATAGGACACAAGGAGCCATGCCGACTTAAATACGGATAATAAGCTCCCTTTTTTAATAATTAGAGGATGCGGTTAGTTTAGTTGAAAAATCACGAAGGATAAAAGCGTTTCAATCGAAAAAAGGTGTCAGAAAGTATTTGAAATGGCAGAGTTTCATGTCATTCACACACCAGATAGGTCCGGAAGTTAACTTATGATCAACACCAGTTCATCAATGTTGGAAATGTTATGATGCATTAACTTTCAATAGGTCAAGAACGAGAATTAAATGTCTCTCGTCACTCAAAAGTGGTCGGGTCGTTTGAACATAAATTGGTTTCCCTGTTAATAGATGCACCCTGTTGTTGTGACTGGAGCTGGATAATCATGGAGTTGAAAAAAGAAAATCCAGATAAATATTACAACTTAAATGAGGAAATTGGAAGGTAGAATATTTTACTTTAGTCACGGAAGATAACCAAGTCAGAGGCTGTAGGTAACCGAGCGGATACAAATAACCAAGGAATGTGATAAGTTGTTTGTGAAAGACGACCGTTTTTTTCGCGCGCAATACGTTAGTAGCAGAGTTGAATTTGTAAGTTTTATAGTTTAACCATAGAAAGCTTCTTCCAAAGGTTTCACCGCATACATCTGAGGAGCATATTAAGCAGTATCTTTCTTGAAGCTGACTGTGTCGCGGAACATGTACCTGCACATCGATCAGAACGTTGACTCAAATAGTCTAGACAGCAGTGAGGTACATCTCACTAAAGATATTTCATGCTGCGTGGTTATCGTTGAATTTGGGCTGATTTCCCGCTTTTTGTCGAATTAACGATTTCTTTTACAGTCTAATTTGGCTTACCTTTACAATTGAACTTAATGAGAAGAACGTAACGTACTATCTTCTCAAAATTTTTCCTAATCTTTCTGTCAATTTTAGTGTTTATGTCGTTAGTAGAGCTAGTATAAATTTTACATTTTACTACAGAAAGAGAGCATTTCGCAATTAATCAGAGATACCTTTCGAAATTTTTCCTTCGTTATCCTGCTCATTGTTTATTCTACCATTCAGAGCTAAAAAGGTATTTTTCTGACCCCAAGCAAAGGTCATGATAATGGTATTATTCTTAAAATTCTATTCATTTGTTTCCTAAACTGGAAACACTTAACGAGTTTAAATGACGAGTGAAGGGAAGTGTTTGACACCCTAAAACAAGTGATGTTGTTAGTCACTTAAAACTCACCTGTGACTCTTCACGAACGGCAAACTGCTTTATACATCTGCTCTCTGCCTAAGTTAAAATTTTAAGAGTGCTTTGAAATTCAGGTCTCAATCCAGCCTCATCAGGGTGGAAAGAATCAGAAAAAATGTCAGATTTCCGACGAGAACTTTTATTTATAGTAACGTGAACTGAGATTTGTCGTTGATTTCGGGAAATATAAAAGGAATAGTTTTCATTCTTTACGCACAGAGCGTAGTCAATAATTCACTCAATGGGTCTAGTTAAATTCCCCGCATGCTACAGGGGTAATTTTTGTGTCCGACAAAAAATTTATTTGAAGAGAAAATTTTTTTTCACTGTTTTCCGATCTTCTATTAAAAACTGTAAGATTCTCGACTCTTCCTGACCAATCACTTATGAGTACAAACATGATTATGTGCAAATAGCTACCTACAAATACCGATACCGCTCACACTTACTAGGCAAAAGAGTTATGTTAGGTACACTCAATATTCAGATGCGAATTTTTTTTTTCAAAGCACTCGGGTATTCAGTAAGATCTGAAAAAGTGGTCTCTCATTCCAGTAACTCGCCTGTTTCTTTGTATGGAGTGGTCTTCTCAGGAACTTACACGTGAACTCAAAGCATATAGTTTGTTACTCAAAGTTGATGTTGAAAATTATTCGAGGTATCACTTTTTTTTTTTACAAAACAGCTGCCGGAGCAAAAAGGCTTTTAACCCGTTACTTCGGTTAGGAGGGGAAAATTGAGCATATCGACAATACAGTGCAGGCAATTTGCGCACTGCGTTATCTAAAACATTTAATCATTGACAAAATGGGCATGAAAAGTGTCTGCGTCGTAACAGGTACAGTTATGTCTTTTGAATATTCAGTCGTAGCCGCGGAGATTAAAGAAGGCATGGTATTCCACACTGTATCTTTGCTATATTACTGTGCGGAATCAGTTAACTTTTTTCTTCTATCCATTGCCAGAGGTAAATACGCCGTTGTCAAAAATTGCTCAGACAATAAAACGAGGAAACAATTAGTTGCCAAGCTGATCAAGTACGAGGCTGATACCGAGAAGAACACAAAGCAAGAATTCGAGATAATGGCAACCCTTAAACACGATAAGCTCCTGTCGGCTCGAGATGGATTCATCGTCCAAAAATATGTGGTTATCGTAATGGATAGGTGGGTACCATTTATCAACCACATAATAATCATAACACCACTGTCTAAGTCAAATTTGTGGCATAAATCACGTGGGCCACTATAAGAATAACTGCGTGTTTCGAAAGCCTTTCCTCCGTCATTATCTCCCCCTGGGGAGCGTTTCAGATTAACTTTGACAGAGATCAAATGCGTTCCTTTTTCGTTCATAGGGTTGAAGGAAAAGAAGTACTAGAATTCCTGGCTGAAAAAACCATTGCAAGTGAAGAGGATGCGTCCCTTGTCATTGCTCAGCTTGTTGATGCTCTTACTTATCTACACAAGAAGAATATTGTTCATCTGGATATCAGGGTGAGAAAGAAGAATTTTTGTAACGACCTCACACATCGGAGCAAAGAAGAAACCTCGTTTTGCTCAATTACATGTCCATCTGATATTATTAATCCTATTGACGCATTTGCTTTAATTTTATTTCAAATGAAACAGCCGGCAAACCTTTTGGTGTCCAGAGACTTTAAACTGACTCTAATCGATTACGGGAACGCCAGGCGGATCCAATCTCCCGATGGCCAATTTGTTGACGCGGTTGGAGTCACTGAGTTCACAGGTGGGAAATGATTTTGTGATATTATATGATTCTCGATATTAAGAGAATAAATCGTGGGAAGAATTAGAAGTGAACTTTCGATTACCAGAAATGGTAAGGTTGAACCTTTAGTGAAATAGAGACTTTTACCACAGCCACATTGTCGACCTTTTTCTCATGTTTTCATCTTTTCTATCACAAATCAAGAATTTCTCTAAATCACTTTTTCGTCAACGATATAATTTTTCATTCATTCTGTCGCTGACCTTCAACCTCAAAACCCTCCAGTTCCTTCGGAAAAAACATTCATGAATGCAAGAAACTCTTCAACATTAATTTTGTTGCATTGTTGGTCTCTGATATTTTGATTTTAGCTCCAGAGGTACTCAACTTTGAGATGACCCATTGGGGAGCAGACATGTGGAGTGTGGGAGTACTCCTGTACATATTGTAAGTCTTCTTAAAAAGTAAAAACAAAACCAACAAGAAATCACAAACGTTGAGATGCTTTGGTTTACTGACTGACCGATCAATCGATTGCCGCAATGATTCCAATTTAGCGCCCTCCTTCCCATAAGCGCCCCTTCTCTAATAAGCGTCCCTACTGAGTAAGCACCCTCATTCCAATAAACGCCACTATTCTGTTTCAGTAATAGCACTGTTAAAGTACATATACATTGAGATCAACCGTGCTTCAATTTCTTTTAATTGCTCACTTACAAGCATCATGAAAAAAACAGTGGTCTTCGTCTCAGTCTGTCGACTATTATGTTCCGGTGAGTGCACAATTCCTTCAAACGAAATATCCCGTCTTAAAATTTTGTGACTATTGCTTGGCTAGTCGTTCTAGCAAGGAAGGATCCAAGGACAACAAGTCCGTTTTCCAGTCTTTTTTATCCTTTTCAAATAAACATCAAAGCTTTGTTTCATATCCTGCTGTTTCTCAAAAAAGAAATAAGCGCCCTCCCTAATACGTTCAGTGAGCACCCTGTTACGAATAAGCGCTTTCCCCTGAAGTTCCAAAAGCAAATACGCGCCCCGGGCGCTAAATCGAATCATTACGGTAATCGGTTAATTAACTGTTGGATGAACTGGGTGATTTCTTGATTAATTGTTTAATTTAGTTAATTAGCCGATTGAATGATTTATCTTTACAGGTTAAGTGCTACCCTACCCTTCACCATAGAGGACAGTGACGACCAAAATGCTGACGACAAAGTTGCTGCAAAAGTCAAATCAGTTTCATATGAAATGCCGGTCAGCTTGTTTCGCAACGCTACACAAGAAGCCGAAAATTTGATCAAGAAACTTCTTATTAGACAGCCTGAGTAAGTATCGCATTCTTAGTTTGAAACAGTCGTCAGTAAACCAATAGATCGGATGCTAAATGACTGAATGAGCCGTGAACATATATTCCATCAGAGTTTTGTCTTATTTTAGGAGACGACCGACAGCTTCATCCTGCTTAGATGATCCCTGGCTCTCGGTAAGACTCTAACATGATGTTCAACTGGTACACTTGTAGTTCACGCGAAAAAGAAACTCTGATGGAAAATGAAGAAGCTTAAAAAGTTATTAAAAAAAATTGAGCACACCGCTCTTCAGCGCCATTCGCTCTCTCCTTGTTTAGCAAGAGAACCTCCGCATAGCCAGCATCTATAAAATAACAGCTAACTTCACCGTTAATGATGGTAATACAAACGAGTGGAGTCCAATTCGGTCTGTAACCATCGGAGTGATTAGAGTGATTTAGCACGAAACGGAACGACAGCGACGCAAATCATAGAAAAAAAATTACTTAGTGGGCTTCAAAAATTGATACTTTTAGATGAATTAGCAGACTCGAGACTTAACTGGAATGAAATAATTTCAAAGTTTAATCGCCCATGTGGATTCATATTTACAAATTACTTGCCGTATCTATAACTATCCTCTGTTTGCGCTTGTTATACAACTCTCAAAGAATATAATTTCTTGGTCTATGAAACCAAAAATTCAAAGGTGATGGTGATCTTAAAAGAACCGAAGTTATGATATTCAAGGACAAATATAAAGTTGACGGCTCGATGCAATGACTGCTAAGTCACTTCTGAGACACAACAGGGTGACGTTCACGACCCAGTTTCTCACCGTATTTTTGCTGCGCGCGCCGTTGTCAACAAAATCGGACGACCGCGAAGCGGGAGTCCAATTTGTCAATCACTCGTATGATTACAGATAGAATTGGACAACACGAAGTCTTGTTACCAATTAATCAAGACTATGACAAAATTTGGGAAAGAAACTGGACATCGGTTGTACGTTTTCATATAAAAAAAGTAACAGTTAACTCGGCGAAATGCAAAACAACAGCGCGCGTACATGACGCGTTCTGTCCACTTACACAGGCATCACGAGTTAACTGTCCTATTATCATTATCAATTATAAGCATAACGCGTACACTGTCCTATTAGTGCTCAAATCGAGCTGGTGATAACCAATCACGTTCGAGAATTTTGTTATAGTTTTGATTAATAAATGTAATGGGACCGAGTGGAGTCCAATTCGGTCAGTAATCATACGATTGATTGACAAAATCGGATGACCGCGAAGCGGGAGTCCGACTTGTCAATCACGAGTATGATTACAGACTGAATTGGACGGCACAAAGTCCTGTTACCAAATAATCATAACTGTTACAATTTCCGAAAACAAAAATACATTTAGGACAAATATGTGCAGCAGAGACAATATCTGAGTATAAAAATTCTTCAACTTTAGAAATTCCACAACTTTTTTAGGATAAGTGGTTGTTGCTAATGGTTATTGTGATCAATTTTGTGATTGGTGAATTTGACTGAAAGGACTAAGTATTATTGGCTGCTTCAACTGTCCGATTACAGGTGTCCGATTACAGCCAACTGTCCGATTACAACTCTACGAAATGATTAGTGAAAAATAAGGCAGCTACTGCGCCAGACACATTTGAGGAAATTGTGCTGATTATGATTAAATTTGAAATTAAAAAATGCACATTGCATTGATGCGGATATTTGTCTTTTCAGCCCATCCTTACTCAGAAAAGGAAATCCTCCGAGATACCAGCTTCCAAATTTAAATTCCTAAATGATCAGCTGAAAGAAGCGGTAAGTGAGTGAAAAACAACCTAAATCGATTAACCTAGTTAATTATTTCTACAATTATGGATAGGAGAAGATGCTGAAATGTTCTGTATTCAAATGTTTATAATTCAAACAAGAATAGCAATTGTCAGTAGGGACGTCTGGATAGCGTTGTGACAATGAGTAAACAGGACAGTCAGTTAGTTATCAGTAAGTGAGTTATTTGATGAAGAGACAGTAAATAAATTGTCAGTCACTCAGTTAGTTAGTCATTCAGTCAGCAATCCACCAATCAGCCAGTCAGTCAGCCATTCAGTCAACCCGCCAGTCAGTCAGTCAGTTAGTCAGTCATTCAGTCAGCAAGCCAGTCATTCAGTCAGCAATCCACCAGTCAACCAGTCGGTCAGTCATTCAGCCAGCCATTCAGTCAGTCAGTCATTCAGTCAATCATTCAGTCAATCATTCAGTCAGCAATCCACCAGTCAGCTAGTCAGTCATTCAGTCAGCCAGTCAGTCATTAAGTCAGTCAGCCAGTCATTCAGTAAGCAGTCAGTCAGTCAGGTAGTCATTCAATCAGCCAGACAGTCAGTCAGCCAGTCATTCAGTCAGCAGTCAGTCATTTATTCATTCAGTCAGTCAGTCAGTCAGCCAGTTAGTCATTCAGTCAGTCAGTCATTCAATCAGCCAGACAGTCATTCAGTCAGCCATTCAATCAGCCAGTCAGTCATTCAGTCAGTCAACCAGTCAGTTAGGCAGTCAGTTATTCAGCCAGTCAACCAGTCAGTTAGGCAGTCAGTTATTCAGCCAGTCAGTCAGTCAGTCAGTCAGCCAGTGAGTCATTCAGCCAGTCAGTCTGACTGGCTGACTGACTGATTGTCAGGCAGGCAATCATTCAGTCAGTCAGTCACTCAGTAAGCCAGTTAGTCATTCAGTCAGCCAGTCATTCAATCAGCCGGTCAGTCAGTCATTAAGTCAGCCAGTCGGTCATTCAATCAGCCAGTCAGTCATTCAGTCAGCCAGTCAGTCAGTCAGTCAGTCAGTCAGTCAAACAGTCAGGCAGGCAATCATTCAGTCACTCAGTCAGTTAGCAAGTGAGTCGATTATTCTCACGGTCAGCTAAGGAACCAGCCAGCCAGTCAGTGGTACCTAGTCAGTCAATCAGTTTGTCAGCCAGCTAGTCAGTCAGCGGCACCCTGTCAGTCAATCAGTCCGTTAGCCAGTCATTCTGTCAAGCAATCAGTCAATTTATCAGCCAGTCATCAGCGTATACCAGGATACCATGGTTACTAAATGCAGCATTTGGTTTGCATTATTTTAGGAAGAGGACGAACTGATTGTTGCTTCGTGCGTTCTTCGCTCGTTTGACGAAGAAGCTTATGAGTCCCCCGAGGAGGAAGAGGAGGAGGAGGAGGAGAAGGAGAAGGAGGAAGAGTAGAACAAAAAAACTTCCTCAAAACCAATGTACAAAGATGCCGTAACTCTTAAGAGAAAACCAAAATATAGAAGATAGCAAGATTTGGTCAAAAGGAAATGAGACCTAAATGAGACTGTCGTTTTTCTTAACGAGCTGGTTCTAGAAGAAAGAGCGCTTTATAGGAGAAGGAAAGAGATACGAGAATAACAGACAAATCTCAGAAACATTTTTGTATTTCTTAGTGGATTGGGAATAAAGTTTCTTTGACCACTCCCGATAGTGGAGAGATTTGGAATGTTGATTTAAAACTTGCACGTAGGATGAAGAAAGTGTCACTCTTCTTTTTTATTGTTCATTGACGGTTTGATTGTTGATTTTAAATCGTTTGAGGCTACATGTACGTTAACTTTAAAACAAACTTCAACTTGATGCATAATTATTATTGATGAGCCCCAGTGGAGCGAAATATGATTGCACTCTGGTGTATGTCAGTTAAAAGTCGTGCGAACCTCGTTAACAATCGCTGACCAAGATGAATGCTGACACAGGCGCACCATTGGGTTACTGACCGCCTTAGCGTTTTCTTGAATAACTTAGATATGCTTTCGTATCAAATGGCTTGTTTTGTTGAACCCGACAAATTTTAACCTCTTTGTGGATGCTGTGGACGCTTATTCGCACGTGCTTGAGAAATTCTCGCCATTTGTGATAAGCTCAAATCCATTCAAATAAAAACAAATCTTTGTGTTTTTATACACAAAATGATTAATTAGTTACATATTTCTATTTCTATTTTTAAATTTTAGTCCTATTATCAAAGCAGAATTAGATTAGCGCATTTACACTAAGTTTTTCCAAATAGTTCCCTATTAATTTATAAATCATCATTGTCAGCAACAGTGGATTAAAATGTCCTTCAAATTCTTGCTGACGCGTCTCCAGGTATGAAAGTTATTGGCGACGGTGAGCGTGAAATTGTGCTTTAGAACAGCCTGAATTAACGCGAGCTTACCCCTTAAACTCTAATAATAACTTCGAACTGCTATAGATGATACTGTCACAACATCTTAGAAGAACTTACCTCTAGCTCTGTCCGTACTAGCAAAATTGTCTGATGTGATGGCTAGCTTGCTCTCGATTTGTGTAGCTAGTAAGAGAAAATGAACCGCTCGAGTAACCAGTCAGCGGTTCACTTCAAGAATCAACCAACATGGCTGCCCAGCCTGATCGAGAAAAACACAGTATATGGTGGGGCGATCTTTTCTCATTTACGAAGCTTTTGAACTGATTTCAACAAAATCCAACATTGATTTATTCTGATCTTTTCTTAGCATGGTTTCCGATTTCTTTTACCCAAACATGGGCGGAGTAGAGAGTCACATTTATCAGCTGGCTCAGTATCTCATTGAGCGAGGGCATAAGGTAATCTAACATTCATCGTGTTTTGTTTTCTGCAAAATGCCATAAAAAGAGAGATGAAAACAACCATTCGAAACAGCCCTTAAAAGGTTAGATTTACAGACTGAATATATTCTCACCCGAACTGTCATTTCGTTTCAATCGTTATCGCATTACAATCATGGTTAGGGGGATTCCCCATTGACAGTTTCTGTCGCCTAGTCTGTTAGCATTAAACTTTATCCCTTCAGCACAAGTGAGTTCAAAGAATATTTTCGTTTACTGATTATATCTGTAATGAAATCAGACATATTTAAGCCCTTCAGAGCCCTAATTTTACACTGACATACAAGTTACACTGATATACAAGTGTAAAAAGAATAGAAAAAAAATGTCAATGACAACTACCATCAGAGTTGACAGGTCATGTTAGAATTTAATAACTTTCATGTCAGGTCGTGATTGTAACACATGCCTATGGCGAGCGAAGTGGAATACGTTATTTAACAAACTACCTCAAGGTATGCAATGGTTCCTTTGTCGCCTTTGTCATATTTTCTGTGAAATAGAAACTTTTGCAGTATGATTGTTCTAAATCTTTACTTTGTGATGTTGCTGTTTTTAGTTTTAATGCCACACTAAGTCATCCAGATGAAGTGTGCAAAATTCCAATTGATAAAGACATGCAAGCCAATCAAGTGGCAGCATTAGAATCAAAACATTGCACAATCTTTAAATAATGAACACAGCGTTTATGTTTTACCGTCTTCTTACAGGTCTATTATTTACCTTTTGGTCCATTTCACAATCAATGTGTATTGCCAACTCTGTACACAACAATTCCATTAATGAGATGTGTGTTTCTGCGAGAGAAGATAACTATAGTTCATGGACATTCTGTAAGGCATTGCTTTTAGTATCATTATTTATGTTTTATTAATATTTTTATCATTGTAGTTATCCTTCAAGTATTGGTTCTTCTGGCAAGATTTTACATCAAAGTAAAATATAAGTTATGCAGCTAGAAATTGGAATCTTTTTTTTTTGTAAACTTTATTGCAAGCTAGCAAAAGGTTTAGAATGGTGGGTGGGGGAGACAGATTAGTAGGGCAAAAAAATTCAGATATTTTCTTTTCTCAATTTTCTTTGGTCATTTCCATTTTCTTCATTCTTTTTCTGCATCACTTGCCTGTCTGTAGTTAATCAAAGATCAGTATGAATATATTTTCTGTGTCTTTTCTTTACTAGGCCTTTTCTACTCTTTGTCATGATGCTCTTCTTCATGCTCGCACCATGGGACTTCGCACATTATTCACTGACCATTCTCTGTTTGGTTTTGCGGATGCTAGTTCTATCATAACCAATAAGTTTTTACAGTTTTCCTTGGCAGACATTGATCATGTGATCTGTGTTTCACATACAAGGTTTGTAGTAACCTCAATTTTTATAACACTAGCATCTCATTTATTTCATGATGAATGTTCTTTGACTTCAAAACATTTATGTTAAACTAAAGTAAGCATATGGCGGAGCATATGCCATTAGCTCCCCACAAGGTCAGATCTTAATATAGTTGTCATGTAACTATATGAATAAATAAAAGGTCGGTATAAACTAGGAAGTTATCATGATGAAAAATTGTCCACTTGAATGAAATGTAGAGAGGCTACTTCAGATAGTGATCATAATTGGATCATATATTTGTAATAATGAAGCAGAATTAATCTCCTAGGAGATTCTTGTCAGTTTGTTCTACCTGGTGTGTTATTTTTACTATCTGAATATTTAATTTTAGTTTATTCTACCTCACATCAATTGGTCTTTGTTTACCTTGATGTTGTTTACTTTGCTAGTAAGGAGAACACTGTGTTGCGAGCATCAATGAAGCCTGACATGGTATCAGTGATTCCTAATGCTGTAGATGCCAATGTATTTACACCTGATGTTTCAAAGAAAATTTCAGGAAAAAGTGAGCTGTTGAAATATTGAAGTAAATTTTTTTTTCATAAATGATTGCATGAGTGAACATTTAATCTGAGATGATAGGTAGCCAATGAGGCTGTTGTATTTGTGTGTGTCAGCTGTGACTATCTGATATTGAACAAGTATGCGTTGAATTTAACTGAGTAATTGAAACCACGGAAACTAATATCTCAAAATCTTCCACTGACAAACACTGCAAAAAGAACTGTAAATGGAGACTAAGCTCAGATATCTTGTTTCATAAACCAAGCAAACCTCAGGATTTTCATGCTAGTTTTATATGTACACTTAGTCATATATTTGTGATATTGTGGTGAATTAACATTTTGAGTTTTTTATTAGTCACCATTGTGGTAGTAAGTCGGTTGGTGTATAGAAAGGGTATGGATTTGTTGGCTGGAATACTCCCCATCATGTGCGCCAATCATTTAGATGTCCAGTTTATTATTGGTAAGTCCACGTAGGAGAAGACACTTTTAAAGCTATTTACCAGCTTAAGTTTTCTTGAAGATCTTTGTGAAATTGTGTGTCATTATTAGCACCAGAGATCAATGGAAATTGTCAATCCTTTAACTTTCAACCCTCACCACTATGCATTTCCTTGTAAATTAGTTATGAGAATTTGGTGTTAGATCAAGGTAACAACTTGTGTCCATTAAGTCGGAATCTTAAAGAGATAAAAGGACTTGAAATCTTGACTGAATAAAATGTTTGTATTATTTAATGAAGTATATTTATTTTGTATAGGTGGTGATGGCCCCAAAAGAGCTCTCCTAGAGGATGTTTGTGAACAGTGTAAACTCCAAGAAAGAGTCCATTTTTTAGGAAAATTAAACATGAGAAAGTTAGGGATGTAAGTTTATACCTTTACTTTCTACCATGGAATGTTAAGAATTCTCGGATGAATTACGATGAAATTTTATGTTTTAGTATAGAACATGTTCCTGGGCATTTCAAATTGTTGTTAATTCCTTACTAGGTGCTTACTCAAGGTGACATATTTCTCAATACATCATTAACAGAAGCATTCTGCATTGCTATTGTTGAAGCAGCTAGCTGTGGGTAAGTTTTAATTAAACAACAAATTTTTGTTGCCAGTTTTTGACAGGCATCATAGGGTATCAAGTTTGTGCATGACATGTTGACTTTGGATTTTGATAGTTTTCAAATTCAAACGCAAGCCCTTATTATTAGGAAAATATCAACACTATTTTGTTGGAAATACTAAGGTTGTAATAAAAGTAGCCATTCCATTGATAGCAATGATTTTTTACACCAGGCTCCAAGTGGTCAGCACCAGAGTGGGTGGGGTCCCTGAGGTACTACCAGATGACATGATAAAACTTGCTGAGCCAAGTGTGAAATGTAAGTTAAATGTCTCTATAAAGTGATTTAATGCATGGAAAAAGCCCTGAGTGACCTCTCTCTGTTAGAGTACTTCTTTCTCCTTCTACACTGTCTTGTATTTCCTCACAAAAATACAAGAAGAATTTGAGTTTGTATTCTGTACTTTACATGTTAACCAAGCGAAGAAACAATTTGTGAAAAAAAGGTCAAAGCATTCTAACATCCTAACATCATTACTTAGTAAGACTTTTTTCGTAGAACTTTTTTGCCTCAATAGAGGGCTGTATAGAAGATGACTTAAAACTTCTTTTTATCGATTAAAGGAAAACAGCAATTTTACAGAAATGTTTATGAAGAGATATTTCCACAACATTTTAACGTGGTGAAAAATTTCAAACTTGAGAAGCCAGAGTAAATTTGTCTGAAAGTGTTCTGAAAAAATTGCAGTTGACATGAATGTGACCATGTAATTTATTGAGACAGTAGTAAAAGCACAAGTGAGATTTAATACTATACAGTTCAGTCCCCACGAGTGATAACTTAATATTGATGTCTATTAATGTGTAATGCGAGCATTCTGACAGAATTGGACCTGAAAAATTGCGCTACTGTTCCTTCCAGTAAGTGTGAGGCGCTTGGGTGGACGAATTTTTGATTTAACAATGTTCTCAAATTGTTTAGCAGTTGGAAAGACTTCATTCACGAACTATTGACGGTGTGCCTGTTTTGGAAACATTATGTTACAGAAAAGCGTGAGGAAAAATTCAAAGGAGAAATGTGATTCTTATGATTGAATTTGTTTCTGTTCCAGAATGCTCTTAGACATGTGAAGTGTGTTCGAAGAAACCCGCGGAACCATCTGTATAAGAAATTATCTAACGAGCGAGGCCTTAAGTTGAAAAAAAGAATTGTTTTTTCAGTGTGGTTTGCAAGGTTGTGAAAGTCATCTCTCATCAACAAGTCATACTGCGGGTTACGCGGTGTTAACCATTTTGCCGCAAAAACAGGAGACCAATTTTATTAGGCAATTTAGACAGTGTTCAGTTGAAAAGCATAACCAACTCTAATAAAACGACCAACAAATTAATACTAATTACACGTAGATTAATAACTTTAACATACCGCATTTCAGCCCTCGTGGCAGCTTTGGAAAGCGCTGTAGAAGCTGCAAGAAACAAAACATTTGTAGCGCCAAACGTAGCCCATGAACGAATAAGGACAATGTATACATGGCAGAATGTAGCTCGACGAACAGAAAGAGTAAGTTTGCGCTCTCTTTTGACACATTTTCTTCACTAAATCTTAAATTTGAAAGTTTTCCAATTTCCAGGCGCTTTGCGCGGGAAAATTGAAAAAAGCAGTAATGAGCAGGAGACACGTTATCGCTGTCAGTTACGTCACCTGTCAGTCTCGTTTCCATGGTTTCTCCTTTCATAATTGAAAAATAAGCCTTGAGATTCACCTTCAGGTTCAACATCACGTAAACTGCGTGACACACAATGACAGGGAAACACATATACAACAGTTGTAGAGGTGTTTTATAGAGAGGAGAAACGAAAGCTTTATATAGCGACGAGGAATTTCACTCGTGCCTCTACTCTTGATGAGGGTTTGTTCATTGGAATCACTTATTGCTGGATAATATGTTTGCATTTTGTTTTTTAATTTGTTAGATCTATGACTTGGTTAGCACAGTACCTCGTGTTTCATTTGACGAGCGACTCAAAAGGTAACACGTGAAGCAGTTTAACGATTATCAAATCGTTATTTCCAATCGCGCGGTTTTCCCAAACTTATATCAAGTTTATGACTTTTTTTATTTATATCCCGGCAAGACTTTTCCTAAGCCTTTGCCATCAAGTACTTTTCTTCTCCTTTTGGATGTTCTTTTCCTTTATTTTAATCTCGATTGTATTTTATCATTATTAGCTTGTACCACTGCGGCCGTGTGGCAGGAAAAATTTTCTGCATTTTAGCAGTAATTGATCTGTTTTTACTGTGGCTTCTCGAATGGTTTTTTCCGAGAAAGGTAGGTGCATATAACAAAGCCGTTTTCCTCAGAGTTGTCTATGCCCTGTTTATTGATCAGACCTTGACTGTCACGTGAAGCCTGTGGTCCCGTCATTTTTATGCTACACACCCCTTCCTCTCCCTCCCCTCCCTCCCCTCCTTTCCCTCTGTGGGTGCTTGATATTTGAATCCTTAATAGTCAAGAGGTTTTGGTTTCCTTTCAAGATAACAGACCCTTTAGCCGAAAAGGTTGTTCACTCATCGCTTGTTGTCTGCTGTTGTATGCTGATTTTTTTTTTTTTTACTTTTAGAATATAGATATGGCACCCTCTTATCAAGAACAGAAAGACAAATGGAATTCCAGAGACGAAATCATAGCATCTGGTCAAACAGCGTCAGTGATCGACAAGAAAAGACAGATCGATTGTTCTCTCGTGAGATGACATTTGCAAAACGTACGCGATGCGAAATTACAAGGAAGTGTTATGTTAAAGCTTGAGATTAACATTGAGGGGCAAATATAAAATAAATATTTGAAATATTTCATGATCCTCTGTGTGCGACCATTTTGTATAGGTAATCGCAAGAGGCCGAGTAAAATTAGAGTAGTTTATTGTAACATGTATGGAAAAACTACTTAATGCTGATTGGCGAAGACAGAGGGCATTATCTATTAATTTTGGTTATTATTCCGGAAGAAATTACTCGAAATTAAAAACAATGAAAAAAGCTCAACTTTAGAGTGGAACATAAGCTGTGAAAAGAAATTTCATATCTACAAGCAGCCATATATTATTTTGTTTATCACATAAACACAATAGCCCTTTACTGACAAGAAAAGTCAACTTTTTTAATGTATGAAAATAAAAGGATCGACAATCCCCCGAATAAAAGTCGTAAGGTGCGTTAGTGCTAAGGCTCAAGACTAAAAATGCGTTGAAACACCTCAAAAATGAACGATGGACGTAGTTTTCAATATACAAAATTCTCAGTTATTGACTTGGTTTTTACCGACAAAAGAAATAATTCAGGTAAACGACTAAAATCAGCCCGTGGCAAATCTTCCAGTTGTCGATTTTCGTTCCCAGCCGCGAGAAACGCCATTGAATACGAAGCTCTATGTTTTTCTTCCCGTATTTTGGTTCCTGTCCTTCTAGGAAAATTAGAACGTCACCGCCTGTGAGCGATACAGATTTTTCAGTGTTTTTTAGCAGCCACAATCCAAAAAATATTCGACAAACGACCTTAAATTAAGAATGGTTTTGCCGTTCATTCATCAACCTGACCAAGTGGCGCGAAAGGCGAGTGACGTGTCATCAGCGATATACAGAACACATATGAAAAAATACGATATTCTTTCACGTGTGCTGTTACGGCTTTTGTCAGGGCTGGAAATCCCTGTCTAACACCGTGGTTTATATGATGAAATCAAATTTTTACCTTTATATTGTAAACAAGTGATCGCATAAGGCCGAGTGAAATCAAGGATTAGTGTCACTTGTGTTTTTAGAAGTTGCAGAAATTGTCCGCGTTGCTGCGCGACACGGCCTATTTTTGGAATTTTCTAAAACTCGCGTGATATTGACTCTTAATTTTACTCGGCCCATGCGATTACATACACTTATATATTTGTATGCACTGTTATATATACTTATCAAAGACAAGAGTGATTATGAAACCAAACAGATTTCGTGAACTAGCCGAGGATCAAGGGGGTGATTGTCCCAAAGATTCAGCCTCCCTTTCATGACTAAATATGCCTCGTTTTGGTTGCAGTAGACGGCTGCAATGGCGGAGGTTTATTGTCTCTAACTGACAAGATATGTTCTCTGGTTAATTTTCCCCCATAGCTTGAAGTGGATACTTTTTATGGCGCCGTATACTGAATTTTGTGGTCTTAAGCTCACTTAAATCAAAGTGTTGGACGCTATTGAAGTGGATAAAATGGTTGAGTTGGACAGATTGAAAAAATTCATGATATGTACGTTCATCATCGCCACGGCTTCATTTATTGTGATGTTTTACTACTCAGTCACTTTTTCGAATTATAAGGCATTGGGAACGAATTATTTAAGAGGGTTAAAGAGGAACAATCTAAGCAAAGGCATATATTCACCAGACTTGATTCCTGGCAGTTTCCAAGAGTCGTCAAACTCAACTGGAGAAACACAACTTACAAATTCCGGGCAACCAACTTTGAGCTCGAATGAAGTAGAGATCCCCAAAGATTCAGGGCAACAGAATACACAGGATCTAGACAATGCTATCAGCAGTTTTAACCAAGTAACGATTCAGCATACGAAAACGGAAAAAGGACAAAGCACATCAAATACCAGCGTAGCCATTTTCACTCCAACTAAAGAAGCCGGTAGCAATGAAAATTCTGATCAGGAATTGAGTTTATGTCCTGAAAAATCACCATCTTTAGGTAAGCTATGTTTTGTTTTAATCATTGATTATGTGTTATAACCTTAGTGACTGAGGGAGAAGCTGCGTCGGAAAAACATTTTATTTGCTTTAAGACTGTTTTTCACCCGTGCAACGTTGCGATAAATTTATAATTTACTTGGATAATAAAATTATCATCAACTGATTTACACGGGTCCTCTTTTGAGCGATCCAGCTACGCAAGTCTTAATTCATCCTAAATTGCAAGTTAATTGGAGTTTTTTTTATCAGTTTAATACCATTTAACACCTCCTCGTTTTTCGCTTTTACCTGAAGTATTCAACCATGTTGCATAGAAACGAATCTCCTTCTTTCGAGAATGATAGTAATTAACATGCATATTACTTTTACAACGCAAAAGGCCTCCGGCAGGTCTTGTAAATGATTGTTTACTTAGAATTATCTTAACTCTTGCTCAACGTGGCACTGATTCTCCGATCAATTACTCTGTTATGGGCTGAGTGCAAGTGATCAACGATATTGATTCTTGTTGGAAATATTTAGGACGAAACAGTTGTCGGTGAGAGAGACTCCAAGCCAGAGAATCATAAATTTTTACTTGCAATTTTTCCTTAAACAGGGATAGAAATTATGATATCATTAGCAAAGATATATCTTGCCAGAGTATGCAAAATATATGGTATATAAATGCAATATTTGACCTTCCTGTTCTTCCAAAATTTCATCTATAGGATCACTGTCTCAAACAGCGCTCTAAGATTAATGATGAGTTTATGAAACTGTACAAATAATATTATAATTTTAGGTAAATAGCTACTGTTTAACTTCTCTACAATGTCTCAACTTAAGCAGAATCAACTATTTGATATTTAACAAATATATTCTGTGTTGCTGTGCTCCAATTCAGTACTATCACAAATGATATCAAATGTGGTGAGAATCAATCAAATTGCACAGAAGACCCAGCCAAGTGTATCATTGATGTTCTTTCTATATTTTGACACATCTTCTCTGATCTAGCGAGGTACAGACCCATAGCAACATGGAATCTATTTGTCTTACATGTTAAAAAAGAAAATGTTGTGAGTGGTGATGTCACCTGTGTATGTCCTCCAAAAGATCATGAACAAAGTGCATATAATTCAGCTTCTCATGTAAACAGTGTTCAATACATAAGCAGGAGTTTCTTTAAAAGTTTTTATAGATTCTTGTGGATGGTGAAATAGTTGTCAACAATCACAGAGGACTGTACATTCAAGTACTAAAGAAAATATGTAATTCTTTAACAGGGGTGATAAGAGGATTTACTGAGCATTTTAAGGAGAGATGGGGTGGCTAATACTTGGCTTGTAATAAAATCGGTGTCTCAAGAAGGATTTGTGAAGGGTTAGGATGAAAAAAGGGATGGGGAGGTTCGGTGAGGCTTGAATGTTTCATTAATATCTTACAAATAATGAAAAAAACAGATATCTTGTATGTTTACTTTTTGTACTCCAGGTTTGTATGGATTTTAATGTAAAGATGAATTTTTAACCTTTTTAGTCTATTAAAATAGTCTCTAAGAACTAGAAAATCACTTTGTGGAGCAGACTGTATGGTGCTGTTTTGAAAACTTCACAAGTCTGATATTACATAGGAAATTTTTAGGGCAGCCTTCAACACTTCTTGTAATATCTATAGTCTCTATCAAGATGGGAATTCCCTTCTGCAATGGTATGACTTATGGTATATCTCTCATGAAAGAAACTGCAGACTATACCATTCCCTATCTTGTGGTAGGAATAAATGTTTTGATAATAATTTTTTTACTCTTTTTTTAGTTGGACCTTTGTATGTAGACTCAAAAATTCCTAAGATAGAAGATGTTGAAAAGGTCATGTCAAGTGATTTTAATGGCTGGGTTGACCATGGAGGTCATTGGAAACCAACTAAATGTAAAGCCAGGAAGAAGGTAATGAGTTCAATTAGTTCTGTTTAATTGAAAAGCTCTTTTGACTCTTTAACTCTTAAGATTTCAACAGTGGTTATACTATGCATCACATTTCATTTGTATTGTAGCATTGAACAGAAAAGAGAGCTTGCAGTTTATGTATGGATACTTAAATAAAAATAACCAAATTAGTACATTCCAGTTCAGGAAAGGGAAAGTAGAGGCATGATTGACAATTGAAATATCAATAATCTCAAATAGTTTCCATCTACCTTGTACTCAAATTATGTATTGGTTATGGACTGAAAAAAAAAAAAGCTGATTACTCTTTATAGTGTGCTGAATTTAATTTGGTAGTTATTATTGTCAAATTTTTTAGTTTGCTCTTCATGGTATCTATGTATTTTGGTTGGAGAATCAAGATCTCCTGGTCATAATTATTGTTATCTCTTGTCAGCTGGCCTTAATTATTCCATATCGCAAGCGTTATGAACAGCTGAAGATATTTGTTAGACACATGCACCCTATTCTTAAACGGCAGAATTTGGACTACAGAATCATGGTTGTAGAACAGGTGTGTTACAATTTGCACTTGAAACAGTATGCACTAAGTCTCACTCAAAACTGAGGTGTCCTGCAGTATTCTGAATTGATTTGTCAACTTCAGAACAGGATAGTTGTGGCAAATTTATAAGAACCTCAAGACTCTACTACCTTTGGATTATTTTATTTTTCCTTACATTTGATCCTTAATCACTTAAAAAATGGACTTTAGGTGTCACTGGATAATGGTTGATTGGCTTTCTCATTTTTCTCTGATTCAAATATTACTATGATTGACAATTTTCGTCAGATTTACTCTGAAACTCAGAAAACCATTAACACTTTGATTTGAATTTGAGGTAAATTTTTTAACAACCTATCAAAATAAAGTTTAAAATGCAAGCTACCTTCAGAACCACAAATGCATTGAAGTTTCCAGCTCAGTTTTCTGATGCTTTATTGGCTTATCCAAGAAACACAGTAGTTGCTCAGGGTAACAAATTGTCCCCTCAAAGTACTAGGTACATCAGCTGACCATGAAGTTTAACTATTTTTCTCTTAAAAGTTTCACTTGCCTTACTTTTTACACTTGATGTTGCTAATTTTTCTTTTTACTATCTAGGGTGGAACTACCATTTTTAACCGTGCCATGCTTTTTAACATTGGCTATAAAGAAGCTCTTAAATTTGATGATTTTGAGTGCTTTATATTCCATGACGTTGACTTAATACCTGAAGATGACCGAAATGATTACAGCTGTCCTACATCACCCAGACACTTGTCAGTTGCCATAGATAAATTTAATTATCGGTAGGTAGTTATGATCAACAGCCTTAAGAATACTTGTATGGTCTTCATGAATCTCAGCAAGCAGCATTTATCTAAATCTATCGGTGTATACATATTTATTTGATGATATTTCTGACAGTGATAAACACAATTTCCCTGTATCCTTGTAAATTGTGCAGAACATTTACTAAATAGTTCTTTAAATTGTTCCTCTTTCAGATTGCCTTATTCAACTATTTTTGGAGGAGCTGGTGCTTTCTCCCGAGAACACTTTGAACTTGTAAATGGATTTTCAAACAAATTTTGGGGATGGGGAGGGGAAGATGATGATCTCTACAACAGGTGAAAGTTTTGTTTTTTCAGCTGATAATTTTTACAAGTCAAATTTTGCATCATGATGCAATAGGACAGTAAATCACCCCTTCCCTACTTCCCAAAATTTTGCAGCAACATAAATGTTGATTCTCCTCTCTGTTCATTTATAAACACACTCTCTCACTAATTAACTCCTTTACCTGGGACATTTTTCCTTATCATTGATGCTTAAATAATGAAGTCAGCTCAAGTGCTGCTTGAGGCCGAGTGGGGAAACTCCTGTTGAAGCCATGTTTGCCCATTATTTTAGGATATCAGCCAAGCAACTGAAGTTAACTCGGCCATCAGTGCAAGTAGGAAGATATAAAATGTTGAAGATATTTCACACCAGTGGCAAGGCAGATCCAGATAGGTAAATTTTTGACAAAATACTAGTTCATACTGATGTAGTTGATGGTAGCTGAGAAGACCTCTCCTATTGGTTAATTAAAAGTGAATTCATCATCAGAATGAAATCAAAGTTGTTTGTCAGTCAGGTTTGTTTGTTATTTTGGTAGAAAATGTTTGTTGTGGAATGGTAACAGCATATTTCAGTCAAGGCGTCCTCTTTTGTTGTTGTTGTTTTCTGAAGGTGCACATTTTCATATCCGATGTTACTTCCACAGGTTTGCTAAACTAAAAGACTCTGCCCAGAGAATGCCTACTGATGGAATTAATTCTCTTCTTTATAAAGTAGAAAATGTAACAGAACATCGCCTTTACACTCAGGTTACTGTAGATGTACGAGAGGCTATGCCACAGAAATTACAAAATTAACCATCTTACAGCAATTCATTTTCGCAAATCTACTATTAGAGTTTGTAGACATCTGAAGGTAGTCTCTAATGGTCTCTTTTACTGCATTTCGTTGAAATGCCAGGCATTTGAGAACAGAAGTGAGTTGGAAGGTGACTTTGTGCTGACTATTTTTGTACAAGCACACATGATAAAAGGTAGAATAATAAAGTAAACATGAAATACAGTACCCTTGGCCTTCCTCCTATTCAAAGGCTGGTCCACTATACATACATGTATGATGGGAGAAAGGACTATTGATATGTAAAACCAAGTATGTAATATTGAAACTCAAAGTCTTAGTCATAAGGTGGATGTCTACTGATGAGTTTAAATTTTATTCACTCACAGTGAACATGGTACCTTTAGTAAGCCAAGGGATTAATTTGACAATATGGTGGTCATTTTGAAATGCAAGGAGTAGACCTCTTTAGCTTGTACAATGTATGATTTGTTTATCTATTCCAGGTCATGTGATAATACTCTAGAGAACTGTTTCCTTAAAATTTTTTCTATTTCATGAGCATAAGTACACATACTTTACAAAAGATAAAGCTGGGAATTCCTTTGAGACCTGAAATGGGAAAACAAAAAATTCAAGTACATGCTAAAGAGGTCTATTGGGGTCATCAAAAGCATGGTGACTGGAGGATATCTGTTTTCTTTACACCAGCAATGATCATTTTCAGGAAAACTTTTAATAGTTAAACACCATCAAAAGTTGTTCCCTTTCTTGTTTCAACACCCGTATAAATCCAGCATAAGGGAGATTTCCTGACTTTGGTTGGTTATATCCACTTGCATATGGGAATATCTCATAACTCAAGACCACTGATGTTGCTGACATAAGTGTTTGAAAAAAGTTCCATTGCCAGAAGTGAATTTCTCACAGTTTCACCATCATTATACAAGTCTTTGAACCCCAATTATTAAAATGAATGCTTTACACAAAATAAGTTTCATCAATTATCTCCCTAGTAGTAAAAAACTTCATTTCCTTTTATTACCAATATTTTCCCTCACTAGCTAAAGATACACACCTTATCTGATGGGTTAACATATTAGAAGGGCAGATATTTTAACAGTTGCGTAGTATATTTCCAAGCTGCACTGGGGCTTGGAAAAATGGGAGTAACAAGCAATTTATCCACTCATGTTATATGCTAAACCATCAAATAAGAGATTCATTATTCCACCATGAATTCATTTTTTAAGTACTTTGGCATCTAGTTTGCAGCATATATCTTTTGGCTTTATCTGAGAACCATATTGATTGTAGAAAGTGTGCATAAAATTTATAAAAACACAAATGAAACCATGTAGGAGTCCTTGAGGAAACTTAAAATCTGCATTGCTTAAAAGTTCATTAGTCAAACCTAGTGGATGTAAACAAATCAAAGTTTGGATTATTCAATGCGGCTAGCCCTGGCATGCAGCATAACACCATTGTAAATTTTACATGTTCTGTAGCCCTACGTGTAAATAAGCAAATTGGTTTAACATTGGAATAATAGGTGATTAAAATATTTTATTTTTATATCTGCACAGCTAGTTGTGAGTAATATACAGTAGCCTCTGCATAGGCCCTCATTATTAGGACTTTGGCACAAGTGTTTCTTCATCTGCAGGAAAGTATGAAGCCTGGAACAACCCTAGCAGGGGGGAGAGGTCTGTGAGGCAGAGAAACACGCATCTTGCAACCCTAATAATGGGGGTGTGCTTGCAGGCAAAACATACAGTAAAACTACTCCTACTCCTCTGATATTTATTTGCTCTTTTTTACCTCTGCCTCTTGCACTATTTAAACCTCATTAGATTCCATTTTGGTTTTTACACTGTAGTTTACAAAGAAATTGTTAGCAGTGGGAGAAAAATTTTGCAACTCTCTTTGACAAGTTTCTTCACCACTTTGTATGTCAAAACATTCTCCTTAAACAGTGTGCTAACAAAGGAAAGAAACCTTTGTACACTATGGTATGTGCAGCTTAATTTTAATTAAAACGGTTAAATTGATTGGAATAGACAGCATTACCTCATCAACACCATGATTGTATACAGCTAGGTTAAATTTTAAAAATAGAGCATAAATTTGTCATAAAAATTAGTTTGTATTTAACTTTTAGCAAGTACTATTAACTTCTGCTAAAATCATCAGTCTTAATTACACATATATAATTAAGCCATTGTGCAAGAGAGTTCAAGGCAATTATCAGTTGGCTTTCCATCAGTATATTCAATTCTAAAGTACAATAATTGCCATTACTCTTGGTAAATATTCCTATTTTCTGAACAGTATTTGAAGAATAACTTTCCTGATTTTGGCTTTATGAAGACATAAGCCTGCCATGTAGTGGAGTGACATCATAGTGGTACAGAAGTTTAATAGAAATGCTCTGTTATTTAAATAGGAGAACTTTATATTGTTAAATTTTTATATAGTTATTAAACTACAAAAAATTAAGGAAATGATCTTGTATGTGTCCTCACTACCAGTCTGTGTTCCTGTGCCCCATTTGTTTTTAATTTCATCCTAAACTCATTAATGGTTTCACACTTCTTTTTGCATTCACTTTTTATACAATGCAACAACCACTAATAAAGAATATTAAGCATTTTCACATGCTTATTGAAGACCTAGAGATTTCTTTACAATCTGTCTTGATATTTCATTGAATTTTTCTCGATTTTCTCTCCACATTTTCTAAGAGGAAAAAAGGAAACATGAATTAAGGTCTAAAACCTGAAAAGAAAAAGAACTCGCGCAGAGGTTCAGATTGTTTTTACCTCGGAAGAAAATATTCAAACGTAATAAGTTTGAACCACAACATTTACATCTTGTAAAACTATTATGGACTTGAAGAGGGTTCCTCAAAGTATCAAGAATAAAAAACCATACAGAATAAAGAAGAGAAAACAACCACAGCAAACATTTTATATCTCCTTCACACTGGAATAAAATAATGACCCAATCATAATAATACTCACCGAAGCATCTACATTTGCCCCACTTTCATCATTTGGTTCTGTGACAAACAATAATGAGGGAAAGAACTTAAAACAAATAATAACTCAAAGGTAAAAATGTGGTTTGTTGGTACTTCTTAGATGGACAATAATTATTGTCCTCAATGATCTGTCCAAACTTACCAGTACAGTTAGGTAGGCAGAAGAGAGATTAGAGACAAATAACACTTAATAATGTAAAGGATCCCACACAATTTCTTCACAGAATTAGAACTTACAGGGTACTAAGTGTTCAAGTTCAAATATTGAAATTACTTTCCATATTCAATGTAAAGCTAGATGAGATACTCTCCATTGCATGTGAGACTATATTCAAAATGGGACTCTCATTTTTTAGACAGAAAAAATTCACAATTTAACTAACCTGCCAGCATACTAACAACAGACAGAAGTATTTTCTCTACAGACTGAACAGGACTCCATCTTTCAGCACTACTCTCATACCCCATGGGATCATCACCAGGGGCATGTAGAATGGAAATACACACTCGTCCATCAGGATAAACTTAAAAAAAGCACAGCAGAAATAAAAAAAACATTCTGTAATTGAACCATTTGCACAATCATACAAATTGATTCAGTGTAATTCAGTGGTGCACCAAAATTATAAATAAGCACACTGTGAGGTAACATGTCCTATGAGACACCATCTTCATTCAAGGAACACAACACTACCTCTGACTGTGGAGCCTTGTAAGGCCTCCAATTATCAGGAGATACAATGTACATATATGTAGAAGGACACTGAGATGATTTAGTTCGTTCTGATAACTTCTTCTGCACTCCCCTCAAGTAAGAGATACAACTCTCAGATAATTCAGCAAGATGAATTTTGTGATTAAAAACCAAAAGCAAATATAATGAATAATAAGTGGAATCATGATAAATCTCATACTCCACAGATAAACGTATGATACATGAGAATAATTTGCTCATTGTACAAATTTTCCTTTGCCCCTGTGAAGCAGTTGAAAATTCTACCCAACCCACAAAATATCTGCATGTATTACCTTTTAACACTTGATCAGGGTGCATTTAGTTTTCCATAGAAAACATACTTAATAGGTAACCAAGGTACAGCAACATTGACAAAGGATGGGGAAGAGGGGTGCTCTGTTATATCACATGATACAGTAGATACAGGGGCCAGTTTACATTATCAACACAGTTGATGAAACTGAATAATCTTGTTATACTACCCCATTGACCAGCAGTATAGTTTCTTATGAAACTTACCCCCTTTATCCATTTCGTATACAGTGTGTCTGTGAACAAATTGTCTTAATAGGTTTTGATTTCATGATTGTAGATCTGAGGGCATCTAAAAAATGAATTTCCCATTGTAAAAGGACTTTGCAAAGCTTGTTCAGTCCCATTTTTAAGGTCATACAACAGTACTTTAATATTACTTACCATTAGGATGGAACATTTCACATGTGAACTTCATTTTTGGAGGACTCAAAGGATAATCAGGAGGGAACACAAGTCTTGTGGTAAAAACACCTCCTTCAAATGGAGTTCCTTCTGGGCCTCTATAAAGAAACAAAGATTGACTCAGACTCCTGTAAACTTATAACAGTTGGGGCAAATATGACACTGTGGTTAGCCTGCTTGCCTCACTCCGTAGTGGCCAGCATTCCCTCCACAGGAGGTTCAAGGACCTGCCATCACATGTAGGTTGAGTTTATTTTTGGTTCTCATCCTTGCCTAGAAGGTTTTCAAGGTTCTCTTATTTACTTTCCTCCACAAACACTAACAATCCAAAACTCTAATTTAACCTTGAGGGCAGCAGAGGAGAACACCACTTGTGTGGTGCTTCTTTCAATTCCTTTCCTTCACTTTATTCAATACATGAAAAGATGGGGAAACAAGAAATTCAGTCCAATTGACCGATACAGAGTTTCACAGTTCCTTGACAACAGTGACTATGGATAGTAATTATTTCTTTCTGTAGAGGGGATGCTACATGTAGTTCAGAACTGAATATTTTGAGGTTTCCCTGACAATTGAGAGGTTTCCATTCATACTCCTCTAGACAAGAAGAGACACAATGAAAATTATCCAACCCAAAAACTAAACAGTGAACCAACTATCACCCCATTATCCAGTGTTTATCATGCTATCACAATAACACATAACAATAACAAAAATTTTCTCACTTACGTTATCAAAGCCTCCCATTCAAAAAAGTTTTCCTCAGATAGTGGTCCTTTAAACAAACAAAAAACCATTGTTTAATTGAATTATTTAGCAATTAGTTTTATTTATATATTGATTTTCACTTGGAATAAGCAAAAGAGAAAACCAATTTTAGAAAAATTATCATTTTAGTTTAAAGTTCTCTAGAAATTTTTCTCCCCTCCTTTAACCAAGCATACAAATTAATTTGAGATTCCACAAAAAAAATCAACATACATGTATCATCAAATATATTTAACACCCAAATAACTGTTATCAACTAAAAGAAACTTAGCAGACAACACACCTGCAAGAATACCTTCTGGAGAGTTCAGGGTTAGCTCTGTTGAATTGAAACACAATTTAATTAAAGTCTTCAATTGTTATTAGTTCAACTGTTATTAGTTCATTCAAGAGTATTAATTTGCTGCCATTTTTCGTTTCCTTGGGATGGACCCAATGAGAGTTTAAAATATCGATTGGCTATTATTCAACGCTAACTCTGACTACCGGTAATGAAGCGCTTTTCGAATATAACAAGATGCAATGATGTGACGGATTGAAATCTTATTCTGTAGTTACACACATTTTAACTGTTTTGACATATCATTTTCTAATTTCAGACCTATTCATTTCACGTGAGCAGTATTTAAACAGTTCCCGAGCTCAGAAATAAATAACCTACGTCATTGTCTACATTTACGACTAAACATTCAGATGATCAGTTTCTAAACTACACAAATTTTTAAGTTTTCTAGCAAAATTATATTTTTTGAACCTAGGTGGGAAAAATTACGAACTGTTACAAATAAGAATCAGTACGAAATTTCGAACTTTTCGGGCCGACTTACGTTTATACTCAGCCATAAGCCTCTTGAGAGCAGCCCCTGCCATTTTTTTGTGCGTTTAGTTCCCAATGGCCAAAAAAGCTGCCTATTTTCTCAAGGAAACATCGCGTCTACACATCACTTTCTCAGAACTTGTTAGCCTTTGTACAAATTAGGAGCCCACTGAGATTTGGCCAGCACAGGTGCTTACGAACCGAAAGTACGTGGTATATGTGGATAACAAGATGGCGGCTGTTGCAAACGAATCCCAATTAATTCTACCGCTAGGTGAGTTTTACGTCTGTTTCCTTACGATTTATTACTTTAAACATTGACGATGGGTACGAGCTATAATAAATAGGTAAAATTTAATCCTGCTATAATGCAAAAAGTGGACAACTTCGTCAAATCCAGTATGGAAATGCGTCGTACACTTTTACCTTACAATAACACGTGCAACGATCGTGATTTATACGTAGTTGTCAAAGTATTAATTGCAGAAATGTTCGGCTGATGTGGAAGTAGATTCTCCCATTTGCAGCTATAAACAAATAATGAAGCAAAGTGAAAATAATTCGTTTGTAAAAAGTGTTTGTTTCTATCAGAATTAATCGACAAGTGCATTGGATCTCGAATTCACATTGTCATGAAGAGTGATAAGGAGATTGTCGGAGTACTTCTGGGGTTTGATGATTATGTCAGTATCCTTTCTGTCTGTTGACTACTTGGACAGTAACATATGCTGGTCCTACTAAATAAAACTTGACTAAATTAAACTACGCTTCAGAATAATTTAAATTAGTACAAGCTATTGTTTTTGGTCAACGAAAATGTAAGGAAAAGCTGCTGGCCTGTTAGAACCCCAATCCTATTATAGTCAATTCTGTGGACAATTTTAGTTCCCGCCTTAGTCAGTTTTGGGTGAATGCAATATTTGTAATCCCAACTTTGTCACTTTCTGTTTATGTAACTACCTTATAAAGCCTTTTTGATAGGCCATTTTTAAATCCCTAGTTAGCAGCATTTTCTTAACTCCAGAATCCCAAAAATGTGCTAGCCCATTCTGGTAACTCTATTAAAAATGCAACACCATTGTGCACAATAGTCGATTAGTCACAAAAATGTGACCCCATCCAACAGCACTCTCCCAATAGCCTATTACAAGGGTGTACCCCTTAGGACTTTTGTCCTTACTTCCTTCTGTTTGAGGTCTGTCATTTGTTTTATTTTGTGAGAGCAATTTGCTATTCATCCTTTATTTGTTCTCAGACATTGTTTTAGAAGATGTTACAGTATTGTAAGTATACAGAATTTCAACTTTTCACAATCTAATTAAGAGGTGTACATTGTGCATGCATTACCAACAGTGACTTTCTCTAACTTGTAAATGGATTTAACTATGAGACTTGAAAGGCATTTCTCTAAATACCCTCACCCCCTCCCCACAGACATGATTTATGAGGTGGTAAGATCTAGTGGAAATGTTATGTTTAATTTTGACAGTGAAAGCACACCAGAAGGACGAAGAATGACAAAACTTGACCAGATTCTGCTCAATGGGAATAACATAACCATGGTATGTAAATCTAAAAATGTTGATAAGATTTTTGGTCAATGTTTACCTAAAGTAATCATAGTGAAGCCTTTGTTTGTAGGCACTAGGTGCTTTTGTCATTTATTGAGACAAAGCCTACCAAGTATGTGAAAGAAATCACCACAAACCCTATACACACATAAACACTGATGTAGTTACCTGTTTTTTTTTCTTTTTCATGGAGACCTTTGCATCATGTGAATATTTTGTACAGTGTGAACTGCTACCTTGAATTTATTATGTTTTTTCATGTTCCCTTCTCTTAATTTCTTTTCAGCTCATTCCTGGTGGAGAGTATCCTTTGTCAAATGACTTGCAATTGTCTCTCTTGAACTGCAAATTTTATCATTTGTAGGAGGTGTTTAAGTATTTTTGTCACTTTTCTATAAACTTGGTTCTCCTTCTTTTAGTAGTCTAGGATTTCCACCTTTCCTTTTTTCCACCAAAACATTCAGATTGTAAGATAAGAATTTTTGTCAGTAGACACATACCATCCGTTTGTATTTTGATTTGGTTCAAGATTTTTCACAAGGTTCTTTGCTCACTTGTTTGTTTAGGTGTTACATCATTCTTTTCTTTCAAGTTTTTATTTCCAGTTTTTGATATGGTAAATAACATTACTTTCAGTTGTTAGTGACAAATTCATGAAATTGTTGCTTGGTTAATCAGCATTGAATCCTTAACAAATTCACAGGGGCCCGGAGATATGATGTGTGCAACAAGCATGGAAAGGAATCAGCCGCTAAAATCATACATCTGTATATACAATGTCTGTTTTTAACAGATACCCTTATAGGATCCTTCCCTCATTTACAGCTGTATTAGTTTCTGAGTGAAAAAGAAATAGAATTAAAGAAAACATGTAGAGTCTTGATTCACTGTATAACAACTTAAGGATATCATGGGTGGGGCAGTGACAAGACCCCTCACTTTCCCATTGCTTGTGTGGCTGGAAGAAGGGAAGTTTTTCCCAACACAAAGTGCAAATTTTGAAATGGACAAACCCCAACAATTGCACATATGTACCAAACAGGCCGCAAACCAATACACCAATTAGAACTGGTTTTAATTTGTTGTCTGGTTTAGTCCTTGCTTTTTCCCAACTCTCAAAGTCCCAATTCAACTAAGAAACAGTGGATGGACTGGCCCTCCTTAAATGTGTTACTGCTAGGTTTTTCCAAAAATTGTAAGCCTTTGACTCCATGGAGTGACTGGCATCTAACTTCTCCTGCCAACAACACACCTAAATAAAAAATTGAGGTCATGACAATGAAGGAAATGATCACTTTAGCAGCCCTTTGGGAAATATATGGAGAACAGTATGAAGAAAATGTATACTGATGTTGAGGTACAAAAGGTGTCCTAGTTTGTCCAAAGCCTGCTTTCTTTCACACCATTGTCCAAAGTACAAGCAAGGAGAGCAAAATGGTACCTAAGCAAACATAAAGGGTTATGGAAAAGAGAACATAGAAACATTTTTTCTACTGCTCTATGCCTACTCTTGGGATGTTCTTAACTATGAAGGAAAAAACCTACAGGGTAATGTACAGATGTATAAGTGTCTTCTGAACCTGAGGTGGCTACTGAGGAAGAATTGAAGAGAAAGGAAAGTAAAACAAAAGAAAGCATGGCACTGACAGCAATCAGTTGTCAGGAGCCAACTTCTGTTAAGCTACATGCATTATACTGTTTTATTTATTTCCAAAAATTTATTCCATAGAGAAATTTATTCAACATTCATTCATTAATTCTTGTTTTTTTTCATCATTAGAAAACCACTCTCTAAATACTTCAATTAGCTCAGCATTGTGTGTTGCCATATTTCAGATGTGTTTTTCACAGTAACAAATTCTGCACAAAATCACAAAACAATGATAACTTGAGTTAAAGTTTCTGTTTAAGCCCATCAATATTCAGCACTTTACTCCTCTCCTGTTCACTGTTAAGGATTCTTGACAGCCTGGTGTGCATGTTTTCAAGGGTCTTGGGTGAAATCTTTGTCAACAGGTTTAACTCTTGGATCCAGAAGTGTTGAATCTCTTTCTTTTGAAGTGCATCCCTCAAAAAGGTCACAAAACCTGTAAAATGCTCTGCTAAGCTGTCTTGTCCCCAGTTACTGGTTGTTTTGTTGTACCAGAGTAGACCCATTTTGAGATGGAATGACGTTAAAAGTGAAAATGTTGCTTCTTTGTGGAGAACTGTGCTTACCACTTTAAACAAGCTGTGCCGACAACCATGGTCTTTGTCCATGTCTTTAAGGTGGGCCTTCTGCATTAAGGTGTATGACTTGATCCAGGCTGTGTCCTGGACCACACCCACTGGTAGATAACTGGGTTGAGAAGATGGTGGAACAAAATACTCACTGCCAAGTTGAAATGTTGGCACAAGCTGAACCTCCAAAGCCTTCGACTGCTCACTCATGCAAACTTTCACACTAGTGGAGTTTGAAGCTTTCAAAGACATTGTTGAAGCTCCTTCACTGTTAATACTCTGCACAGCACTGGTAACTAGCTTGAAAAGCCAGTTTTGGAATTTTACAGGCACAAGGAAACCATCTGGATTGGAAAACTCTTTGTAAGGAGAATCTTCTGTTGCCTTTATACCTGCATATCCTGCATCATTTACTTCAAAATCAATGAGGCTGTTTTTTGCGTTCAAGGCAAGGAAGATAACAGCATCATCAGCATCAGAATGTGTGGTTTTCAAATTTTCATACAAACTTCCACCATATTCAAAGTTACTAATGAGATCAGATTCCTCCATGCAGCATTTCAGCACTCCATCTTTCACAACCTGCTCCACAATTTCCTTACACCACTTTGTATCTTCACTGAGAATTGTGCCTAGGCTGTCAAGGAATCTTCGCAAGACTTGCAAAAGATCTGTAGAAGTTTGTGGCATATTGGGTTGACATAGCTTTGGTTTCCCTGGTGATGTGACTGGACAGTTTTCAACTCCATTGCCATTTGTAGTCATTGGAACTGTGACTGAATAAAAAGTTCCTAGTTTTAATATGCCATGTTAATTTTTCCAAACTTTAGATCCTGGAAAAATTAAATTAGATAGGTCTCTGACCACCATACAACCTTTTGTCCTACAAATGTCAACTATTGTTATTGCTGAGTACCACACAGACTCCAAGCAATTAATAAGTAACTTCTCCTTCTAATATCCATGGAATATTCAGCCAGCTGGTGTAAAGAATATTCAAACTTATCAGGTACAAGTTGTTATTAGATCTAACATCAAATTCTCATAACTAATTTACAAGGAAATCTGTAGCAGCTGGAGGGGAGAATTACCTTCAGATTTTGGGAATTAAAGGGTTCAGATGGCTAGGAATGAGTGAGGGGTACCACACATATATTATTTTTTTGTACAGAAGATTCTTATATGTTAAGACCCAAGATTACCACACAGGTAAAAAACGATAAAAGCAGAAACCAATCAAAGAGACACTTACTGTTACATTTAAGGACTTTATTCCTTTCTTTGTCACTGTCCAAAATCTTGCGCAGCCTACAAGCCATGTTTTCCAGAGTTTTACCAGGTACATTTTCCAAGAGGTTGATCCCTTCAATCCAGAAGTGATCCAGAATCTTGCTATTTACTGCAGCATAGAGCAACTCCAAGTACTCAATAAACCTCTCCCCAAGCATGTCTTTATCCCATGAAACCTTTGCATTAGTGTTGTACCTCAAAAATACTGTCTTTAAATGGTAACTTGTCAGTTTAGCAAAAGTTGCCTCCCCTCTAATGATGCTTTTGATAATTCGGAGAAGTTCATGTCTACAACCACCATCCTCTTTATCCATTCCTTGCAGTCTTGCTTTCTCCTTCAGTGAGAATGACTGTCGCCAGAGAAGCTTGCAATCACAGGTGGCAGCCGTGTTCCCTGTATAGGATTTTGCCACAAAGTAGTCCATGGCACCAATCCTAAATGTTGGGACCAAATCAGCAGACAGCTTTTTTCCCAAGTTGCTGTCTGTGATATCAAGCTGAACGGCTGGGCCATGCGCTCTAACCTCCATCTGAACTGGTAAAGCAAGTTCATTAACTGCCTTCTGAACAAGGCCAAAGAACCAACTTGCTCGCAGCTTCTCAGGGACAAGATAACCATCTGTGTCTGTATACTTCTTTAGTGGTGAACCATCTTTTGATACCTTTAACAGAACAAAACCAGGGACCCCAGCATCCTCTTGTATCACTTCCTGTTTGGCAGTCTGTAATACTACCATGACATCCACCTCATCAGCTGCTTCAGTTTTAAGTCTCTCATACAGGCTTCCTGTGTATTCTAGCTTATTGATGGACAGGGGTTGTGAATTGTCAAAGATGTACTGTAATACACCATTTTTTAAGTAACTGTCTACCAGACGCTTGGCTTGATCAGTATCCTCTTTATTTATTTTCACATGGTCTGCAGAGAATCGCCTCAGTTGTTGAGTGAGCCCTGTACTTTTGTCCAAGTTTAGTTTGGCTTGAAGCATGATTACATAGCTGAAAAAGGAGGAATTCTTCTCAGGTCATTTTCAATGAAATAACTCCACGAAAAACCTTTCGCAAAAAGTTACTTTTTTTTACCTTGTTAAAAAAATGTCATATATATAATTATATATCTGCTACAGCTCACAATTTCTTCTCTGTAAAGTAACTTCAAATCAAAATTATAACTAATGTATAAAAAGTGAACAAAAGGATACTGAGCTATTGAACAGGAAGTGAAAGGAATTGTGCTAAACTGGGATTTTCCCCATATTTTTTGATGAGACATATTTTAAACTGTAGGTGGCACACCACTCCCTTAAGCAGAATGCAATTCATGCATATTTAATTTTCTTCGAATCGCGTTCAAATCAATCACATGAACACTTGAACTAAATGCGAGCTGTAGTTTAATGTTTAATTTGCGAAAGGTTACGAAGTTCAGTTTTTTCTGGTCCTTGCCGAGAATTCTATAAAACACTGCAGTCCCAAGAAAGATAAAATGCGAATAACTAATTGTGTCACTTCACCGACAGAAAAATAACTTCCTAGAAGTAACTACGTACTTACCCAGCTGTTTCCACCCGCTAACTTTTCCCGTCGGCTGAGAAACTGTATCTATGAGAACACAGATAAGTCTCCTCTTGATGTGCAAATTGAGAGAGAAAGTCGTAAGAGAGAAAGTACTTCTAGGCGACACGCTGATTTTCTAAGAAAGACAGTAGTCACTTCCGGTTTTCGGAGTTTCCCCAACCCCCGCCCGCCAGTCGAATTATACTATCGTTCCCAGTGCCTTCGTCTCTACGCAAAGTACAAAATACGATTGAACCTTTAGAATAGCGAATATCTCTCGATACTTAAGCAGATCGAACGATAGCTTTCTATCGGTGTAGAAGTAGTAAAATGTTTTCTAACCAGTCCTGGTTATGGCGAACCCCCATGTTTAAATCTGAAAGCACGTCACCTGGTCAGATACATTTAAAGCGTTCGCACATGCAAAGACGTTTGACCGCTTTCTTCTCTCTCATTTTTCTTTTATTTTCTGCAGTTCATTGAAAAGATCAGTTACCAGCCAGAAGAGTACAAATGATGTCATTGACGTGTCGTGGCGCGCGAAAATGTGAATGTGGCAAATAGTTTGACATACACCTGTTAATTACATAAGAGGGTCTCGATTAATCGGGTCAACTGTCAGTCGTCTATCGGCCAAAAATTGAACTGTCAACTGTCTAGAAAGACAAATTTTTACTGTCAACCGTTAAAAAAGCAGCTTAATAATAACTTTCAAACGCTTTAAAAGTGTTTCAGATCTCTATCTTAGCCGCCAATCTGGTTTTATCAACTGAGTCAGGAGCCCATAAGTAATGGGCTCCTGAATCGGTTGATACTGTTATATTGGCCACTGCGGCCTTTCCCTGCGTCTAGGCAGTTCGGAAAGCCGCAAAACTCCAGAGAAAAAATTTATTTTCCAAATCGGCACTCTTAATCCCCACGGTACCGACGAACGTTTTTCATTTGACTACATTATTCTTGTTTTTCTCGTCGCCATATTACTACAGTCAATTGCACAGGATTTTGGAGTATTGTATCCTCTATAAAGGATTTTTCGCTCGCTGTCGATGAATAACAGTGGACAAGTAGGTATCATACGAGACAACGTCATCAGTGCTCTTGCAACCATCCACGCCTGCCGTGAATTTTGTGATGTTTTGACCTACTTCCTATTTCTTCTTTCTTAGATCTTTTATTTTAGTATTAAACTGCCAGCAAAGTCGCTGTTGTTCAAGGAGATGCCATTTTAATCTGCCTTGTTTACTATCAAAAAGCAGATTCGTACATCTGCTAAACAACGCTGTTATAAAACTTCAACTTATCGGTATGTGGGTTAGGAAGCAGATAGTAACACTGGTTTTTTGTGATGGCTGGGAGAAAAAAGGGAGGGATCATGAAATCTTCCACCGTTAATATGAGGGGATAAAAACAAACATTTACTTATGGGGGCATCACGTAATAGCTCCGTTGTCCAACAAAAAAATAATATGCACCCAGCCTCCCTCAGGTGATAAATAATGACCGGCCACCCTAAAGCTTAATAAAACCGTTTTCGAATCTAATTTACACAAGAGAATCAAAACTGTATATTATCTAGATTTACTTCAATAATTTTGACCATTTTCGACATCTCCGAGCACAACTTTTTCTGGCCTGTTATTCAACAGTACCTACAAATGTTTGCCTACGACTGAAGTCATCTTGTCCAAATTTTATGGGAAATAGATTTTGGTGGAGAAGTTAACAGTCAAATTGTTTTGTGTTAATACACAAGGCCATAGGTAAAGCATTTTTCTGATGGTACAAAAATAAATAAAGCCAAAGTGATAATTCTAGTCAATAGGAACAGATTTAATGAATGCATATGTAGATGTGGAACATATCATTAAAGATACAGATAACTTGTCTTGGGGCTTTTGAGTTGGCAATGTCTGAATTCGCTACTTCTTCTACATTGGCGGGACAAATCTTTTATCCTCAATAAAAAACTGCTTTATTTTCAATCAATTAAGTAGTAGTCAAGCACAATTAGTATAATTTGATGGAGTAAAATTATCCAATTTAGCTTTGCTCAGTTGCAAATTTATTCAGCCGACACTGACACTATCGACACATCTACAGATCCACTTATCCTCTTTGTCTTTCTCCGTTTGCCAGTGACTTTCACTGAGATTTTTCCTCCGTACTTTAAAAAACAAGGAGCTATAGCTACGTACAGACCTGTACAGTGTATGTAGTTTCAGATAGACGTTAAAGCACACATTTTATTTACAGTAATCGTTCCGATCCCAAAATGCTGGTTAGCGTGACGTTACACCGAGAAAAAAACAGAAGGAAAAAAAAACAACAACCACTGTTAACCATCTCTCTATATAACGGAAAATTTGTTAGTTTTTCCGCAAATTCGTCAAACCGAGGTTTTCGATATCACGAACCCTCGATATAACGAACCAATTTCCCCAGCCCTTTGGCACTTCGTTAAATCGAGGTTCCTTTGTAGAACACTGCGATCGGCCGGTAGTGACCTGCCGCGTTGATCCTTGCATGAGGGTCTCAATAGGGTGATGGCTTTTACGGCTAACGGTTAAAATTTTGGCCAATTTACGGCTAACAGTTAACATCTTTCCATTGTTTCCACCAGACATATTGTTTGCGGTAAACTTTTTTTACGACTAACGGCTAAAATTTGTCAATTTTTACGTCTAACGGCTAAATTTTTTGGCCGTTTTACGGCTAACGGTTATCCCCATCGAGACCCTCTTGCATCGAGTCTTTAGGAAGAAAATAAAAAATCACGCTGGATAAAGCCGTGCCGGAAAAAAGTCGTGCTGGGAAAAAACTGAGGTGGTAACAACTGAAGTTGAAGTGGTGAACAACAAAGTTGATAAGAAATATATGATGGCACTAACTGGGCTCTGTATGAACCAACTCTTTATCCAGCACGAGACAAATATGATGGGATATAGTACTCAAACCACTTGCTACCTCTTCGATAGTTAAGCCTGATTACATAGGCATTGTTTTCAAGATCTCTTAGTTGAATAATGACCTTTCAAAATGAACAGAAAAGTATTGTTTTTCCAGCATTGTGGAGAAAACACTCTGTTACCATAGAGTGCGAATTTAAGCGGAAAACAAAGTGTATTATGGTAATCACTGAAAATACTGAATGTTGTACCTCTTTTTAAAATCTATCTGGTTTCATTTCAGATTTTCTCTCAGTTCACATCTATCAGTATGGTCCTTGCTAAACTGGTTCGAATTCGTTCATTAAGATGTGGGATGTGTTTGGTAAGTGAATTATTCATACTTTTTTCCAATTTTATTTACGTTGGTAATAGGCCTTTTGGATAGGGACCAGGGCTACCAGACTCTCTTTTCAGAGAGTTGAGGAGGATATGTAGTGGATTGTAAATGTTAACAGGCATTTCAGAAAAGATAGAAGCCAAGCAGTGAAAAGTTACTTCTCGAGGATAGGGGAGGCTCTAAAAGTAAGAAATCTCATATTGTGACTCATCAAACAGAGCCTGAAAGTTTTGCTCATAAAGTCATTATTAGCTAACTTTCCTTTTCCATTGAGATAACAATTTTGGAGAAAATCACTGTGTACTCTCAACTCAACCATCAAAATCCACAAACTCGAGAATACTTATGATAACTTATCAATTCACAACTTTTTATTAATTCTTGGGAAAACTGATTTGATTTAAATCTTTACTGTTTCCATTTTCCATCTAGCTCACCTGTATTGTGTTAGCTCTGTCTGTACATGAGGCTGTGCACTGGTTACCGATGATTTCAAGCTCGAGACTGACTCCAAAAGAGAACTTGGAAACAACCCGTGCATCAGGTAAGAACGCCCGTGATTAACACCACAATCCTCTAAACGTAAAAGAGCACCGCAGTTTTAATTATTCGTCAAATAGGACGCTTGATAATAAAATAATTGCATTTCTGGTACAAACCTAGCGACAACCTAGATATAATCAGTAAACTTCTTTAACGGTACCTGACCTCCCCTATCAGCTTAACATAAAGTGATACTAATAAAGTTCCTACAGAGGGCAGCTACTTGATCATAGCGCGCATTTTGGGGAATGAAGAAATAAAGAACAATCAAAATTATGTAAAAAAAATTCACTTAAGCATAAGAAGGCAGCGTAACGGTCCAAAGAGAAGGGTAAATAATTTTCCGACGGGATTTCCGTTCTCATTTTGTTTACTTCTTGAGGGTATCAGTAAAAAAATAAACATAGTTTCAAAACGTACGTGCTGAGCTGTTGTCTAGCTGCTCATAAAATGTTTTGTATTGCCACCCGATCTCGTGGCTATCCCTAATTAGACCCCGTCCATTATACGCCGGCGAAATTTGAAAGCGTAACTTGATTTCTTTAACTAGGCCACCGAACCGAAGTCAAGTGCAAGCCTCACAGGTAGGAAGAAGCATAACGATACTCTGTTGTAGTAATAAGGCTTAATTTTGTATTCAGCCGCTAACTTCTTCATTTATTCTAGAAAGATTGATGCACGTGTCGCGTCGCTTCGTTATTGTAACAAGGATCTGGTATCTAAAGAAGTTTACATAATACGTAGGAGAGTAGTAAATATCTTGTTCAAATATCTTCAGATGCTGACTCAAAAGCGCAATTCATTGGCAGATACGATCGAGCAATGCTACCTATTGCTGCCTAACTGGATGACCTAAATGAACCATGTCCGTTTCTTTTCTTAGACCAGATCGACATGGTATAAAGCAAATTATTGAACATTATGGACCGTTAGGACTTATAGAAAATAGGACTTGTGACGACACTCATTACCCAGACATCTGCGCGTTCCATTATACAGAGTCTGGAGATCAGACCCTGACATGTGACCCCAAGGTTTGTGGCTCGTCCGCAGTTCAAATAGCTTCTGTTGATCCTAAAATGGGAAAAGCCGTGACAAAGTGGAAACTGTTGTCAAAAGAACAGATCGATCAAACAGTTCAAAAGGCCGTCAAAACCAATCTGGAAAGAGGATTTAGTTTTTTTTTCCTAAGGTGTGGAGAAATTTTCCAAGTGCTCAGCTTTCCTCCGGTCTTGAAGAAAGTCGACGGCGGCAAAAAGAGAACTAAAATCAATTTAAATGTGATTCTGTTAGACTCTATCTCCAGGCCGCATTTTTACCGAATTCTTCCAAGGGCTGTAAAGGCTCTGCACGATATTTCACACAATCCTAAGATTCAGGCTACCGCCTTGGACTTTGAACTTCTCCAGAGCATCGGACAACAGACATTTGAAAACATGAGGCCATTCTTCTGTGGCGTTGTCGAAGGTTAGTTGAAGAAAATACGTTTAAAACTGAATGGTGTGAGTTATCCCATCTTGTTGGCTAAGAATTCTTTACGTTGTACTTATGACCACATGAAGAGGACAGTGATCTTCCCAATAATAGACACTATTTAAGCAGCAGTCGAAATGAGTCACTAACTCCATTAAATTGTGTTCATTACTGCGAAGATCACTCTCATATTAATCTATTATCGGCAGTTAACATATATGATTTCCATAAATTCACAGACATTGATAAGAAATTGTCTTTAACGTTTTCAGACGATAACAAAGTTACTGCCTCTGCAAAAAACACCAAAGCCTCCCTGGGTGTGGAGGTGTTGTATGGGACCTTCAAGAAATGGGGCTACCAGACGTTCTTTCAAGAGGATCTTTGTTGGTATGATATTTGGGGGAGTGCTTTAACAGACATTGGTAAAAGGGAAACACCTCAGTCGGATTCTGAGTTCAGAGAAAGGTAACAACCTGGTCCATGCTGCATGTTTGATTCTGTAATGATGCTTTGTTTGATACAGGTGTTAAGTAGGTTTTTAAGGTAATAGGCCATTTTACAGTTATGTACTTAGTTGCCAAGCCTTTGATTTGGAGTGAGGCTGAAGGTGACCTTTTTGTGATAGAGACCAGTATCTAGTTAGCATGATAACAAAGTAATTTGCATTTGAAAAGCAGCAAGGTTTGTATCGTAACAAGGTCACCCTAAGCCTCATTCCAGTTCAAAGGCTTGGCAACCAAGCACACAACTGTAAAATGGACTATTGTTAGACTGTTTCTGCTGAGCACAAAGGTTCTTATAATATATAAGAGCCTGTGGCTGACTAACTATAGCTTGATTGAGGCTTGTAAGATTGAATTTTAGTTGAAGATCTCGCCATGTACACCTTAGTATGAAGTTAGTAAATATGTGCCTATAGAGTTTGACTGATACCAGGCAAGTTAAGTTCCACTGAATATTTTTACCTGGATGGGTTTCTGTGTGAGTGCACACAACAACCAAAGATCTTCGGGGCAGAGTCAGTATTCAGTCAAGACCACTTACGAAAATAAAATCATACTAAGAACTTAGTAATAAAATAGTGCTTTGCTTATTGAATTATCCTAAGAAGTTAAAAAGCAACTTTCATTACAGGTGGAAGGAATTTCAAGACAAGGTGGCCAAGAAACAAATCGACCATCAGGGTATTACGCACTTTTCATGCACGGCGTTAGAAAAGATTCTGAGAAGGACCAACCATTTTGATTTTCCCCAGAAAATCTGTTTAAATGGCAGGTTTTACAGTTGGTATTTCATGGACTACATAACAAAGGTGTACACGGCTCTTAGAAGCGACGAAGAAGCCAAACCTTTGCTTTCCTACACACATTTTAATACTGGACACGAGACTAATGGTAAACGGATGATCAATATGGACGCCAACATTGCCAAATTCTTCAAAGATATGGCTTCTTTCTCTAATACCCTTACGTTGACATTATCCGACCACGGTCACACAAGGACTCCGTTTCGTAACACAAAAGAGGGAGGCAAAGAGTTGTACGATCCAGTATTCTTTATGATTGTTCCTGATGGCGTCAGGGAAAAACTTGGTCCACAAAGGACGAACGCGCTGATCACCAACCAAAAGCGCCTTTTCGCGCTTAAAGATGTACACAAAGCGTTCATGAGTTTGTATGATCCTCAAAACATGGACTCTGAGGACTATTCAGTGACAGGAATCTTCTCAGAGATTCCACCAAACCGCACATGCGCAGACCTCGATATGCTTCCCTTGACCAGATGTAAATGCGAAGGTTTTGATGAAGAATTTGAGGTCAAAGAAAATGCAGATGACTACAAGTGGCTGGCAGAATTTGCAGTTGGACATATAAATAATGCAATACAAAGGCGACATAGGGAAGGTAAGATGTAAAAATAATGTCCGTGAGAAAACCGGAAGGAACTAAGCAGGAAGGGTGGGGAGGGGGAGGGGGAGGGGGAAGGGGTGATACTGCTTTAATAAGTGATTAGACTTAAACTGTATATTTGCCTTAGCTTAGAGAACTTAAGTGATGACCTAACTACCCATGTATAAATAATAACGAATAATGGTTGCTCAGTAGAGATCTTTAATGTGTCAGTGCTGCAATTTGAGTATAACCACCCTCTGCCCGTATTTCGCCACGGACATTCTCGTAAATGTTGCAGCTTGTTTTCAAGTAGAAGTGTTCAATCGTTACCCATGGCGACCTAAGCTCAACTAGACTTCTCTCCTCTCTTTTCAGGTGGTGCTAACTCATCTGAAAGTTATGGCTATGGAAACTGTGAACGCTTAGTTGGAAAATCGTTTTCAAAAGTGATCAAACGTTTTCGAAGAGAATTTATCGTAACGAGTATGGACATTCACGTGTTTCCCCCAACCGGATATAACGAGGATGAAGTGTTTAGAGTCTCTGTCAAACAGTTCGCTGAACCGAAAGACGGAGTATTTTTTATAAATTCCATAAGAGTGACGACTTACAGCAAGTTTGCGCCTTGCGCCGACAAGTCAGTCGACATCAAGCTTTGCACATGCACCAAACATCAAACCTCTGACCTCACTAAGAAAGGAGTGTTGTTTGAGAATGGTGTTCCGAGGAAAATGTTTGGTTCGGAAACAATTGTAAAGGATCTGGACTCCAACTGTTTGTTATTCTTGAGACGAGATTATGGAACGTTCTCTTTTGTATTAGAAGTAGCCAATGTTTGCACAAATACGACTTATAAATTTACCATGACAGGCTCAACGGATCAAAGGGTTTTCACCAATACTTTGCCAATCTCTCTTGAGTTACCTCCCAAAACCTTTCATTTTCTAACATCTGTTTCCAAGTATGTCGTAAAGGTAGATAGCGACCTTAATCTAAAAGCAAGCATACAAGTTAAAAATGAGGAATCGGATACCTTTGACAGTTTAGGGACTATTGGGGTTTCCTAACAGTTTAAATGCGGTTTGGTGGAAAATTGTGTTCTTTTTTTTAAGATTGATTTTATTTATTCATATGTTCTCATCTCAGTTGCATGCCCAAGAGAGTTTGTGTAACAAAACAGATAATTATCAATAAGTTTTTTGGTAAGCATTGTTGTAGGAGAGTCTCTATTTAAGTATTGAAGAATGAAGATCCACAGAGGAAATGAAAAATGACTCATAGTACGCGGAAACTAGCAAAATATACCAATAACTGGTAAACTTAAAACATAAAATTGAAATGTGAGGTGAATTCTCTATTTAAATGAATGCCATAAAAAGGGTCGTAAATTTGTCATCAATTTCACTCCCTGAGATGTCTTGCTGAAGGGAAGTCACTGGAAAGACGCTAGAAATTTTAGAAGTTTCTTAACTCGTGCCCAGTCTTACTTTAACAATTACAAAATACTGAAAATAATGAAAATTACATCAGTATAAAAGACTATAAACAATCATGTGCAGAGCCTAACAACAAATTCCTATTTTGGTACTTAGCGATAAATAAACGGTACAAGGTTAAATTTTTCTACCAGACTTCTAAAAGTATTCACATTACCAGCAATTCTAGCATTGCATGGTAAAGTATTCCAAAGGTGGCTGGCTGGGATGCAAAGGAATTAAGGCACCACTTGCTATTAAAAGAATATTGCTCAAGCTTAGTGCCTGAGCAATTGACTGTACGAAATTTAAAGAAACTTTAATGTAACTAGGACCATTCCCATTGAAACTTTTAAAAAGTAGGATCAAAACATGAAAAAACCTCCTTTGTTCTAGTATACGCGTGTTAATTAATTTACGAATATCATTGTACGAAGTGGACTTAGGTAAACCTAATAACGTTCTGAGAATATAGTACTTTTAATTGTATCATTACATGCATTGGAATAAAACGTCTAATTCTACGTAAAGCGTTTGTCTTAGCACATGCCTTATTAAGCTGCGTTTTTAAATGCTACTCAAAGGTCAGGTTCGAGTCAATGATAACCCCTAGTATCTTTAGAGTCCTTTATTTCCACAGGAGTATCGCCTAACCAAATTTCGTACTTATAAGTGTTTGTTCCGACGACAAGAGCTTGAGTTTTCACAGTATTTATTGATATATGATTTATTATAACCCATTCTATAATAGCGTTAAGTTCCTTGGTAATGGTATGATTCAAAACCATAGGCGAGTGATCTGCGTAGTATTCAGTTGTATCATCAGCATATAAACGGAGAGACACAGCGGAGATGAAATCGTTCAAGTCATTGATAAAAATATTAAATAGGAGGGGTCCAAGTAGAGATCCTTGAGGTACACCAGCTGTGATTGGTTTCCACTCAGAAAAAACGTTGTCGAGTCGAACTCTTCAGCGACGACCAAGCAAATAAGACTTCATAAGATTAATGGCATCTGTGTCAAACCTAGAAGCTTTAAGCTTTGCAATCAGCAAACTATGGGGGATAGAGTCGAAGGCCTTGCTGAGGTCGATGGTTATGGCAACAATACCCTGTCTGTCATCAAGGCCTGCACGCCAGTCATCTGAATGCAGTCTCAGGCTTTGGAAAACTCAACTTCCGCATTCTCTTAGCCTGTGAAGCTGGTGGTTTTGCGTGTGTCAAGCGAGAGGCTTGGGTGCACACAAAACGATGAGGCACACCTCTCTGCTTATAAAACGGTGAGATGCACATTATATCAGCCTAGAGCTGAAAGGGCCACCCTGCCTGTGTTATCAACAGCATTCTCGTATCTTGATAAGCTTTGTGTTCGAAAAGTCTCTAGTTTTCCTTTTCCATACTTTTGTCTCCATTCACAGATTTCAATGAATTGTCTAAATTGTTTTCGCTTAATTTGCAAGACAATGGTTGTTTCTTATGTTTTCCTTAGTAATTTATGCGCAGGAAATCGGCGCACTAACGGTCAGAAGTGATCCCCTCGCTCCTACCCTACACTTAGCCGCTGTGTTCAGGCTGAGCCAAATTACTGACAGATTACAAACAGATTCTTGTAAAAGCCAGGTAAGTTTACTAACTACATATTTACTTATTTAAATGCGCGGAAGACAAACTTCTTACCCAGACTTAAGGCGGCTAATGTCCCTCAGATCTGAACTTGAAGTAAGACTGGAGGCGAGTTTCTAGACTCCAACAATTTGTGTCTTTATAACGACTTCCTGTTATCAAAACATCTCGGGGAGAGAAACTAATGACAGATTTATGACTTTAATTTGGTATTCATTTAAACAGAGAATTCATTTCACATTTTATCGTTATCCTTCAACGTTTATCAATTTCTTCCTTCCAGTATGAAGGACATATTTATTTGCTCTGTCATCACTTCTATTTAATACTAAATAGAAATTCTCTTACAATAATGCTTACCATACTACGAGTAAAAAATAACCTACTTAAAAAAATATATGTTGTGTCGTACAAACTCTCTAGGACATAGGACTCAGGTGTGTAAAAAAAAATCAAATAGAATAAAACAGCTGTAAGACTATCATCTATTTCTGCAGCATTTTAATTAAACTCAACTTATCAAGGAATATCTGCAACAAATATCAAGAAAAACAACACCAAATTTCCGGTTAACTGCATGCTAACTGTTACAAAACCCGAGCAGTTCTTAAAAAGTGGAAGGTATTCGATTCCCCGTTTTTAACATGTATGCTTGCTTTTAGATTAAGGTCGCTATCTACCTTTACGACATACTTGGAAACAGATGTTAGAAAATGAAAGGTTTTGGGTGGTAACTCAAGAGAGATTGGCAAAGTCTTGGTGAAAACCCTTTGATCCGTTGAGCCTGTCATGCTAAATCTATAAGTGATATCTGTGCAAACGTTGGCTACTTCTAACGCAAAAGCAAACGTTCCGTAATCTCGTCTTAAGAACAACAAACAGTTGGAGTCCAGATCCTTAACAATTGTTGCCGAACCAAACATTTTCCTCGGAACACCATTCTCAAACAACACTCCTTTCTTAGCTAGGTCAGAGGTTTGATGTTTGGTGCATGCGCAAAGCTTGATATCAACTGACTTGTCGGCGCAAGGCGCAAACTTGCTGTAAGTCGTTACTCTTATAGAATTTATAAAAAATACTCCGTCTTTCGGTGTAGCGAACTGTTTGACAGAGACTCTAAACACTTCATCCTTTTTGTATCCGGTTGGAGGGAACACGTGAATGTCCATACTCGTTATAATAAATTCTCCTCGAAAACGTTTGATCACTTTTGAGAACGATTTTCCAACTAAGCGTTCACAGTTTCCATAGCCATAATTCTCAGATGAGTTAGCACTACCTGAAAAGAGGAAAGAAGTCAGGTTGAACTTAAGTCTCCATGGGCAACGATTGAACACTCTTACTTGAAAACAAGCTGCAACATTTACAAGAATGTCCGTAACGAAATCGGGCAGGGGGTGATTATACTCAAATTGCAGCACTGACCTACTAAAGATCTCCAATGAGCAACCATTATTCGTTATCATTTCTACATGGGTAGTTACGTCATCACTTAAGTTCTCTATGCTAAGGCAAATATACAGTTTAAGTCTAATCACTTATTAAAGCAGTATCACCCCTTCCCCCTCCCCACCCTGCCCGCCTAGTTCCTTCTGGTTTTCTCACGGACATTATTTTTACATCTTACCTTCCCTATGTTGCCTTTGTATTGCATTATTTATATGTCCAACTGCAAATTCTGCCAGCCACTTGTAGTCATCTGCATTTTCTTTGATCTCAATTTCTTTATTAAAACCTTCACATTTACATCTGGTCAAGGGAAGCATATCGAGGTCTGCGCATGTGCGGTTTGCTAAAATCTCTGAAAAGATTCCTGTCACTGAATAATCATCAGAGTCCATTTTTTGAGGATCATACAAACTCATGAACGCTTTGTGTACATCTTTAAGCGCGAAAAGGCGCTTTTGGTTTGTGACCAGCGCGTTCATCCTACGTGGACCAAGTTTTTCCTTAATGCCATCAGGTACAATCATAAAGAATACTGGATCGTACAACTCTTTGCCTCCCTCTTTTGTGTTACGAAACGGAGTCCTTGTGTGACCGTGGTCGGATAATATCAACGTAAGAGTATCAGGGAAAGAAGCCATATCTTTGAAGAATTTGGCCATGTTGGCGTCCATGTTGATCATCCGTTTACCATTAGTCTCGTGTCCAGTATTAAAATGTGTGTAGGAAAGCAAAGGTTTGGCTTTTTCGTCGCTTCTAAGAGCCGTGTACACCTTTGTTATGTAGTCCATGAAATACCAACTGTAAAACCTGCCATTTAAACAGATTTTCTGGGGAAAATCAAAAGGGTTGGTCCTTCTCAGAATCTTTTCTAACGCCGTGCATGAAAAGTGCGTAATACCCTGATGGTCAATTTGTTTCTTGGCCACCTTGTCTTGAAATTCCTTCCACCTGTAACGAAACATGCTTTTTAACTTCTTATGATAATTCAATAACCAAAGCACTATTTTATTACTAAGTTCTTGGTATGATTTTATTTTCATAGGTGGTCTTGACTGAATACTGACTCTGCCCCGAAGATCTTTGGTTGTTGTGTGAACTCACACAGACACCCACCCAGGTAAAAATATTCAAAGGAACTTAACTTGCCTGGTATCAGTCAAACTCTATAAGCACATATCTTACTAACATCATACTAAGGTGTGCATGGCGAGATCAAGCCTCGATCAAGCTATAGTTAGTCAGCCACAGGCTCTTATACATTATAAGTACCTTTTTGCTCAGCAGAAAGAGTTTAACAATTACCTTAAAAACCTACATAACACCTGTATCAAAACAACGCATCATTACAGAATCAAACATGCAGCATGGACCAGGTTGTTACCTTTCTCTGAACTCAGAATCCGACTGAGGTGTTGCTCTTTTACCAATGTCTGTTAAAGCACTGCCCCAAATATCATACCAACAAAGATCCTCTTGAAAGAACGTCTGGTAGCCCCATTTCTTGAAGGTCCCATACAACACCTTCACACCCAGGGAGGCTTTGGCGTTTTTTGCAGAGGCAGTAACTTTGTTATCGTCTGAAAACGTTACAGACAATTTCTCATCAATGACTGTGAATTTATGGAAATCACATATGTGAACTGCGGATGATAAATTAGTGCGAGAGTGGTCTTCGCAGTAATGAACACAACTTAATGGAAGTATGAAATCATTTCGACTGCTGCTTAAGTAGTGTTTATTATCGGGAAGATCACTGTCATCTTCATGTTCTCATAAGTACAACATAAAGAATTCATAGCCAACGAGATGGGATAACTCACGCCATTCAGTTTTAAACGTATTTTCTTCAACTAACCTTCGACAACGCCACAGAAGAATGGCCTCATGTTTTCAAATGTCTGTTGTCCGATGCTCTGGAGAAGTTCAAAGTCCAAGGCGGTAGCCTGAATCTTAGGATTGTGTGAAATATCGTGCAGAGCCTTTACAGCCCTTGGAAGAATTCGGTAAAAATGCGGCCTGGAGATAGAGTCTAACAGAATTACATTTAAATTGATTTTAGTTCTCTTTTTGCCGCCGTCGACTTTCTTCAAGACCGGAGGAAAGCTGAGCACTTGGAAAATTTCTCCACATCTTAGGAAAAGAAAACTGAATCCTCTTTCTAAATTGGTTTTGACGGCCGTTCGAACTGTTCGATCGATTTGTTTTTTCGACAGTCGTTTCCACTTCGTCACGGCTTTTCCCATTTTAGGATCAACAGAAGATATTCGAACCGCGGACGAGCCACAAACCTTGGGGTTACATGACAGGGTCTGGTCTCCAGACTCTGTATTATGGAACGCGCAGATGTCTGGGTAATGAGTGTCGTCACAAGTCCTATTTTCGATAAGTCCTAACGGTCCATAATGTTCAATAATTTGCTTTATACCATGTCGATCTGGTCTAAGAAAAAAATGGATATGACTCGTTCAGTTATCAGTTAAACAGCATAAGTTAGCATTGCTTGAACGTATCTGCCAATCAATCTCGCTTTGAATCAGCATCTAAAGAAATTCAAGCAGAGAAGATATATTTACAACTATTTTATCAAGAGATCTCTCGCAGTAAAAACAAGCCACATGTGCACTAATCCTAAGAGAAGGAAATCAAGCCCATTTAACCGGTTAAACCGGTTACCTTTTTTACCGGGTAACCGGTTGGCGGCTGGAAATAAAATTAAGCCTTATCACTACAACAGAGCATCAGTGATTTCTCTTCCTACCTGTGAGGCTTACACTTGATTTCAGTTCGGTGGCCTAAGCATAGAAGTAAAGATACACTTTAGAAATAGAACTTCATTATCAATCATCCTTTTAGACGAACAATTAAAAGTTCAGCGCTTTCTCTTTTTAAAAGATTGAAATGTTAATCGTGTTTGTCCCTACCTGATATATGGGTAGTTTTCGAGTTCTTTTTTAGAGCCAGTTTCAAGGTAGAATTCATCGGCAACCAGAGCACAGTCTCAAGTACCACCAGAGCTAACACAATACAGGTGAGCTACGTGGAAAGTAGAAATAGTAAAGAATAAAATAATTCCACCTTAGACTGAATAAAAATGTCTGAAGTGATAAGCTATCATAAATATCTCCAAATCTGTGGATTGAGGTGGTTGAGTTTAGAGAAGACTATGGCTTCTCCAAAATGTCAATCTCAATCGGGAAGGAAAGGTAACTGAAGTTGATGTCTCGACCAAAATTTCTCGGTTTGATGTCTCGACCAAACTCTCTTGCTTTTGGAACCTCGCTCTTCCTCGAGTATAAAAATCACTACTTGGTTTGTTATCTTTTCTTTCATACCTGCCGCGTTTACAATCTACCATATATCCTAACCAGCTCTCTAAAAAAAGGATCTGATAACCCTGTTCCCGATCCAGAAAGCCTATGAAAAACATGAAGAAACTTGAAAAAAATTATAAGAAGGAAAACGAATCATTCACGTACCAAAAACATCCCACATCTTAATGAACGAATTCGAACCAGTTTAGCAAGGATCATACTGATAGATATAAACCGAGAGAAAATCTGAAATAAAACCAGAAAGATTTAAAGCAAACATACAACCTTCGGTCTTTTCGGCGTTTTTTTTTCGCCTAAAATAGAACTAAGTCCAATCCGTGGGGTAGCATCAAAGAGGTTAAAGTGTTCAACATTTGCCCATGGAGACTTAAGCCCAACTAGACTTCTTTCTTCTCTTTTCAGATATTGCTAACTTATCTGAGAACTATGGCTATGGAAACTGTGATCAAACGTTTCGGGAATTCATCGTGGCGAGTATGGACATTCACGTTTTCCCTCCAACCGGGTATAATGAAGATGAAGTATTCAGATTCTCCGTCAAACAGTTCGCTGAACCGAGAGACAGTACTTTTTCTTAAATCCACAAATGTAACAACTTACAGCAAGTTTGTGTCTTGCGTAGACAAGTCAGTTAATATCAAGCTCTGCACGTGCGCCAAAGAACAAAACTCTTACGTCATCAAAAAAGGAGTGTTGTTCGAAAATGGGTGACGTTTTTAGAGTCTCCGTCAAACACTTCGTTGAACCGAGAGACGCAGTATTTTTTTAAATTCCATAAGAGTAACAAGTTACAGCAGGTTTGCAGCTTGCACAGAACTAAAAAATGGAGTATAGAAAATGGGTGAAGTTTCAAGAGTCTCCGTCAAACACTTCGCAGAACCAAGAGACGCAGTATTTTTTTAAATTCTATAAGAGTGACAAGTTACAGCAAGTTTGCAGCTTGCGCAGACAAGTCAATCGATATAAAGCTGTGCGCATGCACCAAAGATCAAATCTCTTACGTCACAAACAAAGGGGTTTTGTTCGAGGATAGTGAACCAGGCAACATCAAACAGCAATAAAGTAAACGGCGGGAATTATTCGAGATTGATTTTGTTACCACAATCCACTACTAGAAACAATAGAACCTTCGGTAACATACCAAACGCATCTTATGTCGCTTTATTCCACAATTTTGACCAAGGCATGGATTACCTAACCTTCCTGGTTGCCTTCCTACACGAAACACGAAACACGCAATTTCGAACACGAAATCTTAGGCTTAATGAACTGATATGTTTCTTCTAGTGGGTGGATAAAAATCCACAAACCCACTGGCATTCTGAGTCGTCAAATTACGGAGAAGACGGCCTAACAGGCCTATGCGCTTACCCGGAGGCTTTCAAAGGACGCATAGAACAGGACTGTATCGTATGTATACATATAAATATTGCATTTAGACGTCGCTTCCGGTAAATTGTTTACATTTAGTATAAACAGCAACGGTTCAAGTATTGACCCCTGAGGGGTCAAGAAACTGAACATTGATTAGTGCGTTAAATTAATTTTTAGCGAGTCTAATTTAATCCTTAATCACAACCGACTCAATGAAGTTGCTTATTTTCCGTTTGGTCACGAAATAAAATTTTTCTTATTTCTGTTTTAAGGGTAAATGAATTTTAGCTGCGGGTGTGCTGGTGTCACGAAAACTCAGACTTCAGACCCCAGAAAAACTTTCACCCCCAGGGATCTCCAAAACTTAGGCGTCCAACAACAAGGGTCCATTCTTTATTGTTTGTTATCTTTGTCAATCTGATGCAAGATCAACAGGAGAATGTGAGAATTTGTTGTCTGCTCTTCATACTACATGTCATAGCAAAATAATGTCAGCGAAAAAGCTTCCCTCGAGAACCTTCACAGATGCTCTATTGAGGAAATAAGTCGTTGTGGTGGATTTACATATTTGAAGTAGGAATTCTACTGGAGACTATTCATGATCATTTCCCGCCTTCACACGAGACACCAAAGAAAAAATTCACTGAGTTCGAGAATCTGACATTCATTTTGGGTATCGTGGGTCTTAAAATTTGGCTTACAAAGCGCCAAGAAGATTCCAAATGCGAACGCGCTCTAAAGATCTTTTATACTTAGACATATATCAATTTGATAAGCTACGGTTAAAGGAGGTCAAGGTTGTGTTGTTTGAACCAACTGATTTTCAATGTGAAACTAACTCTCACATCCAAATTTTCTCGCGAGATGTCGCATCATTCGCACTTTTCTGGCTTGTGACTGGTCTTTCCAATTAAAGGCGAAGGAAAAAAATAGAAGGAAACCTCACAAGGACGATGAAAAAGGAATTTTCAAGAGTTTTTTCGAAGAAGCCTTTCTCTAAAGAAAAGCTTTGCGTGACACCCTAAAAAATGCGAAGGAGACATAAATTTTAGGTTTTTCTTCAGTCATTCATTGTGGGCATTAGAGCCAGCGGTTCGGCATTCCACGAAGTATAAGTATCCGGGTAACGATAATACAGCGACCAAACGTCTGCGCATGTGTATACGCTGTAATGGTGGCGACACAGCAGCAAAATAAGTGGACGTGCTTAGAACGCGCGAAAGGAATGGGGCCGACGATATTTCTATAGTAACAATATTGCAGGAAATAGAGGCATTTTTAAAATTCTCATCGTTTACAATCATTTTGTGAGGATGTGCTGAAACCGATACAGATAAGGTTGCAGTTTTTCAGGAAAGTTTCTATCGAACTTCTTCCGTCACAAATCTCAATCAACAAAAGAAATATGGGGGTAACAGGAGTGAATTCAGGGACTGAAGTAGTGCATCGATAACATGGCGACAAAGTTCGTAGTAACGGCAGTCTGGATAAATTTAAAACAGTTTACGATGAACTATATGAAAAGAATGCTACTTACCCTCCAGAACTTTCCGTAAGAACAAACTCCATCAAACTGTTCTCTCGTTTCCCATCATTAACAGTCCAATAAGTGTAAAATGATGTTCTGTTCGTTCTCCAACGAAACTCTTTCAAACTTGAGTCACGATATGCTCCCCGAACGCGCCATATCCGTTGGGCACGCGCACTCATTTCGCTGCTACAGCATACTTCCTAAGTGACTAACTCGGTAGCGTGCTTTCAGGTTGTCATGATCAGGACCAAGTTGTTTCATAAAATGTAACAAGCAACCACACGAGTCGATAAGTAAGTCACGAGACGATAAGTAAGCGTACAACTTTGTTAGTGCAGCTCAAAACAGAAAGTCAAATTAAATGACAAAAAGACGTACTTGAATGAGCTGTAAGTTCGAAAAATTCTCAATTTTTTACTTTTCCCAATTTTTGTTTTGTCATACTGATTGCGAAGGACATTACCGGTTAATATGAACGTCTCAATTTTTCTTTCTTTGCGAGACAGAGGTATGTTTCGCTTTAGAAATTTTGCGCGGGAAATTGGCGGGCGGTCAAACGTAATCCCATCGCGCATGTCTTACGCTTGACCGCTGTGTTCAGGCTGATCCAAATTACTACCAGATTATAAACAGATTCATGTCACAGTAAGGTAAGTTTACCTCTTACTCTAAATGTCTATATTTCCCAATTTTCATAACATTTTTGACCTCCAAACATCCATGTCTGGTCAGCTAAAAATTGCGTGACGAGGAATTTCTACACTAGCGACTGCAACGAGCAAACAAATCTCATTAGTACAGACAGCGCTTTGAGTCATTCACTTAACAACAATGGCTTTGTCACAAAAAACAATCTCCCATTATATAACACACAAGTTCATAAATCAAATAGCATAAAGTTGGCTGAAAGAAAATGTAAATACACGGAATTGAAGTGTTTAAGACCTTTATGTACAGATGAAGTTTTCCTTGTCTTGTCCAGAGGAATAATTTTCTCACAGTTTGAAAACTATATTTACTGTCATGTAACACTGAAAATCCCCAAATCAGTAAAGGTGTTTGATCCATCCTTCTTAACCTTCACACTTGCTTTCAACCCTAACGGCTCGTTTACTTTTGAAAGGTATTTGTACACAGAAGTCAAAAAACTAAACGTCTTTGGGAATAATTCCAGCCCAATGGGCAAAGTCTTGGAGAATATCCTTTGATCCATAGAGCCTTTTAGTTCAAATTTATAAGTTCGACTTGTGCAAACATTTGCAATTTCTAACCCAAATGAAAACGTCCCATGATTCCGTCGCAAGAATAACAAACAGTTTGAATCCAAGTCTCTCACAATTGTGTCCGAACCAAACATTTCGCGAGGAACTCCGTTATCAAACAACACTTCTTTCATCTTGGCGTCTGCGGTTTGCTCTTTGGAGCATGCGCAGAGCTTAATATCCACGGACTTATCTGCACACAAGGCAAACTTGTTATACATTGTTACCCGGACAGAACTGAGAAAAAATACTCCTTGTTGTGGTTTGGCAAACTGTTTGACAGAGACTCGATAAACTTCATCCTCTGTGAATCCGGCTGGAGGGAACACGTGAATGTCCATCGTGGTCAAGATGTATTCTCCACGGAATCGTTTGACAACCTTCTCAAATGATTTTCCAACCAAGCGCTGGCAGTTTCCATAGCCATAGTTATTCTTTGAAGCACCATTTCCTGACGAAAATGAGTGAAAAATAAATAAAAATGAAATTAAATGGACTTCGCTTCCTAGAGTCAGGAGTATCATCTCACAGCAGTTGCCCATAGGGTTGGGGTTAGGGTTTGGTTCATCTTGCCCCAGCACACCTCAAATTATCTTTCCTTACCTCAGGTCAGCCCATTTCAGTCACTTCAAACCATGACAGCTTTAATAATATTTCCTCATTTCTCCTCACTACTTGTCACCTCAACCCAACACACCTTACCTAATCTTTCCTCACTCATCTTCACCACATAACATATCGCCTCAAATAACTTCACCTTGTTTTTGTTTCAGAAGCCTAACCTGACTCCATTTTATCTTATGAATCTTCTCTCTATCAATCTACCTTATCACATCTTACCCTGTCCCACCCTCATCTCAACTACAGTGTGTAACAGTACCCACCCTACCAGTCCTACTGTACCAAACCTCATCCCAACCCGTATAATCAAACCCTGCCTAACCCACAGTACTCATCTCTTTTATTCCCTCACCTAACTTTGCCTCACCCCACCCTGCCTCAACACACCCTAGCTTTCAACAATTTGATCAAAACTTCATTGGGCTTTTGTTTCAGCAGTAGTACTTTACTTTCACTGCCAATTAAAGCAGAATTAACAGAGAACAAATAACACTGCACATCTTACCACTCATGTGTTGTTTTTGAATAGCATCATTGATATGTCCCAGAGCAAATTCTGCCAACCACATCTGATCGTCTGCATTATCCTTTACAGGAATTTCTTCATCAAAACCTTCACATTTGCATCTTGTTAAGGGAAGCATGTACAAGTCTGCACAAGTGCGGTTGGCCGAAATCTCTGAAAATATCCCTGAAACTGAATAATCCCTTGAGTCCTTCTCTTGAGAATCATGCAAACTCATGAGTGCTTTGTGAACATCATACAACATAAAGATGCGCTTTTGGTTTGTTACCAAGGCTCCCATCCTTTCTGGACCCAGTTTCTCTTTAACACCATCAGGGACAATCATGAAGAACGCTGGATCAAATAACTCTCTCCTTCCCTCTTCAGTGTAACTGAATGGAGTCATTTTGTGGCCATGGTCTGAAAAAATCATGGTCAAAGTGTTTGGAAACAAGGCCATATCTGTGAAAAACTTTGCCATGCTGGCATCCATGTTGATCATTCGTTTCCCTGTCATCTCATGTCCTGTGTTGAAATGCATGTATGACACCAATGGTTTGGCTTTTCTGTTGTTTTCTAAGGCAGTATACACCTTTCTTATGTAGTCGAAGAAGTACCAACTGTAAAACTGTCCATTAAGACAAATTTTCTGAGGATTGTCATAATGATTGGTCCTTCCAATTCTGTTTAACACAGAGCAGGAAAAATGTGTAATCCCAAAATGGTCAACCATTTTCCTTGCCATCTTTTCCTGAAATTCTTTCCACCTGATTTGAAATAGTTAACACTAATTACCACTCTGACCAATAATAGTGCATTAGTGAAAAAAAATGTAAAGTTAAAGTTAACCCTTTACCTCCCAGAGGTGATTAACAAGTAACTTCTCCCCACTATATCTATGCACTATCCAGCAAACAGGTAATAAGAATATTCAAATATATCAAGTAGAGGTTGTTATCTTGATCTGACACCAAATTCTTGTAACTTATTTATAAGGAAATGTGTAGCAGCAAGAGGGGAGAATTAACAATCAGATCTTAGGAGTTAAGGGGTTAATATCCAACTATTCACCTATTCTTATCTAATTGACATTGTTGTGAACATTTTGCAGACCAGAATTCCTTATTCATTACATGTTATACTTAAAAAGCAGTTCTTGTTTGTTGCTCATCATAGACTCACAATTGAAAGATCTCTTACTGGAAACTTTGGTTAACTGGGATGTGGATGTTATGATTTTTACTATCGCAGTGCTTTTCTCCTTCTTATAATTTAAATACCTTGAGCAAGAAACTGTCTGGAAACCAGCTGGGGTTTACCTATCATGGACTAGTGGCCCATCTGTATGAAGCAATAATCCTTGATGCTTCATGACAACAATATAGGGATCAGCTTCTACAATTTGGGGCCACTTGGCTAGTGAAACTGGACATTTCTTTCTTTTTTGAAAGAGAGAAGAATGCCCTTATTGACTCCAAACAAATTAATAACCTTGATTCTACAAGTTACTCACCTCTCTCTAAATTCAGAATTTGTTTTAGGAATTTCTCTCCTTTCATTATTTGTCAATGCACTTCCCCATATATCGTACCAGCAAAGGTCCTCTTGGAAGAGTGTCTGGTAGCCCCACTTTTTTACAGCCCCATATAACACTTCCACACCCAAAGGAGCGTTTTTATTGCTTGCAGAGGCACTTACTTCATTGTCATCTGATAAATTTACCAAAACAAATTAATCTAGGTATTAATATTGGTAGTAACAGCAGCAGTAGCACTAGCAGTAGCAGCAGTAGTGGCAATCCTAATTTACCTGTGGTCAACTTTAATCAGGTTTAAGACAAGTAAGAAACTGAGCATAATTTTCAATTAGCACTAGTCATGTGGTTTATAAGTCTGGGTAAGAGTGGTTCTGAAAAGGGACTGTTGTTGATAGCAGGGAGTTAAAAATATTTTTAGAACCTGAGCAGACATAATCATTGAGTCATCTGACTTTGATGAATAACTTCTACATTGTACTAAGGTTGTTGAAATAGTAGCCTTCAACAACAGTTGATTCTTTTCAAGACTTCTATCTTTCATCAAATGATCAGAACTTATGATCCACAACCAATGTTGGTTCAGAAAATTTAAATTTAATGGCTACTTATGTTGACAAATTCCTCTCAATTGAACCTTACTACTCGAACCTTTTTAGCTTATGGCCTGAACACCAAGCAAACTGTAAACAAGCAATCAGTAATAAATTATAAACAATGAAAAATTTTGTCAACACACCTTTCAGAACACCACTGAAGAATGGTCTCAAGTTTTCAAAAGTCTGTTGACCAATGCTTTGAACAAGTTCAAAGTCCAAAGCTGTGGCTTTGATTGTAGGATCTTCACTAATCTTCTTCAAAGCTTCTGTGGCTTTTCGCATAGTTCGATAGAAGTGTGGTCTTGAGATAGAGTCCAACATAATAATATTTACATTTATAGCACTTCTGCCTTCAGCACTTTCATTTTCCTTAAAGATGGGAGGAAAACTCAAGGCTTGATAAATGTCCCCACATTTAAGGAACAAGAAATTAAATCCATTTTCCAGGTTTGTTTTCACTGCCTCCTGTACTTTAAAAGAAACTTTTTCCTTTGGCAATGTTTCCCAGTCATCAACAGCTTTTCCCATTTCTGGATTCACAGAAGCCATTTGAATCTCTGAAGACCCACACACCTTCACATCGCAAGACACATGATGTTCCATTAACTTGGTTAACTGGTATGAACAGATCTCTGGGTGATGTGTATCGTCACACTTTGGCTCCTCCAACTGTCCTGGATGTCCATAAAATTTAAGAATTTGTTCCTGGCCACTTTTGTCTGGCCTACAAAATAATTAATTTTCAGGTGAGGTGCTGTAAATCACTGTCTTCAAATTTATTACCATACCTTTCTAAGAAAACAACACTTTTCCTGAGGAACAAATCCTTACACACTCACTTAACAAGGAAGTTGAAGTTATAACATAGTTAACCTTGTCCTTGGGTAACATTTCCAAGTCAGTAGCAACTTTTCATGTGACACTGAGGGTCACATGACGAGGTCTGTCACCAGACTCTAGTTAGTGTGTTCACACAGCTTGATGGCTGGATATAAAATTAAGCCTTAACATTGAAGTAAAGCATTAATTATGCCTCTACCTGTGAGGCTTGCACTTGATTCCATTTTCTTCTATACCAGAGAAGTTTTCATGGCCGGGAAAGTTTTCTGCAACACAAACATAACATCAATCTGTTAGTTCTGAAGATCTCCACTGAAAATTTATTTGCACAGGCTTTTATGGTTTTCACATTCATTCACTTCTGTTTTAACCCTTCATATGCCTAAGAGTGATTAACACCTAATTTCTCCTTACAACATCACCCCTGAATCACACATTAAGGTCACAAGAATAAAGGAAATGATCACCAACTAAAGAAGCTTTTGATTGTTAAACAACTTCTTCTTGTCAGCATCTTTGGAAATGTACAGAGAACAGCATGGAGAATATGCTCAATGATGTTAGGGTATAAAGGTTTTAAGTAAAGTTTTCATCAGACCTGACATCAATAAAGGGCTATGCATAAAATTTGTGGATGTAGCCTGTGGGTTTGCCTGTCCTATTGCATAACTCAATATGAAGCAACAAACTAAAAAAAGAGAAGCACCAAAAATGGAACTTCTTTTTTTATTTCCCTATTCTGACAAGTAATTAAAACTGCAATGTTCTCCTGCTTTCAGAAGGATTGCAGTCTTAACCAAGGACATTCTTTACCTGAAAGATGTCTCTTTGTAGGATTCATCTTCAACCACTGCACAGTCAAAAGTACCCACACAGCTAACACAGGAAAGGCAAGCTAAGTGGAGAATGGAAATGGCAAATATCAAAATTAATCCACCAAAGACTAAATAGAAAGGTCTTCAGGAAGTTTTAAGCAATTGTAAGTTTCCTGAGGTTATGGATTGTGATAGTCGAGATTAGAGTATACAGTTATTTCCTCCAAAATGTTTTTTTCAATAGTAAAGGATAGTGTTGTCTGCATGATAATGACTTTGTGTCCAAGGCTTCTCAGTTTGATGGATTACTATAGTTGCTTCCTTACTTATGGAGTCTCTCCTATCCTTGAGTATAAACCATCATCACTGGCTTTCACATGTATCTTTTCTAGATGCCTGTGAATGTTTACAACCTTCTACATATCTTTCGCAAACCTTTTTACAAAGAGGGTCTGGTAGTCCTGGTTCTGATCCTAAATGCCCATATTATCAACATAGTTGAATAAAATGAAAAAAATTCAAGAATAATTCACTCACCAAACACACTCGACATCCTAATAAACGAGCTCTAACCAGTTTGAAAAGGATCATAATGGTGTTTATAACCTAAGAGAGAGTCTGAAATGAAACCAGAAAGATTTAATGGTAGTATTTTCTGAGCCTCCTGAGATCCTACCATGCTAGAGGTACAAGACAGTAGAAACTTCATCTTGGGATCTTTCTAACCAGAAGCACTATGACAAGGGGCAGTATAGTGGCGATACTATTCTTAAGTTTTGTTTACCTTTACAAGCGTAGATCTTAGTGGCTACAGTATTAAGCTAAAACTCTGCTGAACAAGAAACTTAAGATCGACAAGGATGAAGGAAACAGCCACATAATATTTAGCAAAATTTCCTTGATTTAAACTCAACAATGTATTATTCACATGTAGAGCATATTATAATGTTCATGTCTGGTTCAATCACATTGCTTCACTATTGGTATTACTGGAATAGTTTACCATAATGCAATTGCCAACAATTTCTGATAATCAGCTGACTTATAAACTCGTCACTAGTGCTCCTCTGGCATACCTCTAGCCCATAGGATTTAAGCACAACCCTGGCATATTGAATGCACAAGGTAGTATCAGTCCTCCAATTATAGATGTATATAGCTTTATACTGCAAAATTCATAATAAAAAGCAAGACAGGCAGATGAAGACCAACATTCCAAAAAACTGTTAAGCATTCTCCTGGCATTTATAATAAGATTCACCAGAATGTAACAAGAAAGAACGATCTGCTTCATTAACTTGCAATCAGAAAGTAAATTGCAAAAAGATCTTTTTACTTCCACGGTTAAATTGTTTTCAATAGTTTTTCTAGATGATGATATATAGTATAAAAATTAATTTTTAGTATAAAATTTGAATATTCTACATGTGTTAATATCAATTTTAAGCATCTTTTACATAGCATCAATATTGTCTACCTTTTAACAAATCAATTTAAGCAACTTTTATATAACAATAATTTTATGAAACTTTTATACTGATATTAATGTAACTGTGCTCAGGGCTACTATTGATAGCAGGTTGATTTTCAAGCACCTAAAAGTACCAAAGGCTGAAAATTAATTGTAGGTGTCTGTCCATACTCGATGTTATGACAATAGCATTCTCAAGAGAACGTCGCCGAATGACTTTAAAACGGGTCACTGCTGGAATAAAGAGCTCATTCCAGGAACTGAAATAAAATGATTTTTCACATCATAATTAAACGGGGGAAACAATTCGAAATTACTAATTTGTTCCCGCAACACGCTTTTGGAAACCACAGAAATTACAGCATAGGTTTCGATAAAAATTAAATGCGTTGAACGGTTTTAAGGCTTCTTCTTCTTCTTCTTCTTCTTCAATAATTACTTATGATTCAATTCAAATTATTATGTCGTTTCGTAACATACCAAACGTGTGTAATGTCGCTGCATGTGTCTCACAATTTTAATCCAGGCATGACTTTCGCCTTCCCAGTTACCGTCCAAGACGATTGGAAACAAGCAAATATCAACGATAGGTTGTCAGTAATCGGATACTTGTTTGCGCACAGATCTCTGGGACACGGAGCAAACATTGCAACATGTATGGCGTAAGGTTGTTCCGACGTTCAAAAAACGATTTTAGAGAGAGGCTATCGCTTGTTCGCCGCTCTTTTATCAGAAATGGATTTGGGTAATGCTGATACAAGGGTAGCGTAAGTTTGTTTTTGTGTGAAAAACCATGAAATATGTAGTAAAATCTACCGATTGACTTGTCTCCATGCGCAAGGTTTTGTAAATTTGACATCGAGTAATGGTCTCGAAGTTTAGAAAAACTAACCATAAATCGCTAAGGAATAACTCAACAAAGCCTTTTCAGTTTTTCGGACGTGTGTTAAGTCTACTTCTAGCTTTTTTCGTAGCTTGGTGATACAAAAGAGCACTACAAAAGCTACCACGAGGCAGAAGGAGATTGAAATAGCGTGCTTGAATAATATAAATATTATTGTGGTACATTAAAGTGATGGAACACGTACACTGCTTATTTGTTGTGATAAATGAGAACGAGTCAGTGTTGACAGTCGGCTCAAAATTTAACCCCTTTCTTCGGTGACGATGACTGATACAATTTAGATGCACAGCTGATGATATGTCCACAATTTCTGCGCAACAATGACTACAGCGTCATACCAAAACAAAAATGCCACAATCGAACTAACAAACAAGAGGGTGAAAAGAACTCGGGAACAATTTTGTTACCGCAACACACTCTTGGAAACCATGAAACAGTTCGATTAAAATCCTTTAGTAACTTACCATAGGTTTCTGATGTCGCTTTATCTCACAATTTTGACTAAAGCATGGATTTTGTTTGCTCTCCCAGTTGCCTTCCCAGTGGCCTTCCCAGATACTTTGAAACAGGCTATTTTACCACGATTTTTCCAGGAATTCAGCGACTGAGATACTTGGCGTGATGTACCAAGATCAGCACCTAGAGGGGAAATTTCTAATCCACAAACGTATCGCAAAGGCTAGGCCACAAACCCTCCTACGTTTTTGCAGAAGAGAAATTTGCTGCGTTAAATTCTTCTTCTTTGAAACAACTCTTTACACGATGCATAGTATCACCTGATGTATTTGAATCATATTGACAAACGCCTCACGGGTTGAATACTACATATTGAAAGCGAGGCGAAGAGTACAAGAACAGATGGAATTGGAGAAGCACGCTCATTCATTTGTCTTCTATAGACCCAAGCCCCCAAAACCTCGGAAAATTAGGGTGGAACTGATTAGTTAGGAGCAGAAGTTCAATTGTCGGAGAAAAGAATACCCGTAAGTAGTCATTGCTTACTTAAACCTTTCATTGTTTTGATTTTTCCCTATTCTAAGCTTTCAAAAAATTAACATGTTTATACATAGCCAAACAAGCATGTATGCGGCACGTGTTTAATCGCATCATACATGGCACTGTCCACGTGCTTACAACGGAACGCCGAGTGTGTGTTTCTTTCGAATAAGCCCAGAGTTGTGAGTGGGAGTTAACCGAAGCGTTGTAGTAAAATCGTCAAATCAATGTGAATAAATTGTGATTTAATAAGGGAGCGTGGTACAGCTTTTTCACGTTTTCGAAAGTCAGGCTAATCTACAGACTTCTATACCTTGTATTTTTGTTTACCCATTTTGAGTCCTGTGATAATACTCTAGAGAACGGTTTCTTTTAAATTTCGTCGCATTCACGTGCGTATTTGCGCATAATTTGTAAAACATTGAACTAGGAATCCCTTGGAGACCTGAAATGGGAAAACAAAACATACAAGCTAACGATGTCAATTGTACTGATCACGACGTTTCCATTACCATGCTACTAGTCTTGGAAAATCGACAGAAAGAGGCAGTACTAAATTACATCGTTCAGTTGATAAAGTTGTGTCAACAGCTAAGGGGAAAAAGGCGGCGAGAAAAGAAAGACATACCGTAACTTTGAACGAATGTTACAGTTCCTTTTTTACGCATCATTTCCGTGATTGTGCAAACTTATTATTTAATTTTTCTGCGTTAACGCAACATAAACATAACAACATCTAATCCCGGAGAACGATGGCAAAACGGAAAGGATTAACAAGGATTTGACTTGTCATAATGAGATTTGACCGTCAAAAAATTGCCAAATGAGAATTATTCGCTCTTACAATGTTGTTACGTGATAACGCCAAAATTTTCTGAACGTAGAAAATGTAACAGGGTAATTGGCTACCGTAAAGAGTTGCAAAGCTGAAGTTCCGCGCGTTAGCCCTTCGTCGCTCTGAAGTTTCTGAAGAGTCTTTTTCACGTCTCAAATCTACATACCTGAGCTATAAATTAAAAATTCAACACAAAAATTACGAAACGTGTGTTTTTTTCCTTTGTACAATTGCAATGAGTGGAGGGGAGAGAGACGATCAGGTAGATTGTGGTTTTGGTATAAGTGCATGAATTTCTTACAACACACAAGAAAATGAACGAAATCTGTAATTTGAGCGAATCGGCAGGACCGCTTTCACAGAGACTCCGTCTCATTCCTAGTACCACATTTTTTTGAACAAATATTGCACGTGGGTCTCCCACGACATAAAGAAAAAACTAATCCTGGGTGTTTTAAAGCGTAGTTTCACAAAACATAGCCTCTCTGAGAAGATTCAGACGCAAATTATAACCACACCCTCAGTGCCTTTGAGGGATAAATAATTTATTGAATAGGCAATCACAATTGAAATCATTTCAAACAAGATCATTATCCTCCAACCATTTAGTTAAATACTGAAGATCGTAAAAATTATAAATATCCAGAGTTAGATGTAAGAGACTCATGTAAAACAAATTAAGTGAAAACAGTTTCCTCGAGCATAAAACATGTCATCTCTTTGCCTGTCTTAATTAGTAATGGCCAGTCAAAAAAGGTACCTGAGTTTAAAAACTGACTGAAGAAAAAAAAAATGGGGAAAATGCTGAGCCAAAGTTATTTGGCGAGGTACAATTATAGTTCGATAAAGTTATACTTTATCACGGCGATCTGTTAAGTTAAATGGTGAGAGCCAAGCTGTACCTTGAAAGCGTTTAGTTCTTCTGGCACGTGTTGTAAACTAGTATCCTTATTACCCAATGATGGTGAAGCAGCAGATTCGCTGGCGATACAAGTGTTTCGCCTGTTATTAAACAACTACAAGCCGAAAACATAAAGAAAGGTCTCTCAAATTATTGAATAATTTTTTAACTTCAACACTTTAAACCGCTGAGTCCAAACTCCTCTTGGCTTGTAAATAATTATTTGAATTGTACTAAGAGGGTCTGGATGGGGTTAACTGACAACTAACAAATCGCTGAAAATATAGCTGTAAACTGACATTTGTGGTGGGCTTTTACTGACAGCTGACAAAAGACCGGATCACCCTAAATATCCTAAAATCTGGATGTGAAATAAGGACAGTTGACTTATTTTGTCCAATAAAAGTATGTTTTTCATTGAATATCAGTAGGGGTACGCCAGAGTGTCATATTTCATTAATAATTATCGCATAGACCACAAACATTTAATGTCATATGTCACATATCGGTTATATGATCTTTCATACTCAACTCGATCGTGAACTTACGCGATGGCCGTCACGACGGCCGAATTGATTTGGAAACGGCATTTGAGCGTTACAGAAGCCGCATTCCTATCAATGATGTAGACACCGTACTGGCGCTGAAAAAGAGATCAACCCCGAGACTGAAAGTGCTATGAAAGAATTTGTGGAGAAGTATCGTCTGTCGAGGCAAAGGACAGTTCGGGAGGAACTACTAAGGACGAGGCAGGGGCTTTACCACGGGCCTTCTACACGAAGCAATAATATTCCATCAAAGTGGACTTGTTGGTGGGACTAGGGAACGATTTTCACTCTGGAGATCAGCCAGTAGGGCTCAGCAGCGATAAAGGAGCCGTTCAAGCTACTTCGGAAGTTGGGAATGTGACATGTCACATTTATTGACGACTGTATCGTTGAAGTGGCAGTTGCTGAGGTGCGAACATGTGTAGACGAACATGACACGAACGCAGAAAACGACTTTTCTGACGGAGAGGACGAAGATATTACCCCAGTTACGGTTTCTAGATCTGGGTGGCCAGTTCGCGTCCAGTTTCGCTTGGATTTCTAAGGTAATCTGACAATAGATTTCTCTAATAACCTAATTGAAAAGTAGACAAAAGAACATTCCTTTCCGATCATTTATTCGGAGCCAATCATAATCGTAAAACAAAACATAAAACCAATTCACAGTGCTAGAGGACTCTTCACGAGTTTGATGTCTTTCGGACGATCTTCTTTCCAACATTTTGATAGGCCAAGTGTTTGAAAAGGAATGTGTCAATGTTGCGCACGGGCAAACAGAAGTTTAAGTGCAGAAGAGTTGTTACTTATTTAAACACCCTTTAAACAAAGACTGAAACTCACTTGGAAGATCTTGGAATTATTTCATTCCAAAATTGAGAAAAAGGAGATCTTATTTTCGACTCAATTTTCGAGTTTACGTTATATTTGCCTTTTTAGCCAATAATAGGGTCGGAAAGTAATAAGTAACTCGCCGAGTTAATTATCCACATTCATTTAACTGACAACTAACAAATGGCCTAAAATCTAACTGAGAACTGATAAATGGCCGACATTTTAACTGACAACTGATATTTGTACCCCCTCATCCAGATCCCCCATAAAAGCCGTCCATACCCAATGGCTAACACTTTTCAAGCTTGACTGAAAATTTGTCGCGCCACTTACTAAAGTTACCTCGCTAAAACATAACAGGAGAAAGAAGAAACACTCCCGTTATTAACATACTGTAAGATTTTACGCCAGTAATTAACGACGTAATGTTATTCAGTCGGTAAGGTATAAATGTAAGATTTTACGCCTGTAACTAACGGCGTTATTTCTTCCAGTCGGTGGTGTATATATGTAAGATTTTACGCCAGTAACTAACGGCGTTAATTCTTCCAGTTGGTATATATTCATACTGCGAGGTTTTACGCCGTTAGTTAACGGCTTAAAATCTGACAGTATATACACCGACTTAGGTAGTGGCGTAAAATCGTACAGTCTATAGACTGTGTTAGTAACATATTACGCCGTTATCTAACTACTGCATTGTGCGTAGTTCATGACCTAATATTTCAACGAAAATTATCGACTTTGTTTACTTTGTTAGTCACGCAAGCGCGCAAGAGTGACGACCGATCACGTTTACGTAACGTTTTAATTAAGACATCTCGGGATCTATTTTCCATTCAGTTGTTGCGAAAACCTAAAATCCTCAGCGTAGAAGATACACAAACGAAGTTTGATCGGTCAAAAGGTGACCTTGGTCAATTTTCAGAATTAGGTGAAAGACTTTGATACGAGCGCAATTAAGCGAATTCGTGGTTTTGCTTTGCTTTTTAGATGTTGGTGAATAAAAGTTAGAGATATATCCGCGGGTTTGAGGCAATTGATAACCTCATTGGTGCATAAGCTATGCACTGATATGCTTTTTTAGCCCGATTAACGCTTTCAATCTGAGAATTCTATCGTGCAAATTGGTGAATTTTTTATATGCAAATTAAGGTCGAAGAGAAGGGTCTCCTCTGATGACGCTGGTATGAAAAATATTACAGGAGAAGTTTCTATATTTTGTCAATGAAATAACTGAATACATCTTGTAACTTGTAGCAAGATAGAATTCCGCGAGCCATATTATTGCAGTCGCTGCGCGCTGGACAAAATCTGTGAAATATACTCTTTCGATTGCTGTCCACACGGGTTGTCCAGCCAAAAATCATTCTTGGCTTATGGCGACGCAAAAAAGAGAGAATTGGAGAACAACTAAACTATTTTTGAAACATGCGTCCTAACTCCTTTTCGTGGGCAAAAAATTTAATTAACCTTGTTTCCGACGGGGCCGGAAGTTGAGAAGACCGCTCAAAGCGAGAGTGGCACTTGAGGGCACTTAATTCAACAGAACTATTTCAAATGCAGTGTGTCTTCTCATACATAAACTTTTGGTTCTTAAAAGCGAAATCTAAGCATGCTTTATTTTTGCAGCCCGGTTGGAACAAGTTGGGAGTTGTTTCGATCAGCCTTGCTCCAAATAAAGTTCAGTTTTCAAACGCTGACAATAATCTGTCCTAGTACAGACCAGTCATGTCTTACCGTTCCATTTAGTTCAAAACATCTAGAACTACAGAGCCGTGCTTGTTTGTTGATTATAATTATTTCTTTCTGCGAGTTTACATACGGTAAATAAGTTATTCTCTGTCAAGACACACAAAGTGACCTAGTATGAAGATGAATCCACATACCAATTCTAAGAAAATGCTGTTTGAACGCAGGAATTCGCCAAAGGCAATTTCGGGAGCCCTGTCTGGTTGTTTCTTCTTGGGACAAAGCGAGAGAATATTAACATTACACTTGTATTATTTCACTCTAATAACACATCTATTAAGTGCATTGCTTCACATTGTCTGTTGGCAAATTCTGCAAATAACTATTCAACCGAGTGGATTGTGCGCCTGTGAACGCAGGAATTCTCCAAAGGCAATGTCGGAAGCCTTTTCTGGTGGTTTCTGCTTGGGAGAAGGCAAGAGAATATTAACATTACAATTGTCCTCTTTCACTAAGATTTCACATTTATTAAGTACAATCTACGAGTGGATTGTGCGCCTTTGAACAGAGAAATTCGCCTTTGGTTTCTACTTGGGAGAAAGCAAGAGAATATCAACATTAAAATTTTATTCTTTCACTCAGATGTATTAAATACATTGCTTCACAGCTTGTTCATCCCCAAATCCTCCTCAGTTTCTCATTATCCGTCCTTAGATTCAGTCAACACAAAGAGACGTTCATAACTGTAAAACCCTCAACACCTCATCTTCCTCTGCCTTATCAACTTTCTGGATACTCTTTTACAAATTTTTTTAAGCGTTTGGGTATTCATCAGGAGTAAGAACTTGAGGCGACTTAAGGCTGCTTAAGGTGCCAGAGTAGGCCTTCTCTTTACAAATCCAAAATAAATTAATATATCACTCCGAATAAACCACCAACTACACAACACCATTGTATCTGTCATGACACACTAAAGATCCCTAAGTTGTTGAAAGTGTTTGATCCATCCTTCTTAACCTTCACACTTGCCTTCAATCCTAACGGCTCGTTTACTTTTGAGAGGTATTTGTACACCGAGGTCAAAAAATAAAATGACCTTGGGAGTAACTCTCGCTTGATAGGCAAAGTCCTAGAGAATATCCTTTGATCCATAGAGCCTGTTAGTTCAAATTTATAAGTTCGACTTGTGCAAACATTTGCAACTTCTAACCCAAATGAAAACGTCCCAAAATTCCGTCGCAAGAATAACAGACAGTTTGAATCCAAGTCTTTCACAATTGTGTCCGAACCAAACATTTTGCGTGGAACTCCATTGTCAAACAACAATTCTTTCTTAGTGTCATCAGCGTTTTGCTCTATGGCGCATGCACAGAGCTTGATATCCACGGACTTATCTGCACATGAGGCAAACTTGTTGTACATCGTTTGCCGGATAGAACTAAGGAAAGATACTCCTTGCTTTGGTTTGGCATACTGTTTGACAGAGACTCGATAAACTTCATCCTCTGTGAATCCGGCTGGAGAGAACACGTGAATGTCCATCGTGGTCAAGATGTATTCTCCTCGAAATCGTTTGACGACCTTTTCAAATGATTTTCCAACTAAGCGCTGGCAGTTTCCATAGCCATACTTTGAGTCACCACTTCCTGACGAGAGTGAAAAATAAATGAAAATCATGCATTTCAGGAATGCATTTTTTTCTTGAATCAGGCATTTCAACTCACTACAATTTCCCTCAGCTCACTTCAACCGCTCTCACCTCACCTACTTTTTACACAAATAACTTCATCTCATTCAATCTAGCCACGGCTCTCGTCCGGTTACTACATTGATCTTCCACTTATCTTAGCTCATCCAATCTTTCCTCACCCAACCTAACCTCACTGTATTTGACCAAACTTCTGCCAGTCTAACCCTATCACATCTCACTAACCAACCTCAACCTTGCCTCCCCACCCTCATCTTAACTAATCGTACCCACCCTACCAGTCTAACGACACCAAACCCCACCCCAACACAACTAACCTAACACAACCGAACCCACAGCACTAATCTCTCTCCATTCCTTCATCTTACTTCCCCTCACCCCACCCTGCTTCATCACACCTCACCCATCTCCCTTCATTTCCTTCAATTTGATCAAAATGCATTGTAGCTTGAGTGACAATTTGTTTCAGCAGCAGCATTTTACTTCCACAACCATTAAATGCAGAGAAAACAGAGGAAAAATTACAGAACACATCTTACCGTCCATGTGTTGCTTTTGAATAGCATCATTAATATATCCCACAGCAAATTCTGCCAACCACTTTGTATCGTCTGCATTATCCTTTACAGGAATTGCTTCATCAAAACCTTCACATTTGCATCTTGTTAAGGGAAGCATGTACAAGTCTGCACAAGTGCGATTGGCCGGGATTTCTGAAAATATTCCTGAAACTGAATAATCCTTAGAGTCCTTTTTCTGAGAATCGTGCAAACTCATGAGTGCTTTGTGAACATCGTACAACATAAAGATGCGCTTCTGGTTTGTTACCAAGGCTCCCATCCTTTCGGGTCCCAGTTTTTCCTTAACACCATCAGGGACAATCATGAAGAACACTGGATCAAATAACTCTCTCCTTCCCTCTTCAGTGTAACTGAATGGAGTCATTTTGTGACCATGGTCTGAAAAAATCACAGTCAAAGTGTTTGGAAACAAGGCCATATCTGTGAAAAACTTTGCCATGCTGGCATCCATGTTGATCATTCGTTTCCCTGTCATCTCATGTCCTGTGTTGAAATGCATGTATGACACCAATGGTTTAGCTTTTCTGTTGTTTTCTAAGGCAGTATACACCTTTCTTATGTAGTCGAAGAAGTACCAACTGTAAAACTGTCCATTAAGACAAATTTTCTGAGGACTGTCATAGTGATTGGTCCTTCCAATTCTGTTCAACACAGTGCAGGAAAAATGCGTGATCCCCAGGAGGTCCACCATCTTTTGTTCCCTCTTTTCCTGAAATTCTTTCCACCTGATTTAAAATAGTTCACACTCTATTATCTCACATCAATTACAATGCAACATTAACGAAATTAAGTGTGAAGTTAGAGTAAATACACAATTTTTCACCGACTTTGTTCTCCTTTACATTTTTGTAATCATTTTGCAGGCCAGAATTTATCACATCCAGTATACTTATAATGGAGTTCTTGTTTGTTGCTCATTAGACTCAAGATTGAAAGTTCAGCAAGGCTGGGTTGTTCAAAGCCGAGTTAAGATAACCCAGGGTTAGTGTGTGATCTGATTTTACATCTGAAAGCTTTAAAAGAAAATTCAGTACAATTGTTTTTGTCTACAAATTTATGATTCAATGCTCTAAAAAGAATAGAGGAAGTTATCCCAAAAAGGCTTTTGACCAAAGGAAAAAAGATATTCAAATTGAAATTTAACCCTGGGTTAGCCCTAATCTCCTTTCCAGGGTATGGCAATCTTGTGATTTTGGGCGAAATACTTTACTCTTATATTGTTTTTCTCCTTCATGTAATTTAAATATGTAACAAAAAAACTGTGAAGGAAACCAGCTAGGGCTGAACTATAATGGACTGGGGTCCACCCAAAAAAGGAGGCAATACTCTGTTATGCTTCATGATAAGGACACAGCAACCAGCTTCTGCAGCTTGAGCCACTTGGCTGGTGAGACTAAAACAATAATTTAACCAACAACTCACCTCGTTCGGTATTCAGAATTTGTTTTAGGCATTGCTCTCCTTTCAATATCCGTTAACACACTCCCCCATATATCGTACCAACAAAGGTCCTCTTGAAAGAACGTCTGGTAGCCCCACTTTTTGAAGGCTCCATATAGCACTTCCACACCCAAAGGAGCCTTTGTATTCTTTCCAGATACACTTACTTCATTGTCATCTGATAAGTTTACAATACAATTTAGTAGTAGTAGTTGTCATAGTAGAGGAGGTAGTAGTAGAAATGGTAGTAGTAGAGTAGTAGTGGTATGAGAGGTGTTAACCCTTTAACTCCCATGAGTGACCAAGACAGCATTTCTCTTCAGAATATCAATACAGTATCAAGTGATGAGAATAAAGAAAAATATCAGTCAATTTAGGGATTGTTAGTTGATCTAATACCAAATTCTCTGAACTAACATCACAAGAACTGTATCATAGGAGTGAAAAGGTTAAATAAAAGCAATTTGTATTAATCCTTGACCAGCTTCAATCAGGTTTCAGACAAGAAACAATACAATGAACATGTGTAGTACTAATCAATAAAAGTTTCTGTTCAAGTGCCTTCTTTAACAAGAATTTTGATTTACCAAAATTGAGTCTGATTAATTTGCAATTACTGTTGAAATCAAATGACTTGTGCCCAGGAGTAACAGTTGATCAATTAGTCTGAGAGTAAAGGGGAAGGCCCTGACAGAGATTCTTAGTTGGTCCTGGAAAAAAAAAAAAAGAACCCTTTCAAGACAACTGCCTTTCCTATTTCCTAGAAGCACTCTACAATTATGAATGAGTTTACGACAAAGGAAAAGAATTTTGTTGACGCACCTTTCAGAACACCACAAAAGAATGGTCTTAAGTTTTCAAAAGTTTGTTGACCAATGCTTTGAACAAGTTCAAAGTCCAGGAACATGGCCTTGATTGCAGAATCTTCACTAATCTTCTTCAAAGCCTCTGTGGCTTTTGGCATAGTTCGATAGAAGTGTGGTCTTGAGATAGAGTCCAACATGATAATATTTACATTAATAGCTCCTCTATCTTCATCATTTTCATTTTTCTGGAAGATAGGAGGAAAACTCAAGGCTTGAAAAATACCTCCACATCTAAGGAACAAGAAATGAAATCCTCTTTCCAAGTTTGTTTTCACTGCCTCCTTTACTTTATAAGTAACTTTTTCCTTTGGTAATGTTTCCCAATCATCTACAGCTTTTCCCATTTCTGGATTCACAGAAGCCATTTGAATCTCTGAAGACCCACACACTTTCACATCACAAGACACATGATGTTCCATTAACTTGATTAACTGGTATGAACAGATCTCTGGGTGATGTGTATCATCACACTTTGGCTCCTTCAACTGTCCTGGGCGTCCATAAAATTTAAGAATTTGTTCCTGGCCACTTTTGTCAGGTCTACAAAAAAATTAGTTTCCAGGTGAGGTTGTGTTGGAAGCCACTGCCTTCAAATCAATTAATAAACCCAGCTAGGAAAAAAATTTTCCTAACAAACAATTCCACAAACAGTCACGTTACAAGAAAGTTGGAAAACAATTTTTTACTATTACCAACAATATATTCTGAAGGTCTGGGATACCTAAAAAAGTAATAACTCCTTATGAATAGCTGAACTGTGGAGATACCCCAAGGTTTTTATGAATTTTCAGTTGAACCAAGTTTCTTTGAGAATTCTGAGGATTCAGGGTTCAATTTATGACAATACTTGAGGCTGTTTATGTTTTGTATATTTAGAAATAAAAGAGAAAAAAGGAAATCACAAGACCTTTAAGAAAATGTACTAACATATGTATGAAGCACCCTGGGCCCTAGTTAAATTTTTGGACATGAGAGTGGCTGCTTATTTGAGGCTGGGCCCTTAATAAACTTTCACCATTTTCCACAAGAAGCTAGTTTATTTCACAGCAAAACATTAAATAACAAGAAAAGCTAAAGATTTACCATGATAGAGAATGAAATTATAGATTGTAAGGCTGTAAAGAAATAGCAATCAATACTCTTCTTGTGCACATCAGTTTTCTCCTGGGCAGGGGGGGGGGAGTGCTTATTCAAGGCTAGGCACTTTTTAAATTATGGTCATTCGCTATTTACAACAACATGTTGTATTTAACAAGTGAACAACAAAATAGAAATGTAAATATTAATTTTGTATTTTAAATCTCTACTATACTGTTCAACCATGAGTACCACAAATATTTCTAGATGGTGATTGTGTTGAGGAAAATAAGCCAGTGGGGTGTGGGAAATAGTAACTGTATGCAGTAATGATGGTTAGTAACTTTGCAGTTTGCATGTAGATCCTGATCTCCCATCTGAAAGGTCACACAACAAAAAATTTATTGTGCAAACATGTTAACCATTTGTGTTTTCTGAGCAAACAAGTAGACATATGTACAGCATATAGCCTTACTTGTGAGGTTTGCATTTTGTTACAGTGATAAATGAGGTATTTTTTCCAGAGGTATTTCCATGCTGTGGACTTGTAGTTTCTGAAATAGCAGTAAGTGAAACAAAGACTGGTTATTAGTAAGAATTATTTAGGAGGGTAGCATCACTTCCTTTGTCTGAATGGTAATTGAATGTAATTATATTATAATGTAAGCAAAAATATGGATAAAAAAGAATTTTTTCATTTTTCTGGTTATTTTTTCTGAACACACCATAACTCATACTTCTAACAACTCCATTCTTTAACCCTTTATCTCCCACATGTGACCAAGACAGAATTTCAATACAACATCAAGCACACAAGCGATGAGAATTGAGAAAAATATCAGTAAAAGGATTATAGGTTGATCTAACACCAAATTCTCCTAACTAACATCACAAGAACTGTATGGCGGACAGTTGCGAGAATTACATGTACTGATGAGATCTTGGGAGTTAAAGGGCTTGATGTAATTTTCAAAACAAAACAAAATGAAAATCTGTAATTTGTGACATGGAAATATGCTAATGATTTGCAAAATAGAGATCTGTAATTTGTGAAATGGAAATATGTTAATGGTTTGCAAAATAGAAATCTATAATTTGCAAAATGGAAATCTTTGATTTATGAAATGAGAATCCCTGTAGAAAAGCCCAGCGAGCCAGAAGAATGAATTGGTCAGTTCACCATAAGTGTGGATTGCAGCCTGCCAGATAATAATAATAATAACAACTAGCAAAAGTGAGAAATAAAAAAACCTGTATGAACTTTAGGAAATCTCCACCATGTTCATGATTAACTCAATGGGTCGTTTAGGCCATAGAGCGCAAAAATAATTTGAAATGTTAGTTGACACTGTAGCTGTACTGTCTATGAGGTGTAATCAGTGTATATTGCCAATGAATAATTTGAATGCGTGACACAACACCTACCTGACCAGAAATGCACATGGAAAGTGTCACAGCATGTTTCCAGATAAAATATCATGTTTGCTAGGAAAATGTAACTGACTTAAGCTCTCTTATTTTCTTGAGTCTCACCCATGTTCATCATCTGAACTGCATGCTAAAAACCTTCTGCAGGAATGATATTTGAGTCTTGTTTGTTTTGTTTTTCAACCTAGACACCAGTAACAAAGGTTGGTGTGGTCTTTTGCCCCGGGGAAATTGAAACCTAACAAAAATATACTGAGACTGGATTGGGGTAAATTTTCCTCTGCCGCAAACATACCATCAGAATGATATTGGTGAAAACAGTCAGGGAAACAAACATGTATGAACATCATTCAAGAATTTAATCATTTATGCATTATCCATTGGTTGGAATAAAAATTCCTAACTTTACTGAATGTGAGTTAACATTTTAGATAGTGCAACTTGCCAGCTTTGCCATACAAAAGAATGATACATATATGCCTTAGATACTATTGTTCTATAATTATTTTGCAAATCATTAGCATATTTCCATTTCACAAATTACAGATTTTCATTTTGTTTCATTTTGTTTCGCAGATTATAGTAAGCCAGTTAAAGGGTTAATAATTTATTGTGAACTTTCATATCACTGGGAGTCAAGTCTACTAATAATGATGACAACAATAATCATATCAAGTCAGTGAGCAGAGAATGATGATAGCTTTGGAAAAAAATTATATTTCCTGTAACAGATTATTCCTTCCTTCATCTTTTTTTTGGTACAAGATACCAAAGTTCGAGTTTTTGTTGCTTTCTTTTAAATCACATTCTTTTAATTACATCATAATTTAGTGTAGCACAAATTTGAAAAACATTCATGTCAGTTTTGCTGTGATTGTTTCCTAACTTCTCTCTTCACATGTTTCCTTACTCTGTGATTTGCACCTGAGTGTCCTTCATTGAACTATAGGGGATAGGGTTGATCAAAATATGATGCATCATGGTTGACTGTATCACAAGCTTGGGGCTGTCCTGGTGTACCGGTACACGAGGGAATTCCTTTTGTTTTCATAACCATACATGGAGTTATGACGCAGTTCGTTAATGTTTCCTTCCTTTGTGTACCGGTACACGAGGACACAACCACAAGCTTCTTCTAAATGCTAGGTCCTAATTCACATTTTATATTTGGTCACAAGATTCTTCATGGTCTTACTTAAAAGAGCACCGTTCAATACTGGTACTAAATCCATTTGCAACTGCATGCCTATTCCAATAAGCAACAAGGTTGTGACGATAAAGGCAAGAAACTGTAAGCAAAAAAAGGAAATCACCATTAAAAAATTATCTTCTAAAGAAATTCCACTTCTTATATGAAACATGTACAGTTAAGTGACTGTGAATACATTAAAATCATACATTTGAACTGGGGACTAATAAATGAATAAGCAAGTAATCTTGAAACAGCAATGAAGATCACTCATATATTCATTTATCAATTCGCAGTTCACATAAATTATCTGATTTCACATATTCACAGTCATTTGTTCATCACTTCACAGTTTCATTACAAACCAACACAATGACCAACTCCCTGTTGGCTTGTTAGCTCAGCTGGCAGGGCACTGCATGATATCACAGAGGTCATGTGTTCAACTTGCAGACAGGCCTGAATTTCTTTCAGGTCTTATTTTCCCCATTGCTCATTATATATGCATTCATTACTGAGAAGATCACTTACATATTCACGTACAGTTAAGTAATAAAACCATGACTTTCTTTGCTTGGCCAGTGAAAGGGAAAAAACAGAAACCAGCTATGTGAGCCGAATGAGGGAAATGTGCTGAAAGAGTGGTTTTGATACAAAAACACATTGTGTCGTGCACTTTCCTTTATCTGTGAACCTCGAAAATCAAGGTCGTTAAGTATTCATATATTCAAGCTATTGTTCTTGCTCATTAATCATTCATAACTATTACTTGCCGAAGATGCGGCTCGTTTCCGAAGAGCGCAAAACCTTTGATGTAGGTGAGATATATTTCTTTTGTTTAAATGGAAGGAGCTGAAACCTCTGGGACCACAGAGGAAGTGGCCGCTTGACCGAGGTTATGCAAATATGATAGCGTGTCATCTCAAGGATGAAGCTCTGACCAACAGATGTTAAATAGTGAAAACGCTGCTCGCTAGCGCTGGTATCTTTTGACACAAACTCAATGCAAGATTAATAAACAAAGACAAACTGTCTAACTACGCGTGCATAAATCAGCCACTATTTCTTGTCGAAAATATTGAAACTCGGCTTTCAGTGGACGTAAGAAGTAGTTCGACATCTCATTTTAAACCTCTCGAAACTCTGTTTTTTTAAATACAAATCAATGTTTACATTATCAGGCGAAAAGCTTAAATTATAAAAATCTTCATCTTGCTTTCACAAGTTCGCTCATGCACTTATACGAACAAAGGTAGACAAAAGCATATGAATTCACTGTGGAATTGAACTGTCCAGCTTGAGGTTCCTTAATTAGGCTATTGTCCTTCCCTTTTCAAATCGGTTTAATGTCCTTCCTGGAAACATTGCACCTTTCTTCAAGTCAAAAGAAACGAATGAAGCCGAACCTTCTTCGGCTTGACTTTCGTGGTCACCGAACAGATTACCCTAAGGAATTAACCGAGCCCTCGGTGTAAAAATGCCAGCGGTTTAGCCCATGGCTCAATGACACAGATAAATCGCACTGAAGATGTAATGATATCTAGTAAATTTGTCTAATCAAATTCAATTGCACGAGCGTGCTTCATATTCCTATTGTGCACACTCTTGACGTCAGCAAACAAATCCCTTGCGAAAAAAAATTTTCCATCCAGTTGAAAATGTTATAAAACAATTGGTTCATACATCAGCTGTGCGTTCATCGAGATATGAAGCACTGGGAAGTTTGGAGAGCACTCAAGAAGCTAGAGTTGCTCTTGCCTTTGCCTCAAGCAACTCTTACCCATCTTTCATGCTCTCCAAACTTTCTGCATGCTTCATATGTTGATGAACGCATGCTGATGTATGAACCAATTGTTA